ACCACTTTAGAATTGAGCACGCCTACGATATAATATTAACTCTACAGCGGACAAATCAGGTCCCTAATCTACCGCCGAGGCGACTATCCAAAGCAAGAAGTCTGAGCGAGCGAACGTACACTATTGTGCTTCAATTATCACATTTTATCCCGCTCAGCACAGCGAAACCCCACGACCAGTCCACCCGGAGGCGCGAAGGTAATGAGACGGTCTAATGATAAACTCGGGCAACATAGCATTGGTAGAGTATGCAACAGAATCCTGGTCTTGCAAACCTACATACCGAGAAGCAAGCAGGCCATTGTGAGAAGTGGCGGATGAGCGTCTTGTCAAAACAGCAATTGACCATGCTATTCGCTGTATTAGCAGGAAAACTGAGACGTTGGGTGACAGAGTAGAGCATTATGCTATTTTGCATGCCATTAGATCACATTCCGCGACATGTTCTGGGGGAAAGCGCATCGGTGTGCCCTTACTAAGGCTTAATAGTTCGTTGACGTTGCCACAACCTCGGATCTCGGTGCAAAGATGAGTGCCCGGAGGTTGTCAGGTATAGATACAAAATATAACATGCTGAGACAAATTTTGCCGCGTTTAAATATAATATACAGTATGCATGCTACAAATTTATAGTCAGAAGGCAAGATCAATGAAAGGGACGGCGCCGGCTGCCGCTGGTAGCAGCCCGAGAAGGCATTGCAACATTGTCCCCCGTCAGTGTCTAGATTCTTTGAGTTCGATAAGATCTAGCAGAGAACAAAAAAATTAACAGCCGGACCCAGATTCGCGATGAATTTCTTGCTCATCGGTTCGTGGCTGGAGCTCTGGCGGCTGGCCCAAGCGCAGTTAAACGCCTAGCGCTCAGGCGCGCCATTATTGACACTTGTTTGCCTGGTGGCACGATGTCTCATTTGGACGCGTCGCGCCTTTACCGACCACCACCACGCCCCGTTCGACGTCCTCAACAATGCCGTCGAAACGACGAGCAGTTACTGTAGATTCAGATACCGAGGCTGATGTCTCTCAAACCTCCAAGCGAGCGCGCACTGGTGGTGAGAACCGTGAAGTCCCTGTCGCGACTACATCGAGAACCAGGTCGCGTCGCGGTGAAGACGGCGGGGAAGACAATGACGAACCCATTGTGGTTGACGAGGAAGAAGACGTTCAGGAAGATTTTCCACCCAACGCTGATGACGAAAAGAAGTTTGAGGAGCAGCATGAAGAGCTAATTCGTGCCAAGGTCATGAATCAGAACAAGCACCTAGGAGTCAGTATACTCACCAACACAACAAGCTAAACACGTGAGCTGAATGGGAAAATAGAGCATTGCGGACATGGGTATCATTGAGAAGCTCGAGCTACACCAATTCATGTGCCACAAGTACCTGGAATTCACGTTCGGCCCTCAGATTAATTTCATCATTGGTAGGAGTGTTTACATATGCCACTCGATTCACACTCATTACCATTATTCAGGACACAATGGAAGTACGTGTGCAAGCTGCATGAAATTTACAGACCTTCTGACCGGCACTGCTAGGTGGCAAGAGTGCCGTACTTTCTGCTTTGACCGTAGCTCTCGGAGGTAAAGCCACCATGACAGGACGAGGTTCTGGTCTGAAATCTTTTATTCGTGAGGGCCAAGCGTTAGTATATACGTACAATCGTTTGAATTGGTACTGAATAACGTTCTGTAGTGCGGCAGAGGTAACTGTCATCCTCAAGAACCAGGGAGAAGACGCGTACAAGCACGATGTCTATGGCGACAGCATCATGATCACGCGCCGCTTCACGAAGGAAGGCTCGTCATCGTATAAGATCAAGTCAAAAGATGGCAAAGTCGTCTCTACCAAGCGAGATGAGCTGTCGGCGATATGCGACCACATGAACATTCAGGTTGATAACCCCATGAACATTCTCACACAAGGTCCGTTCCGATATTCCATCCCTGTGTTGGTTCGCATTTAATCTTTTCGCCACAGATTCTGCTCGGTAAGCAAATAATTTGATAGTTTTGCGTATACATATTCACCAATTATGTTAGTCAATTCCTGAGCGCATCCCAACCTGCAGACAAATACAAGGCACGTTTGACCTCTTTCCATGTTTTCATCGTTACTAACGTGAAGCACGTAGTTTTTCCTTCGCGGCACACAGCTCAGCCAGCTCAGCGAGGAATATTCGACGTGTCTCGAGAACATTTCCCAGACGCAGAAGGTCCTGAAGGCGAAGTCAGAGATTCTCCCTGACTTGGAAGAACAGTTAGAGGAAGCTACAGGTCGTTTCAAGGAAGCTGAGAAGGCTCGTAACTTGAAACACAAAGCTGACGACTTGAAGAAAGAGATGGCTTGGGCACACGTTGCGACCAAGGAGCAGGTTGGTAATCAGTACAACAGATCTAAATCCGAATTTAATCTTGCTGCAGGAATTGAGTGAGAAGATCCAGGATCATGAGAAGCTGAAGGCGAAGATTCCCAAGATTGAGGAGAAGCTTCGTGAAGCCGAAGTGAGCTTCTTAATCGTTCCCCTCCTGGTAATGTATTGACGGACAAAAAATAATATAGGGGAAAAAGCTGGCAGCGGAGGATGAGATTCGGCTAGCTGAGCAGCGGATCACGGATCTTGGCGACATTAAGGACTTGAAGAACCAGGCCAAAGAGCTGCAAGAGACAATCAATGAGGGGAGGAAGAAACTGAGCGTAATCAAGGTGCGCTTTCGTGAAACCTGTAGGTACCTGCTTATTTGCTGACGCTACGTATAGGATGATCAGAAGGAGATTAACTTCTTGAAGATTGCCAACGATAAGAAGATCGAAGAATACAAACGCAAGGTTCAAGAAGAGCAGAGGAAGGTGGACGAGTTCTCGCATGATAAGCGACAGGAGACCCAGCGCGAGCTTCAGGAAGCCATCGAACAGTACAATGCTACCAATGCAGGTCTCAGTGTTCTACAATCGCAGCGCCAACAGGCAGAGCAGGAGATTCGAGACACTCGTACTGTACACGATAGCTTGGGGGGCGATATCGAGCGGCAGAAGCGCGAAATCTCGGACTTCGAGAGCCAGCTGAACATGCTTGCCCAGCGAGAACGTAACAAGCTGGCGCCGTTCGGCAAGAACTTGGAACACGTGCTCGCGGATATCGGCAGGCAGCAATGGCATGGACGTTCTCCTATTGGTCCACTGGGTCAGTACGTGCGCGTGCGCGACCAGGTGTGGGCACCTCTCATGCGAGTGCGCATCGGTGCAATGATGTCCGCTTTCGCTGTCACCGACACCCGCGATCGCAAGACACTCGAGGCGATTCTCAAGCGTCATGGCAAGTACGTTATTGAGGTGACTCTCCAGGAGGCTGCGCACTGACAAGATTCACAGCAACCCCCAAATTATTATCTCGGAAGTTGATCTTTTTGACTACAGTCGCGGTGAGCCTGCACAAGGCTTCATGACTGTACTACGTGCACTTGATGTACGTGTTCATAGGCTTTGTGCGTGACTAATGTGCTGAAATTTGGGCTTTAAGATCTCCAACGAGTGGGTTCTGCGTCTCCTGATCAACGCCTTCTCGATCGAGAGCATCCTCATCGCCGAGACCCGTAAAGATGCAGACGACCGCCTGCGGGATCTCGGCCACGGTGTTGCCTGGACATCTGATGCGTACACTGTTGAGCGTTACCGGCGAGTATATGCTTCGCTCCATCTGCGGCTGGTCACTTACCCGTCTACAGAACGGGAGGAGGTAGCTCCAAGTTGGCACCGCAGCTACGACCACAAGATCCTAGGCACCAGCTGTTCACTAGCGGAGATATCAGCCAGGACAGAAGGTGAGCGTCGTATTTAATATCATTTGTCTCATTGGGTCAAACGTGCTGCAGGATCTGGGAAGATCGTCATAAAGAGGCGGAGATAAAATTCAACGAGCTAACGGCGCGTCGAAACGAGTCTGCGCAAACCGGCCGGAATTTAGAGCGCAAGATTCAAGAATTGAAGGTGTGCCAGAGTTTTCACAAATACTATCCCGCTATACTGACGAGGGTATGCAGCGGCAAGAGTCTCACCTACACCAGCAACTCCGCACCATTAAAACCGCACGCGATGCGCTGCAAGATGAGGCTAACGAAGCACTCCCAGTCGGCGTGCAGGTCCTTCAGCAGGAGCTTGAGGCCGCTGAAGAGGAGCAACAGAGTCTTATCTCTCAGTTCAAAGAAGTTTCTTTACAAGAACACGCCGTTAATCTCGAGCAGAGGCCTCTCATCGAGAAGCACAATCAAGTCAAGAGTTTGATCAGGGATTATAACGGGCGCAATGCAGAGCTAGTGGTGAGTTAGGCTGCGGCACGCTGAGCTGTAGGTTGCCTGAAGTATGATGTAGGGCACCATGCAAAATGCGACCGAGAAGCGTCTAAGTGCGCAAAGTGACATGGGCCACTGGGCCAAGAAGCTCGAAGACGAACAGGCGAAGATCACCGCTGCGGGCGAGGTCGTTGACCAAGTCCAGATGGAATTTAAGGTGCGCATTCTAATCTTCTATGAAAATTTAATGCTAACACCACGACTTCAGGAATGGTCAGAGAAGGCTCAGCGATTCTGTGAACGCATCGAAAACCCGCGTAAAGTGCAAGATATTCAGCGCCAGTTGGAGTCTGTGCAAAGGGCTCTGAAGGAGCGCGAGAAAACGTGAGTGAGCCCTGTCACTGCCAACACCTACGCTGAGCGTCTGTTTGTAGGCAAGGTGCTTCCGTTGAGCAGATGGCCATCGAAGTCAACAAGAGAAAGGCCGCTCTAGACAACGCCAAGCGGGAGCTGCGGACGATGCTTCAGCTGAACAAAGTATGCCTGTCGTGTTACATTTCGTTCATGGGCACGATACTGACATTCTGTTAGTCTCTACGCAAGTCCATTCGTGTTCGTCTCGCCAGATGGCACGAATTCCGTCGCCACATTGCGCTCAGATGCAAGATCTACTTTTCGTACCATCTCTCGAACCGTGGTTACTTCGGCAAAGTCCTCTTCGACCACGTTGGAGGCACTCTGCAGCTTAAGGTGCGACGAAATGGTAAGAAAGCCTTGTTGTACGCGCTCACGACAGCTTTCAGGTGCAAACAGACGATCAAGCCGGAACACAGGGCGGCAACCGAGAGAAGGATCCGCGGTCGCTCAGCGGAGGCGAGAAGTCGTTCTCGACCATCTGTTTGCTACTCTCGCTGTGGGAATCAATCGGCTGTCCCATCCGCTGTCTTGGTGGGTGCACCGTTAGGATAATAACATGCCCTGCGGCTAACTAGTGGTAGACGAGTTCGACGTATTCATGGACGCCGTCAATCGGCGTATCAGCATGCGGATGATGGTGCGTTGCATAATCACGCGGTTCTCGTGCGATATGATTGACGTAGCGTACAGATCGACACTGCCAATGCCTCGGACCGCAAGCAGTACATCCTCATTACGCCACAAGACATGACAAATATCCAAATTGGCAAGACGGTGCGTGTGCATCGTATGTCCGATCCCGAACGTGGACAAGGCTTGCTGTCATTTTGAGGGCAATAGAGCTCTCTTGCATTAGAGTCACTGTATTTATCATAAGTAACTCGTATTCCTCACCGGAAAGTTTGCACGGAGCAAAAACCGCGGACACTTGCGCATTGGGTTCGCGAGCCAGCCGTCTCTAATCGAGCCCAGGGACCTTTGTTCCTCGAACACGCCTGATGCAGACGTTCTGACGTCTCCAACGAGCCTACCTTCAAATTGCCTTCCGGCCCCCTCTACGGCCAAATGTCTGGATTTGATTTCGCTCGGCGTGAGTTGGAAGGTAGAAGATGAGCCGTGGCAAGAGCTTACGAGATGTCATACATCTCCCCGTGGACGACGACCTATCTGTCAGCGTGCCATCGTCCGTACGCATCCAGTCCTGATACTGGAAGCATATCGCGGAGACTTCTCCGCCGGTTTCTGCATCATCATACGAGAGCGAATGGTAGTTGGCTTGCCAGTCTGCCTCCGATTTGTGACAGTAGCTTCTTGCCCGCCCCCGTATATTGTACGGTGTTACTTCATGTCTCTCTGCCGGCTCGCCCGGTCACTGCCCGATGAATGCCACTGTTTTATGCCCCCGTCGTCAACGAGAAAGTAGGATTAGAGCCACTCCCATCAGGAGAAGCAGTTGCAAAAGGGTCTGGCGAGACAAACGGTTGCGTTGCCGGTCGCCTTTGATCTGGACGCCCATTTAGACGCCCTATACTGTTGTCTTCCGCCCTCCAGTTGTGCTCCTTTCCTCTCAAAGCTTCGCCTCCGTTTTTCGAGGCATCCGGTCCCTACCCTCTGTCGCTCTTTTCTCTTCCACTCTTTTTTTCGCGCTATCGACGATTTTATTGTCGCTGACTGTCACCGATAATGTCCAGCAACGGCCTGTATTCGACCCCACCAATCGGCAGCAGGCCGCCTTTTGCCACCGATGACGACCACCTCTATGACGAGAAGACTGGAGAATCTACTCGTCGTCTGAAGCAGCCTTCACCCACAGATCCGAATGCGAGGACCTCAGCATACAACACGTACGTCACGTCGCGCAAAGGAACGGCGCTAGGCTGACCAGCGGTTCGGACAGGTACGACTCCTATTTGGACGAGTCCAGGCGCGACTCTGGTGCAGGTGCGCTCGGTGCGGGTATGATGAACGACATGGACGACGACGACGACGACGACAATCCGTTCGACGACCGTCATCGCTCGATGTTGCCTCCACCCTCGCCCCGGCAGCAGCAGAAACCGATACCCCTCGCCGCACCCAAGCCTGGTTACGCGGCACCCGTCTCTGCTCTGAGTATCAATCCACCCAGTCCGGCGGCTTCTCCAGTCGGCCGCCTGCCCTCTCCAAGCCACCCGCGACCGTTAATGCTCGTCAACAGCTTGAACAGTCCCAAGTCGCCCCGCCTGCCCTCGCCTGGGGGCATGGTTCCTGCGTCGCCCCACCCACTCCCTCCGACGATCACACCCATCCAACCGGTCTTTGCCCGTCCGTCCAAGTCGGCGGACGAGCGCGACATCAAGTTCGCCAACCAGGCCATCCTGCGTGGTGAAAAGGAAGGGGGTGTATTGCCCAAACGTGGAGAAAACGGTGATGATTTCTGGCGGCGCTTTAGCATGGTCGTCAAGGCGGAGAGTAGCCTACCAGCTGCACAGAAAGAGAGGTGCGTCCGCCCTACATCATATGCCGTGTGTATTGCTGACGCGCATGAAGTCTTTGGTTGCGGAAGACCCAGAACGGTACGACGCGCCTTACGCGATGGGTCTGGGTTATTGGTCTCTTGCTTCTTGTCGTAGGTTAATTTGTTGAAATATCCAGAGACTACTGCTAATAGCTATCGTAGTGCGTTGCAGGTGGTATCGGCATCGGTATGTACATCAACAGCAAGAACACGACTCCCGATGCGCCAAAGGCTATCGGAGGTAGCGCCAACGAAAAGCTCCAAACCACGAGTTCGTCTGCAGCTTCAGCTCCTGTGGGTGCCACCACAACCTCCTTCCATGTCTCGCCCACATTCACGGTCGCACGCCGTGACGACGCGCCACTCCCGACGGACGTACCGCTGTCGTTCGTCCATATACCGAAGCAGCCGTCAAGCTTGTCTGATGATCACCTCGTGCGCGCCGTGCCGCCGTCACGGCATCGTCGCGCGCATCTGAACCGTACAAATGATACCTAAAGCTTTTCAGTCCAGCCTAGTCCCGTCTCGTGCTCGACTCCAATGACATTCATGTGGACTGCACCACACACCTATTCTGCCTGTCCTTGCTCTCCGTGAATACCCCTCACCCTTCCTGTGCTTCATCATAGTGGGATACTCTTTGCTTACCCATTTTTTGACCACTGTATACCATCTTCCACCCAACGCCCTGCGCATGGATGCTTACATATCTTCGGACCTACTACCTTGACGTCGTGTATATATACACCTACACACTAGTCTCGTACTTACGCGTGGACTTCACTTACGGCGATATCTTATTCTATACCACCTAGACGAAACCATGGTGTTAGCTGAATATCTTCCCGTTGGTGTCGAGACGTCGGTCCGCATGTAATCATGCATATATATGGCAACCAGTTGCAGCGTCGATATTGCTGAGGTTAGCAGGGACCATACACGATGTGCAAGCCTCGGAGGTGAACGAGGTGCTAGCGGATTAATTACCTGGAAGACAGCGCAGTATATTAACAGTTATAGGGAAGACGGGGGCTGTTATTGCTACATAATAGATAACGGAATGCATGTGCGAGGGAAATTATGCGATAGCAGCGATGAACCGGACAAGACGATGGTCGTATAGGAGCTTAATAGAATATATGCAATATGATAAAGCACGGGGGTGTATGCTGAAGGGTCAAGACCTACAGAACGAGACTGTTAATGGTGTCACCTCAGACGGTCCGCCTTGGTCTCCTCTGTAGCCGCAGAGGCGGGAGCTTTTGCCTTACCCTTGCCTCTGGTGCTAGCCGGCTTTGGCTTGCTAATAACCTCTCCGATGATGATCTCGTCGTCCGAGTCGTCGGCCGCAGCTTCGGAGGTCGCGCCAGACGGTACCGCCTCAGCTTCTTTGCGCTTCTGCTCCTCTCGCGTGGCCTTCTCTTTCTTCCAGACATCGGACAGGCTCTCTGCAGTCGCCATAAGCTCGTTGCGGAAGTTGATGACAGCCTCAGCGTCCCAATCCTGCTCGCGCTCTCTCGAGGAGTACTCCTTGGGTTTCTTGTTCTGTGAATACGATAGTGAGTGTCAGTGTTCAGGCAACAGGGCATCATGTACTTACAAGAATGATTTCCGTGGCACGCCTGGGGTCTTTCATGAAGGCTCGCACAAAGTGTATGAGATATACGCCGCAGTCGCAGAAGTTAGGTTGTGCGGGAACCTATGCTATATTCAGAATCGAATGGAAGCTAGCATGCAGCGAAGGCTTACAAGAGCGTGCTTCCTCCCAGGCGGTGTGGTATTCGCGGGGCTAATGCCTTTCTTGTCCTGCGCCTCCAGTTGCAGGTAGAGCGCCAAGTTGTTAGCCGCTGCAGGATGTTTCGATCCCAAGGAATCGAAGGTGAATATCCAGGTCCTGGTGACAATCAGCACTGAATCGGCTCCAGGAATACTTGGAAAACGTACTTGTTTGGATTGGTATCGCGCGACTCCGGCTCCGGGGGGTCCTCCTTCTCGATCTCGACCTCAACTTCCTCGTTATCTAGCTCCGACGGATGAGGAACTGCAGGTGACATAGCCCTTTCCTTCCCCTTCTTCGAAGCAGACGAATAGAATCGCGTGGCGGGTACAGCCACGGTGGCAGCGATGTTCGCAGCGTCCACTTCCATCGGTAGATCGTCTATCTCAACGATGTCGGGGCGGTCGTCCTCGGTGAGCAGGTCACCCTCGTCCACTGACTGCTCATCGAGCGTCGGGGCCATCGTTGCTGCTACCGAGTTGATGTCGACGACTTCCGGATGCCGCTCCGCGTCTACGTCCATCCGTGAATCCGACTCCGATGGCGGATACATCAGTCCACTGGCAGGGTCGTCGTTGAATAGAGATGTCTCCTGAGGCTCCTCCGGTGGCGAGATCGCACAGTCGTTCAGCAGCTCCTCGACACTGTTCTCCTCGGCTTCATCCCCGGTTCGAGAGCGTGCTGGAGTCGTCTCCCTCGTGTCTGCTGTGGGTGCTCGTGGCGTGTCGTCAATATCTGGTATCTCAACGGGCCCGACGTCTTCCTCGCGCTTGCGCTTGCGCGTCAGTACTGAAGGTCCGACCTTGGGAGGTGGCGTGGGCGGTGTTTGCAAGATGTATTCTGGATTGCAGATAATTGCCAGGTACCAATGTAGACTGTCGCATCACGTCAGCTTCAAATGGCAGGGGGGCACAAACAAATCGTGGGCTTACTGTTCGTTGATGGGTACAATAATATACTTCTTTTTGAACAAGTCGAACTTCGACGTCCATTTGCGCACACTCTGGTATCCCATTTGTTTGCTAAAAGTACCACTGCGTTAAAGATGTCAAGACATTGGTACGCTGCCGTTACTCACTCTTTCACATTCAACTTCTTGTAAAAAAACGAGCTGAAGACATGCACTTGATCCGCCAATTCAGGATTCTCCTCGCGATAATCATTAAGCCAGAGCCTAAGCCACTCATAAGTAATCGCAAGAGAGACAAAGATCCAGTAACATACTTGAGACCAAATTCTATGAGCGTGTCATTGAGGTATTGCCCTGGCTCTAGCCGCTTCAGATCGCCTCGAGTGACGTTGATAGCGCCAGCGCTAGAAGGAGGATAAACTAGCACTCTGAAGAGGTAGTCAGAAACAACGTTCAGCTGTACATGCAAACGTCACCTACAATTCATCTGCATCCAGCACGGGCGAATTGCCTGGACTTTCTTCGCGCAAACCCTCTCTATGCCCTCGTCGAGCTGTTCTCCGTGATGATCGCGTCGACGACTGGGCGTGTAAAGTATCTCTGTCCCTGAGCTACGATGAGCGATCGCAGAACATAGACATGCATATCACTTACACAGTAGCACGTCTAGGTACGTAACTGGAAAGTCTTAGCTGATTATCGTCCTCATCATCGGCGCGTGGGGGTACTCTTGAACGGGACCGTCCTGGACTGTCGTGGTTTACGGTGGTTGGTCCAAGCAACCAATCATCAAGCTTGCCGTCTGATTCGTCATCCTCTTGATGGTTAAATGTTGCTAGTTCCCAAATCTTTGTTGACGCGGACAGACTGAAACGGTTCAGCTGGCATAGTGAGCTAGCTATCAAGCCGTACTCACGTCACGAATTCGCAGGTCGAAGCCACTTTCTCGATTTGAGCGATCAGTTTCTCGTAAGGCTTCCCATCGTCCCAGTTTGGATGTTTCCTCTGGAACATGAAGGTCAATGTACCGTCTAACCCATGTGCACCTGATCTAGTCAGCTTGACAGATAGTGTAGCAGATATCAGAGCTGCATACCATGCCTGAAAGGCCCTAAATTTAATTCTTTGTCTTTTCGCTTGGCCTTACCAGTTTGCATTTTCATGACAACCGGATTATTGGGGTCTAAGGGGTGAGCTGAGCACTGTAGGAGTTATTAGATCGCCTAACCTACCCATGATCGCAAAATACCTACCGTCACAGCCCCTAGTCCGTCGCTCACGCGTATCGAGAGCTTAGCTTGCCGGCTCTCCACCGGGGATTTGACTTCCAACTTCTGACCGTCGAAGCTGATCCAATACTCGTGGCCATAATCCTGGACTAGTTGCCTACCGAGAACCCAAGCCTCGAGAGGCAGAAGGATCGGCGATGACGACGACATAGCTTTCGCTGCCTGCGCCCTTGACCTAGGAGGAACTTCTTCCTTGCTAGTGCTTGCCAACGACTGATAGCCAGAGGACTGCAATAGCGGGTCTGGCTATGTCAAGGCATCCAAATTAAAAGCGCATATGTGAGCAAAAGAACTCGGTGAACGTTCGCGAACGTACCTGTAATGTCGGTGTTTTGGGCTTCATCCTGTTCTTCAATCCTTCTGCCGGAGCGCTCACCTTGGTTCTGAGGTCGATCATCTTGACCTGGTTTGGTATGGCGGCCGTACGCTCGTTGCTGATCTGCCGGATGATCTGCTTAGGGTCAAACTCCTGTGAGCTCTCGATGCGGGACACTTCTTCTGCCACCTTGCCCTTTGCGATGTTCAATATCGAGAGCTGCGGTTGTGAGAATAAAGGACCATTGGACTGAGGGAAGATAGAAGCATACCGTAGGAGACGCTTGGCGGCGGTATGCAATGCTCGGTCGTAGGGGCAATAATCCTTCTCCTGCGTGATCATCGGGTGGGTCCGAGCTATCGATTTCCACTGGTAGAGCACCGCCGTCTACGGGCTCGTCGTCGACAACTTCAATAATTTCGGACGGACTGGCTCTCGTCGTCCGTTTTACTCGTCTCTTCTCCAAGCGTTGCGTTGCGTCACCATCTTGAGGCAGGGTCCACTTGGGCCGCTGCACGACAGGTCGAAAGGGCAGGGGATTCCGGGCAGACGAGCTGGATGTCGCCGAGCTACGGCGGGAGTGGCTTGGCTCGTCGGGGAACAAACCAATCTCGTCAGGACTCTCCGTACGCGCCTTTCGTGCGACCGGCTCGCCGGTATCTTCGTCGTCGATGTCAATGACAGGCTTGAGTGCGCTCGGATTCTCTTCAGCATACACGATCAGTCACAAGCAACGCAAACGACCGGCCCGCATATCACAACCAGCAATACTTACTCGGCTGGTACATGCTCGGAGAGTACCTTCCATGGGTCCGAGGCCGCCTTATGCCTCGCTGACCCGTGACGCCCCCTTGGTTGCCGAGGGGAGTCTTGGAGGCAGTGTGATTCCCGCTGGTGTGCGGCTTGTTGCTCAGCGTGTCTTTCATCCTGCCACCGGCGAATGGGTTTGGGTTTCCGAGAGACCTCTTTGACTTGTCACAAGTATCATACGTGAATTCACTGACTGCACATGTCGGGTGCTGGTGAACGTACATTGCTCGGAACAGGTATAGGCGTTGGCTGCGCTTTCCACATACTACAAGTCGTGGTCAAGTAGGTGTTTTTTCCTCACATTGTTTGTACACACCCTTTCCCTGACTCTGATCCAGGGGCTCGTTGATTAGACGCGTCTCTCAGGCTGGAAGACACTGAGTACATGTCCACTCCGTGGCCTGTTGCGTAAAATTGGGTCGAGCTAGAGTCTCCGTGCATTAGAAAGGGCAGTGAGGCATGTGTAAAATTGGAGAGGTGGCGTGCTCAGACTCGGGCAAGAAGCAGAGTCGACAGGCGGCGAGATGGCGGGACGGCGAAGAGGTCACTCTCAAGCCTGGCCAGGGTCGTCTGCAATTACACGGCTGAGGGCCCGTGATCGCTTGCCTTTTATGGAGAAGGCGGTGGGCCCGAGCGGGACTCAACGCAAGCGTCCTCCCACCTCCCCGACGACTACACTCAAGGAGAGGATTGATGTCTATTAGCAAAGTTCAAACTGCGTAGAGGTACAGCGGCGACGAGGGGTCACAGACAAGTATAAAGTCCGTAGTGAGAGAAGCGGGAGAGCACCCGAAGAGTGGTAAACGATGGAAGAGAAATCGGGAGAAGATAATGCAAGGGCGATGTAACATTACATGCGGATGCGTTGCGTGTAAAGGAATTGTTCGAAGTCATAACGTCGTAACCGTGATAATCATGTGAGACAATGCAGTATACATGGGGGATATATGATGTGCGGGGTAATGCGAGCGAACGAGATGGCAGAGCGTCGAGGTGTGCGTACGAGCACTGAGACACGATGACACTAGCAGCCATCATATTTTGAGTTTCGCGGGAACGTGTAGCCTGCTTGGTCCCAGGTGGTGAGATTAGGGTTGTTGTACGCGTTGGCGTGGCTGCAGCGATATGAGTATGGAAAGATAACAAACAACTGCGTGGGTCACATACTTGTTGATGTAGTCCGTTGTTGGGTAGGATGGTGGATTGCAGCCAACACCATTTTTCACATCCGACCGCTGGTATACACGCACATAGTCAATGTACATCTTCGACGGAAACTGCAAGTGTTTGAAGTCCTGCGCCTGGAATGACGCTGTATACGAAACTCGCTCAGTACACCAGAAACTATGAGACAGGATAGGTACACTTACGCGACATGCCCAAGTTCAGGATGATGTACTGGTAGACGAGTATAATTAGCACCAAGCCAGCGGAAGGCTGCTCTTGAATAGCTGCTCACCATCGGCTCTTCGGGGACCACCCGCTGGCTGACCTGGGAGACAGGGTCGGGCCCAATCGTCTGTGCTGTAATCTTCCACGACGGCTGGCCCTGACTGAACCATTGGATATATCCCGCATCGCGGTCGCTGGGATCCGACCACCACTCGTATCCGTATGTTGCATAACCAGCATTGTTGTAATTGCTGCTGCTGATATCCGTCACCGCGGAGATAGCTTGCTGGTAGACGCCACCTTTGTAGCTGTTGAGGGTGGTTATCGAGGGATCGGAGATGGTTGTCGCATCCGAAGAGTTGTCAAACTGGTAGTTTATATTGTATGGCGCCGTCTGAAAACTCTGAGACGCCTGGCCCGTGAAGCTTGAGACGTCGACCTGCGTCTCAAAGATATCGATCTCGGGCACGCCGCGACCGACCGAGACGTCTGGCCCAGGGTGGTCAGAACCCGGGCACGTACAGGCGGAGAGACGCTGGCCGGGCATGAAGCTCAGAGGCCCACCGCCGATGCCTCCAGTCTGCACAGCGACAGGGGTGCCATCGGGGTTTGTCTGGTTCGGGAAGGTGCCGAGATCACAGGTGTCGTAGCTGTACGGCCATGTGCCTTCCGTCGTAGCACCATAGCCAGCACGTCCCTGACAAGGAGTGAGTGTGGGCAAAATGAAGTCCGCGGTCATCACGTACCAAGTTGCCCATCGTCCAGGCACCGGGCCACAGACCTGGAGCTAGTGGTGTACCGGGCATACTCACGTTGACCTCAATGTAGCCTGTTGTAAAGCAGAACTGGTTCCATGACTGCAACATGCCGCTGCGGAAGTTTAAGTTGTGTGTTTCCACCTCGTCCATGGTGATAACCAGTTTGCCGTCTTCGGTCGCGAGTGCTTGCGGATCGTACCACTCAAGGTCGCCAGTTGGCCAGTAGTTGAGATTGACCGCTTCCCAGTATGGGTCATCACCCGGCCAGAAAGTCCGGCCGTCCACGTTAAACTCGTCGCTGAAGACAAGGTTATACGTCTTGCCGTCCGTGCCGACACGGGTCATGACGTCCGACGGGGTGTCCGCGTCGATGAGGGTGGGCATATGCGGGAGGTCAGGGACCTGCCCTGTGCGGTTGATACCGCCGAGGTTAAAGCCTGGGCCAGCGCTCTGGTTATCGCGCACAAATAGGATGATGGGGTATCCAGCGAAAAGCATGAGGATGCCAGCGACGAGGAGGAAAAGTGCGGAAGCGTTCATCCACCCTCGAGCGGAGAACAGAGTAAAAGAGCGGTCAAGTGCGGCATCGCGGATAGGATCGGGGTTGTGAAGGGCGTCGTCGAGGTCGGGATCCTTGGTATCCCACAGGTAAGGGCCGACAGTGCTGGTGGCAGCAGCAGCGCCAAGCATGGGAGCGGTGCCGGCCTTCTCTCGAGTGGTCACGACGGAGATCTCGGACTGTGTTGCGCTTGGGGCACCGCTGTATCCATTATTACTAGGCCCGTTGTTGCCATAGCGTGAAGCGGAATATTGATTTGTATGGACATTTGGGTGGTGCTACAGCTCAGAGGTTAGCATATGCAGCGCTTCACGGCGACCCGCTGCGCAGATAAAGTTTTAGACGCACCGAGTATGGCCCATAGCCACCACCTAGATGCCCTGTCGCTACTCTATGTGCCATCTCATCACGGTCGTCTGGTCGCGGCCGGTAGGTGCTCTGAGCTACTGTGGGCTGAGGCATAGCCATACTTTGGTTGGAGTACGAGCGGCCCTGTGAGCTTTGTCGGCTTTGACCAGTCGAGCGTGGACTCTGGGGAACAGCGTAGTACTGTTGGGAGGGCGGCGGGACCCGCCTCGTGTAGTTTGACATGGTGGTCAGGTCTCAAGGGTGTCAGTCGGAGCAGAGGCTGGAGTCAGCCTCAAAGTGGTTGTCGAGGTGCCACTTGGCGGTAAGCGCAGCAAGAAGTCGAAAACGTGGGAGACTCGCGGTTCCGTGAGAGACGAAAGGACAGACGGCGGTGCTCGAGCGACGGATAGAAAGTCGTGAGAGGGTCGACGAGAAAGTTGAAGATGGACTTCAGCGGTGGTGGCGGTGCAGGCGCTCTGTAATGCAACTTTGACCAGAGCTATCACCTCGTGTTCACCACCTGTTCCGGACGACCTTAGCTATAGGCGGTGGGATGACTGCGGGAAGCTGAGAGAAATATCTGCGGTGGAGTATCTTATACATCGTCTCTGACGTCGAGGGCTGCGGGCGGTGCGACTTGCGGCATCTCGGACGTCTCGGGGCGTCGGCGACGCCCTCGCTTACTTAAATTGGGCTGAACGTCATCGCGCGGGTTGTATGAACATCGCTACGGCATGCGCCGACGCCCTGGGGCATTGCAGCTAGTTTGCAGCCTCGCCTGAATCCGACGTTGTCATCACAATGGCGCGTCGTGGTAGGCGACGGTGGCCTAGGTTACACTCGTCCCACGATGGGTATGTGCTGTATATCGCTTCACCGCAGATGTCTGACCTCATGCACATGTTGCGAGGTACAGGCCCCAGAACTGTGGGTTCAGCTCGTCATAAGTACACGTGGCAGTTGAAGACTATCTCCGAAATTCCTTTTCAACTTCGCTGAGTGTCAATGATGTTCAAATTATATATTACTGTCAATGTCGACCGGACGCAGCATAACGACAGCTTCCAGATCCATTATCATCTTAGCGGTGTTGCATTGCACGGAGGCTTGCTGCTCATGCGCAGAGTCTCGTGCCTACTCAGGCATAAAGATATTGCAGCCTTTGTCATCAGGGATGTCTCGATGTTGTCCTGTAAGCCCTGCTGCATTGCTGTAGAAAGCGACATTCTTATGCGTAAGTGGCTGACGTCTTACGCATACTGTTCAGTTGGCGACCCTCGTCTTTGTATCCTCGCCATCTACCTTAAGGTCTGCTTGGCTTTTGCTCTGCCATAAGCGGGGATCACAACTGCTTTATACGAACGGAAACATGAGGCCTGCACGTGTTGTAAAAGTAAGTTCGTATAAAATCCCACGTGAACTTGGATCCTCACATTCATCTCCACTAGCACGAAGACTACCGAACGACCCACATGAGGAGCCATGTCAGAGGTGCAGGCCAGAGTGTGTAGGAAGTGCAACACTGCCAGACATGCCGTTGACAAGTTTCTGGTGACTTGCAAACACTGCAAGCGCCACTGGCATCACTGTGCGTCTGCATCCTGGTGATACGTGTGCATGCTGAAGTTGCAAGGGGTTTCCCAGCTTGTCTGGAGCCTGTCATAAGCGAAAAAGACCTGATTGCGTTAATGAGAGAAATTAAAAAGGATCCGTCTCGAGAGTTCGAAGTCTGGTCCTGCCGTCGGTGTGAGCTGCGACACAAAGGTAAAGGACGCAGTGTTGTGGGTTTTATTAGTGCTCAAGTTCTCAATATAGCGGCGCGCACCACTGTAACGGCAGATGGCGACAACGATATCCAAATAATCGAGCCGCCCGCAGATATATCTCGTGGAAATCTGGACGTATCTCGAGGGACGTCTTCAGCACGTCCAAGCACCGCATCGTCTCAAGCGTCAGATCTGGCGCAGCTCTCTCTGAGTTCATCTCATGCTCCCGCAGTTGCTCTACCCGCGGTAGTGGGCGAATCCATCCAGTTAGACGATGATGACGATATCGTCGCGTTGTCAGGTCCGGTCGCCTGGATGCCTGGGACTGCTCAGCGTTCTGCTCCACAGGATATCCGGATCGCAGAGAAGATCCCTGAGAGAGTTGAAATTATAGACGAACAGAGGATGCCCACCCCTTCCGTGCCTCGCGCAGCCGGGACTACATCATCACACCTACCGCACAGCATACACGCTGAGAAGGCTCCCACGCAGCCTTCGCAAGCCGCCTTATCGGCGGGCAGTGCAACCAACACGACGTTCCAAAAATATCGGTCACCTTCCAGTAAATCTGCTGCGGGCCCTATCATATCCCCGGCGTCTCCCCAAAGCACCACCGCTGCCCCATCCGGCCGTATGGTAACGAACGAGCCCGGCATTTCCAGCTCACCCCACAGTTCCTCTTCCAACGTGAACTTTGACATTCGCGCCCAAATTGCCCAAATGCGCGCAGATGGCCGATTGAATCCACCTCCATCCATACTTAACGATATACTACTTCCCAGGACGTCCGCGGCCTCGTCCAAAACACTCGTTACGCCGCAGTCGGAACCGGAATCGGGGCGCGCAACTACCGAAGACACGGTGCATGAGGTTAAGCTGGAGCGACGTGAAAGCACAGAGGACCTGACGATGCAGATGCGTTCTGCGAGTGTGAAAGATTGGCAGTTTGCTTCCAGCTCGCTCCCACTCCTTTTACGCAGAGAGCGCGCTGTGGGCTCCGGAGAGGCTCAAGATGAATTAGATAGAGCTTTGGAGCTGCAGGACCGAAGAGTCACGAACAAGCAAGAAGGTTGTAGAGCAAGGGAAAGAAAGGTCCGCAGCGAGAAAGTGAAGAAACTTGGTCCGAAAGCAAGGGCGAAGAGAGAACAGAAGGAGGTGCAGTGGGTGCTTCCCCAGTGATATTCAATCGAGCAACGTGTACTTGTAGTCTTGATCTGAAATCTATAAATGCCAAGCCGACACGGAGGTGAAGGCGCTGAGCGCCAGCTTCGTGGCGTTCGGGGTTGGCCGGACGACACAGCGTCTCCACGGCTGAGTGGAGGACCGCTGTGACACATCGCAAGTACAAAACATCATATGACCTTTAAGAAAGCCGCACAACCCACGCACAACATCCTCAATATCGCTCAATTTGTCATATGCTCGACTGATAGGAAGGTGCCTGCATTAACGCCCTCCGTGCCCCCACGGCACCACTACCGTTGTAAGACCAATTATCCATTCAAACTATATCGCTCTTAGAGTACACAGGCCAGATAGTCAGAGGTGTTGAAGGGTATATAACGATATATGCGTGGAGATGTAAACGAAAGACAAATTTGGACCGATGCATTAGTCATAAATAGGCAGCGGCATGAGTCTGCGGGAACGAAAGTCAGAGATGCTTGCGAACCAATGAATGGCTACACACCTGTCGGCATTGAACAAGAAATTGTTCGCAATATCTTCTCCTTCCAAGAAACGATTCGGGTATATCACTACGTGCCTCCTCTCAGCTTCTGTCGATTAAATAACAAGACGCCCATACCTAAGTGACCACGAAGCTCCTGGAGCAAACGTTCCATTTCTTCTCGTTCTGCTTGATCAAAAGGCTCAGGACTGCGAGAAGCCTTGCGAGTCCTATTTGCCTTGTCCCCCTTGTCCTGAGCTGGCGGGTCGGCGCTTGTAGGAGTGATTGGCGCGCCGGGATCTTTGCCGTCGCCGTAGTCTCTACTCTTCGTTGTACCAGACTCTTCGTGTACCGCCGTTGAATCTACTGCAGCTGCCCCAGGTCCAAGAGAATCGCCAGTTTCTGACGGGACACGACCGACCGGCTCGGGACCGGATTGGTCGCGGGCCTAATTGCATTCAATTCAACACTTCCGTGGATGCATGCACTTAGAGCTCACCGGTCTGTTCAATCGCTCGTGGTGGACGATGAACTCCTTGTACTGCTTCCAAGTTGTGACTATGTCGTCCGGGATAGCATGGAAGACCTTTCTGTAGATTTCGGTCTAGAGGGGGGAAACGGTCAGCTCGGCCGACCGAGGATGCATGTGCTATGGTGCTTACATTGTGAACCGCACAACCTAGCCAGATTTTCTTCCAAAAGGCATCAGATATCGGGTCTTCGAAGCCATGAGGGTCGACATGCGGGGCCGGTGTCGGCAAAATCCATTGCTTGGAGGAACTAAGCTTTGCACTGAGGTTTTTGCGAATGGTCTTCCGCGCGCCAGGAGCCTTCTCCTCGTCTTCGGTATCGTCTCCATCAGAGCGAACGCCTGGTACCCTATCGTCGCGCTTCGGGTCTGAATTAGCTGGCGCACCATACAGCTGATCCCCGGCGTGAGCCGCTGGTGGACCATCATGCGGGTCGAGTCGAAGAGTCCCATTTGCTTCGGTGCCTTGACGGTCACTGGCATCGCCATTGGTCGCATTCTTCGCGTCGCCATTCTGTTTCGGTGCTGCGTCGCCGTTTTGAGCCTTGGCGCCGCCATCTTGAGCCTTAGCACCGCCATCTTGACGTTCGCCGCCATGTGAAGGATCTGCGGTGCCGTTTTGATTGAGTTTCGGCGCCTCCTCCTCTTCCTTGATTTGTTCCATGACGAGCTTCTCTTCCAAGGTAGGCACTACTGAGCTTGTGAACCCATGCTCCTTCTCGCCTTCTCGCGTGAATGTCTGCCGTTCCTCTTCGAGCGTCTTGTCCGACGCCATAGTATCTAGGCCCTTGGTCTTCAGCCCAGTCTTGCGAAGTAACATGGCTGCATCCTTGGCTTCGACATCTCCAGTGCCGTGTATAGCTGCTGTCCTTTAACATCGAAGATGGCAGAGCAAGACTGAGTGGACTGACCTTGCTCAGCCGCATCAATAGTATCGCGCGCCAGCGACTTCAAACCAGACCTTCGCTGGCCATGGCCGATATGCGTCACACCATGGTCTTTACCGCGCTCCTGCTCGACCTCCGGATCCCACTCCTCAATCTCGTGCGGCGCCTTAACTGGCGAAGCTGCCATCAGATCTTCCTCGTACATCGCATCGACGTCTACACCAAGGTGCTCGCGCATAAGTCGGACGCGAAGACTGTGTGCAAAGCGGCCGACTTTGAACGGCTTGCCAGCCATGGTGCTAGTGCGAGATAAGTGACCGCACAAAACAGGGAAAGGGATTATCGCTCACCATTCGATCATATCTGTATCTCTGATGACCGCCGCAATCTCGGAGTCACGATCCCCCCGCATGGAACGCTCGTTGATGTTCGCACTGCCGATAATAGCGAGGCGGTCGTCGACAATCAAAACCTGCCGAAGGTCAATATGATAATCGCGAAACCAGTGTGTCCGCGCTCACCTTGCCGTGAATGTACACCTGCTCCGTGGTCAGAACGTCCCCGCGGAGCTTGGCCCAGTTGCGCAGCGAGAAGAATGAGATGTAATCATCGGGCTAGAGTGGTTTAACTGAGTGTCCCAGTCACCAACTTATGCGACTCACGTCAATACCTTCTTTCCTCAGACGAGCGAATATGGAGTTGGGTCCTCGGCAGATGGTGCGATTCTGGCATTCGAGGATGATCCGAATCTGCGCTATGTCAGCGATAGTCGCTCCCAAAATCTCACACGATAGACTCACGGCGCTTGCATCACTATGGTCGACGGGGAAAGTGAACCCGGGCAAAAGGGGGATGACGATGCATACTTTGAAAGGAGTGTGTTGCTTGTGTGCACGAATGATTCTGTGGACCAGCGCGTCTCCGATCTTGTTCTCAATTTTCACCTCATTAACCACGGTTCTGCGAGCTGTGAGCAGCCGTACAGCCATTGGGAGCTTGATTAATACGTACGAGGTGATGAAAAACTGGTTCTCGATGTAGATGAAGTGCTCGGACATCTGAATGGCTGCGAGGCAGTGAGTCGAGTCACTCCTACGATGGGTAGTCTGGTACCTTTCAAATAAGCGTTCTGAATAGAAAACTCAATCCTGTCCGGCGTGCCAAGCGACCACACCCCGGCCGATCGACAGATCTGCAGTTCGCATGTGCCGGTCAAGCCAAGGGTGTTGAGCTCCCCTGGTTTAAATTCTGAAGGAGGGAGCAGGGAAGGCATAGGTCGCGTATGGTTCTATATATCACGCATTAAACTCGAGATGAGAATCTGCCTGCATGTGTGCTTACCTTGATGCGGAGGAGATAATTCCAGCTAAATTATAACAATGAGATACCAAAAGTAGCGCCGAGAGTGGAAGACGCCATACCGCTGCACAAAATGACGAGCAAGGTCGCGAGCCGGCTGACCAACAATTTGCATGGAGACGTCGTGCCTGAAAAGTATTTGGGTTAGGCTGACCAATGTCGTAGCGACAAGACCCTCACCAAGGCATGCGAGGAACCTTCGACCGTTCGTACATGTCATCGAAGGGCTTGCTCAGAGTGTGGAAGTCCGTCACGCGCGGATTGCTATAATCCTTGCCTAGTCGAAGCAATACACGGTCAGAAGGTACGCATAGCGAGGCAAGCAGGTACGCTCGCACCTGGCCAAATGATGTCTGCGGAGTCTCCGGTCTCTGGATCATCGACAAGCACATGCTGCGGGGTGTCCCACCTTAAGTCCACTAAGCTGCCGAACTGACCCATGAATTCGTGGGATCTTACCGTCCAAAGCACGCATCAAGACCACCCATGAAGGCAATTGCTTGGTCAATGACACACATCTTCTCGTGCTACAATAACAGGGCGAAAAAGTCAGTATGGAGAGATGCAGAATGGAGCGATTATTCACATGTGCCCAGTAGAAGGTGCCAGTTTGAAAGTGAGAGGGCGACCGCTGCACCATGATATTCGGATGCAATGAACTGAGCTTTTGCTTAGCGTAACTGAGAAGGTATAAGCCTCGGGAACACTGCGAAGAAGACCGCCTCTTACTTGCTGTCAGTCGGAGTCGTGCGGCTCGACACCTCTTGACTGGAAAGGGAAATATAGGTGCGCATGGTCGCTAGGACGTTGATAGTGGGACATACTATAAGATAACGTAGATCTTCACGCCTTCCTTCGCTTTCCTCTCGAGGAGATTGTCCAATCGATACTTCTCCATATTCGGCCGCCGCAATTGCAGCTCTTATGGTCGTCGCGATCAGAGGAAAGTGGGCTACGGAATCGGGAGATCGTACCTGGTGAGAGCCACCAGTCATGAATGTAGATGGACTCCTTAGCCAGAAGAATCGCCCGCGAAAGATTCCAAAAGTAGTCGCGCTGCTCATGAGGTATGAGTAAAGGCTCACACGCAACAGCATTTGGTTTGGGCTTACGCCGTCTACGAGCCATTGCGCAGCCACGTTGAGTCGAATAGGCGCAAAACTGTCAAATCGGTTCTTCCCCGTGTAGTGCGACTCTCGCGCAACGCGCTCCAGGGCAGCGATCCACTGCAGCATTTGGCGCTACGGAGGAGTCAGCACAGGTGTGTCACCCCGCCGAGTCACCTACCTCGTTACGAGCGAACAGCTTCAGCCGCATCTGCGAATTCTCGATGTAGAACGTGTGCTTCGAGACATCAGCGTGCTGCTTCTTCTTGTCCTTCGCAGCGCTCGGGTTCTTGTCATTATGCTCATCTGGGCCGAGCAGCGGGTTCGTATTTGTCGACGGATCTAAGATGGGCGTGATCTGGCGCGCCAAGCGGTTGCCTTCGTCTTCGGAAGCATCTGCGAATGACGGCGAGCCTTGGCGCTCGCCGCGTTCCATGGACGGCTTGGGTGCCTTCATGCTGCTGCCTCCCGAGCCGTCGCGCTTGTGCCCAGCGTGGAAGATCTTGGAGATCCGGGATCGGATTGACCTGCCCGATACGCTCGCCGTCTCGTGTTTCTCAGGCTTGTCTGCCTTCTCTTCCTCGGTGGTAGCCTCAGGGTGAGTAAGGAGGTTCAACCCTTGACGATAGTAGCGTTTTGGACGCTCGATCATGAAGTCAGTGTCGATCATGAAGACGTCGTGCACAGTCAACTAACCGACGGCAAGTCGGGTTCAACACCTCTGAAACAGTGAAGAACATTTAATGGTGACACACCTCTCCCATCTCCTCGACAACAACGAGGTAGCTCTCGCGCACAGCACACCACCTCTGCTTCTTCTTGTCCTTCCAGCTAGTGCCCCGCTTTCCGAAGGGCCCTTTGTTGGTGACAGCCTCTATCTGGAGGAAGCCGGCCTTGTATTGTGCACCTCCAGATTGCGCAAGAGCAGTTGAGAGCGCGCTAATTTCCAGGAAAGCTGCCAGACGGTTTGAAGTAGGGTGGAACATCTAGAATCAAAGGAATGAAAAAAGCGACTTGCACGCATTCGAATGCCATACGTACCACTGCACGCATGAGACCAATGAGGTAATTCTCTAGTGCTTCGCGTTGCATTCGAGCAAAGTCTGCACGAGTAAACTCGCTACCGCGCTCCTTCAGAAAGTTGAAGTACGGAAGTCCTGTCGATTAGAATCCATCAATGTCCTTCCCACCATCGAGAGCTAGGGACGTACCAGCTCGCGGAAAGTCCGGCAGCGTCTCGACATAGCGATTATATGCGTTGGAAAGTGTATAATGCGTGTGCAGAGAAAAAAATTCGCGGAGCTGGCGGTACACTACCCAGCGCGCCGCGCCATTGGCGTACTCGCACTCGATGCGGAAGACGGCCTTGTGCCCGTGCAGCGGGTGCAGGCTGTCGCTGACGCGGATGCGGAGCCGCTGGAAGAGGATGGGAACGCGGCGGAGGCCCTTCTCGTCGCGCTCGAAGTAGAGGCGGAGCAGCAGTGCGGAGAGGCCGCCGGCGATGAGCTCGTCGGTGATGTTGACGGACTGCGGCACGACGGCGGACGAGCCGGGGGTCTGCTCGCGCCCCTGCGCGGCGATGTACGGCAGGAAGGAGCGGAGACGGGTCCACTTCATCGAGGTGCTCGCCTTGCCGTCTTGCTTAATGTGAGACATGGACCGACTCCGGCCGGCGCTGCCCAGACGAGGAGACGTCGGCGGGGAAGCAGGCGTCGATTGCATGCTCTGAACACGACCATGAGGAGGCTCTGGGCTGTTTGTGGTTTCTGGGCTTTGAGGGATTGGGCTTTGAGCAATTGGGCTTTGAGGGATTGGGCTTGAAGGGCCAGGGCTGTTGGTCTCTTCGCCTTGGTGACGGGAGTCTCTGAGCCGAAGAGCAAGAGGGAAGGGAGAGTGGTCTGCTCTGGGAGAATCTAAAATCCACTTGCTAGGGTGAAAGACATCGTGAAAATAGCCAATGCTCTCTCTCCGCCGACTCCTCCGCTCTGCCAGCTCTCTCTCCTTCTCCCGTTGCTCAGGATCCGAGTATTCGAGCGCGCCTCGAAAGGGCGTGTTGGGCGGGGCAAAGCCTCTAAGATGGTCGGGGTCTTCCCACTCCTCGTCCGTAGGAGAAGGAAGCCGGATGTGCGGTCGAGCATCTTGCTCGTCGCCCGAAGTCTCGCGGGAGGTCGGACGGGAGCCAGCAATGCCGTAGTTGTAGGAGATGGATCTCGGCGGACCAGTGCGGGCGGAAGGAGTGTTCACGGACCACCGACGACTTTGCGTGCTGGGCCGCGGACTGCGTGGCCACGAACTCTGAGATGTCGCGGCCTCATCCTGTTCATGTTGGCTGTCTGTGAGGTCGCTGGTTCGGGCAAGCGGAGGCGTCTGGGGGTGATGGCTGTCTCCATGGTCGGCGAGGTCTTGTTGTTTCTCATTGAGAAGAGCTTTCACCGTCTCATGAAAGCTATGAGGAGGCCTGGCAATGGACGCCATGATTATGTGGGTGTAAGGAGCGAATGGGTATTAGGGTTATTTGAGTACGGTTACAAAAGCGGCGTCGCAGCGTGCAGTGCCGAGAGCGCCTCATATACTCAAGACGTCATAGCACAAAGTAAGTCAAGGGGCAAACCGTAATACTCGTTCACCACACCGATTCGGGACAATTCATCAACAGCACATCAAGATTGCAGCTGACGAACGTTCACGCATTCACGGCTTGACGAACGTTTAGACATTCACATTTCGTCTCGTTATGAACAAGTCGAGTGATCATGGCGGACGGGAGTGCTACTGGGTACCATTGAACCGCCATCCGAAGTCGAACTTGAAAGTTTTAGGCGACAAGGTTTTAAGCTTGGCGTTACCCCGGCGTGCGTCATGGACCTGTGCACGCTTGTGCATGACGCCTACTCCAAATGCATATAGCGGTTTCGTACAATCTGACAAGAGTCCTGGCAGCTGTCACACCGTGCCTTTGCGCCAAGAGCTCCGTTTCACGTGCTATACATTATGCAGACTGAATGGTGCGGGGAACAAATGGACTAGTGAACCTATCGGAGTTTACAGTAACCCCTCATTACAGCCGCCAACGTCGTCCAAACTTCATATTTCCGGTCTGGTTGGAAGCATTACATCTAAGAAACAATTTTTTCCAGACATTACAGGCTCCCTGTGCAGTTACTAGTTAGCAGGGCAAAACGTGACCTGATAGTTGGCGTTGAGGGCAGAGTTGCACTTCCACAGAGCGGTTCCGCTGTTCTCGTCTGTGGTCCTCGTCAGACCAATGTCCAAGATACAGGGATGGAGACTTACCAAAGGCGTAAGCATACGAGTTGGGACAGTTGCTCTCTGGAAAACAAGGAGCCTGAGTCGCTGTGCAGCACGAAACAGACAGACAGTACTCACTAAAGTACGAGTAGTATGCGACACCAGACGAGGGACACGTCTCCACAGTGTTATACTGGCCAGAGCAGCAGTTCGGCGAGTTCGCTGGTAACGCGTTAGGATAGTTATGTGCACATGCGCGGACGATGCACTCACCGGGGTCGCCGTCAAGATTGGCCTCGCAAGCGCTCTTGCAGCCAACTGGGAAACCGGTCGAGTCGTATGGGCCCTTCAACGCGGCCGGGCCTTCCAGCGTATGAAGAATCTCAGAAGCGGTCTTTTGAACTGCAGAAATCACTTACAATTAGGACCGAGGTCGACCGGGCAGCTAGCAATGCCGCACCCTTGGTCGTTGTCGATGCGCATGGGCAGGTTGTACCCGTCGACAAGAGAAACTAGCATACATGGTTAGGCAAGAATAAGGCCATACGAGAACACTATGTACGCACCGTCGTAGTAGTCAAGATTGCCGCTGCCGGAGAGCGTGAACTCAGCCAAGGTAGCAGGTGGGACGCCCTGAGGTTAGCAAATGGAACGAGCCCTCAACGAGCAATTTGACTGACTACAGCACCTACCGTGCCTGTATGCGGGTCGCACTCGAGGCCTCCGTTACACCCACCATCAGCGCACTGAGTGGCGGGGTTGGGGTTGCTAAAGTCGCAGTCGCGGCGAGCCTGCATCGCAAATGTTAGTTTGGGGATCGTGGGCTGCCTCTGATAGCGTACCCAGATGCGTCCGGCCTGCCAGTTATTGGGGACGGAGAAGCTAACAGTGGTGTATGCGGCCGCCTCCCATCTAAAATATTCCTAGTTGATCAGTGCCACGAGAAGAAAACAACAGGAGTTAGGTACCCCGTGACGTAGTCCGGCGTGGCACTGCCAACGTTCAGATCAGTGAATATCTGTGAACCGTTAGTGAGGGAGTCGTTCTATTACGCGAACACTGGTGAGCTCTTACAGCAGGCCTACGATCAAAAGTCGTTAGCAGCGTATCGTGAACATCGAGCGGATATGCTCACCAGATCGTGAATGGGCAACCGTTGTAGACGGTGAAGGTACGCCCACTGACTAGGGTAGCCGAGAAGACGAGGAGGCTAGAGAGTGCGAGTTTCATTGCTGCTGGCTCGAGTGAGCGCGCGTAAGGGAGACCTAAGACCCCTGCAAAACGTACAGTTTTCGAACGGTATTTATACGCGGAGCCTTTACCCCATAAAAAATTCGCGACAGCTGAGAACGCGAAAGAGAGGTTGGGCGTTCCGATCCACAAGCGACGAGGAAACAAGATATAGAATAGAGAACGCCTCAAAGACGGCGCGGATCGGTCGGCCTTGCCACAGACCATGTGGGCAACATAGTCTATTTGACAACGCTGCACATGGACTTGCTGCTTAAAGGTTGTCTTTGGTTTTTCAAGGACAGTCATGCGGCAGTAGCTGATGAACGTAGCTGTGTATCCTCGGATGGGAGACGCTGAAGTCAAGTCAGGGGACATTTGCGGCGAGTTACCACCCGTCGGTCCCCCCAGGTGACTTGTTGATTGCACTGATCTCGGGTACTGTCAGAGATATGGCCTGCTGTCAAAGGAATCAGGCATCTCTTCATCAAACGCCGTCTTCAACACGCATCAGTGATATACAAATGGAAGCTGAGCTGTAGCGTCAGTTTATCGGATGTCCGGCGAGAATATCGACGACGAACATGTAATAGTGCACACCTTGTGCAGTACAAAAAGGGGATAGCAGCCAACCCAGCAGATTGACGACGTCGTCTCCAGCAAATTTATTGCCGGCGAGCACCATGCAAGTTTGAATCATGTGGGGCGACAAAAGATTAGGTTCGAGCGGACCTCCGCCCCGGAGAACAACCAGCGAGCGCATAGAGAGCGCTAGCCCTAGCTGCCGAAATACATCGGAGATATGACATTTAGTTCCTGTTTGGGGTTGCGCGAGTAGTGTTGTGGTTCGACTGTGCGGACCCCGGCAGCGCATCACGTGAGACGGCGGCTTTGTGGCGTTGCGTGGGAACTTACGGAGTGATCCGGGAGCGCGTTTTCCACTCTCGCCGCTCTCGCCCGCAACCCTGTCTTTACGAATCTTACAGGGGTGCGCTCAATAGGAGGCACAAATAGCAAGATTCGCCATACGTAAGTCGTGAATTCGTTATCTTGTGCCAAGCATCCAAATTCACAGGCAAGTGGTAGTACTTACGTCACTGCGCAGACTCACCGACAACTCGTCAATGTTTTTGAGTGCCCAAGCTGTAATGGCGGCCAACAAGCACTCAGGAACCTTCGCCATTTCCGTCATGCTCGACCCCACGCTCTTGCTTACATGCCATGTGATTGCTGAATGGATCTGTAAGTTCTGTCGTCCTTACCGTTTCACCCAGTGATAATCATGACCGTCGGTTCTATCGACCCCTCAGACTGCCTTCGAAGTGGGGCCCGGCTAGTTGCGGCGAGACAACTCCCCGCGATTGGCAGATGCGAGAGTCGGCCTACCCAGCCTCGCTCCACTCCGAAACTGGTTCTACTCCCGACGAACCGTACTTGTCAGCTGCCCTGCTCGAATGAATGGCTCCCTATCGGTTATCGCATTTCGGAAGCTGTGGGAGATTGGTATATATATCCACAAAACGACTGCAACTTGCTCAAACTCCTTCCCTTCTAACCCGCTGCTTATCCAAGCCATGTCAGCCAACATAACCGATCCGCTCAACCTCGGCGATCTCGTGGTCCGCAACAGGAACGTCATGGCCTCGCTCACCAGGAACCGTTCCTTGCCTACGAACGTTCCGAACGAAGTTAACCTCGAGTACTACCTACAACGTGCCAAGGGCGGATGCGGACTGATCATGTCTGAGGGTACACTCATCTCTCAGCAAGGCACGGAGTGGCCGAACGCGCCAGGAATCTGGAGCGAAGAGCACGTCGAGGCGTGGAAGCGGATCATAGATGGTGTGCACCAAGCCGGCGCGCTGATATTTTGCCAGGTACGGCGCCCCGTCTATCAGTCCTCTCGCTTCCTAACGTCGGCCTACACAGCTCTGGCACGTGGGGCGTGTCGCTCATCCGGACATGCCTGAGCAAAAGAAAGCAGGCAAGGTATGCCGGTTCCAAACGCAGGTCTGTATGACAGCTATTGACGCCCTAGCTAGCCTGTACCTGGACCCTCTGCTATTTCTGCCCGGGGTGGCAAATTTAGAACACTGCCCGGAAAACCGGGATACGTTACGGTAAGCATAATAAATATAGCCCCTTGCCATGGTCTAACCATCATTTTTCAGCCCACTGCCATCGAAGACCCGTGGGTCCTCGTAGAAGAGTACAGACATGCCGCCAAGATGGCGAAGAAGGCTGGTTTCGATGGCGTAGAACGTACGTTGTATTGCTTTTGGCGCGTTATCACATCTGATATCTAGTGGATGTAGTTCACTCGGCTAATGGGTACCTCGTTCATGAGTTCCTGGATTATACTTCCAACAAGCGCACAGACGAATGGGGTGGTTCCGTGGAGAACCGCTGCAGATTCGGTCTCGAATGCCTCAAGGTTCTCATAGATGTTTGGGGTCCCGCTCGCGTAGGGATCAAAGTCAATCCGTGCGGAGGCTACAATGACGTCGGGTATGTAGTCCGAGCTTGTTTTCTCGTCTAGTGCGCTCATCCCTTCGTAGAATGCCTCTACCCGACACCATCCAGACCTTCACCCATTACCTCACCCAAATCTCCGCCATGAAGATCGCACACGTCCAGCTCGTCCGCTACGTTCCGATCATGGACCCCGTTGTACCCGTCAGGCCCGACATCAAGCAGATGGAGGACAACTGTCCCGACGCAGAATGCAGGCGCGGGACGCCGCACAATGTCCTCGCCGTGTACGGGGGCATCATCAAACCGCCTGCTGCGTCCCTCAAAGAGCATTCCGAGAGGCTCATCCGCGGCCCGGCAATGCCTGCGCCGGACCTCGACCATAAGAACCCGACGCCGACGCGGCTCTTCGTCAACGGCGGGCTGAGCCCCGACGAGGCGAAGTCTCTGCTCGACGAAGGCGTCGTGGACGGCGTGGTGTTCGGCACGCTGTGGATCTCCAACCCGGACTTGCAGAAAAGGATTGAGCGCGGGTTGCCCGTCAACACGCAGCCGGATGTCAAGACCTTCTACCTGGGCCATGGAGACGATATCCGCGCTGGATACACGACGTACCCAGAGGCGGAAGGTTACAGGCTGTAGATAAATATGTAGAACAAGGTGAAACTCAATGACTACTGCTGTACTGCTAGACTGGTGCCGCATCGTCGTGTGTCGTCAGGGTCTAGAATTTACTAATGAACCGGACACGGGGGTGACCTGCCGAAGGCGCAACGTTTTCGCGGCGCAACACATGTGGGAAATCGCAAGATATTAGATAAGCGCCATGTAATTCGAATTTCAAGAGTCAACATGCGGCACCTACCGTCTAGTACCACCACTTTTTCTGACGACCATACAACAAAATCTGTAGGCCAAGGACAACAACGATTTTCGGGAACAATTCGAGACCAGAGGAGAGGTACGCCTGCCAGACTGCTCGTCCGCCTCGCGAGAGATATTTGTATTCCTGATGCATATTCTCTGGGTGTCGTCAGCCCCTAGCATCGCGTCGGCCTCTTCGAGAGGGCGGGCGTGCCATGCCCAGCAACTACGGCATCTCTATCTCCATCGTGTGCGGCGGCTCGATTCTGGAAGAATATGCTTGGCAGTCTGCCGATGAGCGCACCGCGAGCTGCTTCGTCCCGAGCGCCTCGGGCAAGGTGAGTGTCGTGTGCCGCGGATTCATAGCACAGAAAGCTCTCTGAACGTAACGTCTCTTTGGGCAGAACTTTGAAATAATTCTCACCAACAACCTAAACCTACAGGATGTTTCCGTGTCCATAACGGTCGACGGGAGTCCCATCGGCCGCTACTACCTCGCGCCGGGCCAGAAATTGCTTCCGGGCATATATGTCTCCGAGACTACGACGAAACCGTTTCGCTTCCGCAGCCTGGTTTTCAATGGTGGTGACTTCCTATGCACTTCTGAAGATTCGTGTGCTAAGGAGAGAGGCATCCTAGATGAGAAAGGGATCCATGACCCGTGGTCCTTCACTTGGGAGAATACAGGTTCAATCGGGTTCTCCATCTATCGCTGCAGGTCGACAGGCATCGAACAATTCAGGCCTCAGGATCCTGCTCTTGTATCATACACCGCGCGCTATGGCAAGGCTCGTGCGGCTACGCCGGCCGTCTTGTAAGCTACCTACTTGTTTTCTTTTCGGGATCTTCGATGATCCTTGCATTCAGAACTGGTGGAGAAGTGCCTATTAAACCTATCCAGGGAGTCGGCGGCATTACCATAGACCCCCATGATAAACCATACGCGAAGATTCTGGTCCAGTACAGACCAAGAGGTCCGTCCGCCATTCACCACAAGGAAAGTCTACGCCTAATTACGACTCAGAAATCCTACAAATGCAGGGCGTCATCAAGACCGCCTTCTCTTGCCCATCCACTGCTTCTTCAACTGAAATCCTACAAGCGCAAGGAGCAGTCAAAACCGCTTCCTCTCGCCCATCCACAGCTTCTTCAACTGCCGTCTCACAACCCGGGAGGAAGCGCTCCTTAGATTCGATGTCGCTGCTTGCGGAATCAAGTGGCAGGCCGAGTCAACGCCTGCGCGGGACACCGCTCACAGAGAACAGTCCGCCCCGCTTGCGGTCGTCCCACAGCACGGACTCACGTCAGAGCGGTGGCAGCTGGGCCGTCCATCCGGCTCCGAGCCTCCCAGGGGGGCCAGGCACTCCCGGCGAACTCGCACTCATGAAGGTTGGTCTGGTTTTCTTCCCCCGTCTCGCTCCAACAGCGCGCCAGCTGACGTTGGTGCGCGGCAGACCCGGCTCAAGCATGCGACCGAGCAGATGCACGGCGCGATGCGCGAGATGCGCAGTTCGATGGAACTCATGAACAGTTCCATGCACCAGATGCAGTTCCTCCAGCAGCGCATCGAGGCACTCGAGGCGCGGCAGCTGCCTCCGCCGCCCTCGCTATCGACGGCGCTAATGCCAGTTCATACGGCCTCCCAGAGCTCGCCAACCGCGGCTGATGCCGTGTGGAGCCAACAGGATCGGCCGTCGGCGAGAACGTTCGCCTCATTTTCGAAGGATGTTGAGCATAATGGACGGGAGCAAGAGTTGCTCGACGAAGGTGTGGGTGAGCTGCAGTGGCCGTGATCAACCAGAAGAAAGCTGCCTCGCTGAACGCAACGAAGCGACACTAATATTATATCCAATATTCATCTTACTGACTAGCATTTGGTATACATCTACATAAGCGTCTTGCTCAGCCCGTCACAGACACTCACACACTTCACATTTCTTACTGTACATCACCGCGGTCGATGCACTCACGTCATCAAGCCGACATTTGTACATTGCGTTTAGTATGATACAATAATCTTTTATCCGTATTTCTCGTGACGTGGGGCGCATTCATGCTGCTGCGAATCCGCCCTTGCTAGCGGATAATTCCTGACCAAGCTTGTACCCAAGGACCTTGAGAGGAGACGTAAATTAGTTTCGACCAGAGAACGGGGCAAGCCGAAGCTTACTTTGTCCCAGTCCATCTTCGCACGGGTCATGGGCAGAGCTCTCCGGAGACCCTTGAACGTCTTCTCGCCCATATCCTGATATGCCTCGTTGAGGGACGTCTGGTACTTGGACTCCTCCGTCTCGACTATGGCAAGGACTTTTGATGCAGAGGCTGTAGCATTCTCTGCAGAGATAGTTTGGGGCAGCTCAAGCGAAACAGTGTGCGAAGTAGACAATTGCACCTGGTTTCGACCGTTTGTAACTGAAGATATTTGATATAAAGAAGGGAGACGTACATTGCCCTGCTCGTAATAGTGGACGTTCACAAGAATCTTGCCCTCGAGCGTTCGTTCGTTAAGGTTGACAATGTATTCTGAACGCCACCGCCCAGACCTTTGTAGGCAGATATAAGCTATGTACTCTGTCAGGGCTATGCGAGGGATGCGTACCAGAAATTCGAAGGATTGTACTTGTTCGCGACCACCTGGATTATGAAGCGATCCGGGTTGCCTTGGGTAGAGAAGACGGCGGCAACACCGTCATGAAAGTGCGCAGACAGGTATGTCAGCGAAGAGTTCTCGAGTGCAAGTCTGTGAGTACGATTTATCAGCAAATCATCCTCTGCATATGGTGGGCATGTAACGTACCTGAATGGCTCAGAGTCCGCGTCTGGTTCTATAGGTTCTAAATCAGATGCTTCCTATACACAGCAGAGGAGGTCGGAGATCAGTGTACTATTAGATATTCAGTGTGAGAACGCTCACCAAAGCAAGATGGTCGAAACGGAAGCTCGTCCGCGATCTGGGATCCCAAAATCTATCCTGTTGCTCTTCATCACCCTCACCACCCGCCTGTTGTACCCGTGCGGCCTCACTAACGATGCACTGTTGGAACAGGATGTAATCATTTAGCTATCTTGATGAGGTTGCGGAGACCGGGAAGACTGACTTGATGCTGGTGACCTGGTACCTCGGCAGTGATGAATTGGGCGAGGTTGTACTCCCTCAGTGCCGGTAGAATACCAGTCTGCAGGCTTTCGTCATCTGATATAATGTTACGTACATCTGCAGCGCATTGCACAGTTTAGCTACACGTAGTCCCGCATACCCGAGCTGATGTACGCGCACCATTAAGCACGTCGTTGATCTCTCCTGGGGGAGACTGCAGAAGGAATTTGGAAGCGGCGTGAATACGGTTCTCTGCGTCCATATTTTCTAGTTCTCCTAAAGCTCCACGATATCAGGTGAGGACCGGGGGAGAACTGAATGGAGTGTTTGGAGACTACGCTTCGTGACCACGGCCGTCGGGGCGGGCCAATATTGCAGACGCCCATAACGGGCGCATTTCCCACGGCTATGCGTGGGAATATTATACAAGAATGGACTGTGCGGACGGGAATCTTCATTGGGTATGTACGTGTGAAATCTAGGAAACCTCACATCCTCCACTCAAACATTCTGGTTTTCGCGCCGCGGTCAGTACCGCAGGTTTTATCGTACTGGCAGTACCGATGCTAGTGCTGCTAGTTAGTCGAGCCTCCTGGCACAAATATTGGTGACGCAAATCTCCGCCAGTCTTCATCTAGTGGACATAATCTCAAGTATACTCGCCAGGTCGGTCTGACAGCGGACGACGGGCGTGCGATAATTGGTGGTTCCCAGTCATACCATGTAACGTCTCGCGCATGCTGATGCCATCGTAAGTCTTTCGTCCAGTGCAACCACCCGCTGCCCAGCCCCTCGCAAATGTCTGCAGCTCGCATTTGGCTGAGCATGTAGCAATGCGAACTGTTCAGTCGAAATCATTGCATCTTACCGTCTGCAGTCACTGGGTCGTCCACAGGTATCAGCAGGGCTGTGACGGAACTGGCCCTGTTCAAGGGCGACAAGGTTGTCACCACGCTGCGTACACCTTCAGACGTTGATGTTCTCAAGACGAAGTACCCAGCAACACAGCTGTTGGTAACTAGACTGGACGTAACGCAACCTGACGAAATTTTGAGCGCCTTCAAAGAAGCCAAAGGCATCTTCGGTCGTGTCGACATTATTTTCAACAATGCTGGCATGGGTTTGGAGAGGTCGAAGGGACGCCCGAGACCGCCGCGCGTGACGTCTTCGAAACCAACTTCTGGGGCGCGGCGAATGTGAGCAGGGAAGCAGTGCGCTTCTTCAGAGAGGAGAATCCACCGGGCGTCGGGGGCAGGCTATGACGATGAGTGCATATGCGGGCACTGCACCGGCTGCGGGTGTCGGATACCACAGCGCAAGTAAGGCCAGTGAGAACACTGTCGCCATTCAGTATGATATGAATTCTTATCCGTCCATGCCCACTGTTCAGCTCTGGAAGCCTTTAGATGGAGAGATAGATCCCAAATGGAACATCAAGGCATGTCGAGGCACTGTCTATCAACACGAAACATTACTCTTACCTACTTGGTAGACTTCTCTCATCGTACTAGGTGCTGTACGCACGCCCATATTCTACAAGGCGGAGGTGCTATCATTCGCTCGCGGGTATGAGGGTCAAACTGCAAGCCGGAGCATTATAAGGAGCGTAAGAGACTCGAGATTACAGATAGGCGACGTCCGCAAGACTACTGAGAAGATCTACGAATTTTCCACTGCAGAGACCGCCTTTGAGGCTCGTCATTGGCCTCGACTGTATTGGAATGGTAGAAGCTCACCTGGGCAGATTACAACGAGAGTTGGCGGCATACAAGCCATGGTTGAGAGACCTGAAGGAAGAACGGGCAGGTCCGGGTCCGAAGTTGTAGTCGAAGACTGTCTAAACCGGAACTTATATATTTATCACCCTCATTAGATAGCTTCGCTGTACATCCGAGAGAGGTGTGTATGCATTTTGCTGCAAAAATCAGAGGTCAAGTCTGCACGCTTCGGAGCATTCTGCCGTTGTGCATCAAACCATAGTAGTTCGGTAAAGTCGCCGTTCATCTTGTAGCGCAGATGGTTGACACTGTTTTTCACTAGTATGCACATCACCAATCTGTTCTAAACATTTATCAATGGCCTTGTCCGACTTACAATACCTTTAGAAAGAAAAATAGACGACACAGGACAAAATGCGTTGTTCATACACAGCTCAGGTGTGTAGGGACCTGCAACCTTGTAAACCCGCGACGACATATGTATTTTGAACTCAGCACTACGTACGACTCATGACGACACTAAGGTGCTGCTGCACTCTTTGCGTATCCTGCATCTCTCCCTCACCTCACCCGAGCGCTTGGCATCCTCAGGCCCCAGGCCTCAATATTCAATCTCGATGCTGAAGTTTATCCCAAACGACGCGGCCCCGCCAATGCGGCGGCAACAGGTTCCCACGATTGCACGAGCGACTATCGCGCCTCGACCCCGAAACCGGATGCGGGTTTTCAGCTCTCTGTGTTAGGCAGGTTTTTACACGAAGGTCCCGGAATCTCGGTCCTTTGTTTGTTGCGCTCTAAAAGTAAGTTAAGCTTTTACACAAGGCGGTTGCTAGTCGCTGTCAGTGCACAGCTCCCCTTAGCGCGACTCCACCACTAGCCCGTTCCGTTCTCCTTTACAGGTTCCGTCTCCTTTACAATCGATCGGCTAATACGAAATACGATAAGAGCTGAGCGCTGACTAGTACACCACAGTGCGAGCGTCGGCCTCTTCAACCACAACAACACACACAGATGACCCAGAGAAAGAATGAGCGAGGAAGGAAAGAAGATGGCGAAGGTAGGCAGGGAGAGCCACAGGTGCAGGTCCTGGATCCTCACATGCATATCGCGCGGCGCGAAGGTCGCGGCGGCCGCTCGTACTAGTGCCCCCATATGGGCCCAGCTATGCCATACGCCACAGCTGAACTGCGCAAGTCGGGTCGGGCACAGCACCGAAGGCGTATTCCGAGGTAGTAGTGTTAAGTATACTGTGACCAGATGCCACCAGCATCGGTGAAAAAGCGATCCGTGATAGGTCGGTTCATCACGTATGCCGAGCGCCTGCTTTCAAGTCATGACTGTCTCTCCAGGGGCAGCTGGTTGACACGTAAGTCGTCTTCTAAATCACACTCGCATCTTAGCTCAAGGTGAAATGACGACGATTGGAGCACAATATACCGCCCAGTCGCTTCATTGGACGCTTGATCATGGCCAGATCTGTGTCATGCCCTATCTCCCCCGCAAAACATACGTATTTCCAGCCCACAAAACCGACATCCAGGAATTGATTATATTGTCATCCTTGCCAAGGTGTACGCAAATCTTCAAGCCAATATAGCAAATTTTCGAAGCAGGAGACGCCCTGAAATCTTAGTAGGGCGGCTGATTCGGGCTTCTGGGCGGCCAACCGGTATAGTCATCCGCTGCCAACATAAAGTCCTACACCCGACCTCTAAAGTTTGGAGACCTCCGCTCGAACAGATGGCGAGAAATAGTCTGCCACAAGGTGCACTCGTGACTGGAAGGTTTCATTCCAGGCGACTGCGTAGTGCCGTTCCGGAGGTCGCATATTGGCAAATGCCCGTCGCAGTGCTAGGAATGTAAGGTGACTAGGCTTGCCGCGTCCATTCTCCTCCATCATCACATTCACCAATGCGTCTTGTTTAGTGTACTCCATAGAGCGTCTGGCACTGTGCAGCTGCCAAACGAGTGGAACTCAATCGCGCGCAGGTTCCTTGGCCGGAACCTGAGCATGCTGGCCGTCTGGCGCTCGCGGGCGAGGCATATAAGCTCCGCGACAGCCAGGTTTATTGCCTCAGTCGACTCTACCCGACATCCATTTTCTTCACCATCGCTGATATGTCTCACTTCGTCATCACCGGAGCACACGGCGGCAGCACCGCGGGTGCTGGTGATCCCAATCGCCTCGAGATCAATGACTTCGTCAAGATTGAGGAACAGTTCTCGCTCTACATCCAGGCCTTGAGTTCGTTCACCTTCTATTGTCTCTGGTCCATGCTGACGATATCTTTCAGCGGCGATGTCTCAGGACAAGCAGAGCGATCTTACGTCGTTCTTCCAGATCGGCGGTATTCACGGCTTGCCTTACGTGCAGTGGGACGGTTCGGGCGGGAAGGAAGCTGTCGAGGGCACCGAGTGGCAGGGCTACTGCACCCACGGCTCTATGCTCTTCCCGACATGGCATCGTCCCTACGTCGCTCTCTTTGAGGTTCGTGCCCATACTACGTCTGCCATGTATTAGAAAATGTGACTGATAGACACCGCAGCAAGTTCTCCACCAGCATGCTGCCGCGATTGCGAAGACGTATAAGGTTGACCATGGCCGCTGGGAAAAGGCTGCAGCGGACCTTCGTGCGCCATACTGGGACTGGGCGGTCAACTCTGTCCCGCCGCCGGAGGTCATCACCGACAAGCAGGTTACGATCACCCTCCCTGACGGCAGGCGTGGTGCGGTGACCAATCCGTTATACGCCTACGTCTTCCACCCTATCGATCCCAGCTTCCCGACACCGTACAGTGCCTGGCAGACGACGCTGCGCCACCCAACGTCCGATGGGGCGGACGCGCAGACAGACGTTCAGGAACTCACTGAGTGAGTGCTCTAGATGACTCCTCCAGGGTAAACTTTCTGAATGTTCTGTCTGTATCAGCACCCTCCAAACTGCCCAGGATGGTATTACGTCGAGTATTTATAGCCTACTTACCAGCGTGCACACCTGGCCGGCGTTCAGCAACCATAGCCCTGACGACGGCGGCAGCGCTACCAGCTCCCTTGAGGCCATCCATGACTTCATCCACGGGTAAGTTCGATAACCTTTATGTCCTTGGAAAGTGTTGATCGTGACTGTCACATAGCGATATAGGTGGTGGCGGTCAAATGACGGACCCCTCGGTCGCAGGCTTCGACCCTATCTTCTTCCTGCACCATGCCAATGTAGACCGTATGCTGTCTCTGTGGTCGGCCCTTAACCCAGGTGTTTGGACGACAAATGGCCCGGCGGAAGGCAAGTAGTTCCCTCTTCTGACCCCACGGAGAACTGGACTGAACTTTGCGTACCCAGAGGGCACGTGGACAATCCCGCATGACGCTACTGTTGGCCCAAAGACTCGTGCGTGCTTGTCTATCGCCCGACCCTCGCCGCACAACTGACATTGCTACGATAGCGCTGGCACCATTCTGGGAATCGCAATCCGCGTACTGGCTCTCGTCGCAAACGACGACGACGAACAAGCTCGGCTATACTTACCCCGAATTCAACGGGCTTAACATGACCAACCCGCGCGCAGTCAAGGCCGCCATTGCGAAGACCATTAACAAACTGTACGGCGGCCCTATTTCCGGTGCGTTTGCTGCGGCAGCACCTGCTAGTGCTGCTCTCGCGACGCCTGCTGCCAGCAAGCTTGCCGCACCCCACAACCCGGGGCCCAACACCGAGTTGCCTCCGATCCCCGTTGGCGACGCGGGCAGTAGCCTATACGACTGGTCGGCTCGGATCCGCGTCAAGAAATACGAGCTCGGTGGCAGCTTCTCCGTACTCATTTTCCTCGGACCAGTCCCCGAAGACCCACGCGAGTGGCGCAAGAGCCCTTCCTTCGTCGGCACGCACCAAGCGTTCGTCAACTCCTCTGCGACCCAATGCGCGAACTGCCGTACCCAGGCGGCTGCCGGTCAGGTCACCGAGGGCTTCGTCCATCTCGACACGGCGATTTCGCGCCTGTCCGGGCTCGGCTCCTTCGAGCCCTCCGTCGTCGAACCGTACCTCAAGCGCGAGCTCTCGTGGCGCATCGTGCGCGCAAACAAGGCCGTTGTCGACCTCAACGACGTGCCTTCGCTCGAGGTCATTGTTTGCGCCACTCAGCTCACGCTCCAGCCAGGCGCTGACCTCCCGGACCACGGCGCGCCGCAGTATTTCTCCGGGATCACGGCTGGTCGCCAGGGTGGTGCGAGGACCGAGTAGATGGAGGATAGCGACGAAGCATAGGGGCAGAACCCCTATTATGGAAAGATATTCAGCGCTAACACTGTACGCTAGCTACTATTGGGTGTTCCTATGACTTCAAGTTCCTATCCGTTCTCCGACGCAGATACCGGCTTTCCTTCCTTGTCTTTGGTTTTACGCTTGTACAGTACTGTTACCCATAGTTCAAGACAATTTGACCCTCGGTCGAGAGATATAGAGACAGCGGGAAGGCACGTTTGTGCTTAATCCCAGACTTGTATTGAGCTAGACGACTCTCTCCAGCATATATCCCATTCCCCCCCACCTCTCGAACTCTGCCCCTCCGGGTATCCCCCTAAGTCATCGGACGTATTCTTACGACAAGAGCAAGATGAGCATGACTTCGGAAGTACATTGGGCTGAGTTTATTGAGTTAAATTACATCTCTGGGCATCCGAACGGGTTGTGATTGCCCTTGTTCACGGCTAACCAGAAGAAGAGATATCTCAAGAGAGACTGGGGTCTCAGACGTGTCCTATGTGGTGGAATACCACATATAGCACACGAATCAGATCAACGAGTGGCCGGACGAGCGGCTCACTCTCTGTTGCAGTAGCGGGTTTTTTTTTTCGAAGGTACCATGGGACCTTCGCAGCTGCCAGTGTTACATGTGGCGTTCATGGGAATAGTCCCTCATTGGTCACAGTTACTGAAAGGGGCCTCCCATGTTCAGGCGACTACCCAGGGGTAGAAACTAGAGGCGCCGTGGTCATGTCTGACCTCGATGACCTCACCCACGACGACTTTGTCGTCTTGCGCCGCGATGACCGCTTCGGTGGATTCGAGGAATGTGCCCAAGTCCCCAAGGAAAATCCTCCCATCACAAGCGTGAGTTGCATTTCCAGATGGCCAGGTTCTTCGTTGCTCAGACCCATGCAGGCTGTTAGTGTGCGATACTTCCGCAAGTCGATCATGCCGGGCAACAACGACGAGTTCACCGGCGCGTAAGCAAGAGTCGTGCACAAATTGCGTTTTATCTTATGGTTGGGATCCAGAATGCAGATGGTTGCGCATTTTACCAAAGATTGCACCTTCAGCACGCTCTACCCTAGCTACAGCACTCCAGACGGTCGCAAGTGATTTCTCATATCCGTAGCTGAGGAGCTTGCTTTAGAGAATGACCAGCCGGACAAGGCCATGTAGATAGCGTGGCGCCAATGTTATCTTAAGTAGTCACGCTGTGCATGACCTCGTGCATGTACATGCAAGCCTAGGAATGGCTTCATACGTAACCCGGGTCTGACCGGTCTGACCCCAAGGGTCAGTCAAGATATCGTTGACCGGTCAGTTAGCTATTGCCGAGGTTGAACCCAATTAGTAGTACCATTTCTGTGAAGCCATCGTCGATGTTGCAGTCCTCGAAGTGCTAGAATGGCGAGTACATTGTTGGCATATTTTCAAATGACACACCCCGCTCACACTGTAGGAATCCAGCCGTACGAACTTCTGGGATCGCTCCGGAAGCTACGTTGAGTGCATCTTGGGTAGGATGTACTCCTGGATGCACTCCTCGCACCATGAAGATAGATGTATCTAGTCTCAAATCCCTTGTTGTTACTGAATATTGTCCACCACGCTCACTTGCAGGACCCACTGGACTCGTTGTTTCGTAGCACATTGGGCAGCGGTGTCGGCTCTGGAGGTCCTTGCCAAAGCAATAAAATTTAAATAAATTCTGAAATATACCACATGCATATTTATGTTGTGTGTACACTTTTCATTGCCACATATTGGGGCAGAACTGGATGTCATTACTAGACGGATGCCCGTCCTAGCAGGGTAGAATAGGCGCCAAAACTAGAGTCGAGCATTTTCCGCAACACATACCAATATCTCAGGATTGAGGTACATTGGACAGATCATATAGACTGTATAGAGCATATGGGAGTGCATGAAGGCTATGAACAGCAGAGACAGCATGGAAAAAATGCACGAGGCGTAGTGAGACTTTAGTGGTGACATTCTGTCACGAGATATACATCAGGAAAAAGACTTAGGTCCACAATACTACAGAGTGCTACAGGAGCATTTTGGAGCACTATGGGCCCAAATCCTGTTTCCTGATGCTAACGCACTAGTCCGACGTGTGCGTTACAAAACGTCACACCTAACCTAACATGGAAGGGTGCGGAGAGCACCGACAACATAGACGGCACAGAAACCCCGACTCCCAGACTCTCTGATTATTTCTGACCCTCCTAACACTGCCCTGTTGCAGTACGGCAGGGTTAGCTGAGGTTCAGGCTCGGCGTGCGCCGGGCGGTTATGGCAAGCGTCCCTTCTCTTTTCGGACATCTAATTTCCTCTTTTAGCAGTTCTATTTCAAACCCCGCTCGTGCTTCAAGGCCCTCGCGTTCGCCTTATATTCCGTTCCCCCCTTCGTTCCGTTCCTTCAATCTTTCTGCACGGAGCGAAGGCATGCCTTATATTATATCCTATTTCTACGTGTACTTACAGTCATTCCGCACAGAATAGTCGACCGCCGCGACCAGCCATCATGTCAATCGACTACAACGACGTGGAGTTCGCGTACACTCAGGGCGACCAACATATCACTAGGACGCTGTACTTGAAGGATAGAAAAACCAGTCGTGGGGCGCTGGGGATCTGGCGAGTCGATGTACTGTGGTCATGGAAGGTTTACCGTTCCAGACGACAGCTCCAGCGCCTATATGGAGACTACCAGCGCGCGGATACCGCTGGGCTTCCTATGGACAAGCCGAGATTCGTGGTGGGACGGATTCGTTCCCGTGGGCGGACTACCAGCGGATTCGTGCTGATTGCGAGGTGGATGGAGGGCACCCAGTTTCTGAACAAAGCGACCAGCTTCAGGGCGGCTTTGGACGCCCAGATGATGCCCCATGACAGGACCGACCAGAACTACATAAGGTTGGTTCATAATACTGAACAGTTCTGTGTTGGTGACGATTTAAATTACCAGGACAACGGCTGGATGTCTTGCTGCACAGAGTGTGGGTCTGAGGGACTGTCAGGGGTTTGTGAAGATGGGGGAGCGTGAGTCTTTGCAGTTCTTTGACATCCACACGAGGTGGAATCCCATATACAACATATTCGGCTCTAGCATACAGGCTGACGCCCTTGTGCAAGTAATAGAGAGCTGGGAATCTTCGATATAATAGCTTTCTCGTGCGAGGAGGTACTGCAGCTGGTGGTAGTCAGATGAACTGGCGGTAATATATCCTTCCAACTCGGCACTGACGGCTTGCCGTCTACGCCTTTCGGCGTGGCCAATTTCCATGGGCATGATTTGCTGTGACGTGCCCTACACGCCGGTAGGCAGCGGAAGGAACACTGGGTCGTGATCGAAGAATCGGAGGCGGGATAGAGACAGCAACGGGGAGAGGAAGTACTCAAGGGGATCAAGTGAGGCGTGCTTCTGAAGGACGCAGCGCAGGGATTCGGGCGCCCCGACACTAAAGTGACATATCTGGACAGCGACGAAGCTCAGCGAAGGAGTCAGTATGCTGGAATTAACGGAGCTAGCGAAGCGGCGAAATAGCAGTTCCTAGGTCGCAATTTGGTTGTCATGTATTCAAGCAGATTTGCTCGCAACTGTGAATTATCGTGCGTATGACCCTGGACGAAACGCACGACGTAGGGGAACGGTCTCCCTCAGTACGTATCCCCCTTCTCCCTCTGGGCGGCAGGCCGAGGTCCAGCGAAGTGTGGCAGGTCCAGGTCCTAGCGTCCTGTACTGTGTACCGCCTCCTTTGTTAGGATCCCATGCCCCTTAGCTTATCTTCTTGTCCCTTCTCCCTTTCCTTTCACGATGGCAGCCTGTGTTATTTCGGGTGCCCAGCACCCACACGCTGCGACTTGACCAGGGCCGCGCCGTCACGAAGGTAAAACGAGTATTTGTTTGCTTTGTATGATATCTTATCCATAAGCGCGCACCTCTCGTAAATGCGTTCGACTAAACTCGCCGAGACGATTCCACTAGTATCTTCCTCAATATCTGCTCCGTCCACTCTCAATTGCGCTTTGGCATCGCCGCCTCGTGAACTGTATACACACCTGCGCCGGCTCCTTGAGGTCCTTCAGCTTCCACTCATCGCCAGCACAGAGCTTCTCGGAGTCTGCACCTTCGGGTAGGCGGACCAACTGGAGCTCGAAAATGCCACCGAGCCGTGGAGACTGCTCGACGGCGTCGGTCGCGACCTGCCAGCGGGACGCTGGCGTAGATCTCGAGGACGACGGGGCGTACGCGGCTGTGTGGAACAGCAGCCGGCCTGCGGCGTATGCATCCTGTTGAACAAATGCCAGTGAGGAAGGGTGTGAAAAGGCGAAGAACAGTGCTCGCCTCGATGACCTGTCCGGCGCCTGCGGTGAAGTGCGAGCTCATGACATAGGCCGCGCACAGACGGTCAAAGAGTGCAGAGCATATCAAATCCCCAAGAAGCACTATACTACCATAAGTGCTGAGGTGGGCCACGTATGTGGCTGACAGCCCACATCGTAACTTCATAGTTTGCGGATGCGGTAGCGGATGTGTCAACGAAGCAGACGTATCGCACAATTACTATACACACTTTCGCTGCAACGTGTATATCTTCCTCAAAATCGTAAATGCCGATGATCTTGCCCTCGGCTGCGGTGAATATCGGCGGCCCGGAGAGTGATTGTCCGAACTCATTGGGAGCGGTATTGAAGAATATGACGTTTGCTGTGGAAAAGATGAGATACGACACCACGTTAATCCAAAAGCTGACACACTCCTACGTTTGCGAAAGCACTGAAGGGCGTTAGGTTGTAGAAGCCGCAGCTCGGAATTGAGACTCACGACAACTGCCCTGTGCAGCATGACAGTGTTAGGCGCTGCTGTACACAGCTTGCTCCCGGTCGGTATACATTGTTTAAAATGTGGGCGGTCTGATGCCCTCCACGCTGATGAGGACGTCGAGCATAAGCTGTTTGACCATGATGTTAAGCCTCTCACTGCGTGGCAGACCGACGGAACCCTCTAGTGAACATAGATTTATCAGCACGCTTATCCTCCTTTGAACGTAGGGGCTTACTAGGCATACGACAAAGCTATCAAAATCGAAGAGCTCCTGGGTGTCGCTCCTGGAGTCTACGGAGACCGGCATTGAACGCGTCTGCCAAGCCCATCGTTATAACGATGCTTCAAACACACTCGTAAGCCGAGGCCGGTTTCTGCGCACCAGCCTCGTACTGTACACGTCGATATTGATTTATTTGGCGCTGGCGGAGCACTTGATACAGCTGCAAGGCAGAGACCCGCACCTCCCCCGCTGAATGATATCTTGCAGGACGACCGAGGGTGTCGGTGCTCACCAAGTTGCGATGCTCAGACCACTTACATCTACTGCTGCTATGCTTGCGAAATTGATCAAACTTATGGTGGCCGTTTAGCGAGCTTGTGGTGGCGGATCGACAAATTTATACAGCGACGAACCTTCTCCTGAATACGCTTTGTACAAGTCATTCCCGCTATGTTGCAGATGAGTGGAATGAGGGAGACAAACGTTGATTTTTCTGGTAATGAAGCCGCCCGAAAGACTGGAGGGACGCTCGTCGTATGGTTAGATTACAAACTCGGACTCCGTCGTGCACGGCGGTTGTGCGGCGGGCAACGGCGCAACGCCAGTATACATTCTAGTTGAGGTAGTTACAACAGGAATGCTGCAGGGGGGATTGCACGTAAGGCGCCCTGGACCTCAAGCTCGAGCCCATATGCTCACCTCTTTCCTTACCCTTCTTGCGACGACGCATACACACATATCCAACGAACCCGTCCTCATCGTGGTTGTTGTCTAGAGAACCGCAAGCATGAGTCAAGGCAAGTTGAGGATGATATCATTGGCAGGCGAATTCACGAGAAAGTCATGCGCATATAGCCTGGGAGTCATCCGGAGTAGTCGCCGCCGTCGTCGTTCCGTCTATCCCTCGCGTTCCGTTGTCAACGCTCGTCCGGCCCCGCATTTCTCCGCACGCGCTTGCATTTGAAGATCATCCCGTATTTGATTCAATTGACTACGTTTTCGGCAATGATTTTGACGATGCTGGCGTGGTGGCTTTTCGGCACCGTCTTCCCTCACGGTCATTTCTTGTCGGTGTTTACGGTCTTGAGTCGCGCTTGAAGACACGTCGCAGTGTGCGGACGTCACAGGTTCGTCGTCAACCTTGTTTCTTGTGTCATTCACTCCGATACTGACGAGGGGCCACGCGTAAAGATCGCCTGTCATAGTGGAAGTCGGATCTCCGTTAGTGGATCGAAACCGCTCTTGTCGGCAACCATGACTGGGGCGTCCGAGATCGCACAACCTCCGAAGACAATGTCCACGAGTTTGAGGAACGCCGTTCAAACTCCTGACTTGCATCACGTTCGTCATTATACACGCCCTATAACACAGCAGTGCCGCTGCCGTGTGTATTGTCTGGGAGGAGTTAAAGCAAATAGATGGTTTAGCCAGCTTCTTTCAGACCACTGTAAAGACACTCCAACCGCCCTAACGGACCCAGATGTTCACTCGGGCGAGCAAACGTTCTTCCTTGTATGCTTGAGGATAATGGGGTCCCAGGGAGAGCATTCATCGGCCGAAGGGACGCCTGGAACGAGGAGCCAAGGAGATGCGGCCTGTTCGCCCCACGATGCGGAGGAGAACAGTCGGTGGCTACCCCGCACTCGGCTCCCAGCGGCCTAACAGTGAATCACATGCCCCTATTCTCCCCACCTCGTTTTGGTCTTCCCGAGTCTAGTTCGGACGGCGGGCCTACAAAACATCTAGGTCTGCCTGCACCCGCGTACTCCTGCCTAGCCCTCCATTCACCCCCCACCACCTGAACCCCCGCCGGCACCACTTTCATCGTTACCATGTCCTACAGTGAACGCGCTGCCCTCAAGGCCGAGGCTGCAAAGGTTGAACAATGGTGGAGGGTGCGTTCGGATGACCCTGTCTAGATGCTGCTTTGCTAAGTTCGCTAGCAGGAGCATCGCTTCAGGAAGGTGAAGCGACCCTACACCGCCGAGCAGGTTGTTTCCAAGCGTGGCACACTCTCTATCCAGTACCCCTCCAGTATCATGGCGAAGAAGCTCTTCGCTTTGCTCGATGAGAAGTTCAAGAGGGGCGAGCCCTCACACACATACGGCGCGTACGTACACCAGTGTCGCCAGTGTCGGCTCGTCAGCTCATGGCATTCAGTCTCGATCCCGTGCAGGTAACACAGATGGCCAAGTACCTTGAGACTGTCTACATTTCTGGCTGGCAGTGCTCGAGCACGGCTTCGAGCACCAACGAGCCCGGACCTGACCTTGCTGGTACGCTGCTCCCTTCTTTGCAGCCATACTTATACTGAGCCTGCCGTTGCAGACTACCCCTCGAACACCGTACCAAACAAGGTCGAGCACTTGTTCAACGCCCAGCTGTTCCACGATCGCAAGCAGCGCGAAGTGCGCTCGCGTCTGTCCGAAGCCGAGCTCGCTAGCACACCTGTTATCGACTACCTCCGCCCCATCGTCGCCGACGCGGACACTGGTCACGGCGGTCTCACCGCGACGATGAAGCTTGCCAAGATGTTTGTCGAAAAGGGTGCTGCAGGCATTCACATCGAAGACCAGGCGGCGGGCACCAAGAAGTGCGGGCACATGGCTGGCAAGGTGCTCGTGCCCATCCAGGAGCACATCAACCGCCTCGTCGCGATCCGCCTCCAGTTCGACGTCTTGGGCGTCGAGAACCTCGTCGTCGCCCGCACGGACTCGGAGGCCGCGGCGCTCATCACCACCAACGTCGACGAGCGCGACCATCCGTTCATCCTCGGGAGCACGAACCCGCACCAGCGCCCGCTCGTCGTCGTCCTCAACGAGGCGCAGTCGCAGGGCAAGAGCGGCGCCGCGCTCGAGGCCGTCGAGGAGCAGTGGATGAGCGCAGCGGGCATCATGCTGTTCGGCCAGGCGCTCGCAAACGCACTCAAGGCGCAGGGCGCCTCCGCGCAGACGCTCGAGCGTTTCCACGCGCGCGTCGCGCACGTCTCGTGGCCGGCCGCGGTAGAGGTCGCACAGGGTGAGTTCGGGCTGCGGCAGGTACCGCACTGGGACTGGGACGCGTCGCGCACGCGCGAGGGGTACTACCGGTACCAGGGCGGCACGCAGTGCGCGATCAACCGCGCGATCGCGTACGCGCCATACGCGGATGCACTCTGGATGGAGACGAAGAAGCCGATCCTCGCCCAGGCGCGCGAGTTCGCCGAGGGCGTGCACGCGGTGTACCCCGAGCAGTGGCTCGCGTACAACCTTAGCCCGTCCTTCAACTGGGACGCCGCGGGCCTCAGCACGGAGGACATGAAGTCCTACGTGTGGGAGCTCGGGAAGCTCGGGTTCGTCTGGCAGTTCATCACGGTGCGTATTCGATGCGAAGCTATAATGTGGTCCTGGCTAATGCGTCGCCTCGGCAGCTCGCTGGCCTCCACTCGAACGGGTACATCAGCGACCTGTTTGCGAAGAACTTTGCCAAGGAGGGCATGAAGGCGTACGTCGAGCTCATCCAGCGCAAGGAGCGCGAGATTGGGTGCGACGTCCTCACACACCAGAAGGTCTGTTATCATTCTCGTTCTCTCTTGCCCGTATTTTGCTGACAGGTGAGTCACAGTGGAGCGGCGCAGACTATGCGGATAATATGATGAAGACCATCACTGGCGGCGTGTCATCGACCGCCGCAATGGGCAAGGGTGTTACCGAGGACCAGTTCCACGACGGCCCCAAGCCCAAGTTGTAGTGTCTCTTCAAAAAAAAAACTGCGCACCTTCGATGCGCGCCCTGTGGTTGAATGCGTTCTCAGATGGGTGGTTCTTGGTGCGGTGGCCGCGATGTAACTTTTTCTAATCTGTATAATAATGCATCGTTCTGGACGTATTTGTATGGTATAAAGGAGCTTCATTGGCCACAGGCGTAAGCGGTGTTCGGCCATGGGCGGCTACCATGTGAGGTTCATCAACACTTTGCACCCCCTCGCCGAAGCGGCATCTTCACCTGTGGGACTTCGTGTCACCGTGAGTGCTAGAGTATAACCGACTAACAAGGAATGAGCACTCCACTTGAGTTGAAATTGAGCTTGGCTTTGTCCTCTGGGGCTTCAAACGGGAGATTCTCGACTTCGACCTGGACACTGAGGAGCGACATGAAGGGCGGCCCTCTCCCTACGACGGTTTCTCCTGTCATCTTTATCCCTCTCCCTGTCGTGTCTCTGCTTCCATGCAATCCTTCCCGGCCCTTTCTGCCTGAATGTCATCGCGCTCGCGGTGTTCCCTCTACCGGTCACGCGCGGGATACCTGCTCTCCCACCGCGGCGAGTCTCCGGGCTCTCTCCTAGACTTCCTGAAGCTCTGGAACGGCGGCCGTGATCTTTGATATTGTAGAGCAGTTAGCAGTGTGTAAGAGACGGATCATAATCTAATCTCTAGACTAGGATAAACCTTATCAAGGATTTGCCCAATATAGGCTTGCGTACCACGATTATCCGTTTCAAGCCGCCTTCACACTCTTTCCCTAGCGTCCACTTGCAACAAGTTCACCGCAATTTGGGACAACTTGGGACAACTCGACTGAATATTCTTCGTACGATTGGGCAATATTTTGCTCCTTATCGCGTATTTGCGGAACTTCCAACGAAGAAGGCAGTCTTATTCGTCCGGTGGGTGCTTCTGCATACATACAGAGCCGTACAGCCGAAACGCTAACCAGTAAGGGTCGAGGTAAGGGTGCTTCGACCAGGCAAATTATTTATCTTGCAAGACCTGCCTTGTGCAAAGTTCCAGCCAGTGGTCACATGGTGGATTCGTACCGTAAGCGTCCGTTTGGAGCGTGGCCATCCCTCTCTCATAGGCCGGGCAAGCCGGCCTGTTGTATTAATCCTCGCATGAAGCTTCTACAACATGTTTCTTCGCTATCGACGCCGGTGACCCGTCGGGCCTTTGCTACAACCTCCGCGTATTGATCTGCTTGTCAGCTACCTTACGCGGTTCAGCTTCACTTCGTGGTCAACCGATTCATCGTCTAGCCGCAATCCTCCGTGAGGTGCAAGTCGGGCGTACTGTCACTCACGCGATGACGTTCCAATGCCTGCTACCACTCGCCGTTTTGCCAAAGTCAGGCGGAAACGGTGCCATTATGACGTATGGCCGTGTACTTGGTGAGAGAAGAAGCCGTCTCCCATGGGTAGAATCGTCCACAACCTCTCAGATGAACTTCGGATCCTAATGCCCGCAGTTCCGTCGAGCGCACACTCAAGTACGGAGCATATATACTGCAACTCTCTCGCTGTCACATCATCGACATTTGCACTCTCACCATGGAACAGACTCATTTTCTACTACCCCAACTGGATCTCAGACTCACCGCCGGACTTCTTGCGGCGGCCCTGCTTGCTGCATGGGTTGTTCCTTTTCTCATTGATAGATATCGCTTGAAAGGAATTCCCGGGCCTCTGCTGGCCAAGTTCTCCTGCGTCTGGCTGGCTTCGAAAGCGTATAAAGGCACAATGTCGTCTGCGGTCCATGTACTGCACGAAAAATACGGTCAGTTCTCTTACCAGCCATATGCACTCGTGGCTCAAGTGTCAACAGGACCTTTTGTTCGCATTTCGCCTAAATATGTCTCGATTGCCGATCCTGAGGCACTGCAGGCGATCTACGGCTACTCCTCTGGCGCACTCAAAACCGAGCTCTACGACGCTTTTGTGTTCTTTCGCCCTACCATGTTCAGTACCCGTTCTCGGCTGGAGCACAGTCGAAAACGGAAGTATACAGCTCACGCCATGTCGATGAAGTATATAATGGAGTTCGAGCCGAACGTACGTGAACACCATCATATGCTCGTAAAGCAGCTGGACACTTTGTGCGCCGCCGGAGCTCAAGGCAAAGACGGTATCCTTGGAACACGCCCCTGGACCGCCAGAGATGGCTGGGCTTGGTTTGACTGCATGCCATGTAAGGACCCATTTTAGTCAGTCGTATCACAAACTCATCACTCAAGGGCAGGGTTTAATTACGAGACTTTCGACATCATCGGTGCGTTCCACTGTCAGCTAATATGTCAGCCTTGTTGACTGTGCTCATAGGGGATTTGGCTTTCGGTGCGCCCTTCGGCATGGTGGAAGCGGGGAAGGATACTGCGTCCGTGCCGGTGTCCGAGAAGCAGGCCATGAAGTTCTATGGTCAGAAGGGAGCAGAAATCGAATGGTCGACCGCTCCAGCGATAAAGATTGTCAACGAGGCCGTACCTTGGGTCTTCTTCCTCGGCTGTCTCCCTCCTCACGTCCGTCCGCTGTTGTCGAAACTCCGCTCGTTTACGACCAAAGCGTCCGCCAGAGCCCTGGTGAAGATCGCGGTCGCCGCCGTCTCGAAACGTCTGGCTACCGGGGTTACGCGAAGAGACTTCCTTTCCCACCTCATCGCGGTTCGCGATGACCAGGGTAGGCCGCTAACCGAACAAGAGCTGACGTCTGAGGCTATTAGCCTCATCGTCGCTGGCTCCGACACGACCTCGAGGTTAGCAGTGTAACCTCAGTATGGTGGATTATCAGTCTGATCGGCCATTCGCAGCTCTATCGCGGCCATTGCTTATCATGTCGCGCGGAACCAAGATGTCCAAGCAAAACTTCAAGCCGAACTAGACGACGTTCTCGGGGCCCCCGGCTCCGATTCCAGTACCGACGATGTCGTTGCACCCTTCGATCGCGTCAAGAACCTCACATACCTGCAAGATGTCATCAATGAGGGCCTTCGTGTCCATTCTACGCTGGGGGCCGGCTTGCCCCGCGAGGTCCCAGAGGGCGGACTGACCGTTGCAGGAAAGACCCTTCTGGCTGGCACGCATGTCAGCTGCCCCTCGTACACGCTGCACAGGCTGAAATCGATTTGGGGCGACGATGCGGATCAGTTCAATCCCGATCGGTGGACTCTAGGCGACAGAAATGCAATGCTCAAGTATTTTTCACCCTTCTCAGTTGGCCCCAGGTGAGCGCCACCATCAGTGTCGTGGCCAGAGGTCGCCATAATTCACATACGACGGAACTTCTCTGCAGGGCTTGCATCGGTAGAAACCTTGCAATGATGGAGCTGACGATCTGCATCGCCACGATATTCCATCGCTATCGCGTTGTCCTCGCCAGTCCCGACCAGCGGGTGAGTCAGCTGTTTAACGTGTTGGATAAGGACGTTGGGTAACGTGTATCTTTTCTGGACTAGCTCGAGTGTAGCGAAGCGCTCTTGCGCAAACCGAAGACTATCCCTGTCGGTATGCAGCGGCGAGTCTGATGGCCTTGCAGGTCTAAACGCTTGAACGCTGCCGAGCTTTTCATGTCTGGGTCTGCCAAAGATCTAATCCCAGTAGTAGTGGTTATTGACGACTGCAGACTATGCCTGAACGTAGCATTGTACGTGTCATCTCGAAGAATGGACATCTTCGCTCACGAGATTTTGTGCTGCCGCGAGTGCAAAAATTCAAGCTGGTTAGCAAGGAACCCCCGCCAAAAGTGTGCAAGTTCTGTGCGCCAGTGCCGCGGGAGTTATCTTCACATGACTAGCCGATAACAATAAGCGTCCAGTACCATCTACGAACTGTTCGGCCACACGAGATCTACTTTGCTCAAAGTTCCGGGGAGTGGTCATATGATAGTCGATGTATGCTGTAAGTGTCCATTTGGAGTCTGTGACTCCAGCCTCTTCTCCGCGCCCCGTCCAGCTAACTTCATTCATGCACACATAGTAAAGGAACGCGGCGCACGTCCCCGTTCTACCCTGTTACTTGCAGCGCATTTTCAGGCGTAGGACATATATATCACCGGCTCTCTCGCTGTCACCTCACCGCTGTTCATACTCCCACCATGGAACAATACCATTTTATACTACCACAGATTGATCTCAAATCCATTGCCGTCATTCGCGCCGCGGCCCTGCTTGCAGCATGGGTCATTCCCTTCTTTGTCGACAAATACGGCTTGAGAGGATATCCCGGGCCTCTGTTAGCCGAGTTCTCCGGCTTTTGGCTAGCTTCCCAGGCGTACAAGGGCACGACGACGTCTGCGGTCCATGCACTGCACCAGAAATATGGTCAGTCCTCCCACCAGCTATACGCCGAGTCACACACTTATGGTTCAGATTTGAAAAGGACCCTTCGTTCGCATTTCGCCGAAATGTGTCGATTGCCGATCCTGAGGCACTCCAAGCGATCTATGGACACAATTCTGGCACACTCAAGACCGACTTCTACGATGCATTCGTAGCTTTTCGTCGTAACGTATTCACCCCCCGTTCTCGGCTGGAGCATAGCCAAAAGCGGAAGTATACCTCTCACGTCATGTCGATGAAGGGGATAACGGAGTTTGAGCCGAACGTAGTGACGGGGGTATCAGCATATGCTCGTGAGGCAGTTGGACACTTTATGTGCCGCCGGAGATCGAGGCATCGATGGCGTCCTCGGATCATGCCCTTGGACAGCCAGGGATGGCTGGATATTGTTCAATCGCATGCAATGTAAGGGCCAATTCCTTGTTACAGGTGTGTTAGGAACTCATCGCTCAATGATAGGGTTAAATTTTGGCGCTTTCGACGTTATCGGTGCGCCCCGTTGTCAGGCTTTATATCAACGTTATTGACCATCATTATCACAGGTGATTTGGCTTTCGGTGCGCCTTTCGGCATGCTAGAAGCAGAGAAGGACACTGTGCCAGTGCCAGTGTCCGAAGAACAGGCCATGAAGTCCTATGGTCAAAAGGACATGGACCTTGAATGGTCGACACTTCCAGCTATCAAGCTTCTCAACGAGACCATACCCCGGACCTCCTTCCTCGGCTGTCTTCCTCCTCAAGTTCGTTTCCTGACGTCGAGATCGAGTCGCTCAAGGCAGGAGTGGCCCATAAGCTCTTTATGAAGGTCGCGGTCGCGGCCGTGTCCAAACGCCTGGCCACTGAAGCTACGCGAAGGGATTTGCTTCATCACCTTGTCGCGGCTCGCGATGACTAGGGCAAGCCTCTGAGCGAACAAGACCTGACATCCGAGGCCCTTAATCTCATCGTCGCGGGCTCTGACACTACTTCTAGGTCGGTAGGATGACTCTTTGTTGGCGAACCATTGGTCTGCTCATAATCGTTAGTTCGATTGGTGTTATCGTCTACCATGTTGCGCGGAATCGGGATGTCCAAAGAGACTTCAAAAAGAACTGGACGACGTTCTCAGAGTCCCAAACTCTACGTTCAATACCGATGAAGTCGTGGCGTCCTTCGATCGCGTCAAGAACGTGGCATATCTCCAGGACGCCATCAATGAAGGCCTTCGCCTGCATTCCACAGTTGGTGTCGGCTTGCCCCGCGAGGTTCCACAGGGCGGACTGACAATTGCGGGAAAGGCCCTGTTGCCCGGTACGCATGTCAGTTGCCCCTCGTACACGCTACATAGGCTGAAGTCGATCTGGGGCGACGACGCGGACGAGTTCAATCCCGATCGGTGGACGAGGCGAGGCGACAGGAACGCAATACTGAAGTATCTCGCACCCTTCTCAATTGGCCCCAGGTGAGCATTACCATCATGGTTGTGGCTGGATTTAACCTTGTTTTCGACTCTTTGTCAGGGCTTGCATCGGTAGAAATTTGGTAATGATGGAGATGACAATATGTGTCGCGACGATATCCCACCCCTACCGCCTTGTCCTCGCTAATCCCGATCAGCAGGTTAGTCGGCTGCTGAACATGTGGTACAAGGGCATTGATAACGTGTGTTCTTCCTGGGCCAGCTCGAGTGCAGTGAAGGGTTCGTGCGCAAGCCGAAGAATGTCCATGTTGGTAGTATGCAGCGGCGACTTTGAAAATCTTGTGGATCGTGAACGTTTGGGCTTTGCGAGCATTTCTTGACCAGGTCTACCGAAGGCCTAGTCCTAGCAGTAACGATTATCGATAGCTGTAAATGATGCTAGAATGTTGATGCTCTTCTTCACACGCTCTCTGAGGCCTGTCTCGAGAATGATTGGAGGTAGGATATCATCGGAATATCTGTCCTAGATATACAAGTTTGTACTAGTCCGTGGGGCGACACTGCACTCAGGGGTGTCTGCATACACAAACCTCATCACGAACCCCGGATAACGCGTCCCCATGGGGGAGGCGTCCGCTGCTTCTGCGGCCTTTCGCACCTCTTGCAAGTCTTCCGACAAAAGCCTGGTATTCGGCGCAGCCAGATTCTCTTTCAGGTACTAAGTGTCGTCCATGTCGCCAGCACCCATGCTGTACACTTACACAAGCGACGCACCTTCTCTTTGGTGGTGCCAGAGATGGAGATCACATTATCCGCCTGTGCGAGCAGCCACGCCAGCACCGCCTGGCCCAGCGTTGCGCCGTACTTTGCGCCGATCACCTTCAGGTCCTGGACGAGCTTGATGATCTTCGGGAAGTTCTCGCGCGAGTAGCGCGGAACCGTGCGTCGACAATCGTCTTCCGCAAAGTCGTCGGGCGATTGCTAGCGGCGGTTGATCAATTTCGCAGTCTGGAAGAATCCACGCGGACGCAACGTACGAATTGGCTGGTGCCGGTGAGGAGTCCGCGGGCGAATGGGGCGTACAGGAGGACAATGGCGACGCCGAGTTCCTGGCACGTCTTGTACAGCCCGATCTCCGCTGTCTCGAAACATCTGGCTACCGGGGTTACGCGAAGTGATTTCTTTCCCACCTCAGCGCCATTCGCGATGACCAAGGCAAGCCGCTAACCGAACAAGAGCTGACGTCTGAAGCTATTAGCTTCATCGTCGCTGGCCCTGATATCACCTCGAGGTTAGTAGTATGGCCTCAGTACGGCGGATCATTAGTCTGACCCAGGAGAAAGCATGACCGCCAAGCGCTGTAAACAACCTCGGTGGAGGACCAACGTTGTGATGCCGGGATCTCTGGAAGCTGTGATAAGATTAAGCTCTTTGTTACCTTCTTGCCGCATCTGGCTTCTTGTTCCTCGGTGCCAATAGTAATGCCTTACCATCAATATTCGCCTCCTGTAACCTCCCAGCTTGAAAAAAATAATTGATATTACCTCGCAAACCCACTATGATCTCGAAGAGTGAGTGCACTGCATGATCCGCAATCTTTCGGGAAAAATCATCGAGCTGTCACATCAGGACAACCTTGTTCATTGGAACAGCATCGAAACGTACGGTAAAGGCTGTTGCAAGAATGCTGCACCGCGGCAGACGAAGAGTCTGATATAAATAATGCAGAAGAAGCTGCACAGAATTGGAGTGGGGAATACACCATACCAACTAGTGACATAGTAGAAGAGGCTAGCAAGGGGCTAGTGGTAAAATGAGAGGGGAGAGTCGTCGGAGTGGAAGAGCAGAGGTAGCCCACTTCAAGTTATCTGATCATGATCCACTTACGCGTCGTATCTTATCGCTCGGGTCTCAGGCGCTTAACACCGAGGCTATTTTCAGCGCTAGGACGTTCACAGCTCTATCGCGACCATTGCTTACTTCAACGCGCGGAACCAAGATGTCCAAGCAAAACTTCAATGAGGGCCTTCGTTAGCCCCAGGGGGCGGACTGACAGTTGCAGGAAAGGCCCTTCTGGCTGGCACGCATGTCAGCTGCCCCTCATACACGCTGCACAGGCTGAAATCGATTTGGGGACGCGGATGAGTTCAATCCCGATTGGTGGACTCGCGGCGACAGAAATGCAATGCTCAGGTACTTCACACCCTTCTCAATTGGTCCCAGGTGAGCGCTAACATCAGTGTCGTGGCTGGAGGTTGTCTTCGTGTACGATGGGGCTCTTGCAGGGCTTGCATCGGTAGAAACCTTGAAATGATGGAGCTGACGATCTGCATCGCCACGATTCCGCCGCTACCGCGTTGTCCTCGCTAGTCCCGACCAGCGGGTGAGTCGGCCGTTTGATATGCGGGACAAGGGTACTGGGTAACGCGTGCCCTTTCTGGACTAGCTCGAGTGTAGCGAAGCGCTCTTGCGCAAACCGAAGACTATCCCTGTCGGTATGCAGCGGCGAGTCTGATGGCCTTGCAGATCTTGAACTTTTGAACGCTTGAATGGTGTCGAACTTTTCGTGTCTGGGTCTGCCAGAGATCTAGTGGTCCTAGCAGCGGCAGTTGCCGACGATCGCAGAAAACGCCGGAATGTAGCATTATACGCACCATCTCGAAGAATGGACATCTTCGCCTACGTGATTTTATGCTGCTGCGAGAGCAAAATTTCAAAATGGTCAGCAAGCAGCCCGCGCTAAAAGCTCTGCGCTCCACGGTAGCCAGCTTGAATCAGCGTCCAGCACCATCAGCGAATCGCTCGTCTTTATGAGACCTACCTTGCTCAAAATTCTAAATTGGCGAGTGATCATATGATATTCGATGTATGCTGTAAGTGTTCATCTGGAATCTGTGACCATACCCTTCTCTGCGCTTCGCGTAGCTAACTTGATACATTCACACATAGTATGCATACGCAGCGCATGTCCCCATTCTCGCACGTAGCTTATACATTTTGCTTCTTCTAGACTGCCGAAACCAACGGGCCATCAGACAGCCTATTCATCAGCCAGCTTACGCGGTTGAGCGGCCTGAGCTTCATTCTGTGGTCAACGCAGTCGTTGTCTAGCCGCCATCCTCCGGGAGATGCATGTCAGGTGTACTGCGACTGACGCTATGACATTCTAATATCTGCTTACAATACTCACCGCTCGGCCAAACTCGGGCACTTCTCAGGTGAGCGTCGACTACATACCATAATACATCTGCAGCGCATGTTCAGCCACAATGCATATATACCACCAGCTCTCTCGCTCGCTGCTACCTCACCGCGATTCGTACTCTTACCATGGAACAATCTCATTTTATACTGCCACAGCTCGATCTCAAGCTTATCACCGCCATTCTTGCCGCGTCCCTGCTTGCAGCATGGATTATTCCTTTCCTCGTCGACAAATACCGCTTGAGAGGATATCCCGGGCCTCTGTTAGCCAAATTCTCCGGCTTCTGGCTAGCTTCCAAGGCATACAAGGGCACGACGACGTCTGCGGTCTATGCATTGCACCAGAAATATGGTCAGTCCTCTCACCAGCTATACACACTCATGGCTCAAATGTGAGAAGGACCCTTCGTTCGCATCTCGCCGAAATATGTGTCGATTGCCGATCCTGAGGCACTCCAAGCGATCTATGGACATACTTCCGGTACACTCAAGACCGACTTCTACGACGCATTCGTCACTTTTCGTCGTAACATATTCACCTCCCGTTCTCGGCTGGAACACAGTCGAAAGCGGAAGTATACATCTCATGCCATGTCAATGAAGGGCATAACGGAGTTCGAGCCGAACGTACGTGAGTATCAGCATATGCTCTTGAAGCAGTTGGACACTTTGTGTGCTGTCGGAGCCCAAGGTATCGACGGCGTCCTCGGGTCATGCCCTTGGACAACCAGAGATGGCTGGGTGTTGTTCGATTGCATGCCATGTAGGGGCCAAGTTCTTGTGACAGATGTGTTAGGAGCTCATCGCTTAATGATAGGGCTGAACTTTGATACTTTCGATGTTATTGGTGCGCCCCGTTGTTAGAATTTATCTTATTGTTATTGACGGGCGTTCTCCTAGGCGATTTGGCTTTCGGCAAGCCTTTCGGCATGCTAGAAGCAGGGAAGGATGCCGCGCTCGTACCAGTGTCTGAGGAGCAGGCCATGAAGTCTTTCGGTCGACAAGACACAGATCTCAAGTGGGCGACAATTCCAGCGATCAAGCTTCTCAACGAGACCGTACCCTGGACCTTCTTCCTCGGCTGTCTTCCTCCTCAAGCTCGTTTTCTAATGTCCAAGCTCCCGTCGTTCAATGCAGGAACATCCCGCAAGCTCTTTGTAAAGCTCGCGGTCGCAACCGTGTCCAAACGCCTGGCCTCTGAAGCTACACGAAGGGATTTCCTTTCCCACCTTGTCGCGGCTCGCAACGATGAGGGCAAACCTCTGAGCGCACAAGAACTGACAGCTGAGGCCCTCAATCTCATCGTCGGAGGCTCCGATACTACTTCTAGGTCGGTAGTGGGGCGGACCTTTGTATGGCAGATCATTGGTCTAACTCACAATTGTCAGTTCTATTGGTGTTGTCATCTACCATGTTGCACGGAACCGGGATGTCCAAGAAAGACTTCAAAAGGAACTGGACGACGTTCTCGGGGTCCCAAACTCTACCTTCAGTACCGATGAGGTTGTAGCGCCCTTTGAGCTCGTCAAGAACCTGACATATCTCCAGGATGTCATCAATGAAGGCCTTCGCCTGCATTCCACAGTTGGTGTCGGCTTGCCACGCGAGGTCCCAGAGGGCGGAATGACGGTTGCAGGGAAGGCTCTGTTGCCCGGCACGCATGTCAGCTGTCCCACGTACACGTTGCATAGGCTGAAATCGATCTGGGGCGACGACGCGGACGAGTTCAATCCTGATCGGTGGACTCGAGGCGACAGGAATATGATGCTCAAATACTTTGCACCGTTCTCGATAGGCCCGAGGTGAGTGCCACCATCAGTGTCGTGGCTGGAGGTAGCCTTATATTAAACTTATTGTCAGGGCTTGCATCGGCCGAAACCTAGCAATGATGGAGATGACGATATGCATCGCAACGATAGTCCACCGCTACCGCCTTGTCCTCGCTAATCCCGATCAGCAGGTGAGTCGGCTGCTTAACATGCGGGACAGGGGCATTGGGTAACGTGTATCCTTTCTGGACTAGCTCGAGTGCAGTGAAGGATTCGTACGTAAGCCGAAGAATGTCCATGTCGGTATGCAGCGACGACTTTGACAGTTTTGTGAATCATGAACATTTGAGCCTTGCGGGCTTTTTATGTCAGATTTACCGAATGCCTAGTTCTGGCAGTAGTTATCAATAACCATAGACGATGCTAGAATGTCAATACTCTTCTTCGCACGCCCTCTCCGGCTCGCTTCGAGATTTATCGGGGGTGAGATATCATCGGAATGTCTGTCATAGATGTACATGTTTGCAGCAATCAGTGGGGCGAAGATGTTTCATTGCAACTCCGGCGTGTCTGCATACGCAAACTTCATCATGAACTCTGGGTAACGAGCTCCCATGGAAGATGCGTTCGCCGCTTCTGCGACCTTCCGCACTTCCTGCAAGTCTTCCGGCGAGAGCCTGATATTCAGCGCAGCCAGGTTCTCTTTTAAATACTGTCGTCCACGTCATCAGCACACACGCTGTACATCTGCACAAGCGACGCACCTTCTCCTTGGTGGTGCCAGGGATGGGGATCACGTTGCCCGCCTGTGCGAGTAGCCACGCAAGCATCACCTGACTCGGCGTCGCGCCGTACTTTGCGCCAATCGCTTTCAAATCCTCGACGAGCTTGAGGATCTTCGGGAAGTTCTCGCGCGAATACCGTGGAATCGCTCGTCGGAAGTCACCCTCCGCAAAGTCGTCGGGTGATTGCTAGCAGAAGTCAGTTAGTTTCACGTTCCAGAGGACTCTACACGAACGCGACCCACGAATTGGCCGGTGAGGAGCCCGCGGGCGAGCGGGGCGTACACGACGATGGCAACGCCAAGCTCCTGGCATGCCCTGTACAGTCCGATCTTCTCGTCCTCGATGTCGAGTGTGAATGGGGAGTACTCGACCTGCAGTGCCGCGATCGGGTGCACGGCGTGCGCGCGGCGGAGCGTCGCCTCAGAGCAGTCTGACAGGCCGAGATACCGCACCTTGCCCGTCCTGTAATAACTATGATGAGCGGCCGCACCGCACGCGCATTGATGTGTTCTGACTCACTTAACGAGCTCAGCCATGGCGCCAACTGTAATCTCGATGGGAGTGTCCAGGGCCGGACGGTGCAGGTAGAGGAGGTCGACGTACTCCGTGCCGAGTAGACGCAGCGACCTTCCGAACCTCTCGCGCACGTACTCGGGTGAGCCGTCGATGGTACTGGTGTTCGTACCGAACTTGAAGCCGAACTTGGTCGCAAGGAAGATCTCGCTTCGCTTGCCGGTGCGTGCGAACCACTTGCCGAGCAGTTCTTCGTTGTCGCTGTAGACGTCAGCCGTGTCCCAGTTCGTGCAGCCGTGCTCGTAGACAGTGTCGAGGAGCTGGGGCGCAGCCTCAGCAATCTGGAATGTTTGCCGTGTTTGGCGACGGGAAGACGCACCTTCAAGCGTTCTTCGTCGGGCAAGGGCTTACTGTAGGCCACAGACAGGCCCATTACACCGAAGCCGACGGCGGTGACCTGTGTGTCGCCGATCGTACGAGTGGGAAGCTGGGCAGACATATGTGGCCGATCTGTGTGAGTACCGGTAGACGGGTGTGGTGTAGCAGTAGCCAGTTGGAGTCAGAAAGTTTATATCTCAACATATAACGCGAAGGTCTGTCAAAATCTCTAGACAATTTAAATCCACATGTTCAGTGCTGTCACTGATGGGGGAACATGGCCCTTCTGATTCCTAGTCTCATTTCTTCTCTTCTGGAAGGTGTTCGCAGAGGCCGTGGCAGTGCGCGCGGTCAGTAAGTATGGTAGTACTATGATGGTACCCTGCTTTATAAAATTTGGGAAAATTTGCATCCTGTAGCTTACCACACTCATGCTTCGCGGGCGGTTTTGCATGAGACGATGTGTACACACCTTAGCTATATATTCGTATTTTTATAATATTTTATTGAGGTCTTGCAAGAGCAGCGGATCCTTTCCGGTGCACAAAGTAGGCCCTGCACCACTTTTTATAAATTTCGTCACAAGTGTCACACCAGATGCCGTCGAGCCGTGTCTCTGCCGAGAAGCCGAGCCGTCTCTCCAGAGTCAACCTCAGCTGTTTGAGATCAGGCGGAGCGACAATTTCATCACGCCTTGCTCGTTCATTGTAACGCTCCACTAATGTTCCTTCCCTGTACATGTACATAGCACCTTGTAAACCAAATATGTTGACCAGCCATGTCTGGTGTAAGTACAAAAGTCTATGGATGCAGTCGCCAGAATATTTGGTGAGCGAGATCTGGTTGGATCTAGCCATCAGTAGCATTTTTCGGCCAGTTTTGGACCACTTCCGAGCATCCACAAAAACATCATATCGTCCCTTGCTGCACACCCGCCATGATATGGGTGTCATATTATGGTATGAATACAAGTCTACCATGAAAAATATTCACAGCACCTCCGGGGGCATATTGCAGCAGCAAGATCGATTTTATAAAGCAAGGAGCCTTTATAAACCAGGGGGCCATCATAGTACTGGTAAGGGAGGGAATGAACACCCGCCAAGCAGATGATGAGGCCGGGCTGTCTGGAACAGAAACTATCTGTGTTCTGATCTCAAGGGTCAGTCAACGGGGTCAGTCGGTCAGGTCAATGACTGACCGCGCGGTCAGCCGGACATTTCCGAAACCGAAAGTCGATGTTTACAGCGATCATGCAAAGGCAACTAGTCGCGGACTGGCTGCTGCAAATTGCACCAGAAAATTGGAATCAGTTGGAAATAGAACAAATGTCAAAAATTTAAGTTCTTCAGAAAGAATCGAATCCAGAATCTCCGGAAGCACTCACATGCCGTTATCCGTTGCACCACTACGACTCTCATAGTGTCACTTTGAAACTGTCGGCCACTATCCCACGCACCCAGAATGGTGACATCATTAGGTGGTAGCTTTCAACGACAACTTAACGTACGACGTGACATTGAAAGCTGCCAGCCATTCGCTGTTCGGGTGGAATGTCCGACCGGAGGTTGTGCGCAGGGGCGTCTATCGGCACGCAGCGAGCGGAGCGCTAGCCTGGTAGCGCTGACGAAAACAAGATCTTAGAGAAGGGGGGTCAACAACAACTCTGTGTCATCTGAGGTCAAGTCTTAAAATTATCAGTATTGTGTACAATTGTGCACACGAACTTGAGTACATCATCATACACTGATAGCATGCCATGATAGACGCCTGTCGAAACCATGAAATCGATGATACTGCGCGTTTGCGCACACGACCATGCCTCGACATGCACGTCAATGTGGCAACACAACAATGTGCACAGTGGTAAGCAGAGATTTGACTGGATGAGTAATGCCTCGAATACCACTAATAATTTGCAGCAGAAACAAGAATATAGGAGGGTCATCAGCTCAAGAGCTTATTTTTGTCCATCTTCGTTCGTCATATGCGAGAGCGAGATTTCAAAGTGATTAGCAAGGAGCCCGCGCCAAAAGTTCTGCGCGCCGATGCCGTGAGAGTTATCTTCACATGAGTACATTGGGTGGCCAACTTGAATCAGCGCCCAGTACCATCAGCGAATCGCTCGTCTTTACGAGACCCACCTTGCTAAAAGTTCTAAGTTAGCGAGTGGCCATATGATACTAGATGTATGCTGTAAGTGTTCATCTGGAATCTATGGCCATACCCTTCTGTGCGTTCCGCGCAGCTGACATGATGCATTCACACGTAGTATACATCGCGGCGCATGTCCCCGTTCTCGCACGTAGCTTATACATTCTGCTTCTTCTAGACTGCCGACACCAACGGGCCATCAGACAGCCTAGTATTTATCAGCCAGCTTACGCGGTTCAGCGGCCTGGGCTTCATTCTGTGATCAACGCAGTCGTTGTCTAGCCGCCATCCTCCGGGAGATGCATGTCAGGTGTACTGTGACTGATGCGATGACATTCCAACACCTGCGTACAGCACTCACCGCTCGGCCAAACTCGGGCACTTCTCAGGTGAGCGTCGACTACATACCATAATACATCTGCAGCGCGTGTTCAGCCACAATGCATATATACCACCAGCTCTCTCGCTCGCTGCTACCCTACCGCGATTCGCACTCTTACCATGGAACAATCTCATTTTTCGATACCACGGCTCGATCTCAAATCTATCGCCATCGTTCTTGCCGCGATTCTCCTCACTGCGTGGATGATTCCTTTCCTCGTCGACAAATACGGCTTGAGAGGATATCCCGGGCCTCTAGTTGCCAAATTCTCTAGCCTCTGGCTAGCTTCCAAGGCGCACAAAGGCAAGACGACGTCTGCGGTCCATGCACTGCACCAGAAATATGGTCAGTCCTCCCACCAGCTATACGCCGAGTCACGCGCTCATCGCTCAGATTTGAAAAGGACCCTTCGTTCGCATCTCGTCTAAACATGTCTCGATTGCCGATCCTGAGGCACTTCAGGCGATCTATGGACACAATTCTGGCGCACTCAAGACCGACTTCTACGACGCATTCGTAGCTTTTCGTCATAACATATTCACCTCCCGTTCTCGGCTGGAACACAGTCGAAAGCGGAAGTACACAGCTTACGCGATGTCGATGAAGGGAATAATGGAGTTCGAGCCTAATGTGCGTGAGTATCAGCATATGCTCGTGAGGCAGTTGGACACTTTGTGTGCTGTCGGAGCCCAAGGTATCGACGGCGTCCTCGGGTCGTGCCCTTGGACAGCCAGAGATGGCTGGGTGTTGTTCGATTGCATGCCATGTAGGGGCCAATTCCTTGTTACAGGTGTGTTAGGAACTCATCGCTCAATAATAGGGTTAAACTTTGCCACTTTCGATGTTATTGGTTCGTCCCGCTTTCAGCTGGCTTTATGTTAATGTTATTGACCGGCGTACTCGTAGGTGATTTGGCTGTCGGCGCGCCTTTTGGTATGCTAGAAGCAGGGAAGGATACCGCGCTCGTGCCGGTGTCTGAGGAGCAGGCCATGAAGTCTTTCGGTCAACAAGACACAGATCTCGAGTGGGCCACAATCCCAACAATCAAGCTTCTCAACGAGACCGTCCCTTGGATCTTCTTCCTTGGTTGTCTTCCTCCTCAAGCTCGTTTCCTGATGTCCAAACTCCAATCTTTCAATGCAGGAGCGTCCCGCAAGCTTTTTCAAAAACTCGGGGTTGCGGCTGTGTCCAAACGCCTGTCCTCTGAAGCAACTCGAAGGGATTTCCTTTCTCAACTTGTCGCGGCTCGCGATGATGAGGGCAAGCCTTTGAGCGCACAAGAACTGACATCCGAGGCTCTTAATCTCATCATTGCAGGCTCCGATACTACTTCTAGGTCGGTAGTGGGGCGGACCTTTGTATGGCGGATCATTGGTCTAACTCACAATCGACAGTTCCATTGGTGCCATCATCTACCATATTGCGCGGAACCGAGATGTCCAAGAAAGACTTCAAAAAGCACTTGATGACGTTCTCGGAGTCCCAAACTCTATGTTCAGCACTGATGAAGTCGTGGCGTCCTTCGATCTCGTCAAGAACCTGACATATCTCCAGGATGTCATTAACGAAGGCCTTCGCCTGCATTCCACAGTTGGTGTCGGCTTGCCCCGCGAGGTCCCAGAGGGCGGAATGACGGTTGCAGGAAAGACTCTTCTGGCCGGCACGCATGTCAGCTGTCCCACGTACACGTTGCATAGGCTGAAGTCGATCTGGGGTGACGACGCGGACGAGTTCAATCCCGATCGTTGGACTCGAGGCGACAGGAATATGATGCTCAAATACTTTGCACCGTTCTCGATAGGCCCAAGGTGAGTGCCACCATCAGTGTCATGGTTGGAGGTGGCCTTGTATTAAATCTTTCTTAGGGCTTGCATCGGTCGAAACTTAGCAATGATGGAGATGACGATATGTATCGCGACGATGTTCCACCGCTACCGCCTTGTCCTTGCGAGCCCCGATCAGCAGGTGAGTCAGCTGGTCGACGTGCAAGACAAAGGCATTGATTGGTGTGGACTCCTTCTGGACTAGCTTGAGTGCAGCGAAGGGTTCGTGAGCAAACCGAAGGACGTTTATGTTGGCATGCAGCGGCGAGTCTGATGATCTTCTGGATTGTGGAGCTTTGGGATCGGTATACTTTTCATATTTATGTCTACCGAAGGCCTGGTCCTAGCAGCGTATCGATCACCGCAAACAATACCGGGATGCTAATGCTCATCTTCGCACGCACCCTCCGGCCTGTATCGTTATATGTACCATAGATATGTCTATATATCCTGAATATCCTGAACGTACATGTTCGTACTACTACGTGCGAAGGTACTGTTTCACTGAAGCTCAGGCGTGTCTGCATACGCAAACTTCATCATGAACTCTGGGTAACGCGCCCCCATGGAGGATGCATCCGCTGCTTCTGCGACCTTCCGCACTTCCTGCAAGTCCTCCGACGAGAGCCTGATATTCAGGGCAGCCAGATTCTCTTTCAGGTACTATTATCCATCAGCGGCTGTATGAGAAACTTGCACACCAGTAGAGCCGACGCACTTTCTCTTTGGTGGTACCGGGGATGGGGATGATGTTATCCGCCTGTGCAAGCAGCCACGCCAGCACCACCTGGCTCGGCGTCGCCCTGTACTTTGTGCCGATCACCTTCAGGTCCTCGACAAGCTTGAGAATCTTTGGGAAGTTCTCGCGCGAGTACCGCGGGATTATGCGCCGGAAGTCGTCCTCCGCAAAGCTGTCGGGCGATCGCTAGCGACGGCTAATCAATTTCGCAGTCTAGAATAATTCACACAGGCGCAACGTACGAATTGGCCACTAAGGAGCCCGCGGGCGAGCGGGGCGTACACGACGATGGCGACGCCAAGCTCCTGGCATGCCTTGTACAGTCCGATCTTCTCGTCCTCGATGTCGAGTGTGAACGGCGAGTACTCAACCTGCAGCGCCGCGATCGGATGCACGGCGTGTGCGCGGCGGAGTGTCGCCTCAGAGCAATCTGACAGGCCGAGGTGGCGGACCTTGCCCGTCCTGTGATAACTGGGATGAGCGGCCGCATCGCACGCGCATTGATGTGCTCTGACTCACCTGACGAGCTCGGCCATGGCGCCGACTGTGATCTCGATGGGAGTGTCCAGGGCCGGACGGTGCAGGTAGAGGAGGTCGACGTAGTCCGTGCCGAGTAGGCGCAGCGACCTTCCTAACCTCTCGTGCACGTACTCGGGCGAGCCGTTGACGGTATTCGTCTCAAAGTTGACGCCGAACTTGGTCGCGAGGAAGATCTCGCTGCGCTTGCCGGTGCGTGCGAACCACTTACCGAGCAGTTCTTCGTTATCGCCGTAGACATCGGCCGTGTCCCAGTTCGTGCAGCCGTACTCGTAGACAGTGTCAAGGAGCTGGGGCGCGGCGTCAGTAGCCTAGAACGATAGCTGTGTTGTACGACCGGCGGACGCACCTTCAAGCGTTCTTCGTCGGGCAAGGGCTTGCCGTAGGACGCAGAAAGGCCCATGGCGCCGAAGCCGACGGCGGTGACCTGGGTGTCGCCGATTGTACGAGTGGGAAGTTGGGCAGGCATATTATGTGGCTGATTTGTGAGTGCGAGTAGAGGAGTGGAGTGAAGCAGTAGGCAGTGGGTTGCTTACGATGCTGGCTCGCTTCCTGCGAGTCCTGGGCCTTATATATACTTCGAGTAAATCCTATAATACACGCTAACTGTGCCCAGGAATTTTGCCAGTGTATGTAATGCAGCCTCCGGGAATAACGGGAATCAAGAATGCGCGCGTTGGTCAGCACCCCTAATTTTGCCTCGGCCAAGTTCGTGCCACAGCTGAACGTTGAAAGCTGATAAACAATGAGACTGTCAAAGAGCGCAAGCAGTATTGGTGAATACAGCAGCGGATGGCGGATGCCTCACCCTCGGGCATCGACGCTCGGCGACTACTACTGTGCACCCGAGGGCAACCCGAGAGCTTGCCGTGCGGTACGTATGCCCTGCGGCACCATGGCAAAGCCTACGACGCTCTTCCAGCCACCATGGAGCTCGGTGATGGCATGCGGCTATGACACAGTAAACTTTGTACGCCGAACCTTCGCGGACTTGCAGATAAGATGGAAACCTCAGGACTCTTGGTTTGAGCGCTAACGCTCGGCAAGCGCGTCGGTCTAAATTGGCAAGCCTCCTGAAATTCGTATGCATTGGCAGGTAAAACCACAGGCCTGCCAGCATATATAGCGGGGATTAGCCTCACAATGTCCCACATAAAATCTTGCAATACTATACACACGACCGATGAATGACGTGGGGACCTACGACGGAGACAATGAGCACCGCATTTCAGGCATATTCGAGCTAAGTATCAGCCTGTGACTAACCTCTCCGATGCTCTCAGGCTCCAAGCCTGGGGCATCACACGGCGCTCTATACGTACGGGTACACACGTTCCACGACTAGCCACTGTCTCCCCCTCCTACTCACCACGAATCTCCACTTCAGCGTTATCATCTTCCCAGAGGAAACTCTCCATCTGGTTATGGCGGAGTGGCTGTGCCAGATCGCGAAATATGAGTGTCGATGGCGTGCGGGCGCTCGTTGACAGGCCAGACACGCCGCCCATGTCCAACGCCGTCGGGTCACGATCGGCGCCGACCATGCGGAGGTTGAGCGTGAAGCGGCTCGCGAGGAGGAGCGGCTGCGGGGTTGCGTCAGTGGTGTGAATCGGGGAGGCGATGGAGAGAGGGACGTACCATAGGCTGAAGGAATATGAGGACGATATCGCCCGGCTGGTGTAGAGGGTGCGTATGTCAGTGGGCGGAGATTGGGGTGATGGTCGGCGAACTGACTGACCGTTGCGGAGGTAGCCATCTGGGCGATATTGAGGGAGAGCATCGCCCTGTAGGCAAAGTCAACATGTGCAGGACGCAGAGTCGTGTAGAGTAATATACAGGAGATACAGAGTACCTGCGAACCGGTACGAGTAAGTAATAGACGGCGCAGAGGGACATGCCGAACTTACCATCGCGCACGAGACATTGTGTCAGCGATGGCCGAGCAATATTTGCATACCGCTGATGTCTGAGCATGTGGAACGTTCGCGCAACGGTGAATATTAGCACGATGGCATCTGCGATAATCAAGCAAGCACATTGAATGAGAGTCGCTACACAATTCACAGTCAGCGATTTTCACGGAGAGAGGTCGGAGGACGGCTGCTGTACCTCTGTAGAAAGCAGTTTTCAGATAGTCTAGTTCTCGTACATACGAGTGATACTCACGCCAGACCGACACCCCCGCTGAGGTTGTTGAATGTTGTACAGATAAAGAACGGTGCTCCAGTATATATCACAGTCCAGTTGAAGTAGAGGACCTGCATGATCGCTCCTTAATAGCTCGCAAGTTCCCGTGCGATAACTCACGATGTTCGACGCGATTGGTACGCAGCCCAGGATCAACACGACGAAAAACAGCGGCTTGCAGTGACACGTTTGACTCCAGATCGACGAAATCCTGTGGGCGGTGAATACTTTATGCAGGGCGTCAGTCACAAGAATCTGCTGACAAGCTGAAGATTGTGCCTACGAGCGACTTGGGCGTATGCGATGTTGTTTAGCACAGCAAGGACCACAGAGTAAGGATTACATCTAGTGAACGCACAGTCAGGAATAAATACATTGCAAGCAAAAGATAAAATTTACGTCTTCTCTGACATGGGGAACCATGCAGCCACCTGTGACAGTACCATTATCCAGCGCATTGAGAGTAGCAGAATCGAAGTCCACGTAAACTTCCGCCTCCACACGGTGTTAACCTCTTCTGGGAAGGTGACGACATACTCGAAGAGTACCAATGCTGCGCGAATGTAAGCTCTGTGTATCTGGAACAACGGCTATATCTAGAGATAAATACAGAGGGTAGAAGCTCCCGCGCAATTCTGCTCAAACCTGCACATACTGTCAACATCACCAGTGGAGATATCGAGAGGAGGACGCACAGCTGGACAAATTGTTCTACAACCGCGGAGCTCATTTTGGTATGTGTCCGAAGGACTGTAAACTTTAAGAAGCTTGCTTCGTCGACGAGAAAACAAATGCCGGGGTTATATCGCTTTGCGATTTCAGGGGCACAAAGCATGAAAGTGGCCCTCTCGGCCCTTCTGTTCCTGATGATTGAACAAGAGGAAATTGAGAGGACAGGTGCATTTGTCCTGGAAATCGGTGGAAAAGGCAAGACTGCGTCTCTCATCTATTCTGTTTGGTCTGATATGCCCCTGAGCCATTCGTATCTCAGGGTCGTCGCATGAGGTGCATCGGGCTGTGTGTGGCATGGAAATCGCAAAGCCACCAAGTCTTGTACAGGTTTCCTCTTTTCCCCGTATAAGTTTAGGCTGAGGCCCCAAAGCTGAGCGCTGATGACCAGGAGGATGTGAGGAAAGGGTCCGCCATAAAGGCTGGTCCAAAAGCGCCTCACGCCACGACGCTCGGCGCCAAATATATGCAAACAAGTCATGTTCCCGAGGTCGCGCCCACCAAGAAACGCGACGCTCACTCTCATGTTGACAACCTTTCAGCCTGGCCTTTTGCCACAGCTACGTCGAGCCAAAGCTGAACTCCCGTCTACTCCCGTCTACTGTTAGTTAAGCTGAGTTTTGCTGTGTACCAGATCACCGAATTCTGATGCGAGTCGTCGGTTGTGCATAGGCAAGCTCCTTTGAACAGGTCGCCCAACGCAGGGGAGACGATTTGTTGCGACACTATTCCAGCCAGTGTCTGTGCTATGTCTAAATTTGCGGTCAATGGCTACCCGTACTCGAAGCTTCGCACAGCCTCCGGATTTCCCGCGCGGCTTAACGGCACAATTAGACCGTGCCTCGCCAATCCCGCTGCGGCTTTTATACCTGCTTGGTCTACTCAATCCTGAAACCACCAAGCTCATCTGTCAAGTCGTACAATGCACAACCCTCGCCCCCCGACTTCTGCCACTTCTGAGAAGAACAGAGAACTCAGAGTCTCCGTATCGGATCTCGCTGAGTGTCTTGTCTTCCGGGCCGGAGAGGAAGTAGTGCGTGATCCAGCGTATCGCCCATGATACTCAACCTGAAGTGGTCTCTGTTAGAACCTTGAAGCTGAAAAAGAAGAACGCGAGCTCGTATACCAAGGCACTCTAGCCCAGAGCTATTCTAGTTCCCAGGAAGACAGCGATCGGCTGCTCGCAGTCCTGCTGGACCATTCTCTACTTCTATTGAGACCTCGGGGTGATACGGCGAAGTTTGATGTCTGCTATCGTGTAAGTGCTCTGTCATAGTCGGAAATCCTTCATGGGCTGATGTACAACACAGCCCATACCAATCGAGTTCCTCACCGTTTCCATGTCGAGGAACCCCCAGCAGTTCTCGAAGGTGACTGAGACGCTCAAGCGCATGGCTTGTGTTGTTCCCACACCGCCAGATGAGGCCGATCAGGGGTTTCCTGTAACTTTTGCATGCCTGGGGAGGAAGGCTTTCCACGTGTCGTTGTGGGCAACTTCCTTGGACGACCAGCAGAGATGGGTCCGAAGTGTTCAGAAACAACAAGAGGCGATGGAAGACGTACAGCACGTTTTCGACAGTCAATATTTTTCTCTTGGAGGGAAAATTGTCAGCTGCGCCACACTATTTGGTATGTACGACAGGCGTCGTGACCGAACCGATCTAACGATTGTTGTCTACAGATCAAGGGAGACAAATCGTATACGGAACTACGAACGGCGTTTATTTGTCCGAGGTCGCCGAACCGCATAACCAGCTCATCAAGATCCTAGCCTTGAACGATGTGACACAGGTAGATGTCCTCGAAGAGCCACAGATCTTGATCGTACTGTCTGGTTTGTCGTTTTTTGTCGCCGAATGATTCAAACACTAAAATTATCCTGTAGAAGGTCAACTTCTTACCTTCCCGTTGGACGTGCTCGACTTGAATGACCCTAACGCGGCCCTCGAGCGCGCGAAACGCGTAGCCTCATATGTATCGTTCTGCAAAGCGGGAACATGCCTCGGCAGAATGATGTTGTGCGCTGTCAAATCCACTATCCTGTCCACCACGATCAAGATCTTCGAGCCTGTGTCCAACACTGGGACCACCGGGCCCTCCCGGCCCATGTTCCGAAGACTGTTGCAGGGTAACCAGTACGACAATGACAGGTTGATGAATCTCACAAAGGTGCCGTCTCCAGAAGATCAAACGCCCTCCAATGCTAACTGCTGCTCGTAGGAGTTCTACATACCCAAACAGACGAACGCTGCCATCTTTCTCAAGACGAAACTCTGTCTCGGCTGCGCGGGCGATTTCGAAGTCGTCGATATCGAAACCCTGGACATCCAAACTCTCCTGGACCCCTCCGACCAGTCGCTAGACTTTGTGCGTAGCCGCAAAGTACTGCAGGCGATTGCCCTCTACCGTATCGGTGATAACTTCCTCATGTGCTATGATGGTAGGCGCGTCCTGTCTCCTACGGACGATATTGGAGCTGATTAGGCTGTCTGTTGCAGAGTTTGCATTTTATGTTAACAGGACCGGATGCCGATCCAACAAACACTTCTTGGTGTTCTGGGAGGGTACCCCGACCGCTTTTGGTACGTCCAGGTCTAAACGAGTCTCTCTGTTTAAACTTGGAGATTAATTAGCCACAGCTCTTCAGTACCCGTACATTCTTGCCTTCGACCCTACGTTCGTGGAAATCTGGCACGTAGAGACTGGACGGATTGTGCAGGTCATCCAAGGCAGCAATATACGGTGTCTCTGGCCTGGTGCGACGCCATTCCAGTTCGACCCGGCCCACCCTTACGGAGCGCAGAGTGGGGTGCTGGTGGTGTCTGACGAACAGGTTGTGAAGCTGCAGGCGTCCGCGCGGACGCCATAGAAGATTTATTGTGCTCTCCATGCTGCTCGTGATTCATACCAGATGGACATGTTGAATTGTGGTATATTATGTCTGGTTAACAAGCTTTTCCAAGCTCTCTTCTGAATAACGCACTTTGTGGCTTAGAAAGACATTTCCCGAATCGCATCTGCACCCCTCATCTCTGAAGTGCACCGCGATGATTTTCACATTTAGCTCAAACCAGTTGTGATGGGTTTAGAAGTGAGCAAGCCAAAAGGAAGCTGGTGTCGCAGGAAGGGTCCAAAATGGCAAAATGACACAAATTCTAAGAACTCAAAGAAGATGAGAAAAGAAAAAGGAATAATTTGCGAAAAAAAAACTCAACGACCTTTTCACAATGTTTTGAAGATATGTACTTCTCTTGTGAAAACTTGAGAAAAAGAAAGAGCCTAGCCGGGATTTGAACCTGGCTTTTTACTGTGCTGAATGTCTCACACGGAATGAACACCAGTAAATATTACAGTACAATTACTATATCATAACGCAGATACCTTCAAAGTAAGCAATGTCTTTCTTATTCCTGTCTTACTTGCTCCAGGAACCCCTCTCGGGAACAGATAGGGCTGGATTCAGCTCAAGTCTGCAGAGAAAGAAACGAAGGCGTGCACGTGCTCGGTGGGTGTGGTTCAAGCACAAGCACAGAAGTTGAGAGCTTCGAGCGCGCAGTGTTATTGTTTATTTGTACAAGAGGTGGCTCCGCTCCATTTCGCGACTAATGTTCTTGTCACGGTGGTGGCTGTTTTCGCGATGGCTGTCTCCGCGGTCATTGATGTCATGGGCTGTGCAAAGGTACTCAAGTCTCGGTAAATATGACCGACCCAAGGCAGCCTTCTGGTAATCCGCCACTGCCGCCTGCGACGCAGCGCTGGCATGCTGCGTCAGAGTGGCGGCAGAAGCAAAATGAACAATGATATCGAGCGGAAGCGGGCGTACAAGTATATAGAGCGGAAGCGACCGTACAGTGACTAGGGTGATACATCAGGGTATTTAGCATGAAACGTATAGTATTACAGTTGTACAATCAGTCGCCGCATACGCTACAGAATTGGATCCTACTTTCAACTCGACTTTCCTCCCGGCCGCTCTTTCGACTTTGGCTTGTTCGGGTCTGCTTCCCTCAGTGCGCTGAGTATTTTCTCGAGATCCCAGTACTGATTTACGGATTCGCCAAGATCATCAGAAGCAGGAGGTTGGACGGTGTCTATCCAGGCCTGGAAGAAGGAACGCCACCGTCGGAAACGCCTGGAGAGCGGGAAGCAGCTCAGCGACTTAGAGCCCGAGGTATATAAGAAGAGCCCTCTCTTGTTGTGCAACAACTCGTCGTAACTCCCGCACTCCCACGCCACTACCTGTTGACGGACGCCTGCATGGCGTGCGGACTGCTCTTCGCACTTAAAACCGCACCACAGGGCAACGTACAATAGTGACTCGTAGTCGAATCGCACCAGATGATAGGGTACGGGAAGCACTTCTTGTTTTTCTTCTTCTTCTTCCTCGTCGTCGTCGTCGTCGTCGTCGTCTTCTTCTTCCTCCTCTATTTTCTCGAACGCCCACCACAGGCCGTACAGGACGTCCCGCGCCATGAAAGGGAGCGTGCCCGTGCGATGCTTTGACGACGGACCCGCTACTGGCTCCCCATTCGGTGTCACTCGAGTCGCAAGGTCAAAGTCGTTGAGGATGAACAGGGGCGCCTCGTCTGCTCCCCTTCTCTGGACCATGAAGTTATTGTAGCTTATGTCCCGATGCAAAATTTGCGCTTTGAATCGCAGATCACTAATAGGCTGCCTAGCAGAGAATATAATGTCAGCATTGATGTCGTCGACGACGACACACAAGAAGCTGACTTACATTCCAGCATCTGGTAGATCATTTCACCGAGGTATTCCGACGATTTCGAGAAGAGCGTCCCCAGATGCTTGTACTTGGTGTAGATGAGCGCGCGAAGAATGCGCTTCTCGTAGTTCATCTGCTCCTCCTCAAAGAATAGCCTGCGGAAACCGTCGTCTAGGGACCACAAATCCCCAAAATAACACAACTCGGGCAAACCTTTGACGCCAACCTTCTGAGCGATACGCAACAAATTCTGCTCCTTCGGGCGGGTGTGCACCTGCTGGGAGATCTTGATCACGAGAGGGGTATTGTGGGCCTTCATCGGCGGGCTCTCCACTGTCGCATTGTAGACCATCGTGTGCCGGCCGACGAGGGCGTACTGGAGAAAGGCTGCCCAATTTGATGCGTATCGTGGCCTCATTTGTCGATGGCGTTATAGCAGGAACAGGGGAGGTATAGAAGGGGGCAGGCTGAGGCGTGGGCACGGGTGCGGGCGCGGGCTCGACATCCTCGTCATACGCACCTGGCACTAGTTCAACGATGTAGTTATCCATAGACGCAGGAGGGAAGCCGTTGGGGCACGGCGAATCCTCTGGCGGGAGGAGCACTTACTATCAAAGTCGATCGACTATCATCGACTGATTAGATAAGGTCTGCCTAGGGATGATCGACCTGGTTCAAAGCGCTCCGCGCCACGGAGTTCGGCGAATATACCCGAACAAATCATAATTGGCCTCGACGACCACCTCGCAAATCCGCTCGCTCCCTTGCCACAGTTGCGCTCAACCAAAGCTGCCCATGGCCCTCCACTAAGTGTCTCTCATTGTCTGTCCACTGGGATGACTCTCTGGACGCGTCAGGATAAATAACTTTAACTTTTAATGTAAGTTGCCGTTCGTGCATCGGAAAACTCTTCTGAACAAAGCATGAAGCGCGGGGGCAATTCTCACACAGGGTCATAATAGCCGATACATGTGCTATGTATAATTTGCAGTCAACTGCGATCTGTAAATACCAAACTTTGCACAGTGGCTCAATGGCATAATCAGACCGGCGCCGCTCTTCGCTGATTCCGCTGCAGCTTTTATACCCGCTCGTCTCCTCGGTTCTCAAACGACCAGTTTTATCTGCCAAGCCATATGATGCTCAATCTCTTCACCTCGTCGCCTGCCACTTCCGAGACGAGATCAGAGCTCAGAGTCACTGCATCGGACCTCGACCAACGTCTTGTCTTCCGGACCGGAGAGGAAGTGGTGCGTCACACTGTGTGCTGTGCGCATGCACCCGCCCGAACTAGCCTTTGCCAGGATCTTCGAGTTGTGGAAGAGGGGCATGAGCTCATACACCAAGGCGTCTTAGTCCGGGATCATGCCAGCTCTCAAAGAGATACCAGTCGGCTGCTCGTAGTCCTCCTAGACCATTTTCTACTTATATTGAAACCCCGGGATAATGCTGCAAAGTACGATGTCTGTTATCGCGTAAGCCCTCTGTCATGGTCGGAAATACCTACGAATTAATGTCAATTGGTTCACAGCCTATACCACTCGAGTTCCTTGCCGTTTCAACGTTGGGGACTCCCCAGGAACTATCTAGGATGACTACGACGCTCAAGCGCATATCATGCGTTATTCGTACACCTTCGGTCGAGGCTGACCAGGGTTCTCCTGTAATTTTGCACATCTGGGACGGAAGGCTTCTCAGACGAGGTTATGGGCAAACTCCCTGAACGACCAACAGGGATGGATCCAACGTGTCCAGAAACAACAAGAGGTGATGCAGAATCGACTACACACTTTCAACAGCCAACATCTCTCCCTTGGAGGGGAAGCGGTCAGCTGCGTGGTGCCATTCGGTGTGTATGATAGGATCGTGATTGATCCTATCCAATGACCGCCATCTACAGATCAAGGGAGAAATATCGTTTACGGGGCTACCGACGGCGTTTACTTGTTGGATGTTACTAAACCGCATAATCAACCATCCAGGATCTTAGCCTTGAGTGATGTCACACAGGTAGATGATCTCGAAGAATGCCAGATTTTGATTGTACTGTCTGGTTCGTCGTTCCTCTTCGTCCAGTGATACGCATATCATCATCATTGCCTTTTAGGGGGACAGGTTCTTGCTTTTCCGCTGGATGTGCTCGACTTGAAAGACCCTATCGCGGCCCTCGAGCGCGTAAAGCGAGTTGCCTCGCAAGTGTCGTTCTTCAAAGCAGGGACATGCCTCGGCAGAACGATGTTATGCACCGTCGAGTCCAGCCTGCTGTCCAGCACGATCAAGATTTTCGAGCCTGTCTCCGACAAAACCACCGAGTTCGCCAAGTTCCGGAGACGATTGCAAGGCGGCCAGCATGGCGGTAACGACGGGTTGGCGATGCCCATAAAGGTGCCATCACCAGAGAACCACACCGTCTTCGCTGATTTTTGTTGTACTTGTAGGGGTTCCGTGTGGCCAGACGGGCGAATGCCGTCATGTTCCTCAAGACGAGAATCTGTCTCAGCTGCACGGATGACTTCAAAATCGTTGATATCGAATCCCTGGATAACCAACCTCTCCTGGCCCCGTCCGACCAGTCGCTGGACTTCGTGCGCGGCCGCAAAGCCCTGCAAGCGATTGCCCTCTACCGGGTCGGTGATAACTTCCTGGTGTGCTACGATGGTAGGCGCGTCTTGTCTCTTACGGATGTTGAAGCTGATTAGGCTGTCTGTTGCAGAGTTTGCGTTTTATGTCAACAGGACCGGATGCCGGTCCAACAAACACTTCTTGGTGTTCTGGGAGGGTACCCCGACCGCTTTTGGTACGTCCAGATCCAAACGAGTCTCTCTGTTTAAACTTGGAGATTAATTAGCCACAGCTCTTCAGTACCCGTACATTCTTGCCTTCGACCCTACGTTCGTGGAAATCTGGCATGTAGAGACTGGACGGATTGTGCAGGTCATCCAAGGCAGCAATATACGGTGTCTCTTTACCGCCGACACGCCGCCGTCACTGAAGATCGACCCGGCAAACCCTTCCGCGGGGCGGAGTGAAATGCTGATAGTATCTGACGAACGTGTCATGAAGCTGCGGGTGTCCGCGGAGACACTGTAGGAAGTCCCGCTTATTCTTCGTGTTGCTCACCAGTCATGCCAGATGGGCATGTTGGAATATGATGTATTATTGACAGGCTTTCCCGAGCATTCGTCTGAATGTTATGCACCGCGACTTAAGGATATGTTTCGGATCGCATCCGCATCCCCCACTGCTGGAGTTCAACGTCCTCCGTGCTGATCTTCACGTCTGACTCGAATCCAACAGCAGCGGGTTCAAAGGTGAGCAGGTCAGAAAGGAGTTGGCAGCCCATGTCATCCTGAAAGCCTTTGCCTGTTGGCCGAACACAGCGTCGCTTGTATTTAAGGGACATATGTCGGTATCTCGAGCAGCACGCAAATTGTCAGATGAATGTATCCACCGTGTCATAAGCTGATCTTACTGCGCTTAGGTCCTCGGGGCATACAGTACACCGAAACTACGGTACATTTGCGGCGATTTTTGCCATCATCCAATTCACGCAACACGATGCGGATGCACTTTGACTTCTGTGCCAAGACATTCGCGGCTAAAATCAAAATCAAACCATCCGACGGCATGACCTTCTCGTTGTCTACCTCCGGCACCGACGATATACCGCTCAAAACTGTCGCACGTGGGTGGTCCGGGACCTGTACCTTCCCATTGAATCTGTACGCGGAGACCCCTCCTCCCTGACGGTTTCGTGCTTGAGAACGATTTCCGAGTGGCTTCCCTGTCACTCACTGTCAGATTGTCAACAGAGTAGCGGGACGTCCCAGCAGGCGCTTTGCGGGAAAATACTGGGCACATGTGACGAACAAGGTACACTCTGAGCTTCCGCATTTTTGTTCATTCCCTTGCGTTACAGTCAGCTGTGGAGGCTACCAGCTATAAAATGCGTGTACTCGGTTTCCAGAGGTACTCAACAACACGCCGTTCTCTGCTACCTCAGCAAGGATGTTCAAGCTTGCGGTTGCTCTCATCTCTTTGGCCTCTCTCGTCACGGCACAGGTCCCCGTCTGGGGACAGTGTGGTGGCATTGGTTACGCTGGCTCGACAGTATGCGGTACGTGCACACATGCTTTGACGAATGTCAGAGACTGACAAAATCATGGCCAGCCGCTGGCAATGTTTGCACTGAGTACAGTGCATACTACAGCCAGTGTATCCCAGGCTCGAACTCGGCTCCGCCGCCGCCGCCGCCTCCGACGACCACAGTCAGCAGCCCTAGCTCGTCGAGCGGCACGGGCACTGCGCCCACAGGCCTCTCGTCCATCCCTGCCTCGACGCTCTTCCAGTTCAGCAACTTTGGCACGAACCCGAACAACGTGGCGATGTATGTCTACAAGCCGAAAAAGGTCCAATCCTCGCCACCTCTGATCGTAGCAAGCCACTGTGCGTGTACCTGCTTCATACGCTTTTGCGAGGCTAAGCAGCTCACTGGCTCGTAGACTGCCAGGGTTCTGCGCAAGCGTACTACTCAGGCTCTAAGTTCGCTCAGCTCGCTGAGACCTACGGATACGTCGTCATCTACCCGTCCTCGGTAAGTGTCTCTTTCTGTAGCACCCAATGTTAGTCAGGGTGCTGATGCACCTTCCATTAGCCTCACTCTGGCACCTGCTGGGACGTGTCCTCCGATGAGACGCTCATGCATAACGGCGGTAGCGACTCGCTCTCCATTGCCAACGCTGCCCGCTTCGCCGTCAGCAACTGGGGCGTCGATCCGAACCGCGTCTTCGCTGTCGGCACGTCCTCCGGTGCAATGATGACCAGCGTGCTTGCTGGTGCCTATCCCGACGTCTTCAAGGCCGGCATCGTTGACTCCGGTGTCGCATTCGGCTGCTTCGCGGTCACCGGTCAGCCGGAGGACAGCTGGAACTCTCAGTGTGCCGAAGGTCAGCTCATCCTCACTGGTCAGCAATGGGTATGTGTCCAAGTGCTCTGTCCTCAGGTCTAATACAGTGCAACTCATGAGTTATACAGGCCCAAAAGGTCACAGCTGCGTACCCCGGCTACACTGGCGCACGCCCGAAGATGCAGGTCTGGCACGGAACTGCGTACATCCACTTCTCTGCTCGATATGCTTGTGCTCACGCGATGGCCACAGCGACACCACTCTCTATCCTCAGAACTTCTACGAGGAGATCAAGCAGTGGACGACAATCTTCGGCTACCCGAGCAACCCCATCTCCAACGCCACCGAGTCGTACCTGCCCGGAGGCTACTCGAACGCGACCTATGGCCCCGACTTCCAGGCGATCCTCGCCCAGGGCGTCGGTCACACCGTTCCGCTCTACGAGCAGCAGTACCTCCAGTTCTTGGGCATCGCGTAAAACCGTCTCGGGAGTGGTCGTAATCATAATGTCCTGCTGTAGCTCTGTGAAGCGTAGTAGCATACCTCTGTACTGCTTGTTCAAAATATCAGTCACCGGGACCCGGGTCGGGAGTCTGAGTCAATTCCTGGTGGGAGTCGTGTTGATGTGCGGCTTCTTCAAGGCGGAGCATGGTTAGGTCTCTCCACCGATAGCTGTCGGAGAAATCATGTACACGAGGCGTCGAAGCGATGCTGCCGCAGTCGGGCGCATCGGAGCCAGCGGCGTCACGTCTGGTTCCCGGCCGTGAGATGAACAGTCACCACAACTTTGGGTTCAGGGAACGGAGATGAGTCGTAAATGGGTGCTGAGCGCTGAGCGCTGACGGAGCGCCGCCAGGAGCCCGCGCAAGGTAAGGGTAGGCGAAGATGAATGGTCATGCGAGGCCGATCTGGAATCGTACTTCACAAGAGGGGATAGCTGCTAGCCGCCGCGGGCTGTCATGGGTTGCGGGTGCAAATAGTGTCCTTGTACTGAAATGGAGTGAGCATATCGATAGATTTATTTCCGTAGGCCAAAGGTGTAAAGAAATCCCTAGGCTTCGTCAATGCTAGAAAGCAAACACAACTCTGGGAGCAATGACAGCTACGCCTTCATAAATTAGCCGGTCCATTAAAAATCGGGATTACATGCATATATGCTAGTCATCGAGTCCCGTCTCGTCGTTCACCGCCTGTTCCCATCGTATAACAGCCACGCCAGCCCATACCGGACAGCAAAGGCAAGTACACTTCCTGTAACCTGGTCGAAAGTATATATCAGCATCGCCGCGACTCTGAGGCGGGCTGAATGCAGACTGACCTGGGTCGAGATCAGCACCTGGACGAGCGAGTCCTCCTTCATGGGCCCCAGGTTCACGAGGAAGACATTCAGGATAGTCAGGTTCGTAGTCTCCGGCAGGCCAGTCTCAGGATTTTTACTGAGATTGATGAGTCGAAGAGTAGAAAGAACGTTCAGGATTGCGGTTGTAAGCGCTGAAGGCGGCTTCTCGAAGATGGCCTTCGAAGGGTAGAGTAGCCCCGTCTCCTTGTCAAACCTATCGCAACATTGGCTTTCATCCCGTCGAAACATAGATCAATTACACACCTTGGAACACGATGCCGTGGACAGGGGACCAAACCAAACAGCTGGGGACAGGATAGGACGAAGTTAAAGATTTGAGGGAGGAAGAACAACAAGAGCGTCTTGGAGAAGTGCGCCTGAATGCCGACTACCGCGAAAGCCATGCCAGCCAAGTAACAGAGGGTGTCCCCGGGGAATGCTCTGGCTGGATACCTGAGAAGGCCATGAGCCATCCAATGCCCGTCACCATGGAGAAGCATGCTGCTCACCAATTGTGGTACAAGAAGCCGGCGCATACACCGACCAGAGGAAGCATGAAGTACAAGCTGAAGAGGTGCCTCTCCACCATTTCCCTGCTGCCGTAGGCCATTCCTGCGCCCCAAGGTCCACCAATCTTAAACTCAGCGTGCCCACCAAGAAGATGTACAGGGATTTGAACGCCGAACGGCCAGGGCAAGTAGAGCAGATCGTTCAGTATGACCGACAACGCGATGATCAACGCCTGAGATGTCTCGGAACCGTTAATACCTGCGAGGATGTTGATGCTGTTGGTCGAGAAGGTAGAGAGCAAGGACATGTACAGATAGTACAGCGGGCCGACATTAATGAGGGTACCGAAGAGCCAGCGCAGAGGAATAGGCACGACGACGTTTGTGTTCCCCCGTTCGGCATAGTAGACCAGGAGGAGCGGAATGGTCGCAATGATGGGGATGGGGAGCTTGTGTCTCCAGCGAATATCGAAGACGTCATCGAGGAAGCCAAGCATGGTAGCGATGAGGAGTGAGAGGATGGACGAGAGGTAGACAGCAAGCTAAAACAAAAATGAAGACGGACACGACTATTCGTGGCGGAGAGACGTACCTTCTGGTGGGGAAACTCTGCGACGACCAACCCGTGCTGCGACCGGTTTTCATAATCATTGACAAACACATCAGAGAACGCGAATGGGATGAAGAGGATCAAAACAAGAATGTAAATGGACGCGCATACCAATCCCAAGCTTTCCGGGCTGAGAGATTATCAAAGCATGAGTGTCTACCACGTCGAGAGGGCTGCGTGTACGTACATCGGCGTGTCATACGTCTTCAGCAAGTCTCTCCCAAAAAGCCGCGCTTTAATGAAAGTCTCGCCCAATGCAGGCACGAGATATACGGTTGCGATGAACGCAAATATGGAGAGGCCTAGTGCAGCATGGAAAGCGGGCAAAGGAGGTAGCGGATCGAGCAGGGGGCGGACAAGGAGCCATGCGCCGACTGGTACGAGGGATAAGAGGAGGATGGACGACAAAGGTCGAGGGCCGAGTGTCTGAGCCATCTAGCAGACATACGTGGCATAGTTCAAGTTGGCTGTACCTCTTTTATTACATGTGTGGTAGGACATACTGCGGCAAGCCTCCAGTGATCTGACGTGTCTCAGGCCTCAGCTCCTCACGGTTCCCTTCTAAACAGTGCGTAACAATCTGCAGGGACAGAAGAGTCAGTGTCGTTGATATATAAACCATTGAACCACAGCACAAGGTCAGAAATGCGAAGTAACATCTAACGTACTAAAAAGTACTCAGACTGACGTGCAAACGCAATGAAAGTCTCATCTCACAAGCATAGTGATACAAAGCACGACTCACCTCTTCCGGCAACTCAAGAGAGACAGAGGAAAACAGCGTAACATTCACGAAGGTAGTGAAGACATTTATGTGACCAAGCGTACGCGAGAAGAGCAAGCACACCAAATTTATGGCGCGCCATCACGTGACAGACAACGTGTCCTCGTGGCGTCAGGCGCTCTGGGGGCCCGTATTTCTCGGCTACTAATCCTTACATTATTACTTCTTGAAGACAGACGACCATCTGCTACTAGTACAAGGATTTGAAAATTTAGCGGAGGTCTATACAGGAACTCCCTTGCCGTCGCAATCTAGAACCTCCATCCATAGTGACGCAATGCCCTCCTCTTCGCACCCCACTTCGAAGCCAATATCCCTCAACACGAAGTATTCCCTGGCTGAAGTCTGCACAGCTGCCAGTGCTGAGTGAAGAGCCATCTTAGAAGACGTCGTAAAGTGAACGCTCTCGACATGATGGGTGCTAAGAGTAGATAATCAGTAAGCGAAGACTCTAATTCGTTGCAGGAGCTCAGAGCACACACGCTGGCAGGAAGAGATTGACGGGCAGGTCCCTGCTGCTCAGTTTCACTAAGGGATTTTCGTGACGATTCGGCAGCCCGGCGAAGTCCTGAGCCATCTCGGTGGCCGACATCCACGAGCCACTGACACTGCGGATGTGCAGCACACGTCAGCGATTCCGCCCGACAGCACGCCGGAGCTCACTGACCTATTCGCAACGACGCACGCGAGCACGTATCTTTCTGCGACGATGCGCTTCGCCCGGCCGACTTCGCCTTCTTGCATGGCTCTCTTGCTCCACAGTCTGCTGATACCGCGGTCGTACTCCTCGTGGTTTGCCCACTTCAGATGTTGGAGGAGCAGGCCTTCAGGGGTCCTGGAGGCGCTTCGAGCCCAATGGTTAATGAAAGCTGACCAGTCCACTCGCAGGCTAAGACAAGGGCCGAGACTACATATCGAAGCATCCCCATTCGACGATCCCGTGCCGGTCCCAATAACCTCGCAGGTCGACTCAAGCACGTAGAAGCGCGAGGCGCAGGATGCGTTGCCAGGTCCGTCAGGGTGCTCAACGGTGATAGACCAAACCTCGTGGGGCACGACTTCCTGAGCGTCGACGACAAGCCCTCGGAGCCAGTCTTCAGACCTCCTGCCGCCAATCGAGAGAGCAAACCAGAACGACGCGAGGACAAACCTGCCCGGTTGCGTTCAACAGAGTATGCGTCACGGTTAAACGAAAACACGTACCGCACTGCGACAGTCGCTTGTTTCTCATGGTCTGGACTGCCCCATAAGCGGGGCGAGATCGGGATGGCTCTCCCGGTTGCTTCGAGCCGCCCAAGGAAAGACCGTGAGTATATGCGCTCTCGATTGCTTGCCTCTTCCTCGCGCGCCCGGAGGTACGGCCAAAAGTTGGTCATCGCGTGAGAAAACGGCTTTGTATCTCTGGTAGTACGCTTTCCGCGAAATTTGCGATCGAGGATGTGAATGGCGGAAAGGTACACTGTGTGGTCAAGGGGAATGAGCATGCATAGATGAACTGGTAGACAGATCGAGAACTGCAGACCAGCGTAGCGAAATGTTCGTGATACGAGCGCGCATTGCCTACGCGACGCGTTATCGAGACCGCTTAGGATTATAGCCCAGCTCTGGACGCGTTTACGCTGCGACAAAGGTGGAGGTAGGGTAATTGAGTGTAGCATAGGCGCGGCCGGAACCGGTAGAAAGTCCAGGTGCACTAAGGAGGGATCGCCAGCAAGAGAAGCGCGGACGGAAGTGCTGGTAGGCGGTATTCCGGAAGTATCAGTAGTATTTTGAGGCTTCCTACTCCCAGCTACGAGGGGTCTGAAGCGCTTGGCGGTCTTCGAAACGGCCGGTTGAGGTGCCAGCGTAGGCGCACATTCAACTTGGGCCAGTCGAGCAAGTGTTGGAGCAGGGGTGCCGGCATCTGCGAGAACGGAATGAGGAGTCGTGGCAATACTCGCGCTTCGCGCTTGTTGCGCCGATATACTACTAGAGAGCGAGAAGGGCTTGTGGGCTGTAAGACGAGCCGGCGCTATCTTCGTTTTCTTAGGCCGCAGTTCGTCGATGGCTTTGGCGGTGCGCTTGACAGGAACAGTGATAGAGGAATCTATCTGAGACTTAGTGGTGGTGGCTACCAAAATTGAAGGCTTCCAGGGTGCAATTACTGTCGTTGCAGTGCCTAGACGTGCAGAGCCGGCGAGCGTTGATGGCCCAGCTATGCCGTCGACAGGAGATGCTCCTAGAAAGGTCGCTGGGATAGCCTGCTTAGAGCTAGGTATTGTCGACGCAGGTACGCAATCCAGACGATTGTCGGAAAAACCCTCAGTTACTGCACTCCTAGCAGAGCAAGTATTTTTGATCGAGCCTGGGGGAGATACGGATGCAGAGACTTGGGGAACTCGGATGGCTGAACTTAATCTTGCTGTATCCTGAGTATGAGTTGTTTTGGATGGCTTTCCGAGATTTTCCGAAGCGATAGAAGCAACGAGAGAGTTCGACTTGCCGGCGTTAGCACCGGCCAGTTTCTCAATGAGCGAGGGCTTGCTAAGCTTCGAGTATCCAGGGAGCTTGCGTTCCTTGCACAATGCTTTCAGCTGAGCCACAGTGAGTTTCGAGAGATCATTAAGAGGATTTGAAGGCTCCATGTTTAGAAGATTTGAGTAAGAGATGCAGCAGTTGAGGAAGGGAGCGGCAAGAGCGCGCGCTGAGAGATCTTCGGGGTCCGGCTGTATGCGAGTGTCTATCAGACCCCGGTGCCCATATAGTGCCCTGCATTCGCCGTCACCTTAAAATTTGAAGGCACAGCGAAGGAATACAATGTAAACTGATTTATTGTTCGAGCAGAGATGATCGCAGTATATCAGCTGAGAAGCGTTCGATAGCCGGCTGGCCAGGATATTTGCAGGGACTAGCCCGGAACAAGTGCCTCGTCGAGCACCGTGACTGGGACTCGTCACTCTCGCTCGCTCAAGACTTGGCAGAGGGACGGACCAACAGCAGACATAAGATCTCTTTGCGAAGCACTTGAGTCAACCCCCCCCCCCCCTCTGCAGAGTTGCCCATATTAGAGAGAAACGCGCCCGATGTACCGTCAGTAAGCTGTCGAGTTGGTTGGCTGATAGCCGAAAAATACGACGAAGTCGCCGCCGTACCAACTGAAGCTCAACTCAATCGTCCTATGTTACCATGCTTTATGATAACAGAGATATTCTGTACAAACGCGTTCGCAGGGGACCGGTAGTGAAAGCAGAAAAGAGCTGAACATTTGTTATGACTCCTGTTACCCATGTTGAAACATGGTGAAAGTGGCGTGAGCAGTAAGGCACCTCCGACTGCTACATGCCGTCTAGGGTATCCCGATTGACACGGACGACGTGTTGGTCAACAGATGTGACATCTCACTGACCCTGAGCGATGATATCACAGCTGAAGGTGGCGACCGTCCTGTGCTGAAAAGCTTAGCATATCTCCGACAAGGAACGTTACTTGAAAGCGGACATCTCTTGTTTCGACAACACTAGTACCAGCGATTAGTCTATTAAGCTAAGGCTGAGACAGCAGCACTTGCCTTTGAAATGCAAAGGTGCCGTACAAACTTGCGCGATCGAGCACAAATGGCAGACCGCAGCGACCAGCTAGTCAGAGGAGGCGAACGGAATGCCTGCCTTTCCAGCTGTCCCCGACCGACAGCACTCACACGAGTGACGTGCGGATATACTCCCATCACAGGCTAGCGCAGCCGTCGGTCTGCCGACACCTTCCCCGCCCCATTCACCGCCGCTGGCAGGGGCAAGAGCGATCGTGGCTGACCCCTGGGTGCGGACATTGACTCAGCTCTGATGGGTCATCAAGAGGGCAGTGTTTGATGTTGGGCGTCGCTCGCTGGCGTCGGTGTTGCAAAACAAGCATGGAAACCCGGAGAGCTACTCGTAAGGTTGTCCGTTAGCGTCAGCAAGGCCTGACGGCCCAGACCAGGACTCAAGGCTAGGGTGGTGTGCCGACATTACGCCACGAGGACGACGATCAGCTCGTATGAATTCATAGGAGCCGCATCACACGCGGAGCGCGCATGACTGGGCTAGCGTCGGGCTGAGAAACGGCTTGCTCAACATACACACGCACAGCACAGAGTGAAACGCACCCCGCGGCGAGAATTGCAGGAAGGCGGCCTCGGAAGAGCGGGTGGATGTCGAATGAAGGGCCAGTCAGAAGCGCAGGGCATTCAGGGAGGGATCTCAGATCCCTCAGGCTGCCCCTTGAAAATTCAATTTAAACGATTTCCAATCTTGGCAACGCCTATGGCGCCTGAGCCTATATTCCAGAACATAGCTCTAGGTGCTCGGGATACCTTCACAACCTCGCCCACTCGTCCCCCCGAGCTCGCTGTCTGCGACAACGAGCAAGCACAGATCAATGCTGCATTGCGGCCGCTAGGTGCGTCATCCCCGAGGCGATGCCAGCGCATACGCTCATGCTTTCTCATCTGCATATCCCCATCCGCACCTGCATCCTTTCATCAACATGGACTGTTCCCGCCCAACTGCTTCTCTGATGCTCTCTCCGTCACATATCTGGCGCGCAGGATTTTGCTAGCAAGGAGATGCTGCACTACACACCTCCCCAGCTGGTCGAAATGGACTCCAACTCGCTCTCTCCCTTCGCAAAGGCCAAGCGCTTCTCGACACAAGACAAGCAACCGTTACCGCATCCCGAGTCCAATACGAACCCGAAACGGGCCAGCAAACTTAATGACTTCATCTCTCGAACACGCACCGCCTCGCTCCCCCCTCGACCCCATACCAGCAACGGCTCATCCCCGTCCAAGTTAGCTGCGAGGCTCGGCAACTTCAAGGGCAAAGGCAAGGGCAAGGAAAAGGCAGAGCTTCTGTCTCCCGAGGCGGATGATGATGGACGTGGGGAGTACATAATCAGAGCAGCTGCGAGCTCCGTGACTTCGGGTAAGCATTCCCTGCACTGCTTCCTCGTGTCGCGCTTGGTGTCACACCGACAACTCGTGCTCTATCGACGAAAGTTAGAGCCGTGTCGAATCACTGGATATTCCACTGCGCTTCATCCTTCCTCCTTGGGAATGTCCCACATGCGAAGATATGAAACGCTTCCTCCCGCCCGCCGTCAATGGTACCGAATAAGCTAACATGTCCTTCCTAGTCGTAGATCCTTTTGCAGCTCACCCATCAGCTGTGGAAGCGTCTTCATTTGTCACATATTCCCCAGTCGCTACATCCCCACCGTCGATGCTCGGGCAATTTAATTCCCCGCTATCCCGTCGTACCTCCAAGCGACCACAAACGATGCAGTCACTGTCTGCAACGTCGACATCCCCCTCTATCAGTGATGTAGTGACACCACCCACGTCCCCATCGACGTCGTCTCCGCCATCACAGCCCGCGAGCCCACCTACACGACGACGTGGCAGCCTGCTCGTCGCTGCATCAGACGCGTTCTCCACGTTCGCACGCAAAACGCCCAACATGAAGCCCCGTCTAGGTAGCATTGGCCGGACGCAGAGCTCAAAGGCAAACATGGCACTCGGCATACATACGCCACAGCCTATCGTACTCACGGAAGTTATCGAGATCACCGAGAGCGCGGTGCGGGCGAGCAAGCGGCAGGAGGAGGAAGAGGAGGAGCGCGAGCGGTTGCGTGACGCTGCAGCCAGGGCACTAGGCATTGGAGAGCTTGATGTCGACACGACGAGCCTGAACTCGCGCATGCGATCAGAGCTCTTGGACCCTGGAGACGAAGACTATCGTGGCTCTGGCGGCGACAGGGACAGCCCAGATTGGTATGACATGAAGACGCCAACAGCGGCTCGTTCGGATATGGGGCATTCGCGCTCGCGCTCGGGATCCTACATACCCCCACACACGATGCCGTTCACAGCGCAGTCGACCCGGCCTTCGACACCGTCAATAGCAATAGCCTCCACACAGGTCGCGCTACCGTCGTCTTCCCTGGGGATCTCTGTCCCCCGCTCTCCCTTCCTCCCCCCCAGTTCCCCTCCGCCACGGAACCCATCCGTAAAATCGCTCTCCACGCCCCCAGCGTTATCACTCAACACCCGCGCGGCAAGCCCCCCCTCGCGCGAGATCTCGGCCGCGCGACTGCGTGAGCACTCGAAGCCTGTGCAAGAACGGGACCTGCCGCCCCCAAAGATACCGCCATTCCCCAGTACGTACGCATCTCTGAAGCCGTTCGTCCAGCGCTCTGCGACGGTCCCGCGGCACTACCCCGCCCCCTCGCTCCTGATGTTCGCGCTCTCGAAGCAGTGGAAGAACAGGTACCTGGTGCTGACGTCGCCGCTGCCCCCGTCGTCCCCCTTGCACACGCCGACGTTCATGATGCCGTGGGGGAACGCGCCGAAGGGCGCGCCGACCTCGTCCTTCCTGCATCTCTTCAAGGGGACCGGGCCTGACGAGAAGGAGCTCGAGCGGCTCGAGATCAACGAGGAGAGCGTCGTGTACATCGCCGACGGCGAGGTCGGCGGGCGCACGCACGTCATCAAGATCGGTGGCGTCCCGAAGAGGAAGCCGCAGAACCTCGCGCGCGGCGCGGGCGCCACGCTGGGCGAGGGCATGGACTCGCGGACTTCGAGCTCCAGCACAGGGTCCGGCGACGGGCACACTGCGCAGAGCGCGGGCGGTGGCTCGAACGCGAGCGTCGGCGACGCGATTTTGGATGGACAGGCGATGTGGGCGCTGCAGATCATGGATGCCGAGGAGGCGCAGGCGTGGATCGCCGCCATCAAGGGTGCGGTGCTCAGCCAGCGGTACGTACGCCTCGCTATATGCGCATAGTATGCGATCGCTGATTCGTGCGGACAGGTCTTTTCGCGCTGGGTTGAGCAGCACGAGCCGGGCTGGCACCATCGAACCGCGAGGAGACCTCGACGTCGTGCTTTCTATGCGGGCGCTGCATTCTCCGGTCGCACCACATTCCACGGCTGCGCCGCGGGTAAACGCGTTCGATAGTCTCTCTAGCGGAAGTAGTCTGCGACCGGAAGGAAGCATCAGCCCAACGCAGTCGCATTTCACGGACGCCAGCAGATCGTCTCCGACATCGTCGCTGTCTCGGTCACAATCTTTGGCCAATTCCGGTATCTCTGGCACCCACACTTCGGTAGACTCTTCGACTGCAGAGCCTGCTCTAGGCGGTACGCTGATGCCTCCACCGCGTCCCCCGATATCTGCGGCTACTGCGATCAAGAGTCTATTCACTATCGGCGGACGACCGCGTTCACCCTCGAATGCCTCTGTCACCGGGGTGCCTACTAGCTCGTCTAGGGACATCGGCGCCGAGGGGTACCTCGAGGACTCGTTCGGGCATGCTGGTATCAGTCTACTTGGGATGATGCAGGACCGGCCCATATCGCCTATTGTACAGCCTGCGACGCCCAGAGCAACCACACCCTCCGTACCTTCCGACACACATCCCATCTTCCTGGAGCGCAAGATTCTGCCGGACAGCGACCGCCACCAACTGGAGCAGAACATCACTCCGACGCCTCCACGGGATATTCCTGGGCGGCGGGAGAACGTTAGTGTCCGTCGAGAGAACATGCTCGCCGTTCCTCACCGCGTGAGCACCGATGGTGCACACTACCCGCCCTCGCTGCAGCCGCCACCGCGCAAGCGGGCGGGTACTGTGAGCACAGTCGCGCTGTCGTTGTCGTCGCCATCCGAGTCTGAGCCATATCCCTACACGCACACGAACCGGAGCACAGCGGAGAGCCTGGGTGTCCAAAACTTGCAGCTGCTGACGCCGAGCCCGCCCATGCCGTCTCCGCTGCCATCCGCTGTTGCCCGTCCCAAGGACAGACGCGCGCGCGCGTCGTGGTCGTCTGTGTCGACTTACGGGTCCAATGAGCACACGCCGTCCTCTCCGGATGAGCCTAGGTCGAGGCGGTGGTCCCGCCGAGGGAGCCTTCCTCAGCGCATGAGCCCGCCGTACCCGGCACGCAGTCCTCCCTCTGGCTCCCCTAAGCTGCAGAACACTCGTATGCCTGCATCGCGGCACCCATACGCCGCCGAGACCAGCCCACTGAGCCGCACATCCTCAATCAAGTCTGATCACTATCCAGAGATGCAGCCCCGATCATTCTCGGGCAAGCGTACCTCTGTGTCCTCGGTGCAGAGCTTCGGCTCCAATACGTCGGCCATCCCTGCGCTAGGCCCCACTGGCAGCCCGAAGTTTGGGCAGAGACCACGCTCGTCCCATCGCACGTCTGTGCCGCCGCCGCAACGACCGGCACCGAATGGTGCGCTGCCGCCGACACCTGGCGATAGCAGTCTAGGTAGCGCGGTATCGACTTCGTCTACGCTGGATGTGGCTGCATCTCCGCCGTCGAAGATGTCGTTCCGCGAGTCTCTGCTGCTACGGAGCAAAAGACAGTCGGGTACGCCTGCATTGCCACCCCCCTCGGTCGGTCTACCTCCTCGGCCAGATGAGACTGCGTTCGGTGCCACGCACCGTCGCACGCACCGTCGCGCGTCCAGCCAAGGCAGTACTCCAACAGATGCACTTATATCACCCACAGGCACTCTAGGCCAGCCCGCGTTCCCACCGCCAAGTGGGCCCTTGCCGCCGACTCCCCAGCTACCGCCGACCCCAGGCTCTCCGCCGATGTCCCGGCACTCCTCCCTTACGCGGCGCTTCCGCAGGATCAGCTCGCCCGTCACGTCTGCCGCAGCGCCGGGGTCGCCAGAAGCCCAGTTGTTCCTGGCGGCGCCGTTTTATCCCGCGCCGCTGGCCTTGCCGCCGTCGCCGATCATGGAGGCGACGGTGCACTCGGTGCCCATCGGCGAGCCGATCACGACGTCGCAGAACGACCCGAACTTTCTGAATCTCGCGCCGCCGACGCCGTCGGGCTCGGACTACTCGCTGTCGGTTGACGGGAGGTCGCTCCCCCCGCTGCTCCAGCAGGAGGTACACGAGGCTGGACCCATCGCGCTCTCGCCGCCGCCCCGCCGTGCTTCGCGACAGCCCACCGTGCCCGAGCCCGAGCTGGTCTCAGGGGGTGAGGCCTCTGCCGAATCTGTCAGTACGGAGACGGAGAAGGAGAAGACGCGGGTAGGGCCTGATGTAGACGACGTGCTGCGTCCGCCACCTGAAGTTGATGACTTCGCCCCATCTTCGTCCTCTTGATATAATTCTTACATGCTCTCATTTTATTCCATCCGGTTTTAGATGCCGACCTCTCTCTACTTCGCATCTTCTCTGTTTATGCTACTGCTGTGTCGCTCTGGTCAATTTTTTGGTCTTGGTGCTAGTGTTCAATTAGTGTAGTCTAAATAGTTATATTCGCGGTCGCTCAACTCATTAGGATTGGAATCAGTGACATACCGGAAAGTATAGTATCTTATTGGTACAATACACTACAATTACACCATTCGCAAAGCACTGCAAGATACGACGAGCAAAATCATATGGTGAATATCTAAGCGAAATTATTTTCAACGTCCGCGCTGTCATCACCGGCTTCGAGGTTGGCAAACTACGAGCAATGAAGTGAGTAACTATGTTAGCGATGACTGATGCATAGCCACGTACCGAGAGGAATGCAGCAGGACGGTGTTCCTCTGCCCAGAACAGCAGAGGGGTGTCGAGGGCGACCGAGTAACTGATGGTTGGTGACCAGAGCTGGGTCAGGCCGATACCATAGTTCCAGATACGACCTTCGGGCACCAACGTCATTCCAAGGATCCTGTCAGACAAGAGCAGCTGGATACGCTCTGACATGTTCGGGTTAAAGCCAGACGGGTTGGGAGAAGTGTCAGTGTTCTTGCGGCCCCACTCGAATCCAGCGACAGTCAGCGAGTGCGCCGACAGCGAGACGGAGCCGGGAGTGAACGCCACGGTGAGGCAGATGGACGATGGGCCCCATTCCGGATGGTCAGCCATTAGCTTCGCGTGCGTCGTAATGTCCGTCGGCGAAAGGTGGTTCAGCTCGAGAGCCTGTGTCTTGATCCATCCAAGCGGCTCGAGATCCTTGAGCAGGAAGTCGTCGCGCGGCATTTGCGATGGCAGTTCCACGTTATTGTTGTTTCCGCGCTGAGGAACCCAGACAACAGCCTTGACCTCCTTGACCTGCTTGTTATCGGGCGGCGACACGCCATAGAGGTAGGCCGCGACCTGCGTGCGAAGGTCCGCAGCCGTGACGAAGTGGCGAAGGATGTTCTTCGGCAGGACGAAGGTGTGAGAGGAAGCGTCGTCTTTAACGTCATCATTCGACACGTAGATGTGCTGCAGACGGAGGGGTAGGTGTGTTGCCGATATCGCGCGCACTCGCCAGTCAGATTTGCTGCTGAACACCTGCTGTTCGTAGTTTGTGGCTATAGACGACGGTCAGCACAGGCAAAAAGAAAATCAAAAGAATGAGCGTACTCGTAACGGTCTGGATGGTGTCACCGTGGATGTTGGTCGTCTGGGTCTGCACCGCGGTCACCTGTCCCTGAGCTTCGTTGCTCTTTTCGAGTTCAGCCATTTGTTGCCTCTGCACCGAGGGGGCGGCGATCTCCTGTCCAAGGATGATGTCTCGGATTTCGCTCGCAGTAAGTGAGGCAATGTTGACGCTGTTGCGTTTGCCAAAGTCCGCGAGGATTAGATCCTTAAGCGCAACCTCGACCTTGATCCACTCCTCATCGCCGAGCGACGGCCAGACGAAGTGAGGCTCGGTTATCGTATTCTTGTCCGGGCGCAAAACAAGTTTCGCCTTTTCCTGATTGACGTGCAGGCCGCGAAGAAGAAGAATGAGGCGCGAGAAAGCGGTGTAGCTCGAGATGGACTTGAGCCAATCATCGTACAAGTTGAACAGAACCATCTGCGGCTGGGTCGCACGCAAGATTAGATCACCGAACTTCTCCATCTTCATGCAGGCTTGGAAGGGAAGCTGTAGCTCAGAACCCTTGATGACAATGTTCGGGAAGTCAAGCAAGTGGACCTCAAGCGGGTCCAGCATACCCTTTCGGGTGACGATAACCTGCTTCGGCTGCTCTTCGACGGGGAGCGAGCGGACCAACGCAGCGACTTCTTCGGCCGTCTTCCACTTGGCAAGCTGCCCGAGACGCTTCTGTCCGGCCCAGACACTAGTGTGAATGATCTTCAGGAAAAGCTGTCCAGAGCGCGGGTTGAAGATGAAGATAGCGCCGTTGATTGGTTTGGTTGTCAAGTTACCCTCAAACGTCTTGTGGATGGTGACACGGTAGACGTTGGTGTCGTCGACGAACCAGATGATTTGATTCGAGAACAGCTCGGAATAGTTCTGACTGTTCAGGTATGGCTCGGTGGGTTCAGACGAGTAGAGCTGGAGACCCTTGCGAATACGTTCACGAAGAACGTGGCATGCCGGATTGGCTTTCATGATCTTGGCCATAGCTTGCTGGACGAGCGGCTTGAGACCTGGGAACCAATTGCCGTACGCGGACCACAGATTGTATGCGAGATCCATGCCGATCATGACACCAGTTGGTGAGGGGTAGATACTCATCGAGTCGGAGATATAGTCAAGGAATTTCGCGCGAGTGTACCGCTCGATGTCGTGAGTGTCGAAATCGCCCCAACGAAGCTGGACGTCGACCCAGAACTTGTTGCTGGTGGTGCCGTCGAGGACATCCTTGCTATCCGTAACAAGCGAAGGGCGAGAGATGTTCCACTAAGAAAGGGGTTAGAGCCACGGAGACGTATGAGGAACTAGAGAAGTACCTTATAGGCCGAGAAGAGTAAGATATCAGCGCATGACGAGTTCATCTTGTAACTTTTACGCGGGTGGATGGTCTCCTTCTGGACAGTCTCAATCTGCAAGGGCTCAAGCTCCTGATCGAACACCTGACACAGATCCATGACGACACTCTCATGAACTGCGTAAGTACAGAGTCAGCGACTCGCAAATGCGATACACGAGGTTAACTCTTACTCTTCTGCCACAGATGTGCACGGAAGATCTGGATCAAACTGATCTTGAGAGTCGGGATTTTACCATGCCTGGGTGGGCTTATTAGCGGTGTCGACAAACGATGAACGCAGACGACCTACATGAAGATACCTGTTAGATCAAGCTGGACCTGGAAACCGACGTAGACGTTGGCGCGGTTGATGGTCGGGCTCCACCATAGGGTGAAGCGACGGTTCGGGATCTGGTTGAGACCGGACCGCTGGGCATTTGTGAGCTTCTTGTAACGCATGGACTCTTCGAAGCCGGACGCTTTCTCCCAGAAGAGACCCTCCCAGGTCGGGAAGTAGGTGCCCTTGAACAACGTGTGTTCGAGAATACCCTCAACACCACCGAGCGCAGCAATGACGTCGACACGGTAGTTGTTGAGCTGCCAGAGCTTGCCGTCGTGGCGCTGCGATGTCCACCAGAACGGGTTGCTGAAGAGTAAAATCAGGTTAAGTACGACGAAACGTCAAGTTAGAGAAACACTTACTGCTTAAGCAGCTGGTACTGCTTCCAATCCGTGCGCACACGCCAACCACGGTCGTACGCGAGGGTGTGACGATCCTTCTGGAACAGAGTGTTGATACGGGGGATACCACGATCCCAGCTATCTTCGAGATCCTCAAGGGTCAGACGTCGGTTTTGCGCGTTCGCCTCCTTCCTCTTCATCGAATATTCAGACCACACACGAGCGGAGTCCAGGAATTCGGCCTCCCAGGGCTGAAGGTAGCGATACAAGTTCGGAATCAACTGGTCCTCTTCGTGCGACATGCCAGCGCGGAAGTGGGTAACACCGACGTCGGTCTGCTTCGACCATCGGAGATCACTCTGCGGGATGAGGACGTGACCCATCGACAACATGCCGAGACCGCCCAACTCCTTGGGTGTGTAGAAGACGACGGGCGGGAAACGCGACGGCATCTTACTGTTGAGACCGATCTTAACACGCGTCTGGATCTTGTTCTCCGCCTTGACCAGGGAATCGAGTAGCTCGTTCGTGTGGATGACGGCTTCGCGATAGTACGTCATGAGACCAATGAGCGCCGTGTTCCACTTGTTGACGATCTTGGAGAACGTTGTCGAGCCAGAGCTCATGAGAACCTGACGGATGCGATTGTTGAACTGCTGGACGCCCTCATCGGACACTCGCAAGAACGCCTGTGCCGTGCGCTCCTTCGTCTGTTCGTTCGTAAGGTTCCACACGGAATCCTTGAGCGAGTACTGCTCGCCGTTGACCGTCCGAATCTTCGGCAGGATACGGACCTCAAAGCCGCACATCGAGAAGAGAAGCTGGGGGTTGTTCTTCGAGTAAACGCTGACGAAAGTGTCTTCCCATTCGATGGTTGTGAGCGAGCGCGGCAAGCTCTGCTTGACGTTCCAGAAGACCGCACGTCCGAGGTTGACGTCGTGTTTGATGAGACGCATCCGGCAGTCGCGTGGCCAGCAACGTTTGTTATTGTAGCCGATAACGTTGTTGTTCGTCGGGTCAGGGTTTGCGCTCAGGTAGCGTTGGATGAGATCACGCGCCTCCTCAGCACTGAAGCGGAAGAGGATATGAATGCGGTCGACATAGCGGGAGTACAGACGAATTGGATGACGAGTCTCTGTCGCAACATCGCGGTACTGCAGGAAATTGTTGGGCACCTGTGGCGGGCCTGCCATCTCACTGGCGCGCTGAAGGCCGAGAATAAGGATATCCAGGACGAGGCCGTAGTACTGGAAGACGAAAGCAGAGAACTGGAGGCCGCGAATGAGGCCGTACGCATTAGTGTGCGCCATATCCTTGTACGTCAGAACTGCGAGCACTTCGTCAAAATTCGCTGTTACAGGAAACAACCAAGTTACCCACCGGTATTATTCTTCGCCGTGATGTAGTCGGCCAAGTTATGGTCCATGATCAACCGCAGGAGACGGTTGAGCAGTGTAAGGTCGATCTTCTCGTAGACCTTGGATAGAACCGTCTCCATCATGACGTTGCACTCGCCCTCGCTCGTCTCCCAGATGTCCGTCAAATTGTTGATGCCCTGGCACCATTTGTACACGAGCAGCGGCGGAGGCTCTGTGTCAGCAGGCTTGATCCAAGCGGGGAAGAGACCGCGCTTGTCGGCCTCGAAGAACAGGAACTGGTCAAGGTACGCATCGGTGATCTTCTCGACGGGCTCGATATCGTAGCATGGGATGAGCTTGTCGTAGGTGTCGAAGAACTCGATACCGGACTCCTTGAACGCACGTTGGGTCAGGAGCAGACGCTTGATTCGAGACAAACACTCGTGCGGGTTGTCGTACGCTTGCTCAATCAACGCCAGCTCCTCACGCTGAGACTGGTTCAGGCGGCCCTTGACGGAGTACGCCTCCTTCAGCTTCTCGAGCGCAAGAACCAGGAGCTTCGTGTCGTGCTTGTAGTTCAGCGGAGGGAAAGGAATGGGGGAGAACTTCCGCGACTCGAGCCAGTGAACGGTCGCTGTGTAGATCGCGACGGCTTCCTCAGCACTGATGTACGGACCATCTTTGAGGTAACCATGCTGACGCTCCTGCTCAGCCTTGAGGTAGAGACGAGTGAGACGGCCCAGGTTCTTCTTCACGACTGCCTTGTCAACAGTAGCACCGCGACGGATACGCTCACGGTTGTAGTGCGCGACGGAGACCCACCAGTCGGCCTTGCTCTTAATGTACCGAAGGATGATGTTCTCGATAGCCGTCGGCATACCGGGCACTTTCCAAGGGATATTTGCCTTCCAGCAACGCCACGCCTCCGACAGGTGCTGCAAGATCGTCTTCGACTTGTTCTGCTTGATCGACTCGGGCATCATGTCGAGGATATCGTGCATGACCGCGGCACGGAGCTCCAAGTCGTAGTGCGATTCAACGCGCTGCTTCGTGACCGTCTTCGCGATGCCCTTCGAGTTACGACCTTCGAACTGACGAGCGAGCAGGTTGCCGAGCCAGCGCTCGAGGAGGGGAACGATACCACGCATGAAGAAGAGCCATACTCGCCAACCTGGAGCCCAGAAACCGCATCCGGGACCTTTTCCGACTGGGCCGGTGTTGAAACGGTAGTAGATCAAGTGCTTCAGGTCCTTTGTCATACGAACTTGTCTCATGAGCTATCGAGGTGCGTCAGTAAGGCCGTGTAGCTCAACGACGAGTATGCTGACCTTGTACTTATACCGGTACATGCCAGTCAGTGCACCGATATGGGCGAAGATGTACTGAATGGCGTCCGCAAGCTGGAACGCATCGACGTTACCAAGACGGTACTGGACATGCGCGTCGACGACAAGCTTGGTGAGACGAAGAATCTCACGACACAAATGGAAGGCGTTTCCGAATCGCGACTTCTTGCGCTCCTTCGTCGTCAGCGTCTTGACGGGCTTCAAGTTCATGTTATAGTCGAGGTGGAGGTAGTTGAGGTTCTTCCGGTGAATAAGCAGGTTGAGCATGTTGTACCCCTGCCGGCAGACCTGCAGACCAGCCTCGACCCAATCCAGTCGTGTCGTCTGGAAGAACTTGGTTGCTTTGAGCTGGCGGAACAAGTTCTTCTTCGTCATCGCCTTTTCTGGCCGCGACTTCAGCTCGTTCAGTACGTAGCATTTGAGCAGCTTCTGGTACGACACCCGGACCTTGACAGGCTGACCAGGTGGGCAGTGTTCAAGGTACCAGTTCTTGACAAGAGGGATGTCTTGTGCACGACGCATGCGACCGGAACGACGGCTGTACGGCTCAGGCGCCCACCAGAGAGCAATCGCATCAGCAGTCAAATCGTTCTCCAGCGGCTTGTCTTCAAGCAAAGGCTCAAATTCGTCTGGGAGCTCGAAGTCGTCGTCGTCCGCGCCATTAGGACCAAAGATACGATCTTCGTGCGAGACAAGGGGCGCGTTTTTCGGCTGGAAACCCCGCAAAGATATCGGGTTAATGAGCGGGTCAAAGTAGAAGGCAGGCAGGTCGGGATCGTCGGTGCGAATGTACACGTTCTTCGGGGAGTGGTAAGGAGAGATGCGAACGGAACGAGGAAGCGAGTTGTATAGGTGCGGGAAGGCTACTTTGTACTCCGTTCGGATCTGCTGGCGAATGATGACTTTGTTGATATCGTTGAACTCGTTCCAGTCTTCGTCAAACGTGTCCATGTCCCTGTACAGGGGCTCGAACTTCGGACCACCGGGGATGGCCAAATTCAGCGCCTTGGCGGTGAAAAACGACTTCTTGTCGAACAGGTAACTGGAGTTCTGGTCGGTGTGGTCGGACAGGAGAGTGCGCCCAATGCGATACAAGTTCGCCATTACCGGCAGGGAGAGCGACCAGTATCTGTACGACAGACCGTTCACAGCAGTCTTGTCGCCAACTAGAGGCTTCGGGTCGTAGAACCAGTCGACGATAGCGGCGTCTTCCTCTTCGTCGAGATCCAGCTGAATTGATTCCAGCGGCTCCACGTCCAGGACATTGTCGCCGTAGTCGAGGGGCGGTTCTTCGTCATCAAAGGGCGGGAAGCGCATACGCTTGAAGTGTCGTCGATCGCGCTTCTCTCGCCGCATAGCAAGCCACATGGAACTCCACTGAGCATGATAAACGGGTTCGATGACGCGAGGAACCTCGTTGACGAAGGTAATTGCGCCCGTTATGTGGTACAACACGGGCACCTCGCGGACCTGCTCCCAAGGGAAGGGGATATTTTCGAGCAACTTCATAACCGCGTGTGGGACGTACTTGAGGGCACCGAGATGCACTCGCTTGTCGTTCCGGAACTTGCGGTTGCTCATGTCACCGTGGTCCTTGATGATCTTGCGGACGTGCTCCGGCGGCAGGTCCTGTTCCAGACGTCAGCAGCTCGAAAACGCGACCGCAGACACTACAAACCTGCTTGCCCATGTCCACAAAGCCACCCTTGCGCTTCTCCCCATACCGCTTCTTCTGCATCTGGATCCACTTCTGGGATTTTTGTGCCAGCACTTCCGGAGGCATACGCGAGCCGGACGCCTGAGCAAGGCTCGGAGGCGGCATACCGGGGGGCGGCGCCACTGGCATGCCTGGTGGCGGAAGCGGCATTCCAGGTGGGTAGCTCATTATCGTTGTCGGGCGACGTCGACGATGAGTGTTTGGGTTAAGTTCAGGGCGTCTCTTACCAAGAGATCAAACGTCCACTTGGTGTTCCGGGTCCCCCCTCGCTATTTGGCGCCCCCAAACGACGGGCTCCTGGCACCACTCATTGTCTCGCTGCTTTCAATATTGTTCTCACTGGTGGGCGTACTGGACGCCGACACGGAGTCGATCCGCTATATGACTACTCGTGCGATAAATGAAGGGGAAGAACTGTGCATATTCTACGGGCACAAACTCTGGTTCGAGCCCCCAGACGTTGAACCCGAGACTCGCGAGGACGAGGAGCCAGATGACGGCTGGGGAGGCCTCTCACTGGTAGGCGGCGAAGAATCCACTGACTGCGATCCTTTGTCATCCTTGCTTGATGGTTCCGACGACGACATTATGCCGGAAGACCAGCTGCCTTTCACGCGCATGAAGCTTGTCGACGACGAAGCAGAGGATGACCCCAGTGCCGTCCGAACGGGTCCGTACTCTAAGATTGCACATGACCGTTCTGCTGATACATCACCTCAAGAGTCCGCATGGGCTGTAGACATCTCAGAACCACGACATACCAACGCGCTGCTAAAGTATGCTTCTGGCAGTCGCATTTAGACGTCGCTGAATCCAGGATCTCAGATGGCTAAAACAATCTGGCCTCGACACACCTACACTTGCCCATCTCAAGAGGATACGAAAGCAGAATGGCAAGACAGCTCTCCTCCTCACTTCCGTCGCTCTGTCTCCCGAGGTACCACCACTTCCGTCTGACATCCCACTTTCCGAGCCATACGTTGTAGACGTGCCAAAGGGCCCCGCCCTAACCCAAAAGGCGGTAAAAGCGAAGGCGACCTTCTGGCCGACGATCTACGCCCCTCGTAAGAAGGGTGAGCTGGAACCACTAACCAGGGGACAGGTGAGGTGGGCATGGGATGCCATGCGCACAGTGGTAGCAGACGCGAAAGCTGCTAAAGAGAAGGACGAGGTTTGTAATTTCTTTCTGTCTTTGATACCAACTCATGATCGCTTGTAGCTGCCTATCGTTGCACACGTCCCTGTGCCGTACGATCCAGAGATCAAGGCTTCCACCCAGTTACTGTCACCGTTGACGGGCTACGACACCCGACGGTCAACCTCACATCCTCTCCGCCACGCAGTGTTGAATCTCGTGCGAAAAGTGGCCGACTACCGCGCACCACCAGACGAGTCCACGCCTCCTGCGACGGAACCCGCCGGCTCCATATCTCAGGCTCCGTCGGCAGAGTCGGTCGATATCGATACAGCATCCCGGAACGGTGCACACTACCTGCTCACCTCGCTGACAGCCTTCCTCTCACACGAACCCTGTATCATGTGTAGTATGGCACTGCTGCATTCTCGGGTGAAGGAGATATACTATTTGAAGCCCATGGAAAAGACGGGAGGGTGCGGAGGATGTGCGTGTGTGCCCAAGCTGGAAGGAGTCAACCATCGTTTCGCAATCTCTAGATGGAGCAAAGGGGTGGACGAGCTTGCGGCAGATGTGCTGGACTTGGACGAGGCGACAGATGCATAAAAATATACCGCATATAATGTATCTCGATCTGATTGAACGCAGAGCACGCCCAGGCGTCCATGATCGTATGTTTAAGTATGCGAGCACCGTCTCCTGCGCCGACGAATAAGCGTCTGAAACCACGTTGACGAAAACTCGACACGCACCTCAGTCAAACCCTCTACCAGAACTCCCTCCTCTTCAGCCGGACCTGCTGCTGCAACAGCTTCTTCTCCCCCCACGTTTCACGTTGCGCCGCGTGTTCGGCGTCGCGTCGTGCGAGCGCCTCGCGCCGCACCTGCTTCGGCAGCCGCGCGATGAGACGCACGAAGCTCTGCGTGCACCCGAACTCCTTCGCGAGCCTGCCCGCCGTCCACGTCGCTGGGTCCTCGGCGCGCAGCCGCTTCATCCGCTCGATGTCCTCCTGGCTCATCCACTCCGGCGCGGCCTTCTTCGGCGGGACGAGCTGCGGCGGGAGCGCAGCCCCAGCCCCAGCCCCGCTGACGGGCCTGAGCAGCGGCGACGTCGGGAGCGTCGTGTACGACTCGGGCGAGGGCGCGGACGGCGGCGGTCGACGGACGAACGTCAGGTCGTTCGGGAGCGACTCGTACGTCGCATGCGGGTTGTTCACGAGCGGGTCTGGCGCCCTGTATGGTGGCCGCTCTGGTAGGCGAGTCGCGTATGTGCGGATAGAGGTCAGCGACCGGAGAGGCAGCGGCGGTCTCATGGTATGTGTTTGCGAAGAAATGAGGGATACTCCCGGGGTCGGGCCGAGGCTGGAATCGAACGGAGACCCCAAAGACTGCGCAACGTTTTCAAGCGCCTGAGCGCGCCTCGTAGTCCATTGCCCCCTTCCGCTGCCTGCAACGTTCTTGCTCGCCTCGAATACCATGACCTTTCATTCACGCATGAAAATGGGGAGTCAATTATTTTTTGAAAGCATCAACGCGTTGGGGCATATGACCATCGTTAGTATCAGTATATACGTGATGATCAGCCGCGAACTGAGTTGATATCATCGGTAGGAGGGTAGTACTACATCCTCACTACGACACATGAGATATCTCATTATACCCAAGACTTACAGCAAGAGCAGATAAGGCTCCAGACAAGGCTGCGACGCTCCCCGTACAGCACGTAGACGGCGCAAGGCTGGCCTTGAGGCCTTGAGGCCTGAACTTCGCCGCCTCCTCCGAGCAACTAAAGCAATCCCAGCCACCGCAGCCAATCGCATGTCAGCTAAACCAAGCCCACGTTCCTGCCGCTTTCCACCTCCTTGAAGCACGGCCTCGCCTGCTCCGTGACGGCAAACTAGCCTCCGTCCACACAAACGTTGCTGATACAGATCCATCCATGAAAACCTCAAAGAACGGAGGGCTGCTCCATACTGACTTGTCTCGGGCGCCGTATACCCCCTCCCCCTGCCGGAGAATGATGTAATCGACCCACTACTAAAACTTTACGGCACACAGCCTGTCACCGCCGTGTCATCAGGTCGCTGCGGCAGGGTCGGTCCATCAGGCAATCCATTGCACAGTCCGTTCCGACAGGCAGAGCATGCGTAAGCCAGGATCCGCGGGTCCGCTCTGTCGGCACATGCAATGTAGCAAGCGATAAAAAAAAAAAGTCATCGCGGCGCCCCGACAGCCTTTGTGGCGTCCACGTGAAAGGCTTAGTGCATCTCACTCGAGTCCAGCCAAACCTGCGAACGCCTACCTCCTCATTGTCGACTAGGAGATTTCTTGCCGTTTGCTTAGGCTCTCCATATCCCTCGACAGCCAAGAAATGCGGTAAGACATACAATGCAATACAGGTATCACGAACGGGCACGACCGAAATTTAAGTGTACAATCTAACAAAACATGACTGCCCGGAGTAACATCTACATATGCGAAGTTGGAAGCGACATGATAAACGTTCAACGTGAAACAGTGATCTTCTCCGTCTTAACCTTGACCTCGTAGGGTTGTTCGCTCTTGAGCTCGTTCACCGAGTCACCGGCATCAACAATACCCTTCTTGAACGAGTAGCTACCCTGACGCTCGCGATCGCTCAGTTCGTGCGCCTCAACGTCGATATAGACTTGCTGCGACTACGGAGGCGATGGACGGACCGGGATTAACGGAGGCAAAGGAGAAGACAAGATAATCAGCATTCACGCTCACAGTCACGAGGTAGAAGACCGTCTTCCGCTGCCCGAGGACGAGCGGAAGCTCAAGGGTCGGTGTTCTGAGCTTACCCGCATGTTACTTGGCACCCCAAGCCTGCTTTCTCTGTGGCTCGACTCCCCGCCTTCGCTTAAGCCTCTGCCGACTGGTGTCCCATACTTCCAGCCCGCGCGGGAGTTGAGACTGGACATCAGAGAGTTGGTGTACAGCTTTGACAGTGGTAGGTTGAAGACCAGGTGAAGACCCGATGGCTAATATGTGCATGCACGTGAGAGTTAGACGCATAGAATCTTATGCTTCACTTACACTGGCCAAAAAAGCGATCAGGTCGATGATAGCACATACTGCGGTAATCATGCCTGTTTGGACGGTCACTAGACAGTTTTCGTGAGTGAAGTATATGTATGGTAAGTGTGGACGCCGCTTACACCTGATAATCTTGTTTACGATGTCGTCAGTCATGGCAAACCCAGTCTTGTGCTTACGCTGAACAACATTGGTGAGCTTATATCATTGGTATATGCGCAAATGAAGATGAGTTACCAGGTGCCAGACAAGCGCAAGCGTAATCGAGGTGTCGGCGACGGCGGAAAAGGCAAGCCAGATGATTACAATGACTTGAAACTTCTGGAAGTGAACGAATTCCGGGATGCTAGACACACGATGTCATTATTTATACGCGTCAGAAACCATTCGAAGCTGCTTGGGCTTACATGCCACAGGCTATCGCCGTCCCGACACCTCCACCTGATAAGATAATTAGTTGGCAGTAGCGATCAGCTCGAAATAAAGTGTTGCGTACACCACTGGCAGATGGAACAAAAGGCAATGAAGATGACAGATGGCCAATTGTTCGTCAGAACCTTGACTCTCCAGGCGAAAAACATCTGCACCATGAGTGCGATGATGGCCTTGTACTCAATGTCAATCACGGCATACCGGGAACCAGGATATACACTCACGGTCAGCGCAGGATCTGACGGAGACGGAGGGATGTCAGTTCTCGTTGAGCCCAGGACTTGATCGCAGATTATACGGCACCTGTGTTGAACACTGTACTTGACGTCAATTTGATATCAACGACACGGAAGTTCGACGACTCACCCCAAGTGGCATAGCCCAGTGCATTGACGTTCCCTGCACCCGCGATAAGCGCTCAAATAAATTAACGAGAGCTGTTTTTTTTAAAAAAACTCGCCATAATCTCTAACTAATGGAATATAGACAAACGTAATGTCGAAGGCGCAGTTAAGGGTGTCGCAAAGGAAGAGTGTAGCCACCTGCGCGGTACGAACTTGAACGCCTGACACGAGCACGCAGAACTCGACGTACGAAAAGTTTCATCCAGAGTTTATCCCTGACGCTATCCTCAGTACGTGGTCGTTTTAAACTGGTGGTACGCACCGCTTGTAAACGTTGAAATAGAGGTACGTCTGCGTGATCATAATGCCGTAAAGAATGATGTTGAAAACGACCCCGATGAAAATCGGTCCGTATCTACAAACAAGAAGAGACTTGATCAGCTGGAGAATCGAAGGCAGAACACATACGTACGTGACAGACGCCGGGGAACCCATGACGAGCCGCGAAGAGGAGAGGAGAACGAGCGGAACGAAGGAGAGTGGGGGTGGGAGAAGAGGAGGAGGCGGGGACGTCGAGCGGCCATGTCTGACTTATATCCCCCCACCGCGTATGGACTAGACACTCGACGGAAGAGTCCGCCCAACGACTTCGATGGCAGCGGGCAAGGCAAGGCAGAACCCGCTCCAAAGCTGTCGCCGAAGCACATGAGCTGCCAAAACGGTTCGATTTGGCTCCAAGGCGCTTAACCCACGTGCGGGCTTCGCGGCGGGTTCGCCGCGTGGCGCGCTCTGTCGTCGGCCGCGGGGACCTTGGGGACGGCGACGACGGCGAGCTCCACTCGCTTACCGGCACCCACCTCTAGAAGGCCCATATCAGCCTGCGAGCGGAGACATTTATTTTGACGTGCTGAGAAAAGGCGGAAACGTGCAGGCCAAACCTTGTTACCGTAGTAGGCAGGCAGCTGCCACGCTGCGCCGCCTGTCCGCCTCATGCACAAGCGCTGCCGCTGGCCTATGCCCAAAGGCGCCGAATACTCGACTGCACCCGACAAGCCCCAAGAAACCTTCGCTTTCGTTACATACAGCCGAGCACTGGCCCCCGGGTAACCGCGCCACCCATCGCAAGACAGGACGCAAAGGGCCTCGACGCTGCATTATTAGATGAGGCGTGAGCCTGGCAGCAGATCTAGTCGGTCGCCGGCATCATCGGGCGCCGTGTCTCTGGTCGAAGCTACTCGACCATGGCGGGACCGGGTTCAATACTCAACGTTCAGTCGAGGTATGGCACTGCGATCAATGCCGACGCTCTGCAAGCTTTAGTGTGCCACGACGCCCCACTTCGATTCTCTACAGACCCCTCGAAAAACACGGCGGGGTCGAGCCTCGGGCGTTTGGTTGAGCGATACGATGTCAAGTTCCAACAGCTGAGGTGTTTCTCACCGTCATCAGGCTGCAGGTTGTTGGAATGTCACCAACCAATGGGGGCGGAGTAGATCGTCAACAACGATTGCCTTAACGGGGACGAGACAATAGAAGCACCTTTCCGGACGGATGTGAAGCGCCAGCCGACGGGCTCAAGGTGGCCGACGCGCAAGGCCGCTTCTTCTCTGTGACGCACCATTCTGTCAGATGGGCTGTGTCGGGCGTGCGCCACGAAAGGTAAGCTCCTGGTCCGACGCTCGAGTCCTCAGATCGCTGACCAGAATTGTCAGGCCATGGGAGCACGCGCAGCGAAAAACGCTTGTCGGTCGCAGGCCTCCCGCCGTTATGCACTCGCGACCACCAACATCCCTCTATAAAGCGACTTACCTCGCTGGCAGACTGGTCTTCACCCGCTCCTCTCCCTCCCCTTGCCACTTGGCACCTTCTCCCCCGTCCCAGTCCTTTCGTTCCGGTTCCATTCCAGGTCTTGCACCATGGCCTCAGAGCCGTCCACCCTCTCGCACCAGTCCTCCGGAAGCACGCTCGGCCCTAGCTCACAAAGGCCTCTGTGAGTAGCCTTCATATAAGCCCATCTGAACATACCTCATCACCCCTCAGGAACAAGGAAAGGAACTCTGAGAGCTTCATAGATCAAGCGGAAGAAGACCTCACTCTCCCGACGCGGCAGCTCACCGACGAGGCGAACCTCGATGAGTACCGCCGGGAGACCGCAACCGGCACCATCGTCCAGCCCCACACGGCCCCCGACGGACATCAGGAAAAGTACAAGCTCGTGACCTTCACGGTCGACGATCCTGAGAACCCGAAAAACTGGAGCAAGGTCAAGAAATGGTGGTGCACCCTCATGATCGCCTCCGTGTGCTTCGTCGTCGCCTTCAACTCGGCAGTTATCACGGCCGACATCCAGGGCCCTGCAGAGAGGTTCCATGTCAGCAACGAAGTCTCGCTCCTCGCGGTAACACTTTTCGTCATAGGCTTCGGTGTCGGTGTGTACACCCGCCGTCTTAGCTCTCCGGGCTTTCACTGACAGATGACCAGGCCCGATGTTCTTCGCACCTATGAGCGAGCTGTTCGGTCGGCGTATCATGTACGTCTCGACGCTCGCGTTCGGCCTCGCCTTCATCGTCCCGTGCGCCGTTGCCCGGAACATCGGCACGCTCCTGGTCTGCCGCGCTATCGACGGAATTGGCTTCAGGTACGAGAAGCCCCACCCTCCCGCATCGCAACGATGTGTCGTTGACGCCTCCTCCAAGCGCTCCCCTGACCATCGTCGGCGGCACGCTCGCCGACATGTGGAAGAACGAGGAACGCGGTGTCCCCATGGCCGCCTTTAGCGCCGCCCCCTTCCTGGGTCCCGCCATCGGCCCGCTCGTCGGCGGCTTCGTCGCGGACGACAAGGGCTGGCGCTGGCTGTACTGGGTCCAGCTCTGGATCACCGGCCTCGTCTACGTGCTCATGTTCTTCACCGTCCCCGAGACGTACGCGCCGACGATCCTCCTCAAGCGCGCCAAGAGGCTCCGCAAGGAGACGGGCGACGCGACGTACGTGACCGAGCAGGAGCTCGACTCGCGCTCGCTCGCGGAGCGCCTCCGCGTGTACGTCTTCCGCCCGTTCCAGCTGCTCACGCGCGAGATCATCGTGCTGCTCCTCACGCTGTACATGTCCGTGCTCTACGGGCTGCTGTACATGTTCTTCGTCGCGTGCGTCACACCCTCCTGTCCCATCTGCAGCTAAGAGCCCCCACCGCTGACTCCGCACACAGATACCCGATCGTCTACCAGGAGGGCAAGGGCTGGTCCTCGCACATGACGGGCCTGATGTTCATCCCGATCGCGCTCGGCGTCCTGCTCAGCGCGGCGCTCGCGCCGATGGTGAACAAGCACTACAACTACCTCTGCCGCAAGGCCGGCGGCGTGCCCCCGCCAGAGGCGCGCCTCATCCCGATGATGGTCTCGTGCTGGCTCATCCCGATCGGGCTCTTCATCTTCGCCTGGACGTCGTACCCGGACGTGCACTGGATCGGGCCGTGCATCGGCGGCTTCCCGGTCGGCTTCGGCTTCATCTTCCTGTACAACTCGGCGAACAACTACCTCGTGGACTCGTACCAGCACCAGGCGGCGAGCGCGCTCGCGGCCAAGACGTGCCTGCGCTCGTTCTGGGGCGCGAGCGTCGTGCTCTTCACAGAGCAGATGTACCACCGCCTCGGCTACGAGTGGGCCGGCTCCCTCCTCGCGTTCATCTCCCTCGCGTGCTGCGCCATTCCGTATCTCTTCTACTTCAAGGGCGCCGCGATCCGGAAGCACTCCAAGTTCGCCTACTCGGGCGACGAGACGCTCCCGACCTCGAACAAACCAAAAAACTGATCCCTTTCTTCCTATTCTCCTTGGATTCTCTCTCGACACTGACAGTACCCTAATCGTCGTCCTGTTATACCTGTTATACCTATAGCCCTTGGCTATCGTTATTGTGACATCAGTCTAGTTTTGTAGAACCTGGAGATCTCCTGTTGTTTGTATAGATACCAGTCACGGTAGCGTCAATGATTAATCGCACACCATTGTCCCAGTCGTATTGTGTGACGCGCGCCTGGTCGACCCTGGAGAAGATCTGCGCGGCCCCGATCTCAGGAACGCGCTCTTCCCGCGAGCCTGCTTTATTAAGAACCGCCCCTTCGCACACTCGGTCCCTGCTGCGAAGAGTCGGCTGAGAGGCGGTGGGCACCGGGCACGGAGTGTGTCGCTTGGTGTCGCCGATTGCTCGAGGATCTGCAGGGCGGCGCGCACGCCGAACGTGTGCTCGCGAGCGCCGGGTCGAACGCGGGGTAGGAGGACGATGATGATGCGAACGGCACAGTGCTGTGATGTCGCTTTGGTCTGGTACTGCTACGAACGGCTGTTCTATTCTCCTGACATCATAAAAGTTGCGGAGGGACAGAGTAGTACTAGGACAGGAAGGGTGGCAGCTGAAGCCCGTCTTTGTCCGGCTTCAAGTTCGACGCGCGTTGATGGGCGATTTGCACAAAATCCTGTGTATATACTTCGGCTCTCTTGTAGTTTAAATTTGATGTATAAAAATATCTACATCACAGTATTTTGGCAGAACATGTCGTGTCTTTCTGGGGCGAGCCTCTCCGTACTGTGTGGAGAACGGCGTAAGGGTGCGAGCGCCGACGGTCTCGCCTGTCAGCTCAGAGGGCCCCGATGGCGTCCAGACTTTATACAGATAACTCTTCCGCTACTTGCATAAAACAGATATCCTTGAGCTACTCGCCGCGTCGGCGTGCATCCGCCGCCGGGTCCATAGTTATAATAAATGTCGCCATAACATGAGGACCATGCAGTTTCAAGTTGTAAGGCTAGTCCGATACTAAGCGGGGCAGTGCAAAGCGTAGAATGGCCGGGACATTATCGTATCTCGACGCTGCCCACTTGTCTAGCCTGAGCGCAAGCTGCCTCGATGCCCTTCTCGTCCTCACGACACCAGGCCCGGGGTCCGAGGTCCCAAACCTCGGCTGTTGCCGGTTGTGTCAACATTTTCAATCAAAGGGACATGACAGCCGTGGATACGGGCGTGATCGGATTTGAGTGCGACGCGTTCTACGACGTCAGTACCACGACCCATGCTTCTACCGCGTCATCGAGGCCGTCGTCGAGACTCGAGAGATGTCGATACAGCGTTGACCGCAGTATCTTTTATCGAGAGGAACTTACTTTGTGCAAGCGCCTTTCGTTCCTTTCCCTCTAGCCGTCTACCTTGATCAATGCGTACAGAACTCGTATACAGGTGTCCCGAGTATCCTGCAGAGGACGGCTGCTAGTGTGCAGCTCCTCTAGGGAGGTCAGCGGAATTAGACGCGTGGGGCGTCGAACTGAGCCACAACGACAACAGCTTCCTAATCTGTTGGCGCCTAAAAGAAGCAGAGGGCGGGCGAAGAAGCCTCCTATCTTTTTATGGAAGGTGCGGCATGAAGCGCGGAGGGGCGGTGCGCGAGAAGCAGCCGTCGGGACGGATCGCATCTCCAGCGTCCGCCCGCCCATTACTCACAATTCCCTCCGTCCCAGGCACGCCCGTGCCCAATATCCACCCGCTCACTGTCAAATGCCGGTTCCGTCTCAGGGCCATCGCCCTGCGCGACGGCAACAAGCCCCGTTTTTCTTTGTCGGCCTGCGTGGATGCTGTCACCTCGGCCGATCCGCGACATGCATCTCAGCCAAGACAATGTTTCTCCTGTCGTATAAAAGCGGGTGGGCGGGCAGCGATGTCTCTATCGCCTTCCAGTGGTGTCTGGCCTCCCCCGCTCTTCTCTGCTCGCCACACATCCACGTCCCACAATGACTTCGCGCCGCGACAGTGTGCAGCATATGCCGTCTGACTCGACACTCCGTGTCGAGTATCAGTGAGCACCTGCCCCTTCTCTCGGCGCGTTTACCGATCTGACGTTTACACTCCCAGGGACAAGGTGAAAACCTATGAGGACTCGGCAGAGGAGGACCTCACCCTGCCGACGCGGACACTCACGAACGAGGCCAATCTCGACGAGTACCGCAAAGAGACACGAGCCGGCACCATCATTCAGCCCCACGCGGCCCCCGACGGGCACTCCGAGAGGTACAAGCTCGTGACGTTCACAATCGACGACCCCGAGAACCCAAAGAACTGGAGCAAGGCAAAGAAGTGGTGGTGCACGCTCATGATCGCCTCCGTCTGCTTCACGGTCGCGTTCTGCTCGTCCGTCGTCACCGCGGACATTACCGGCGTGAACGAGACGTTCCATGTCAGCGAGGAGGTCTCCCTCCTCACCATCACGCTGTTCGTCGTCGGCTTCGGTATCGGTACGTCTCCCGGCTTGAATATTTCTCAACATGTTCTGGATGTGCTGACATCCGCCCAACAGGACCGATGGTCTTCGCGCCACTCAGCGAGTTGTACGGACGACGGGTCTTGTACGTGACCACACTACTCGTCGGCGTGATATTCGTCATCCCCGGCGCCCTTGCCAAGAACATCGGTACATTGCTCGTCGCGCGAGCCATCGACGGTATCGGCTTCAGGTGACTCCCGTCCCTCTTCCATTCCCTGGTTTTCCTGAGCCAACTGTCATTCTCAGCGCACCAATGACCATCGTCGGTGGTACGCTCGCCGACATGTGGCGGAACGAGGAGCGAGGCGTCCCCATGGCCGCTTTCAGCGCCGCGCCGTTCCTGGGCCCCGCCATCGGCCCGCTCGTCGGTGGCTTCATCGCGGACAACCTCGGCTGGCGCTGGCTGTACTGGATCCAGCTCATCGTCGCGGGCGCCGTGTACGTGCTCATGGTGCTCACGGTGCCCGAGACGTACGCACCAACGATCCTCCTCAAGCGTGCGCGTCGGCTGCGCAAGGAGACGGGCGACTCGACGTACGTCACCGAGCAGGAGCTCGACAGGCGGCCGCTCCCGGAGACCCTGAGAGTCTTCGTCTTCCGGCCGTTCCAGCTGCTCTTCCAAGAGCTCATCGTCTTCCTCGTCTCGCTGTACATGTCTGTGCTGTACGGCCTGCTCTACATGTTCTTCGTCGCGTACGTCTCTACCGCCTCGTCCGCCTGTGACGCACACTGACACCCCGGCCTGCAGCTTCCCCATCGTCTACCAGGGCGGCAAAGGCTGGTCCGCCTCGAAGACGGGACTGATGTTCATCCCGATCGCGATCGGCGTCCTGCTCAGCGCGGTGTGCGCGCCGCTCGTGAACCGGCACTACAAGGGGCTCTGCGAGAAGCACGGTGGGGTCCCGCCGCCGGAGGCGCGCCTCGTCCCGATGATGGTCTCGTGCTGGCTCATCCCGATCGGGCTCTTCATCTTCGCCTGGACGTCGTACCCACACGTGCACTGGATCGGACCCGCCCTCGGCGGGTTCCCGATCGGCTTCGGGTTCATCTTCCTGTACAACTCGGCGAACAACTACCTCGTGGACTCGTACCAGCACCAGGCGGCGAGCGCGCTCGCGGCCAAGACGTGCCTGCGCTCATTCTGGGGCGCCGCGGTGGTGCTTTTCACCGAGCAGATGTGCGTCTGTCCCTTTGAGACCGATTTGCATATTGGGGCTGACCAGTTTGTGACAGGTACTCGCGCCTGGGCTTCGAGTGGGCAGGCTCACTCCTCGCGTTCATCTCCCTCGCATGCTGCGCCATTCCGTATCTCTTCTACTTCAAGGGTGCTGCGATCCGCAAACACTCAAAATACGCCTACTCTGGGGAAGAGTCTGCCAAGAACCACATATCCAAGGCATAAATGTCATCCACAACCATTCTTACTCCTCTCACTTGCTTCACATCGATCACTCACTGTAACTCTTGTAATTGCGCTTCGCGTTCTCAGTACACTGTAATTTATCACTCTTGTTGTAGTTCCAAGGTGCACATGTAGACATATCATATCGTTGTAATATAATCATTACGGATTATTGTAAATGCTGGATGTAAGGGGCTCGGAACAAGGTCAGCGTGAGCGCGATGACGAAACGCGCCAGCCGCGTCAGTGACGGGCGTGACGGACGCGCGACCGTGACCACTCCTGCACTTTGACTCCTGACTCTCATCTGCTCTCATCGCTTTCTAGGCCTTCCAGACGCGACGACTCATTTGATTCTTTGTTTTCAGACATTTGGCATGGTATCCGGACGTGTATCGCAGTCACTATGTCCAAATCTCACACATTCTGCCACCAGATGATAGGAGACGAAGAGACGGAACGGACACAGCTCTTAGCATCCATATCCACATGGGATGTGGCAGCAAAGCGACGCTTCAACGAACTCACGCCCGTCGGAAAGCTCCCTTCGGAGGTGCTCTGCGAAGTGTTCATGCATCGGTCCGTCGGCTGGTACATCGGGGCCAAGAGCTGGATTGAAGTTGGGCACGTTTGCCACCGCTGGCGCGAAACCGCCCTCAACTACCCAGCACTCTGGGGCCAGATTGACGCGTGCACATCGGAGTGGACGCGAGAGCTGCTGCTGCGTTCCAAGCAAGCTCCGTTGGACGTTCATATTCCCATCCGTTACTTCTCAAATGTCGGGGAGGAAGATATCATCCTCCTCCTTCGCGAGCTACATCGTATGCGGTTTTTCGCCTGGGATGCCTATTATCCCATCAAAGGTCTTGATCTCCCCAGGGCCACACCCCTCTTGCGTTCCCTCTCCCTCCGCTGTCGTAGCATTTCGGCATATGCATCGTCTGTGACCCCTTTTGACGTAACTGAGGCCCCGGCATTGACACGACTTGAGGTCATCGATGCACCAGTCTCATGGACAAGCAAACTCTTCCAACCTACTCTCACACATCTAACGCTCCACATGCAACCTCAATTGTCGAAAGTTGTCAGCTGCACTATGCCACAGGTGCTCGACGTCCTTCGGACCATGCCTCATCTGCAATCGTTGGAACTTCTCAATGTACTTCCCGCTGCCACCAGAGCTAGTGTCGGAGCAGACACACACGCTCATTTCCCACACCTGCGCTTTCTGGATCTCTGCGCACCTGCGTCTGTCATTCGCTATCTCTTGGGACATATTTCTTTCCCCGAGGATGCCAACATCACCGTCGTATTCTCAGACCCTAATCCCGACAATATGAAGCAGAGCATGTGTTTGCTCACGTCTAGTATTACTCCGGCCACCAGTTCCGAGGGCTCTGCACGGTCACTGCAGTCATTCTATTACGAATACGGTATCGCTGAATTTTGGGCCATAGGCCTGACTCCCCGTACCCTGTTAGAATGTCGGAGCCCTTGCAGCCCGACCGAGCTTCAAGGCGCTCGTCGCGTCCTCGCAGTGCGGGCGAAGAACTTGCCACCAGATGAAACCTTCTTTGAGATGATCTGTCATTATCTACCCCTGGCGACGGTGAGCTCAGCTCTCATTGATATCAGACAAATGAAGGACGACCAATGGCGAGGCGCCTGCGAGCGTATGCCCTACGTCCGCAAGCTCGGCGTCATCGGCCCTCCCCGGTCCCACGAGCCCGTCATCAAGTCGCTTTCAGCATCTGCGACTGCATCGGACGGCTCGCCCTGTTCGCTTCACCGCATATGTTGGCTGTACGCCTTCCCGAAACTGGAAGCACTGTTCATTGGCTTTCGCAGCAACAGCGATGATCGTCTTCTGGACGTGTACGCAAATGCTCTCCAAGACCGCAGTGACGCAGGGCACCAGCTTTCTCGCCTAGAGGTACTCGACTATTCCGGCATTTACCCTTATGCTGCTGCCGTCCGGGCTGTAGCGAAGGAAGTGCTTTATAACGGGTGCTTCAGGTCCTACCAGTAGAACGACTTCTCGTCGTCGCTAACACTGAATCCGGATAACAAGGTGAGATTATTTGTCGTTGATCACCATCGCCAGTTCGTCCCTGACATCATCTGCTAGAGCTACAGTGCCTCCTCCAAGCCGCGCTCGGAAGGACACTTTTTCAGGTGAGGGACTCACCAACAACTTCGAAGGCGTGGATGCCTACCGCTCGCTATTGTGTGTACTATTCATCGTCCGCAGACACTCTAACTACCCTTCTCATCGTTATCTCGTCACCTGCTTACTGGAGCTCTCGTAATTGCCTTTTCTTAGATCCAGGCTGGCCGAACTACAATAAAATCTGTAATTTAGTATTCTGTTTTAGTCTCAGGTGGACATGTAGGTATCATATGGCTGTAATATAGTAATTACGGATTGTTGTATATTCTAGAGGGTGTGGGGGCTCGGAACAAGGCTAGCACGACTTCTGAGCGTGGCACGAACTCCGTCGCGTTAGTGACGGGTGTGACAAACGCGAATAGCATTCACTCCTGCAGTTGCCCTTGGCTCTGACTCTCATCGCTTTCAGGCCTTTCAGGACCGACGACGCATTTTTCTCCTTGTTTTCAGACACCTTGTACGGTATTTGTATGTGTATCGCGGTCACTATACCCTAGTCTCACACACTCTGCTACCAGATGATAGGAGACGAAGAGACGGAATGGACACAGATCCTAGCATCCATAACCGCATGGGAAGGGCAGGTCTTAGCAGCAAAACGGCGCCTTAACGAACTCACACCCGCTGGAAAGCTTCCCTCGGAGGTACTCTCGAAAGTGTTCATGCATCAGTCCGCCGGCTGGTACACTGGGGCCAAGAGTTGGATTGGAGTTTCACGCGTTTGCCATCGCTGGCGCGAAACCGCCCTTAACTACTCGGCACTCTGGGGCCAGATTACGACGCACACATCAGAGTGGACGCGAGGGCTGCTGCTGCGTTCCAAGCAAGCTTCGTTGGACGTCCGTATTCCTCTTCATTGCTTTTCTGATGTCGAGGAAGAAGACATCGTCCTCCTCCTTCGCGAGCTGGGTCGCGTGCGGTCTTTCGATTGGGACTTTCACTATCCCCTCAAAGATCTCGATATCTCCAAAGTCGGACCTCTCTTGCATTCCGTCTCCCTTCGCGGTTATAGAATTCCGGAATATGTGCCGTTTGCGACCCCTTTTGACGCAATCGAAGCCCGGCACTGACACGGCTTGAGATCATCGACGCACTAGTCTCATAGACAAGCAGTCTCTTCCAACCTACTCTCACTCATCTGAAGTTCCGCTTGAAACGTCGTATGTCAGAAGTTGTCGGCTGCACTATGCAACGGGTGTTCGACATCCTTCGGACCATGCCTCATCTGCAATCGTTGGAACTCTCCAATGTGCTCCCCGCTGCCGACGGGGCTGATTTCGGAGCAGACACGCGCACTTATTTCCCACACCTGCGCCTTCTGGATCTCTGTGCGCCTGCGTCAGCTTGCCATCTCTTGGGACACATCTCTTTTCCCGAAGGTACCAACGTCTCGATTGATTTCTCAGACGCTGAGCTGGACCGCGACGGTATGAAGCAGAGCATGTATTTGCTCGCGTCTAGGATCGCCCCGGCCGCCAGTTTCGAGGGCCCTGTACAGCCACTACAGTCGTTCTATTATGAGAGCAGCGTCGCTGAATTTTGGGCCATAGGTCTAAATCTCGATACTCTATTAATACGCTGGGAGGTTCATCCCACCAAGCTTCAAGGCGTTCATCGCGTCCTCGCAGTGCGGGCGGAGAACTTGCTACAAGATGCAAACTTCTTCGAGATGATCTGTCATTATCTACCCCTGATGATGTTGAGCTCAGCTCTCATTGATATTAGACACATGAAGGACGAGCAGTGGCGAGGCGCCTGTGAGCGTATACCCTACCTCCGCAAGCTCGGCGTCATCGGCCCTCCCTGGTCCCACGGGCCCGTCATCAAGTCGCTTTCAACATCTGCAACTGCATCGGACGGCTCGCACTGTTCGCTTCATCGCAAATGTCGGCTGCACGCCTTCCCGAAATTGGAAGTGCTACTCATCGGCTTTATCCAGGACGGAAATGCTCTTCTGGACGCGTACGTCAAGGCGCTCCGAATTCGCAGTGACGCAGGGCACCAGCTTTCTCACCTAGACGTAGTCAATAATCTCGGCATTTACCTGGATGCTGGCACCGTCCGGATCGTAGCGAAGGAAGTGCGCTATGACGGGTGCCTGATTTCTTGACGTTGCTAACACTGGATCCGGATGACAAGGTCAGATTGTCAGTTGTCCTATCGTCATCGTCATCTCGTCGCTGACAGCATCTGTCAAAGCTACAGCTGTCGCTTTAGCAAGAGCCCGTGGACTTCCCTTACGCCGTGATGCCTAGCACAGTGCTACCGCTAAGTCGCGCTCGGAAGTACGCCTATTCGGGCGAGGAGTCTGCCAACAGTTTCAAAGACGTAGATACTATCCGCTCGTTACTGCTTTTACTATTTATCTCCGAGTTCAAGCAATCTCTACAGTACACTTCCCGCTTGTTATGACTTCGCCGTCGCTCCAGAGAGCGCACGTAAATTGTTGAAAAATCCTTGTATAAATATCATTGCACACCATAGGCAAGCTTTTCCTTTGTCTGTTCTCGCCTCAATTAGTCCACTAGACAGTACTCAGACCGGAGCGTAACCCATGATGCCCATTGCCCACCACCAGCTCGGAGGACCGCAGAGATATGCTGCCTGCGTGAGGGTGACGCGGGCGCCACAAGCTCAAATACGCGCCTAAGGACCCGCTCATGCCTCGAGTTTCGGCTCGCTCAGCCGGGAGCTCTCTCCAGCGCGACCCGCGTGAACTTTTTACACTTCCTTCCTTTAAAGTCTAATGTTTAATTTTGTGGTTCTTATGTGGACCACAGTGCTCGACAGCGAGCAAGAAGCGCGGGCTTCCTCATGCCCATCAATTAGTCACAGATGTGACAAACGCACGACAGCCGTCCGTCTCCTTGTCCGTCTCGAACCCTGGCTCTGACCTCGTCATTCTCAGACCTCAGGCCTCCCAGCCGCGGCGTGCCCATTTCTCATCCTTTTTGTGAATGCCCTGTGCGGTATCGGTACGTACACCAGGGTCGCTGTGGTCAGGTCTCTCTCACCTTGTCCCATACAGATGACGGCAGAGGAACGAACGGAACGGACCCAGCTCCTGGCCTCCATGGCTGCATGGGAGGGACAGATTGTAGCAGCGAAGCGACGTCTTAATGAGCTCACTCCCATTGGAAGGCTTCCCTCAGAGATGCTGGCCGAGACGTTCCTGCATCGGTCCGCTGGTTGGTCCACTGGAGACCAGAGCTGGATTGAAGTCTCGCACGTCTGCCATCGTTGGCGCGAAATCGCCCTCGATTGTCCGGCACTTTGGGGCCACATTTACACGCACACATCAGCGTGGACACGAGAGCTATTGCTGCGCTCCAAGCAGGCTGCGTTGGACGTCATTATCTCCGAGAACGACGAGATTAATAGGGAAGATATTATCCACCTCCTCGTTCACCATCTGCATCGCATGCGCTCTATCAACTGGGGTCTCTACTATAATCCTCTCGACGGTTCAGATCTCCCCAGAGTTGCACCTTTCTTGCGTTCAGTTACCCTCCACAATGATGAACTCGACGAATATGGACCGTCTACGACTCCCTTCGACAAGATCGAGGCTCTGCCGTTAACGCATCTGGAACTCGTCTGCGCACCAGTCTCATGGACAAGTAATCTCTTTCGACCTACTCTGACGCATTTGACTTTCCGCTTGCCCTCTGACTTCCCTCAACCTGTTGACTGCAACATGTCCGAGGTGCTTGGTCTCCTTCGAAGCATGCCTTCTCTACAGATACTGGAACTTGCAAACGTTTTGCCCGATGCTGGAAGAGCTCGCGTTGGACCGGATGCATATGTTCACTTCACCCAGCTGCGCCTCTTGAATATCGAGGCATCTGCGGCGACCATGCGCTACTTCCTGGAGCATGTCTCATTCTCCAAAGACGCCGAGATTACCATCGAATACTCCGATCTCGAACTTGATCACGAGAACATGGAGCAGAGCATGCGCCTGCTTGCGTCCAGGTTCGCATCGGATTCGCGTTCCAAGAATCCTGTCCGACCGCTGCAGTCGCTCTATTGCGCTCGCAACGTTGCCGAAGCTTGGACCATAGACCGAGGTCTCGAAGCTCTGTCACAGAAACACGCCCGCAACGCCGCCGCCACGAAGCTGCTTCAAGGCGTTCATCATACTCTTGCGGTGCGTGCGGTAGACCTGCCGTTCGAACATAGCGGAGCCTTCTTCGAGATGTTCTGTCGCTCTCTGCCCTTGGCGGAGACGAGCTCAGCTTTCATCGACATCGAAGGCATGGGGGACACCCAGTGGCGGAGCGCATACCAGAGTATGCCCCATCTCCGTGAGCTCGGTGTCACAGGCTCTTCCTCATGCCACACGTCTCTCATCGACTTGCTCGCGACCGTCTTGGCCGCCACAGACGGCGCACTGTGCCCGTCGCACTCCAACTTACCGGTATACATGTTCCCGAAGCTGGAGGTGCTCCTTATTCGCGGGCTACATCTTCCGTTAGCTAGTACGGACAACCTAGGATCGCGAGGCCATCATCTTCTGGACACGTATGCCAAGGTGCTCCGGGATCGCAGCGATGCCGGGCACCAGCTCTCTTCCCTAGTTCTGGTCGGCGGCAGTAACATCTTGCAGCAAGACGTCGACAAGTTTCTGGGCACCGTGAAGGAAGTGCATTGCGATTGTATATCGACAGAAACGTCTCTAGGGCCGATCCACATGAGTATACCATCTCTGACACTGGACGATAAGGTAAGACTGTTTGTTGTCCGACCAGGATCTCGTCGCTGATGTCCTTTCTTAGCTACGGCTGGTTGGCTTAGCCAGAGCACGTGGGCTTCTGCCCATTCAGCCTATTCAGCCAATGCCATTAGCTATGGGTCCACCTCTACCTAGTGCAATAACTCTGCCGCCCCCACCGCAGCAGCAGGTATGTGTTATGACAGTCACGAAGTATGCACCGCTCATGGCCCGGCGTTAATGCAGGAGGGTGTCCAGACGGCATCGACGTCGCGTAATCCTCCTCCGCCGGTTGGACAAGATGTTGCCCACCCAGCGCATGCACAAGTACCGGACATATTCGCGCAGAATCTCCTATCACCGGCCTTTGATGCACGTAATCCGTTTGATATTTCGATGTTCGGAGATAGCGTCGGAGACCTTGGCAACATGGATTTCGCATCTGACTTCAGCGAATGGTTCAACGACCCCAGCATAATTAGTAATGTGATATAGAGTCGCGCTAGGATGCATGCGCGGCGCAACGAAGTGTGCTGTTTGTTGTCCCAGAATGTATATTGCACCGCTCTCAGACCTTAGTTGAGATGCCCGTGGCACATTAAATGGTGCTGTAATCGTTATTGGATCGCCCAGCGTCAAGGCAACGAGTAGGTGCACAGTGGGCGACCAATTAGATGCAGATAGTAAGGTGAAACTGATCTTTGCACGACCGCCATCCTCCATCTCGTCGCTGACAACATCTATCAGATCTAGAGCTACAGCTGCCACTTCGGCGAGAGCCCAGGACTTCTCTTCACGCGACGCTGAAAACTTCTGCTGCTCGTCAACCTGTACTAATGCACAGCATGGCCTTGCTGCCGCTAAGTCACAGTCGCGCTCGGAAGTACACCTATCCGGACGAGGGGGCTGCCAGCAGGCCTACTCATGGCATACGATAATATTTGTACGTGAGTTTAACAATATTAATAGTCTACAGGCGCTCTCTGGGACGACTTGGACGGCGAATTCAAGAAGATACTGTATTTTTGGAGATTTTGCGACTTGGACCCAGAGGCAAATAGCCAGCGCATTAGCGAGCGGGCAGCATCTGCGCCTTCGGATCTTGGCACGGCGCACAGCAGTCCGTCCATCTCGCAGACTCGCATCTTGGCTCTGACCCTCGTCACGCCCAGACTCAAGCCTTCCACTGGCAGCCGCGACTAACCGTTCTTTCTCTCCTTCTTTTGTAAACGCCCTGCTCGGTATCGGTATGTACACTGGGGACGCTGTGATCAAGTCTCTCACGAGTCACGGTTTGTCATACAGATGACGCCAGAGGAACAAGCAGAAAGGGAACAGCTCCTGGCGTTCATGCCTGCGTGGGAGGGGTAGATCGCAGCAGCCAAGCGGCGTCTCAACGAGCTCACGCCCATCGGAAGGCTTCCCTCGGAGGTACTGGCCGAGGTGTTCATGTATAGATCTGCTGGTTGGCGCACTGGAGACGACACCTGGATCGAAGTCTCGCACGTCTGCCATCGCTGGCGCGAAATCGCCCTTAATTTTGGGGTCAGATTTACACACGCAGACACCAGAGTGGATGCGAGAGCTGCTGCTGCGCTGGACATCGTCATCTCCGACGAGGACTCCGACGACGAGGACCCTGACGACGAGGAAGTGGTTCCCCTTGTCCTTGGCCAGCTACATCGAATTCGCTCTATTGACTGGAACCTATTCTATCCCCTCGAAGATTCCAATTTCTTCCGAGTCGCACCTCTCTTGCGTTCGGTCGTACTCTGCCGTGAGAGTGTCAGCGGGGGCGAACTATCTGCGACCCCCTTCGACAAAATCGAGGTACCGCCGTTAACGCACTTAGAAATCACCTACGTATCAGTCTCATGGACGAGCAATCTCTTCCAGCCCACTCTGACGCGTCTGGCCTTCCTCTTGCGCCCTCGTTTTAATATTCGTCAACTTGAGTACAGTATGTCTGAGGTGCTCAGCCTCCTTCGAATCATGCCCTGTCTTCAATCGCTGGAGCTTGCGAACGTTCTACCCGATGCTGGCAGCGCTCGCGTCGGGCTGGATGTATATGTTCACTTTCCTCAGCTGCGCCTACTGAATATCGAGGCACCTGCAGCGACCATGCGCTACTTCCTCGAACATGTCACATTTTCCAAGAACATCAACGTCACCATCAACTTTACCGATTTTCATTTTGACCGCGAGAGTATGGAACAGAGCATGCGCCTGCTCATGTCCAGGTTCACATCAGGCACCTATTCCAAGGATCCTGTCCGACCTCTGCAATCACTTTTTTATACTCGCACTATCGCAGAAGCTTGGACCGTACACCAAGATGTCGACGCGTTGTCAGATCATAACTGCATCGCCGCCACTGCATGCAAGCGTACGCCGTGACCCCCCGCTACTTCAAGGTGCATGCCGTACCCTCGCAGCGCGTGCGACAAACCTGAAGCCCTCCCGCAGCGGGGCCTTCTTCAAGATGTTCTGTCGCTCTCTGCCCTTGGCAGAGATGAGCTCGGCTTTCATCGACATCGAAGGCATAGGGGACACCCAATGGCGGAGCGCATACCAGAGTATGCCGCATCTCCGTGAGCTCGGTGTCGCCGGCCCTTCCTCATGCTACATGTCTCTCATCGACTCGCTCGCCACCGTCTTGGTTGCCACAGACGATGTACTGTGCCCGCCGCATACCGGCATACCAGGATACATGTTCCCAAAGCTGGAGGTGCTCCTCCTTCGCGATCTTTACCACTCACCCGATACCCACGGTTTGAAATCCCGACGCCACCCTCTGGACGCATGCTCCAAGTTGCTCCGAGATCGCAGTGTCTCCGGGCGCCGGGCCAGTTTTCTCGCTTGGTCCTCGTCCGCGGGTCCAGCATTTCCCAGCAGGACATTGACAATCTGAAGGACATCGTGAAGCAGGTGCACTGCGATTATGTATCAACGGAAGCGTCGCTAGAGTGTATTATCAGTAGCCCTGCAGCCTGAGCTCTGACAAAGCTCCTTTAGAATTGCAGATACAGTAGTCGATGGCTTGATATCTAAGACGCGGTGTCATTGGCCGGTGATCTCTCTATTACGGGGCGACCGCATGCCCAGCCAAATGAAGGTTGGCGGCGTCCCTTCCCTTGTCGATCCGGTGTCCCATCACGGAGAACCTCGGAAATCCAAAGCTGAAACTCGCCAGATTTACGGCTACGACACTGCTCTTCGTTTCCAGCGGTGATCTATCTCGTCCTTGTATACTTAATGCAACTTACGAGTTGTCGGAGGCTCTCAGCGCAGGTCTCCTCGGAAGCACCAGCATTGTCTTGCTCGTCATGCTCCAAACCCTCCAAACCCTTTCCGTCGACGATTGTGGCACTGAGCTAGCGTATCTAGACAGCGGTGTGCCACCTCATGCCTCTCCTTTTGGCAGCCAATATACCACCATCTTTGCCATCCATGGCATGGCCTTTACCAGCAGTGAGTGCCGTCATCCGTGTAGTCCCTGCGCTCTGCTGACACGCTGTATCAGACGTATTCGAGAAAATAGCTTCCACGGCGAACCCCGCAGGTGTGCGTTGGGTGTCGATTCAGCGCAGAGACTTCCCTGGCTCCACACCCCTTTCTGCAGCCGACCTGAACGTCCTCAAGAGCGGAACCGACGAAGAGAAGGCTCGGTACGTGCGCGACCGCGGTGTCGAGATTGCCACCTTCGTCGATACGTTTGTCCGGAAGAACGGACTGCCTCCGCCGGACGAAAAAGGAAGCGGCGGTGGGTTTGCAATTTTGGGTTGGTCGCTCGGAGGCGCGTTTGCTCTTGCTGCCGCAGAAAATGTTGGCGCTCTCGCCGATGCGGCAAGGGCTCGCTTCGCTCGGTATATGCGCTCGATTATACTGCTCGGTGGGTTCAGACATAATCATGCAGACTACCAAATTACTTACAGTGAGTCGCTTGCAGAACCAGGCCACGCCGCCATCGGGATACCCCCTCCTCCCAAGCTATGGTCGCCTTTCCGGGACGAGAACATCCCGCCTGCTCAGCGTGCATCCACTTTCAACAGCTGGGTCACCGCGTATTTTGACCATGGCGACATCAGCAAGCGCGACCTCGACGCGCTCGAATACGTCACACCCTCGCCGACGCGGATGCCCAGCATCACCAACATGTCTGCGGAGCAGCAGGCCGCGATCGTATATAACGGCTGTGCGTTGACGAGCGAGTTCCCCCTGGCAGGCAACTGCGCTCAGCAAGTGTACGCGACCTACCAGAAGGCGGTATTCGACCAGAAGACTAGGGAGAGTCTGCTGAACACGGCGATATGGGTGCTTTGCGGCGACTCTGGACCGTCGTTTTCTTTGTCGACGTTGTGGGTCATGGAGGAGGACGATAAGGCTCATGGAGGTGGGAAAATCCAATTTCGCCTCCTCAAGGGAGCAAACCACTGCGTGAGTATCCTCTTGACTCACGTGAGCATGCAGTCCCCTCACAAAAGATCTGCTACAGATGTTTTGGGACTATCCGGAGGTTACTCTGAGGGCGATACTAGACACCATGGCGTAAATTTCTGGAGAAATCAATTGCAAGGTCTCGATAGCTCAGATATTCACCACGAGCGAGTATTTGTTTGTAAGTACACGGCTTGGTTTTGCCTGAACGGCTCGGCGGCCTAAAGCCGAGCGGAAGGAGTATAATAATCAGAGATTTTCTGTGAAAATGCGGGCAAACCATGACTACAACGGCTTCCTAGCGAGCACGGGCAGGACTGACTGCAAAGGTTTTCCGTTTGCTTGGATACGACGCACGACCGCAAAGGGCTCGGCACACTGTGAGGGCTTCGAACCCATGAAGCATATATCAACTGTTAATCCCCCATATTCTTTGCTCCTCTTCTGCTCGGCACCAAGGAAATTAGCACGCGCTGAGATTTACTGAGCCAGCTGCTTCTCGAATGTCGCGTGGACTAGGACGAGAGCAATTTCAAAATACTGTCCTTTATAGTTGGCAAGTACGCATGAGTCTGCAGCTGACAATGATATATGTGTAAGGTGGTAGCAGACACTTAAGTCATTGAGGTCGTGAGATTGGCTTCGCCGCGCCAGAAGACTATGCCATCGCGTCCAGTAGTGCCTCAAGCGTGAGCTCGGGTTCATCCCAATGCATCTGTAGCGGACCTTTATCAGAGCAAACCCACGCCTGCATGAGTTCGATGAACACTCACGACGTGGTTTGCGCCCTTGATGAAGCGGAAGCGCACATTCCCACCTCCGTAAGCCTTGTCGTCTTCTTCCATGGTAAACATGGTCGGCAACGAGAACGTCGACGTACGGTCGCCAAAGAGCGCCCACACCTTCATATTCGGCAAAATTTCTCTAGTCTTCTTGTCGAAAATGGCCTTCTCATACGATTCGCGCAGTTGTGGGACACAGAACGTCAAAGGACCGTCGCTTGTCCGCACGCAATCGTTGTATATGATTGCTGCACGCTGCTCCGCAGACAAGTTGTGGATGCTAGGAATCCGCGTCGGCGAGGGGACGACGTATTCGAGAGTATTGAAGTCGCGGTTGTTCAGGTCGCCATGGTCAAAATATGCGGTAACCCAGTAGTTAAACATAGGTGCACGCCTGCGAGGCGGAATGCTCTCGTCCAGGAATGGATTCCACATCTTAGGCGGTGGGAGTAACCCGATAGCGCCATATGCTGCGTCTGCAAGCAACTCGTCAAAGGCGACCACATGACTAACATGATCACCTTCGAACGCACCAAGCAGAATAAGTGATCGCATGTATTGAGCGAAACGAGCCCTTTCTGCATCTCCAAGAGCGTCCACATTCGCAGCCGTGGCAAGCGCGTACAGAGCTCCGAGCGACCATCCCATGACGGCGAACCCACCGCCGTTCCCTTTTTCGTCCGGCGGGGGCAGTCCGTTCTGTTGGACGAACTTGTCGATGAAGGTAGCGATCTCGACACCGCGGTCGCGCACGTGCTGAGCCTTCTCTTCGTCGGTTCCGCTCTTGAGGACGTTCAATTCGGCTTTAGAGAAGGGTGTAGAGCCAGGATAGTCTCTGCGTTGAATTGACACCCAGCGCACCCCCGCAGGGCCCGACACAGAGGCCATCTTCTCAAACACGGCTGGTATGACATGCAGGCGGAGCGCGCGAGACACACGACTGACAGCACTCACGACTACAGAAAGTCATGCCATGAATGGCGAAGATGGTGGTGTATCGACTGCCGGAGGGAGAAGCGTAGGATGGCACACCGCTGTCGAAGTATGCCAGGTTGGTGCCGTGGTCGTCCACAGAGAGAGTCTGTGGGGTTTGAGGCATGATGAGCAAGACGGATATCTGCGGGGGACGTGCACCGGAACCTCCAACACTTTATAGCTCTGAGTTGGTGATTCTTGCGAGGGTGAAACGTGAAACAGTAAGACAGCTGCAGGTCGTAGAACCGCCGGATTTTTCGGCGGTTATATCAATGACTGGCGCACGAGTGTAAATGGCTACCGGTAAAGCCTCTCCGGGCGATAAGTAGAGAGTCGGAGAGGGTAGGTGATGTCGATGAGGCCTTGAGGCCCATGAGGAGCCGCAACATAAAAAGCCATTCACGCGGAGGAGGTGAAGGTCTGCCGGGCGAACAACCGCGCCTGGGAGACAACTGGCTGCTCGCGCGATCGTGAACGTAAATTCGTAAAGTCTCCGAGGACCAGTGGCCTTTTGAGCGGAATAGATCATTCATTAAACTATCTGAGAGGGATGAGCAACGGCAATCGTCACTGGGGTCGGAGCGCCCGACATACGCGCCCAAGCCAGGACCCCGGGATGAGCGGCAGAGCTTGTTCAAGTTCAACTTGCCAAAGCCCACCAGGAATGACTGCTTACGTACACTGATAATGGCGCATATCCGTAACCCAGGCAGCTATACTGACTTGACCCACCCCAAGCAGGAAAGTTCAGGGTGATGTCTTGAATACTGCCTGACCTACCTCCGAGCACCCGGGGACTACTTATCTCCCTCCTTCGACGCATAGCTCATCACCCAACCCAACCACCGCCCTCTGCTCTCACAGAATGTTAGCCAGAAACGACAGATCTGGACATCCACGTCCTTCTATTACTTGTTTCTGCCTGACGTCATAGTGTTTTTCGGCTACGGTGTGCATTAGATTCCGCTGCCAACTCATGCCGTACTTGCTTGGACCTTACCCCTATCTGAAGCCCCTCAAGTACCAGATGCACTCGCCTTGAAGTTAACCCCGAACGCTTTCTTTGCGGAAGGTATGTGCAATGGTGGCTATCGTGCTCGAGTCTCACAGGATGCGTACAGATGCAGAGAGACGCCAAAGCCGAACGGACGCCGCTCCTGGCATCGGTCCGCGAACTGCAGAGGCAGGTTGCGGCAGAAAATCGACGTCTCAACGAGCTCACTCCCGTCGGAAGGCTTCCCTCTGAGCTGCTGGCCGAGGTGTTCATGTATCGATCCGCCAGCTGGCACACTGGAGACCGCGAGTGGATCCAAGTCTCGCGCGTCTGCCATTGCTGGCGTGAAACCGCCCTTCATTCTCGTGCGCTTTGGAGCGGCATCTGCGCACTCGGATCGAAATGGACACGAGAGCTATTGCTGCGATCGAAGCAAGCCTTGCTAGATGTCATCGTCGACTACAGACAGGACGACGAAGTGATTCCCCTTGTCCTTCGTGAACTGCATCGAATACGCTCCATCGAAATATACATCCATCGTTGTGATGATTGTAACGGCCCCACATGTGCACCTCTTCTGCGCTCGATGATCCTTTGCCGTTCTGATTTCAGCCATACGCCGCCCATGGACCTGCTCAACAGGCTGGAGCTGCCGTCTCTGACGTACCTCAAGCTCAGTGAGGTACAGGTCCCATGGACAACCAATCTCTTTCGACCTACGTTGACCCATTTGACATTCCGCTTTCGCGTCAAAGAACCCGGGCTCGTCGACTGCGACTTGTCCAAGGTGCTCGATGTCCTCCATACCATGCCTCATCTGCAATCACTGGAACTTGCGAACGTTCTGTCCGATCCCGGCAGAGCTAACGTTGGGGCGGATGTACATGCTCATCTTGCACAGCTGCGCCACCTCGTTCTCGTGACACCTGCAGCGACCATGCGCCCCTTCCTCGAACATGTTACGTTCCCCAAGGAGGCCTGCATGATCTCCATTGGATTCTCCGACACTGCCCTGGACGACGACAACATGACACAATGCATACGCCTCGCCGCATCCAAGTTCGCAGAAGATACCCGTTCCAAGGACCCCGTCCGAACTCGGCTGACATTCAGTCACAATTACATGGCCGCTACGGTGTGTGTCAATCAAAGTGCCGATTCTTTCGCCACAGCGTTCCGGGGTGCTCCTTCCCTTGTGGTGCGTGGGATGCGGCTGGCCACAACGAAGGCGAGATTCTTCGAGATGGTCCGTCGCACCTTTCCTTTGCCGGAGACGAGCTTCTCTGTCATCGACGTCGGCTACCAAGCTTGTGATGGCCACTGGCCTCGGGGTGCTTGCGGACCGATTCCCCCATCTTCGTGAGGTCCATGGCGCCGGTTCCCTCTACGTGTTTGCCACCAAATCTTTCGATATTCTCTCGCTGCTTCAGACACTTCCCTTCATGGATAGGCACGGCGCACCGCACCAACATGCTGCAGCGTTCATGCAAGATGATGTTCCGTCGGCTTCGGCACCAAGCTCACCACTACAGCCGAGGACTGACCCTGAGGTCACCGCTCAGCTGGTTCCTGACCAAGATTGGACGCTTTGATGTCTGGGCTCGAAGATAGTGTAGGTTGGCCTGATTTCGTGGACTCTGGATGGTTTGACAACCTCCAACTGTACTGTAGTTGTGATAGTGGACGAGTGGTTAGGTAAGGCACGAAATTGTACTCTTCGCTACGACTGTACTGGCAAGCACCAACGAACCATGCCTTATTTGTGAACCTTGATGCTTGCGAATGTGCTATCCGGCTCCGACGGAGCGGGCGTGCACATTCAGTTAGCACAGCTGCACTACTTGAATCCCCGTGCGGCCTCGTCGGCTACTGTATGCGCCGCTTCATGGTACGCGTTTCTTTCTCCAAAGAACGCCGCTGTCTCTCTTGCTCCGACACCGGACTTGGCCATGGCGACACGCCATTCAAAGACCCTGACCGACCTCTTCAGTCGCTTCGCTATGATCATGGCGCCGCCGAGTCCCAGACCGCAGATCAGGGCGTCGACGCTCTGCCGCTGCGGCGGCTGCGCGACGGCACCCTGCTCCGAGGCGCCCGAGTCACGTACGCGTCACCGGAGCCGCCACTCCTGACTAACCCGGGCTTCTTTTGAGTCTTTGTCTGTCGCTCTCATCCTCTATCGGTGATGTACGCTCTGCTTTCATCGACGCCCACCTTGTCGAGGGTCCGAGGGCGACCATTGGCGGATTGCACGCAAGAGAACGTCATGCCTCCGCGAGCTTGGCGCCATCGGCCCTTCCGGATGCCACACAACCCTCGTCGAGTGTCTCGCGAACCGTGCTGGCAGCAACGGACGATGCGCCCCTTTTTCACCGCACTGCAACCCGCCGCCGTACATGTTGCCCAGGCTAGAGGTGCTCGTCATCCTCCCGCTGCTCGGCTCGAACCGTTTGAAAACCACGATGCCCCCACCTTCTGGACGCGTATGCGAAGGTTTTCGGGAATGCGACTGGTCACAGAGGGCGCAGGCATCTGCCAGCAGGACGCCGACGAGTTCCGGGGCGTCCCCGAGGTGCAGATGCCGGCCATGAGTTGCGAAGGATCGGAGAGAAGTCTTGACAACGTGTACTTTGCGGCTGGTTTTGGCGACCAATCTTACGATCCCGGGCCCGGGCGGCAACAAAGAGCTAGAATCATTCATGGCTTGATCGCCAGTCTTGCGCTGAGTGTGTTCTCTGTCTCAGTCGGTGGTTGTTGTCCTCCGCAGACTTCGCGGCAGACTTTGGCGAAGGATTTCAACGATCTCCGCCTCGGACGGCAGTAAAGAGCCAGGTCAGTGACTATTTGCCAAGTCCGAGTAGTTAGTCTCAGGCTAAATTGTACTTGTGTGCAGCATGGTCAAGTGTATTCTTTGTCCCAAAATGGGCAGTCGATTGTCCTCCCGGCTCGAGCTGCGCGTCCGAGCGCGGAGCGACAGCTTGAACTATACAGCACGGCCTTGAGGAGACAGCTGTCATGTGAGGTTGCCAAATGCCTCGAGTCCGCGTCAGGCCAAAAATCTAGGAGCTTAGCAACTACTGCGGTGCGCTATCGGGGTTAATATCCGCGTCGGACTTCTTCACAGTAAGCCCTTCTTGCAAATGCAGGGCGTTATTTGGAAGGAGTGAAGAGTGACTAAGCCCTATGCCTCAATGTTGCAAGCTCAGGTAGTACTCGTTTGCAGGATGATGCATGTCAAGTAGACATGGCCGATTTCGGCTAACACCCGCCGCCACGGAGCTCCAAAGACCGCTGTTTGTGAAGCACGACATTTTGTTGAGTATTGTGCGATATTATTCAGCACCTTTAGGGCCCTTTCACGAATCCAACGCGAATATTGCTTGAGCTTCAGACGAGGTCCTGATGGGCGCTAGGTGCACGTGGCCGCCACGAAGCTCGCACGCTCGGGTTAGGTCCTACCGCCTCGATGTCCTGAACAGCGACACGAGCAGAACAAGTACTGCAGTAGGACGAAGGAGGCACAACGGGGAGGAGGGGAGGAGGGGGGGGGGTGTACGGTACCTGGGAAGAGCTCTCGGATAGGAGGGAGCATAGCGTTTGACATGGCTTGGTGATGTGGCACTGGCAGTCTGACCGGTTGGAGACATGCAGGGCATAGAATATTATATACTCATCTTCCGGTACACGCTCGGCCATCAGCATTAGAGAGAATTTTGACCGCGCCATCCAGGAAGCCTAGTCCACATCGTTCCATGGCGTCTGGCATAGCCTGCCGGCGTCGTTCTAGCCGCGAGCATCGCGCCAACTTCAAATCCTTTGTCCACACGAGGCGGGATGATCACCTAGGACAGGAGGCGTAGCGCGCCGCAGCTTCTTTCGACCGTTCCATCGCACACGGTGAGTCCCAGGATGTCGTGGAGACGCTCGATAGCCGCCGCCGTTTCCCTGGATCGACCATAACACAGTCCGCACCTGGAACTTGGCCAATATTGCGCGAGGGGACGTGCGTATGTGCAGATCCCGACACTGGCAGGGAACGTAGGTTTTGCCGCGAACCGTTCGGTGACTGCCTCAGCACTGTCCAGCTCCCGCGACGGGTCCTGTAGAGGTAGAGGGCGGCATGTACCAGGCGTTCAGGTGTGACTAGATTGTTCTCGGCGCCCATCGTATATTGGCGATTGTTGTGATTGAACTACTCGGGCATGAAACAGATCACCGGCTAGGTAGAGATACGGAAACATCTCCACTTGAGCGCCTGCGGCTGGGACAGACTACCTGCAGTAGGTACCGGGTGGTGGGGAGGCCGGTCAACACGTGTTGTTGAGTCGGAATGGAAGTCAGTCAATCCACATCGTTTCAGCTGGCGCATCCAACAGGAAGGCGGAGATGCGGGTGTTTTGCGGCAGATATGAGAGGTGTAACGCCACAGCTTCGCAGATCTAGCGTGGGCATCATCAAGTAGAGGCTGTTGGATACGGCGACGCGTTCCGGGCGAGAAGTCGAGACTCGATTGCAGACGTACAGCCTGACGAGTTTACAGTGCGTCTGCGCACCGTTTTTCAGCCAGAGAGCTTAGGCAGATGGTAAGCGCACTCGCCTGCGGCATGTTATGGAGGGGCGCTGGATGCGGCAGACCGCGCCTCTAGTGAACAGCCCGCGATTCCGCTGGATACTGGAGGGAGTCATTTCGTTAGCGCATTCCTTGTAGCAGGTCCGCGGATAACCAAACCCCTCCTTTCCAGACTTCTTCGACCGCGCGAGAACTCACGCGAGCCAGAGGAGGATCTCTAGCGGCAGCTCTAGCGTAGACGTGCGTCATCAAGCTATCCTACGATGCTATCTCACAGCCTCTCAACCAGTGTGATGTGGAAAGCCCCCGTCTGCGTTGGCTGTCTTCTCCGACCAGCTCACTGGATTCACGTTCTCGGCAAATTACGGTACGTCGTCAAAGGAAGGCTTCTTTAGCGGTCCGCGCCTACCGCCTTGTGCCGAGCGAAACGTGTCCTAATGCCTATTTCACCCGTCCTTCCAGACTTTGAGATCCAGCCCGGGCCCTCTCTCACCACGTATCGATACCGACGTGTCTCTTCCCCGCTGCGACGAGCCGCAACCACCACACACCGCACTCGAACGCACCGGCGCTTCGCGTTCAGGCAAGAAGCGGTACACCTGTGACGTCTGTGAGAAACGATTCGAGAGGTGCGCACAGTTCGGCCAGAGTCCGCCCGGGGGGGAGGGCGACGATCTCACCTGTCCGTGCAGGCCCAGCTCTCTCACGACGCACATGAACTCACACACGGGCAACCGCCGTAAGCATCTGACCCCTCATCCCTCGTGTGCGATGCGCAGCAGATAGAGTCCCCTTCCGCTGAGCACGTCCCCCTTCGTTTTTTAGCGCACGTCTGCCGGTACCCCGGCTGCCCGAAGGCGTTCACGACCCGCTCCAACATGCTGCGCCACTTTCGCGCGCACTTTGACGGCTCGACGTTCGTCCCGTGGGACGCCGCGTGCCCCCACGGGCACGCCGATTCCCTCCGCCTCCAGGCGTCGCTGTCGCAATGAGCGACGGCGAGCACGCGTCGGCGCTTGGTGGCGCCGACGAGATCCGGAAACGACCTGAAAGCTCCTGGTTTGCTGCCGACGGCCCGAGAGGACAGAGGGCAGGGACATTGTGTCGGTGTTCGCGGACAGGAAAGCGTCGTCTTGCACGTAACAGAGTGTTTGTTCTTACTCCTTTGTTCGCCAACGTTTTATCCCTTAATCGTGTTATGCGATCAACTCGTCAATCTGACACTGGACGATCATTTGGCGGAGGCATCTATGCTGGGCAACGCTGGCCGAGGATGTCGCGCGTTCCCTTGGCGCAATGTCGGGCCTTCTGAGTAGCCCACCGGTACTGGTGCCGTGCCTGATAATCTGCGGATCAAGCACTGAGTGCCCCGGCTGGCTGTGCGCCGCGCGGCCTGTAATGGCGGGCCTTGTCTGAGTGCCCCATCCTAGCATTCTCTTTTTCTTCGCGGATCGTAGAAAGAATTCGAAGCCATGCCACATGACGGGCGCTTCAAGGACATGTTCGGGCCCGCGCCAGACCGAGTCGTACTTCCCTCTCATAGTACCAGCCCAAACGGGCGACGTGGAACGACGTGCCCCAGAGCTCGTACCGACCTCTGGCTCGGTCCGGTGGGCGTGTCACGGACAAGGTCGGTCGCTCGCAGCGCCCCGCACGCCGACAAGGCACCGCGGCATCCGTTGACGAAGGCTCCCAGCACGCATCCCAGAAACGAGACACTATCTCGGCTGGCGAAGACGACGCGCATAGACGCCAGTGCGCCGCCGCGTCGTCATCTTGCGGCCTGCTACGTCCCGGGGCGCCCTCGTTCACCGACGACGGCGCGGGCCAGCTCGTGCCGCACCACTGCGCAGTGCCCTGCGGAACGTCCCGTTCGGACAGGGCATGGGTGGGTACATATACGTCTTTTCGGCGGCGACTTCCTGGCGCGTCTCGAGGGCCCCGGGGTAGCACCCGCCGCACGTTGTGCGTGTGTTGCGTTTGTTGCCAAACTTTTGTCCTGGCGCACCGCGCAGACAGGCGGCGCGCGCGCAGGGCGGGGAAGGCGCTGGGACGGATGTGTGTTGCGTGTTGCGACGGCACTGGCAGGCGGTGAGGGGCTTCAGCACGCCTGGGTGCCTCCGCGTCCTGGATGGCTTTGCGCGTCCAGAAGGACGGGGGACATCGAGGCGCGATGGACGACGTGCGCGCCGCACTCGTGGAGCCCGTCGAGCTGGCGAACGGCCCCGCGGAGCAGGCGCGTAAGCCATACCCTCTCACTCGAGCGCGTGGTGAAGGGGTGCCTACGCCCCTCGGTGGTGCATAGTCATAGGGCAATCGGTGGTCGACGATATGAACCTGCACACCTTGTCTTCCATGAGCCAGATCAATGGCTCGACGCCCATAACGCAAATGATGGTCGTGCGAAGACGCGACCGCCCGTATCTGTTGTGCAACGAGGCTGAATGCCCCCCTCCATAGCAAACACACTGTAGCTCCAAACCACAGGAGCAATCCGAAACATGTGGCGCCGATGACCGCTCGGTGCAAGTACAAATACAAATGCCGATAACTTACTCAAACCTGACGTTCTAGACTTTGAGACCTCCGCAGCCGACGCGGTCCTTCGGGCACGACACATCGGGGGTGTATTTGAATTATTTTCGTAAGTAACACAGACAGTGTCAAATTGGAAGCTGAACGTTGTGAAGGTGTTTATGTTGCACGTGCGGTGGATGCATGCATGCAGGACTTTCGCTGCATAGAAGTCTGAAGTTGAAATCGGCCCCCAGCTCTGGTGAGCAAAAGTCCGAGTAGCCCGCCGCACGAGCGGAGTGATATCGGGCTGGTCATGCAGTAAGGGCAGGGTGTGCATGCTGAGACACGGGGCGCGGGGACGAGTAGAAGACAGCGTCAAGCGTGACAAGGGGCCTAGTTCTCGACCTATGTAACACAAACCCTAGGTCACAAGCTCATGAGATACTGGACGTCTCTCGTCCATGCATAGCCCAGCTAGCGCTTTCCAGGCGTCATGTCAAGTTCTTCGAACGACATTTGCGTGCCACGTCCGTAGACTCGCTGGTTGGCACTACATTCTGATCGTAAGTGTCAGTCTGTGCGACGGAAATGAAGCGAAGGGGATCGTCTCCAGAGACAGGCGCCGATTAGCCCGGACATTTTGTCAGAGAGCTCGTACTACCAGGAACATCTTTTCAAATGTCAATGCCAAGGGTCTCACTAGGCTCGGGACCCTTGGCCATTGATAGCCCGTGTACTAGTCATTAATATTGACATGGTAGAGCTACTAGCTGCGGGTGTGGATGCAGGCTGCCCACTACAATTCATTTTGATTCAGCACAATGCGTCGTACGGGGAGGCCCACCAGAAAGTTGTGCGAGTTGCGCGACGCGGACTGCTCGAGCTCGTCGGAAGAGTGCCATCAGAGCGTTCCAAAAGAGGCATAGTTCCAAACTGGGGCACGATCGCGCAGGGCACCGAAAAGGCAGCACTCCTGCCGTATATATCCACTGGCAGAGGACGAGCGTCGGCCTCGAGGTTGGGGCGTGAATGAGGGCGCAGCCTCACTTCGGGGCTGTGTAAGCCCCGTTGTCAGATCTGAACGTAGATTGGACGCACGCTGTTGGGGACCACAAAGCTTGAATATTCCAATGGAGCGTCACGCCATGCATTGTGCTCGAAAGCAAAGGGCAGCAACGCAACGGTGCACGAGCGTTGAAATTGAAACGTCCATGGTCGGCGGCGTATCTGAGAGACGAGATGGTTACCAGGGACAATACAACGCACAATTACGAGCGCCGCCCACGCCGCCCGCTCCAGACGACGTGCCGCGTCGTTGTGAGGGCCGGGCCCTAGCGTCACATCACAGCGATTGACCTTCTCCGATTCTCAGACCCTGTCCGGCCCGCGGTCGCCTCGACGATGAGCCGCGACAAAGAGCCCAGGCTGAGAATGGCGTAAAAGGAAGCGAAATAGCCATATCGAGTTTGCAAATGAGGATGGGCGAAGGGTACCGTCTTCGGCGCTGCGCAGTCGACGAGGACAGAGGGCGCCCGGGGCGGGGGGCATGACCCACTCTTGGGCCGCACTGACTCCATTCTGGGACCGCTCGGGCCATGGCTCCCAGCGGGCGTACGTGGAACGACGGACAGCAGCGCGAATCACATGCACCGGATGATGAAAGCGGTGGTTGCGATTGGGCGTGCACAAATAGGGCTGCGCGGACTGCCTGTCCGGGGCGGGTTCCCTGGCCGCCTTCGGCGTCGAGAATAGGGCCCTCGTACAGCCAGCGTGTGCCGTCCGAGGGAGGAATTGCCAATGGCGAGAGAAGGAGGGAGGGCTGCTGACCGAGTGCGGTGGGAGCACAGGGTGGGTGGGATGCCCATTAGAGGATAAGCCGCCGGGGATCGTCTGGCGTGGATGTTCCAGGCACATTGTCCGCGCTGACGGCGAGCGACATTGCTTCCGCTCACGCTGCGTCATCTCGTGCGCACTCGCGCATACGCGGGAGTCATCGCGGTCTCTGACTCTGCCCACCCCCGCTGCTGCGCGCAGGCCCTACCCGCCCGGGACTGCACCCGCTTCTCACCTTGGCGTGCCGCCCCAGCTCGCCGAATCGGGTCTTCGGCAGCGCTCGGGGTGAATGACAGGTGCCTGGGTAGACTGATGTGGCGCAGGTCACGCGTGAGAAAGTACCTCTTTAGGGCAGGGGGCAGACGCTCATAAGCGAGACATGCTGGCCGCTGGTGAAAGCACACGGCCGCCAGAGGGTCACAGAGAGGGCGAGTCGAATGCCCCGAGACCCACAAGCAGCCGCGGGAGCGCTCGCAGGCGGCGATCCCGGCTGGATACGGACGGCGGGAGCACGATAAGATATGGCAATGTCGGGAGATTGTGCGGAGTTTGAACCGCGCGGCATCGGCCGGGAGAACGCCGTCAACGAACTGAATTTTCCCGTATAAGACGAATCGGGACGGGCTCGCTCGTTCTTGCCTCCTTTCCTCTTCGAGTCGTTTTCTCCCCTTTTCTGGTAGCGACACTCGCCCGCTCCCCCTTCCCATTCTGTCAACACCACCGACGACCGATCCATTGCCCACCCCTGCGACCTCCTCGTTGTCCACGACGACCTCGCTATCACCCCTGTCCGCGACACAGCCCTCGACGCCGCCGATTTCCACGCGTGACGTCCAATTAAGCCCCGCGAACAACGCGCGACTCCATATCAGGTACGTCCGCCATCGGCGACGCCCTCGACGCGATTGTCGTCCTCTAACGTGTCTACGACGTGCACTACAGCTCTGCCTGAGGTCGTCGATATCCAGCGCAGCTTCCGAAATTACGTTCAACGTTTCCCGTTGACTTCCATTCCACTGGCCTTGTATTAGTGGTACCTGAAGCACAAAGTACTCTTCAAACACTATAACTGCCTGAGACAGTTAAAACGAAACATGCCCGATTCGACAACGCCTAGCAAGCGCCAGCGCCTCGAGCCCATCGACCCCTCAGCGGGTGCTGTCAGCGACGACGCCTTCGTCCAGGACCGCGACGCGATCGAGGGAAGCGGAGATGACGAAGATGACGAAGACAAACCGAAGGACAAGAAGGCCGGTCGCAGGAAGATCAAAATCGAGTTCATTCAGGACAAGAGCAGGCGTCACATCACGTTCTCGAAGCGAAAAGCAGGAATCATGAAGAAGGCGCGTCGCATTGCGTCTCCTTGCGCATTTGTCCACATGTTGACATCACTCTCTTACACAGGCGTACGAGCTTTCGACACTCACAGGCACACAAGTACTTCTCCTTGTGGTGTCTGAGACCGGACTCGTGTACACGTTCACCACCGCGAAGCTGCAGCCTCTTGTCACTCAGCCGGAAGGCAAGAACCTCATTCAGGCATGCCTGAACGCTCCCCACGGCCAGCTTCCGTCGTCAATGCCCGTCGGTACACCACTAGGGCGTCAGTCAGGACCCATTCCTGGTCCCCCGCACTCTCCGTCGCAGCCTGCGCCACCCCCAAACGTCCCGGGCGGACTCGCAATTGGCGGCAAGGATGAGGAGGGTGTTGACAACGAGGGCCGGGAGCAAGGTGCTGCCAACGACGCGGTGGACAATGACCGTGGCTCGCGCAAGCGTCGACGCGCGTCTTCGACAACGACTGCGCCGAATACGCGCGGGGCGGCACAGCCCCCGCCGCCACCGCCTCCCCCGGCATCGAGCGCGCCGACGAACGCCTCGCAGGCGCCCGCCCCTCCGAACCAGCAGACGTCGCCGCACGCGCGACAAGCCGTACCGCTCCCGACCCCGCTCACGATGCCCGGCGCGCCACAGCAGCAGGGCCAGATGCAGTCACCGAACTACTCGCCCTACCCCGGCGGCGACCCGAACGCGGCGGCGATGTACCCTGGCTACGCCAGCCAGCCGCCAGCCGCACCCCAGGGCGCGCCATACTACGTGCCCCAGCCGCCGCAGCCGGGACACGAGCAGCCGCAGCCGGGCATGACGTGGGGCCCGGCGCCGGGCGTGCAGCAGAACAACCACTACGCCCGGCGGTAATGGCGGGAGTCGTGGAGCGCGAGGGAGATATGACAAACCTGCCTTGTTTTTTGCGTCGTTTGCATCGTATCTTGTTTTCCCGTCTTTCCGTGCCCTGGCGTGTTCTGTACCGTTGCATCATCGTGTTTTCCCTGGCGATTGTGGCGATTCTATAAACGTTTTTTTTCTCACCCACCCTTCCTCCGCCAGCGTACCGCTCCCGACCGTCGCTCTTGTGTCTCATATGTTGTAGCTAGCCACCCGTCCCGCTCCCGTCCTCTCGTGCTCCTGCCTTGCGCGTCCCAGTTATTTCTTTCATTCTTTCATCTCATGTCTGCCAGCGTCGTGCATCCGGACCCCGGGCCCGGTGTACGGTACTCGGCTCTTGATGCTCGTGGCCCGCCCTTTTTCTTTCTCTCTATCGCCCTCTCTCTCTCTCTCTCGCAGCCCTGACTTGTTCTACCGTAGCTAGTCTAGTGCAAAGTGTACCGAGCAGTTTTACGACGTGTCACGACCCTCGTATATTGCGAAATGTATCAGTATTATCGACGAACTCCGCTTCGCAGGCTGCTGAGGTCTCCCGTGACGCAACAGTTTCTTTTGCCCGCTGGCCGATTTTCACCCGGGTCCTCTGTCCCATTGGCACACATCTCGAGCAGGGTCGGTATATCGCTCTTGCGTGCTTGCCTCTCTGAGCAAACACACACACCACGCTCCCGGGCAGCGGCCTGCGCTCCTCCCCCCGTCTTCGCACATCAAACGTCTGTCATACATTTCGAACGTTTCTTTGAACGGCTCAGAATGGCCTCAGGAATAGTGTGTGTCCCGGTGACATGTATAGCCGAGGCTTCTCTGCGCGCGGCCGCCGCTAGGCTCCTCTTTTATGCTTGCGTGGACACGAGGAGTTGCTGTGCCGGGAGAGAAAAGGAGGGGTGAGCGCGCTGTAAATCGGCGGGGAAGGGCGGCGCGGCAGGCGCGGCGGACGCGGCGGAGCTACACGCACCTGCAGCGCGGCGGGGTTCGCGCCGACGACGTCCTTGACCTTCTGGCCGTTCTTGAAGAGCGCAAACGTCGGCATCTGGCGTTTTCGGTCGGCGGCAACGTCAGCATGTGCGTGTGTCTCAGGAGAGAGGGTGTGAAGGGAGGGGGAAAAAAAACGCACGGCGCGGATGCTGAGCTCCTGGGCGATCGCCTCGGCGGCGTCGACGTCGACCTTGTAGAACTCGACGCCGGCGAACTGCTCGGAGAGCCTCTCGAAGATCGGGCTGATGAGCCGGCACGGGCCGCACCACACCGCCCAGAAGTCGAACACGGTGTACGTGTCCTTTGCGATCTGCGTGGACGAGCGGCGCGCGCCGTCAGGCGGGTCAGCGTCGGCGGGGCTTGTGCTCATATAGGGAGCAGGAGGACGCACGATCTGGTGGAACTCTGAGAGGTCGGACACGGGCTTGACGGGCATGGTTGGGCTGCGGTATACTTGGGAAGGTGTGCGTAGAGGTGAGGGAGGGATCGATGGAGGAAAATTATCTCTGCGGAGCCCGAGGGGATGATTCAGATGCGGTGATCGGGCGCCCGCCTTGTGGCGTGCTTTCGCAAAGACACCACCTCCGTTGAGTGGAGCTTTGACACTGAGTATATTGCTGAGTGGCGTGTGTAAGTATGTTACAAGGAATCAAGGTGTGGACAGATTTCCAGCGCGCTCGCTTATTCCCCCTGCACGCGAGATTTGGCCAAGTGGGAGTCCCCAATGACACTCGTTACAGCTCTTTCCAACAGCTCGCGGCGCAGAACTCTGGAAGGGGTTTCGAGCAAGTGCTGCGCAGTGCGAGTGGAAAGATATACGACGCCACAAGAGAACAGATGCCCGTCGCGAAGTGATAAGCGTAAGACAAGTTTCTGGCGGCAGAACATGCCTACGGCTCCTGAGAGCATAACACCAATATTGCTGCACCGGTTCACCATCCTCTGAGCAAACATGAGCCATCATAGGGCTGCATTTTTATTGGGAAATCGACCGCTTACCTCCCATCTGTCCCAATTCTCAAGCAAGCTTGGATATGTTATCTGCTGAATTGAACCGCATCCCTGGCAACGTCCAAGTCTGTCACTACGCCGTCATCTTGCAATTTAGAGATCCAATATATTGCCCAGAACGTGCGAGATTCTCGGTTGCCCGACAATATCAGTGAACTTATAATGTCCCATCTCCGCCGTACTGAGCCTAGTAACGTGTATCGTCAGTCCTCTAACAAGACTCTTCAAGCACTACAGACGGGTCCAACTTACTGCGATCTGCAAGCGAGGACTTTTCTATATTTCTCGTAAACTGCATCATCTTTGTATGAAACTCTGGTCCGTGGGGACACGCCCACCTCGGAGCGGCTGCTCTGGTGATCTCTCGCCATCCCGGGGCCACCAGGTCAGCAAAAACAATATCAATGGACGCGATGGCTCTCCAGAACACCCTTTCCGGTACATGCAACGGCGGGGTTTCGAATGCGTTGCGTATGTCGTGCTGGAGTTGCGTCTCGGCGCGGTCGCGAAGGTACCGCGAGCCGCAGGACACTCCGAGCAGCGCAATCCTCCGGGCCACGCCAGGCCGCTTCGGAAATTCCGTTAGGATGAGCGATCCTGTGGTGAAGATTGCAGCCAAGGTGACTGCTTTGAAGTCTGGGATCCAGGATAGGTGGTCCTGATGAGAAGATGTCCAGCTAGCTCTCGCCGCAAGGTTACGTCAATTTATCATAGACTTGACGCCCTCAGGCACTTGCAGCTTCATGATCAACGACTCCTCCGTCGCATTGGAGGGGACATTGGCAGAGCTCAGTGGCTCATTACCAGTAGACGACGATTGTGCTTGCTGAGCCCTGGACCCTACCTCCTTCGGGAGCGATGCGCCGGGATCTCCTGTATGAGGCGGCATGGGCTCTGCGACAGCTTGAGAAGAGCAACAAAAACACGGCGCTCGGGGTTTCAGTCCACACGCTAAGGGTCATAGCACCATATATGGCGGCATCTTAGGCTTACTATTGATGCCCGAGCCACTGCTCAGTGTAGACAGATACAGCAATAACAGCTATCCATGCAGGTACATTAATCTCTCGACAGCAATATCAGGGTGTCCTAAAGTCCTCTGGGCCGAACAAACTTCAGAGGGTCAAGTGGCCCCAAGCGTCCAACGCAACGGTAGAGAGCCCGGTGGTGCTTAGACTGCCGAGGAATTTCGAAAAGCTGGGAGGCTGTGTGGACATAGAAAGATGACGCCATGAGAGAGCATGCTCCTGCCATTAACGAGAGCCTCAACACAGATGGGTGGCGAGCGACCAGCCCCGTTGCAGCGGACACCATGCAGCCGACAGTACTGTAAAGTTTCACCTTCTATTCTCCGGCGAGTGAAAATATGTAAGTGCGGCAGAAAACCAAAAAAACTCTTACCTGCCATACGTCCCATCGCTCGATCATGCTGAGATATGCGGCTTGTGGTAGCATCTCTGCTACTGCTTGCGTGCTTCCTTTGAGCCCATCTCGAGAATGAGGTTCGAGCACCAGAATGTCGGCCAAAAGTCGCGTAGTTCACTCGTTTGCAGGATAAAGGTGCACCACAACGTCTGAAGATCTGATATCGACGTGACTTCATTGGGGCGCTCTGATAGCACACATGCGACCCGCTCACCTCTCGGACGACTCAGCGCTAGAGCTGCGGATTCTAATTCCTTCACCGCCGCATAACCTTCTGTTCCAGTCTTTGGCAACAAAAGAGCACCTTTTTGCTTGGCGCGCATCCGTATCAATGGGCATACTCTCTCGCAGAGTTCTGTAAACGTGATCACACGGCGCCAGAACAGCCTCTCTCGAGTATCCTTCTTGAACGCCCATGAATCCACAGCACGAAGCTCTAGAGCATCGCGCAGGCATCCGTTGCGGTACTGCATAGTACAGAACACCGCTAGGAATGTGACCCGCCTGACGTAACCAGGTCGCCTTGGATAATAACACAGCACGAAGGCTCCCGTCAGGTATGCGAGGGTCCATCTTGCACCAGTCTCAGAGAAGATTTGCAAGGCCTGGATATTCAGTCCCTTTAGTGGTAAAATTGGCAGGGACAAGAGGGCATTGAGACGTACCGACGGCCGAGGAGGAAGCCTCCGCGAGATCTTTAGCGCGGAATCTAGCTCTGATACAGATCCTGTCGCCTCCAGATGCCTGTAAGCAACGTCTGGCGTCGCCACATTTTTGAATCGCGCGCCCCCGGGGTTCTCAATACTTTGGGATACTCGGCTGGGAATGCTTCCGGGCGCTGACGTGTCAGAGTCTGCGCCTCTCGCGCTTGCCATTCGCACACGCCGTCAGACGTATAGACGTACCAAGCCTGCTTCAACAGTGAGCGTAACGGTCTTGTTATGGCGGCGGGGTACTTACGCGGTGATGTGGCAGCAACTAGTGATGTGAGAGCATGATCGATGTCGGCGTCCGCATCCACGATTTGCAGGCGCCCAAAAACCAGGCGACTTTGCGATGGGATGCTGATTAGAACGAATCGCACAGACGGCCCGAATGCATCGAGAGTTGCAAACTTCAGATATTCACATCTGCAGTTTGGCTCGGTGTAGCTGCAAGCGGTGCACAGCAGTTTGTGGGGCAGCTCGGAGGCCTGCCCTAAATACGGCGGGCGCATCAGCTGATGCGCCTGTCTCTGATCGCATCACTGGCGCGCGCTGGTTGTTTGGCCTGCTTTCACTCGTTGAGCTCGGCCCCCGTCGACCGCTGTAATCACTCAAATCACTATCCCCGGCACACTGCACACAAGCTCTGGAAATACGGCAGCCATTACTTGCAGTTTCTCATTAAGATGCTTATCATCCGGTTGGAGACATTGCAAGAACACAGGATGTGTACCACCGTATGGAACGGCGTCCTGAAGTCTTGAAGCTTGAGGCCAGGACTCTAACTCAAAAGTGCGTCTTCGCTTGACGGCACATCATACCCACGTTCTGCAATCCTTGATGCGTTGAAGCACTGCTTAATCAGTCCCGCATGCAGTTCAACTCTACAGAAGATACGTCCATCCATGAGCCTAAGTGACCGTGAAAGCGTCTCCAGTGACATCTGGTCCTCCATTACCTCTGTGCTTGCGCATGGACAGTAAGGATGATAACCTCCTTAGTGCTCAACCTGTGCTAAGGAAAGTACAGCCGATGGACCGTCAGATTATGTCCCAATCTCACAAATTAGTGGGGGCGATGAGGATTTATTCTTGGAAAGCCTACGTAGAATTGGTGCCGGTCCCCGCAGAATTGGAAGGATCTCTACGGCCTCAGCACTCTAGAATATTCCCCCGTCTCCTCCGCCTCTCCTGTCTGCTGCTTCACTTAGGCTTTCTCCGTCTCCAATACAAGACTTATCTTTTCGTATTGGAGGCAAGGTTATCGATACCGACGTCAGATCCGTGGATGAATATCCCGAAGGTATCCTCGGTCTAACCACCGGTCTCATCAAGGCATCTGCCGCTCGCTCAAAGACGACGCAGGAACCGCCTCGCCATGGCAACTTTGTTGTCTATCATTGTCGGCACAGCTGGCGAACAACGTTCAAGTGCTCAAAATTATACCGGAAAACCCTAGTTTCTCTGTCCACGATTTTCCAGGTCGCTATTCGGTTTGATCTTGGCCAGCTCGATGTCAAATATACTTCTTGTCCTCTACTATTCTGACATTGCCCTCTTGCACTGGAGTCCTTGACGGAGCAGACGCGCGTGCCCGACTACATCTCATTTTCCGAGTTGGAAGTGATTATACGACTCGATCTTGCAGGGCACCAGTCAGCCTTTACTCTTACATGAAGAGGAGAGCTACCTAGAGCAACATTGAAGCTCGTCGTGAGTGATATCACTAAGGAGAAATGGTAATTTTCGGAGAATATGCGATTATTCCAGCAGGTTAACTATGTTGCTTGTTTCACCAAAGATTTCCCCCATTCCATGCTGCCAATACTTCGTCATACTTATTTATAATATGACAGCAAAGCAATCGATATATCCTTTGACCTCAAAGAGCACTTCAGTCGAGGTTATTGATGGAACCGAGACCTGCAAACTCTGCAAATCGCGGATGCTGTCATGCCACGTGGCAATCTCAACGGAACGCTTTCGCCCGAACATGCCCTTGACTATTCGCCTCCGACAATCCCAGCGACGCTCAGGTGCAGCCCTTCTAGTTTGGGCTGTATGTATGCACCTGAATGTTGAATGCTGACTCTGGTTAGTAGTGTACTGGATTACGTGGAGTCTTTGCGGCCAGACCGCCTACCGTTTGAAACCGGACCACATCGTCATATTGAGGTACTAGTCTCATAAGTGGCATAGTGCCTTGCAACGTTTGTATCCTGAGGGCCTCACTTGTATTCTGTAGGCTACATGTTGATGTCACTGGACTCCCAGGCACTAGTGGACGATGCGATTGCCGCGCACGACCGCGAAATCGCAAGACTTGTAGAAGAAAAACGTTTGCTTAGGACCCGCAGGAACACACTCGCTCCGATCAACCAGCATCTTCCTCCGGAAATGCTCTCGGAGGTTTTCCTCTCGCTATTCCGTTTGCATCGCGATTCCTGGGGCGCCGCCGTGCGACTTCCACTTCCTCACAACTGGTTAACGGCCACCTTCGTTTGTCAGCACTGGAGAAACATTGCTCTCCGTACGCCCTCTCTCTGGACTCACATCATTCTTACGCGCTCGGATAACAAGCCAGAGCGTATCCTCCGTCTACACGAATGGGTCAAGCGCTCTGGGCGATTACCGCTCACGATCGAGCAGCTTGAGCTGGTCCTAAACCTGGACCTTATCTCATATACTTTTGGGCCGTCGATTATGTCCTTGATTATGCAGGTGGCTTCTCGAATACAGCGACTTGCGATGACTTTCGGAGGTCCCATAATCACTCATGCAGTCCACGAGGGCCGCACCCTCGACTCTCCCTCTCTCGAAAGCATTGCTGTCGTCCAAACGCCCAAGTTGGCCCCAAATTCGTATAAAATACTCCGCGAATATCTTTGGCCTGCAATCAGGAGCCTTCGATGTATGCAGACGAGTCCTTCGCTCCTCCAGGCCCTTATCCGTAACACGCTCACGACGCTATACGTCAAAGAGTGCACCCCTCCGCCTACGATAGGCGAATGGCTGTTAATTCTGGGAAGCTTGCCATCTCTCGCACACCTGACGCTGATACGTTCGGTTAGCCAGGACAATGTGACGTCGAAGACGGGAATGGAGGTCGGACTACCGGCTTTACGACACCTGTGGATCCGAGACCGTGAGGGTGGCATCTCCAGCGCACAGCTCCTCTCCTGCATAGCGATACCGAATAATGTCAGGGCGCACATTGCTGGAGACGAGCCTGTGCAAGAGGCTGGCGCTCGTGCTATACTCGCGCAGGTCGCGGCCAAAGCAGCTGGAGAGGGCATAATCGGGGAGCCCTGGAACGCTCGCGTGTGTGTGGCAGACTACTCACACGGTCCCGGAGACCAGCACCATATCACACTTATCCTCTACACGATGAATCGCCCGCTGCGCCCCGACGCAGACAAAGACATGAGCGACCAAAATACCGGATTCTCTGTTACCCTCGCCCTCGGACGCAACACGTCTATGCGAGAGCCCATTACCCGAGCCTTCTACTCCCTTATCTCTCTTTCGGAAGTCGAAGGCCTCATGTTCCGCGGGTCGATCAAGAAGGCGGAGACGTTCTCGTCGCTCTTGCAACCGCAGATGGTTCGCCAAGTCGAGGCATACACGCAATGCTATACCGCGACTAGGCTTCTGCGCCTGCTCCAAACGGGCACCGCGGTCAACGACACCCTTTCGTTTCCGTACCCCGAGCTACATCGGCTTACTCTCACTATTGTCTCCCGGCGCAACTATGCCCACTCGGGCAGTCACCACGCCCAGACGTTTGTTCGTCTGCTGGCGGACACTCTCGAGGAGCGCGCCAAGCACGGGCTGCGCACCAGACACCTCACGCTCACGTACTGCGTCCAGATCAACATGACCGCGTGCGAAGAGGATTTTGCGCGATTGCGAGGGTTAGTGAAGGATTTCCACATCTTGCAAAGCGTACATGATACCGGCGAAGAATACACCGATGAGGAGGATGACTCTGACGAAGAAGGTTATCGAGCGTAGGCAAAGCTGATGGGAGAGCACGCCGCCATGGATTGGGCCTTGGAATTGGAAGGGCTGACGCTACAAATAATGTATCAACGAGGCTTATTCATAGACCCGTTACAGCGAGACGAATCTTCGTCTGAAACTACTGTATATAATATTCTGCTTCGTTCTGACGAAACGCATACCTAAAGCATAGTTCCGTGCTCGTCGAGCACCGGGGCCAGACTGTCCTTTTCCGCATGCTCAATTGGTTCGGTAGAGGTCAAAAAACGACTTTTAGGCGGGATAAAGGATACGGCATTACTGTGACCCACAGTCTGCCGTACGAATGCGCGGGCTTGATCGAACGTGCGGAATGTTATTATGCTCGCATTCATGTCCAGCAGGTTCAGCGAGGGAAGCTCCATGCACCACGCCCAGAGTCGTTGCGCGCAATCGTGTTCCAGCTCGCCTTCAACCTCGACGCGCTCCAGATTGGGCAGAGCCTCGATATCGTCTAGAGCGGCGTCGTGCTGCTGTTGCCCGGTAACGCAAAGGTGTGCCGTGCCTTGAAGTTTTACGGACGTCAAAAACGGGAACTTGAGCACGAGCGATGGGAGAGCAGGCCATTCAGGTGCGAACTCCTTGATTTTTCGGCCACAGCGGCGAAGAATTTGCGCCCAGGAGGATTCATGCGAGTTTAGTACCAACGTCTGAAGTAGCGGAAGGTCTCCGTGTGATTGAATAGCTTGGAAAACCCCTCTCAGCGACAGCGTGGCTATCGCAGGCAGGCGCTCGGACCAAGCGAGCCGTAAAGCCTTGGTTTGCGGAACAGCATAGCCCAAAAGCTGCACGATCACATCTTCCGAGTATGAATTCTCCAACTCCATATGGACTTCCAGCTTGAATATATTACCAAGGATGCGAGACATGTCCAAGCCAGGCTGGATGGTGAGGAGGCCCCCAATGGAATGTACACCTTCGGATAAGTTTCCCAAGGTGCACACGTGTAAAACCTCTATCGATGGTGCGTCGATAACAGATAGCAGCCAATGTGCCAGATAAAGGGACATCTGGAATTTGACTGTATGTAGTGAAGGAAGAGTGATGCGTGAAACGTCGCGTGAGTTGTCATTGAGCTCGTTCTGGGCACCCGAGTACCAGAAACTAAGTTCCAGATAATGAAGTTGGGGCGACTCTCGGATGACCCAACGAATATCTTTGTCTCTTCGTGATGTCGCAGTCATAGGCACGTTCTCGATCGTCAGCGTATGCAAGTCTTTGTAGAAGCCCCGCGCCCAGGGGAAACGGAGTCCAAAGAGGGACAAGTGGCGCAATTCGGGCGTACCACAACGACCAAACAGACGTGAACCAATGATTGTTCCACTCATCAAATCGTTGTTGTCCGAATCGGAGTCGTAGGAGTCGATTAGTTCCAAAGACAAATGACTCAGTCGCGCCAAGCATGAATCAGGATTCATAGGACGCTTAAAGCACCAGGAGTCGCTGTCTTCGACTTGGAGGTTCCACTCTACGGTGCGGTGAGGGTGTGCGAGGACGAGTTCGACAATATACTGGGATGTAGATTGGTCGCAGCCCATGATTCTCAGCGGTAACTGGGCGCATCGCTCCAAGATGAGTTCTATAGGTCGATGTGACTCCATAGAGCCGGGTGGGCCAGAGTGATGGTGCGCCAGAACGAGCACGTATGGGAAAGGATGAGTGCGGGGTGGGAACGGCCTGTCTTCACGCCAAGTTCTACGCGAGCCATAAAAATCTCGCGCAGAATCTCTGGAGGGAGCCTGCTTATAGACGGCAAGACTTGGTTCCTGGCTGCTGCTGTTTGCGCCCGGAGGTGGAAGAGACTTAGAAGCTCGGCCTGAAGATCGGAGATAAGGTAGTCGAAGTTCTTCAGTCGACCATCGAGGTCGTTGTCGTCGGCAGGTGTCGAAAAATCATCACTGCGCGAGAATTCATTAGTATTCAAGTATTGAATGCTGCCAGCGGAGATTCAACGCGACTACTCGCTAACACTCACGGTACATAGGTAGGTCACTCTAAACTCTGAACAGAGGAGTGAAGATCGTCAATCGCACGACGTAGAGGGCCAAACTCGGGCAAAATCGTGCGCGTTTCTGTAGCAGACATGGCAGGTGTGAGCTGAAGTCGCTCGACAACGTGGACAGCTCTTTATGCGACACACGGACGCTCGTAGACATTACCCTATGTAGGTAGCACTTTGAACCCCGGAAAAAAAAAACGTGGACAGCTCACTTGCAGCTTCATGGCGAACACGTGGTAGACGTAATATTCTGCGGTGTAGAGTCGAGAGCAGAAGAGGAGTTTCGAAACTGCTGCAACGTCTTGCAGAATGTAGACATTAAGCTGGCTTGCAGGTTCCAGGGTGCGTACGTCGGAATGGTACACGCTAAAGACGGAGCCAGTAGCTACTGTGAAGGACGGTAGATACAAAACAACGATTAATGACGCCAACTCAAACAGTCGGGACCAAGCTGGGTATAATCTACAAACCGTACAGTATTGGAAAAGAGACGTACGTAGAGAAGTTTAATGATTGTGTGCTTGGGGTGGTTGAACACAGCCGTACGTAGGGATGCTTAATGAATGCGTGCTTGGGGGTGGCTGGATAAAGAAACTTATCAGAAGGAATGTGATTCACGTGAGCTCAGATCTGGTTCTCATTTCCATGCCACGATGGTCCTGAAGGTCCGACTCGTCCGTTCCGAAGGGTGGGGTGTCCGTGAAGGACACCCTGCAGGATCCTTAGACTCCTGAAAAGGCTTCGCCGATGCCGCGATGCGCCCCTCAGGAATGGCATGTCCGGGCTGCGAGGTAGCATACTCTGAGGAAGCCTCTGACGCTGGCGTAGACGTGATGGAGAGCTCTGAAAAGGTCGAGCCCGAGGTCAGCGAGTTGCTGTGGCCGTGGTCGAGCTGCGTCTGAGTAGACGCAGTCTCTGCAAGGTGCTTCTCCCACTTTTCGCAAAGCTCTTCGAACTCGACTCGCTCCGGTGGTTTAGGCGAGCGCACGTGAGGCCAGCTGAGACGAGAATGGACGCTGTTCGTCAGAAGAGTGTGCTCTTCCATGTCTCTGTCACATGGTCAGCAAAGCGTAGAAGGCCGATTTGTAGAGCACGTACAGACGGTACCGAGTCAACATAGCATCGAACTCCCTCCGGTGCAGCTGCACTAGATCTTCGTGGAACTCGCGGTTCTTCCGCAAACGCATGCGCCCCCTGCGCTGCCCCTGCCCCTGCCCCTGCCCCTGCCCCTGCGCCGACCTGGGGCGGGCCCCATCCAGATTCCTCTCCTGGTAGTCCAGCACAAACTGCCACATTGCCTCCGCGCACGATAGGACCTCTTTCACGCGGAGATGGAGGTGCATATTCAGGGATCTGTGGTCGAACGTGAGGCCGGCTAGCGGAACGAGTTCGTGAACCGGGGGTAAAGGCGCGCTCGGACGGCTGGGCAGCGAGCTGTTCTTCTCTGAGGTCGAGTCCGAGTCGCTGCCAATGATCATAACACCACGTGGGTGGCGCCGGGTCACGCGGTCGTAATCGAACCTGACATATGGGCTACCTCCGGCGGCGACTTGCGCGAATGATATGAGCGGTGAATGTTCGTCGGCATGCGTGCTCAAGTCCGACGTCGCACTTCCATGCTCGTCCTGCTTCCCTTTCGTGGCCCCGGCACACGTCGCGGGGTTCGTAGAAACGGGCGGAAACGCCAGTATGACCGGTGGGTGGGTGACGACCTCTGTCACTTCGGTTAGCTGCGGCAACAAGACTTGCAGAGAGCTGCGCACCCCTGAAAATGAGCGACATCGCATTCGTGATAACGGCTATCGGTTCAAGGTTGATGAACCTCAAGGCGTGCATCTCGTTGTAGATGTACTCGAGAAGCCTGTGGTCGCGCGGGTCGAACGCCGGTTTGGGCTCAGGCTTACCAAGCGTCACGACGTCCAGCAGCTCCTGCTCGCTCCGCTCCCGCTTCGGCGAGCCGGCAGGGGTCGCTCGGGTACGCGTGGGCGAAGTGGACACGGCGGGAGAGATGGGCGCGGCGGTGGGCGACATGAGCCCGAGGCTGAGCGTAGATGGAAATGCCGAAACCTCAAGAGCTTTGAGCCATCGCGGATCTGATTGGGCTCTGCGGGGGGCACTGAGTTCGTCAGAGTCAGAATTCGGGTCGGGCGAGAAGACAACGTCTGACATGGGCGAGTTCCGCGAGGAGTGCCCAGGCGAGTCCTCTGGTGTCGCGGGACCAGTGGAGGGGATACTCTTCGTTAAATCAACGGCATCGGGAGACCTGCCATTGTTTGCAAGGTTGCCTGGAAATACGAGTTCCTCGTCGGAGAGCTGAAGCGGAGCACGTCAGACATTTGCTCTTGGTGCAGGAAAAGGCGCCCACAGAAAAGACGCCATCGGGCTTGAGTATGCGGTGGATGTCCTGGAAGAGAAACAGCTTGAGAGCTGAGATGGCTCCATTCGAAGCGAACGTGGCTTACCTCAAGCAAGCTGTCCCACTGCCCAGACTCTGTTAGCGCGACTGGGACACGGGCTAGCAGCGGCCGCACGCACCTCGTCTTCCGGTACACCGCGAGATATTCGCTTTGCGTGGCTGCGTATTGGGTCCGAGTCATAAGCCTGAGAACACAACCCGATGCCGCGTCATACTTCTACTCACACAAAGTCAAACTCTTCATTTGGAAATGGAAGACCTTCGAGACTGCCCGGCGGAATGTGAGAAGACGAGATGCGGTTTCACATGCCGGCTTACAAGTTTGCTTGGACCCATGTTATCCGGGATGCGAGCTGTGAAGAACCCGTTTGGTAGAGGTCGGGTTGGAGTGGCACGATGTCGAGCCCTGGTTCGTTTGATGAGTAATGCTGTTGCTGTACTTGGGCTGCTCACCGCTGACCGACGAAGTGAGTGTCCTGGGGGAGATGGTTGCTCAATGATCATGACGAAGACGTTCCTGAGCTAAACGACGTACCGTCCATCGAACCGCGGAATCCAATATCCAGAATCCTGACCCTGAAGGATATCGTCAGATCGCGCCAGAACCAGAAAAGTGGAGACACACCACAGCCAATGTCCAAACTAGCACAACGAGTGTAGTGTAAGCCCCAGAGAAAACTTGAACACCTGGAGGGGAACCTACGAACACTTTCCCTGGCGGTCTGTCCGGCACATACCAAGTTATCTGCCCATTTAGCACATCCTGCGCCCACATGCATTCCCAGATGTCACTGCCAGTTATCATATAAGCGACCACTTCAACAGATATTGCAATTTCGCTTACTTGTCGACGACGTCCCTTTCGCAGCTTGCCGGATAGGGCACGACGTTTGGCGAATATGGGTGATGTTTCTTGCCGTTCTTTATCCGGAACTGCGCGTCACGCGCCTGCATCTTGCGCTTCAGCTCCTGGAGGATCGCGCGGTCGGGGGTGGAGAACTGGGGCCCGGGGACAGGCACCTCCTCTTGTACCTTTGGTGTCGTGGTGGATGTCTTCGAAGGTAGCTGCCTGTTGCTACGGCTCTTCTTGCGCTGCAGCACGAAATCGGTTCCTGCCTGATGAGACTCATTGATGTGATCCACATGTTTCAGTGTAGGTCAGCACGCACCTCCATAATTGGACCAAAGCCTCGAAAAAACGAAGACTCCCTACGCAAGTCTGATGCTGAGGTCGACGCTCTCCGGACTCTTTTCTGGGTATACTCCGGAAGGCGCGGGCCAGAGGACGTCGACGGACGTGGGCCTGACCCCGTATCGCGCCGCGGTGGTACTGGCGGGAGAGGTGGCAGGCGATTCTGAGGGGGGCTGCTGCTGCTTGCATGGAGGTCAGAGGAGAAAGTGGGATCCATTGCTGAGCTCGAGCTCGACGGACGTTTCAGACGGAACACCTGTCTCGGATTATGACTGGCGGCGCGCGGGGATGACTGAGGAGAATTGCCATTTCCTCGCAGGTCCGGTACTTCTTCCACCGCCGCGAAGGCGGAATGCTGCGCCGGAGCTGGAGGGACTTCGGCTTTGGATGCGCTTCGGCTCGGATGCGCGGGGGATGAGTGCGAGCGTGGTCGTGCAGAGTGCGGCGCGAGCATGGTGATCGCTCAGAGTACAAAGGCGGACGAAAACTTCTGTATGGGCCGAATAAGTGCTCGACATTCTGACCTGATGAGCTATCTGATGAGCACATACCACAAGGGGCCGTTTAGTCTCTGTTCGTTGAAGGCCGCAGTGAAGCGGTGCTCGGGGCCGCTTTATTAGCCGAAGCTATCTGCTAGTGCAAGTAAGCCGTGTCTCCGTGTCAGAGAAGGAGGCGAAGAGGCAGGAGAAGAGGAAGATGAGGCCGACAACAGCCGCAAGCTCTCATTGCTGCAGGCTTGCGTCCGGTGTCACACGCCCCGCCGCATGGTGTCTACGTGGGCTGGCGGTCGGTCATGTGCTTGACCGTGTCCCGATCGCAATATTGCAAGCGAAACGTTGCGGCGCGGATATTTCAGCATTCGAACAGGAGGTTAAAAACAGCGCAGAGATCGAAATTTGCGAGCTCTGTACAGCATCCCAGACCCGTGCAGAAGCCCAGAGACGGCGCGAAGCAGCGTAGCGCCAGCCGCACGTGTCGGCCGAGAAGGCGGGAATACCCAAAATAGGAGAGGGCGCTCTAAGGCGCTCCGACCCTGTTGAATTCGCGTTTGAACATTCAAATAGCTTGACCTGATGCCTTTGCAACAAAGTGACAGATAGCAAAGGAGCTCAGGCCTGTCTAGGGTATGTCGAGCCTGCGCTCATATCGTTTAGCCCAGGTGCGTGTCGTCTAAGTTGCTTTTGTAGTCCGGAATAGCACAAGGAAGGATGTCAAGACGCATCCCGTACATACGCAACCACGTCCAGTCGATCGAGCTATCGTGACTCGAGCAGAAATCTGTATCGTCGTCATCTGACAGCTGCAGGCTCGTAGTACGTTTTCTTCCGCTAATGTCACACTTCACTGATCATGATCTGACTCTCAGCAGTCTCTATGTCAAGGGTGCCCAGACTTCGTCCGGGTCTTGCTGAACTGCGAGAGTAGAACCGTGGCAATTTCTTGGCAGTGTCAGCCTATTTCGACCAGAAGGTCAGGGCGCGTTTTCTCGCCCGATGCGAGCTCTGGTATAGAGCCAAGGAATGCTCTGGAAGAGATACGTCCCTCGTTGATGTGAGAGGAAAGCGCGCTCTACTGTTCCACCCGACGTCAGATATCAGTATATCGGTGTCAAGGCCAACGCTATGATTCCGCCTAACGAGTATCTGACCCATCAATGAGCACGGGAGGGAGCGCACAGGAACCCTTGTAGTGGTAACTTTCTTATCCTTGGCGTCGACTAAAACTATCAGCTAGGAGGATTAGACCGCCGACGTTGCTCGGGAACACCCTCTGATAGATGGTGGCTCCTGGGCGGTGGGAGCAAGAACTGAAGACAAGGAGTTGTCACCTTTCTCATGCCGTCATTCTGATCGATCTCGGGGTGCGGGGTAACACTCGTCCGCTGGTCGTGTTGTGCGGGCCCTCTCGCGTGCAGGGTGTTGTGAGCCCGGGCAACTGCAGCCATGTCTTCTAGTGTCGTTATTCAGGACGTCGGTTGGTGCTTGCGCGGGAGGGCCACATGTAGCTCAAGGGGAGCGATCTGGCAATTGCTAGCTAAAGAGATGGGAGCGCAGATCTACGGAGTGATGCCTGTCAAGCATACCCGAGATAGGCTTTACACAGGGCCTAACTATTATTGTATGAAGCTTTAGAATATTTATTCTGTCTTTTGTCGAGGTCTGTGTCGCCGCTGCTCTCTCGCAGCGGAGGAGCGCAATGAGGATAGGGGTCTGTGATTGATCATGGGAGCACACAAGGCCAAACAATGCTCGACCTGGCTCTGCTCAAGTCGTGCAGAATCCACGACGTTCTCCTCTTGACCCTATCCGATCTCGCGACGAGCTTTTAGGCGGGGCTCTACCTCCTTAACTGGCCTACAATTCGGCCTCAAAACGCTCTCTAGCTCGCATAGCCTGCGGCACATCACACATCATATTATTCAAGTTCCATCCAGAGGCACTCTTTCTCTCGAGGTTTCTCCTGCGGCCCTTCTCCGAACAAAGAGCCCGTACGGCTCCGTGTGTCACTCGCGCCTCGGGTCCTCTGCCACCTCTGTAGAGTATGGGCAACTCCACCTCTAACGCTGCGAACACAAACAACCACAACAGTCATCTCCGCCCCTCCTCTCGCCGCTACGACTCTCCCACCAGGCGCACCCAGTCTCCATCGAGCAGAGGCGGCAGCCCAGTACCATCGTCGAATCGGGTGCACAAGTCGTTGCGCAGCAAGAAGAAATCCCTCGAGCTGCCCGACCTGGCGTCCCTCGCGCTCACCCCCGCCACCTCGCCAGGTGCCTCCCCGCATGCTGGCTACCGCCGTCCACGGGCCTCGTCGCCCATCCCGATACCGGTCTCGCCCAGGACACAGGCGCCATCCTTCCGCGTCCAGAATAACTTTGCGTCCGCCGCGCAGCTAGCACTCCAGCAGAACGGCCGCGGCTCGCGGTACAGGTCCTACCTCAGCAGCGCGCACCCGTCCACGCACTCGTTCATATCGGGCGATCAGGAACAAGGTTCGCCGCCCCACCAGGAGCCGCAGACGCACGAGTTCGTCCCAGAGGTCGTACACAGCACGATCCCGCTCGCGCTGCCCAAGGCCGAGGGCGAGATTGGCCAGAGGCCGGAGCATGTCACCGTCACCATCAAGTGGAGAGGTGGAGGCAAGTCGGTTGTGCTAGCACGAGCAGGGGACGACTATTGGAAGGGACGCCAGCCCATGGAATACGAGTGAGTCTCTCTCTCTTTGCCTTTCGCCCTCACTCCGTCCTTGCCATGTCCCAAACATTATCGTTTCTCCAAGCTCGAGTGGCTACAGCTCGACATGAAGCCAGACGTGCGATTATTGGACGATTCCAGGTCCGCTCATCATCCCCTTCTTTGCCATGCTCGTGGTCTACTCGTGCCCAATGATGGGTTCCATCTTGGAACCTTACTATCAGCTTGCAGACCGTGTCTTTTCCTGTTTGCTTTTGTTCCAATCTCGTGTTACGTCCTAGACCAAACAGGGCCTTTCATTGGCTAGCGAGGCCCCCGAGCGAGAGGTTCGACCTCTATGACAGGCTGTTCAGCTTGTCAGCACTATCTGACACTGTAGCGTTCTCATGTGACCAGACGCGATATGCTCGTGGGTTCACGGCTTGGTCTGTGCACTCTCAGCCGCGAGTTTATCTGCAACGTGCATGAAGATCCTCCGGTCCAGACCGAATAGCACGTCTCGCTAGCTGTCTACGGTTTCCATTTCACGTCCTTCGTTATTCGCGAGTCTTAGATCGACTGACATGTTTCAATGTGTGCAGCCCAGATACAAAAATATGGCATACACAAATACACGTTCTACCGGGCACTCACCACTTCAAATTCATCGTTGACGAACAGTGGCGGATTGCAGACGACTATCCGACAGCTGTAGACGACATTGATGGCTCGCTCGCAAACTACGTTAATGCGGCATCATCATCTAGTGTCTCGCCATCCTCCTCATCTCCTCAGCCTACTCCTTTCAACCATATACAGCAGTTTGCTTCGTTCTGGAGCGACGCTTCATCAAGCACACGCGAGAATGGGACTTTGCGGGAAGACGGAGGCTGGACTTGCGAGGTCCCGCAGGAGCTCATCAACGCTGCCGCCGAGGAGGAGAATTACCTTGCGTCACAAGACTCTCCGACGACCTCAAGCAGTGTCCCAGCACCGAATGTGCCTCCGGCTCCTGCTCTCCCTCGACACCTCGACAAGCTGATTCTCAATGCCCGGCCTCAGATTTCCGGTGCCCCGGGGACGCCAAGCGAGCGAGATCGCCGGCGAGAGAAGGAGAAGGAGAAGGAGCGGCGGCGGCGCGAACGGGACCGCGATGGCCGCCCGAGGCCGCACGCGCCGTCGAGTTTGGGCATGACGTCAACAACTGCCGACGGCGTTGAGGCCGGTGGCGTGCTGCCCGTCGTGACGGCCTCTGGCGCAGAAGTTGCGGTGCTCGGGGCATCGAGTCCGCCGCCGACACCGGGTGGCGAAGGGGGCGCGCAGCTACTAGGACACACCCCGTCGAAGCGGGTCGCGAACCCAGCGAAGCTGGAAACACCTGGTCTCGCGGATGACGCTAGTGTCCTGGCCGTGCCGAGTCACGTCGTGCTCCATCACCTAAGCACGAGCGCAATCCGGAACGGTGTGCTAGCCGTGGCAAACACAACGAGATACCGGAAGAAGGTAAGTGGGGTGTCCACCGCTAGGATCTCCACTCGCTGATTGGGGGTTGTTTTCACAGTACATCACGACGATCTACTACAAGCCGACATGACGACAATAGTCTTCTGGTTCGGCACGTCACTACCCTTCTTCCATCTCTGCGCCTGTTCCCGACGACCCATGCCGCCGACGGCAGCCATGCTTCTCTATACATCCTCCGCAATCACTCGCACAAACATCTTCCGCAATACAGCAACAAAACGTCTCCCATCGTCCACGCTTCGCAATCGGTCCATCTCTGGAAACACTATCTTGGTACTGTATCTGACAATGTTCTGTCCCACATATACCTTTCGCTTTCGCGCCGCCTATCTTTGCCCCTGAGGCGCACGAAAGGCCCGCATTCGCAATGTATCACATGTATCCATCATCTTCACCGCCACTTGCTGCATTGTTTGGCTCTTCATTCGCCGACCCCCCAACCTCGTCCCCTTCTCCGAACTTGCCCGCACGTGGTCTCCGTCTTGTATCTGCCGGCTGTTGGGTTCTCGTTTCCGGTGCCGCCTATCATTCTAGAGTTATTCGCTTGAGGTGATGCGGAGAGGGTTTTCTCCTGGGACGGTGTTTCTCTGCAGGGTACTCAGGCTTCGGGGCTTCGGTGTCGCCTTTCGTGCTATCATTTAGATGTGTATGTTCTATGTTTTCGCAAGTGCTCTCCCTGGAATAGCAACAGTGTATCCTACCCTAGATGTTTGCTTCGCAAGCGAAGTTGGGAGACTACTACCCCACAGATTCCATCTGTTCGCAGCTGTGTATTGCAGCAAGCTATAGCTACGGTTTGCCGCCGCTAAGGCGTTCTTGGGCGCAAGGGAACTCTCGAAAAGGCTGTCGCAGTTTCTCTGCAGCACCGTCTGCAACCGAGCCCCGTTCTGTCGTTCAGACAAACTCATGCAGTACGATGATAAGAAGAGCAGTCGATTTGTTGGACCTCACCGCGGGCGCATTAAAATCTCATAAATGTGGCTCGCAAGGCAGAAAATCAGGATTGCCAAGCCGGCTACAAACAAGCGGCACTGCTCGACATGCGAGGCTCAATTCCCACGCCACGCTTCGCTCAAGGTCTAGAGATTCAGCAACTGTGGTCGAATTACAAGGCTCGTCACTACAGACGATTGAGGGTTTAACCTACCGCGGCCGGTCTCACACCAAGCGTATCGCGGGAATGCAAGTATAGACGGCATACAGCTTTCAGAGGAGCCGGCAAATATCGCACCGTGTCGTCCACAAGTATTCGCGCCGAAAAGAGACTCCAACACCGTCTTGCCGTTGGCACAGCCCAACGAAGACACAGCAGTTGAGTGAGATCCGGACATCAATCATACAGCAATACGCGGTAGGTTACACATGTGCACAACGGTCTCAAATGCTCATGTCCGCAGGCCCTGTATAAAGCTGTCGACATCGACCATCTCCATGTCTTCATCCTCGTCCGACTCTTCGTCGGGCGCGGCTGCGGATCTTTTTGGAGCTTCCGCAGCCACGATAGGCCGAACAGCAGGCGACTCTTCTGCCTCTGCAGCCACGGTAGGTTGAAAAGCCGGTTCGTGGGTAGGATGCTGTGATGCTGGTGTAGGCAGCAGCTGCACTGCAGGCTGGGGCGGCGGCGGCTGGGATGGCGTCGAAGGCCTCGGAGGTGTACGCGTCTGCGCTCGCACCTGGAAGACGCCAACAAGCGTCGAGGGATTGTTGTCCGGAAACTGATTGACGTCCATGAGTACCGCGTGCATGGACGAAGCTTGTGTGATGACGGGCGGTAGTCGGGGAGGCTGCTGCGGCTGAGACGAGTTGGGGTGGTGTAGCTGCTGAGATTGAGGCTGCTGTGGCTGAGACTGGGAACGAGCATGCTCTGCAGGCGGAACTTCTGGCGGAGCAGGTAAATGCATTGGAACAGGCTCCTCGTACGCAATCTCACTAAGCTGAGCGGCAAGCAATGCCAACTGTGCTTGTAACGACGCACGCTCCTCGTCGGTGAGTGTCGCACGTCCCAGCCCATCTTCGCCCACAGCAATGGCTTGTGGTGTTACGCCAGCTGACGATGACGATGCGCCCCCACTCAAGTCTAGACTAGCCATTGCTGGCGCCGGCAGTGCACCGCCAGATGCACTACTCGATGACGACGAAGCGATGTTCTGCAGCGAGCCGAAGTTGATGGCCTGCAAGATGTGCTGCGCAGCTTCCCAGGTATCGCTTGCCTCTTCTGATGCGCTGTCCCTTTCCACACCTGACGGGACAGTCTCGCTCGCAGCAGATTGGAAAGTCGTCTTGAACGTCGCCGTTATTGCCTTGTTGGCTGTCTGACCAGGCTGACCAGGATACGGGTAGCCGGGATACGCTCCATAACCCGCGTATGGATATGCATAGCCAGGATACGGCTGATGTTGTGGTGGGGGTGCTGGAGGAGGTGGAGAAGTATGTGCACGGTGTGGAAGAGGCGCGTGTGTGAACGGAGAGGCATTCTGTTGAGGCAGCGGATGGTGGAGTGCAAAAGTTGTCTGCGCCAGTGTCTGTGGACGGCGCGTGGTCCTCTTCGAAGTCTAGACACGGGAATTAGAAAGTTGCATGATAGCTTCAAAATTTTGTTACGCACGGCGCCGCCTTCCCACGTAGGATTCAACCTGTATCGACCCCCAGACCGCTTCTCCAGTCTACCTCTCCTGAACGCCTTCTGCAATGCCTGGCTCGCACTCGGCCGGAAATTCATTTGCAAGGGCCATCTTGCTCCGATCCACGTAAAGATGTCCTTTGGCGCTGCGCCATCCGGATCTCCAATCTCTGAAAGGGCCTCGACGATCATGTCTTCATAACTGGGAAGATCCTCGCCCTGAGTTTGCGGTGGTGGCTGTGGTGGTTGGTGTGTGTGCTGATGTGTATTCAGTGGATAAGGATGTGCTGACGCGGGATATGGGGGATAACCAGGATAATGCGAGGTATATCCTGTTGGGGTGCCCGGTGGTGGGTAGTATGGAGCGTGTGGGTAAGCGGCTTGCGGTGCTGTACCAGGTAGGGGCACGTAGGGGGGCTGTAGGGGATACCCATACGGCGCATATGGATACGGGACGGGAGGAACAGGCGCAGGTGCCTGACCTGGTGCCTGTGTAGCAGAAGTCTGCGTCGAGGTCTGCGCCGAAGTCTCAGAGGTGGATGTATGCACCTCTTCGATTGTGGTCGCGTCTGGCAGAGCTGTAGACACCTGAGCCTGAGATGCAGGGGAGGCATGTGCGGCCGTTGTGGAGGTGATAGGCACAGACTCCGTGGTGGTTGCCGACTCCGCATCGGATATCTGACTGGGATCTGTCTGAGTTTTGGTGGTCGTCGGAAAGCCGAGTATAGGGGATTGAGTCTGGTCGGGATCATGTGCAATAACAGGTAGGTGGATGGTCTCAGGCGTAGAGGGCTTCTCTGGAGAGGATGCATGCGCCAGAGAAGGCGCCTCGACAGCCTGCGCAAGTGGCACGACGCCGAGCGGATGCACCTGCTGTGATGGTACGTCGGCACTCGATGCTGTCGTAGACGTAGCCTCAGCTGGAGGTGATGATGGACCCTGCTGCTGCCGAGGAGGCGCATCATTTTTCGGAGGATCAGAATGCTGCGAAGCTTTTTGCAAGGCCTGGATGGCGGCGTCAAGGTCGCATGGCCAGACCGTCGGCCGTATGTGCAGTGGTATGTACTGCTCGAAGTCGAGACATATCTCTATGATCTGTGCTGGGGACAAGAGGTTTAGATAGGCGCGTTTTCGCTGCAAATCACGCTGTCGGTCGACATCTATGTGTTCAGCGTCGATAAGCAAATTTTGGTATATTTTAGGGACATATGCAAGCCAACCTGATAGTGAGACAGCATTCGAGTTAGGCTGATAGCTTGCTTGTGGGTGCGGGGGTGGAAAAGGGAAAGGATATGCGGTCGCCGCGAGCATCGTTGAGCAGCTGTACAGCGACTTTACAGTTTTTCCTCAAGATTTTCAGCCACCCCTTCCGGCGCCTACAGTTGCCGAGGCCACGGCCTCTTTCCCCGCTACCTCTCGCCCATGCCCTCGGGAGTCCGAAATTTCGTGAGCCGACATACCAGCCAGTACCATGAGCTCACATCTCTACCCATACTCGCGGTTATTGCCTTCAGCCCTGTTTCATACCTGATTTGTTTAACCTTGTTAAAGCCTTAACGCGTCGGAGTACCATAAATGCTGTCAGCCTCGGAATTTGTATAACTTATAACTAATTACCCGTCGAGGCCATTCACTGCTACCCGCGGGTTGCACTGGCCCGAGTTCAGTATTCACGCGCACGAAACATTATGTCGTGCTCCTTCCGCGCCCGGTGCTGGGCTTTGACTAGAAGAATAAGAACACTACCGACTTTCTGTTGCGCCGCGCTGTTGTCCACCCCAATGTTACAAAATCAACCACTGTCTATACCATCGCGTATACACCATGCCATAATTAACCACTGTTCGCATTAGTTCTAATAGATTCAAATGGCCTCGCAGCGCAAAAAAAAAAACTAGACGGAAGGTGAGAAGCGACAGAGTGCGTTCGATGCATCTAGCATAGGTTGTCCGCAACCTGTGTAATCAGCTTCCTCAGGTTAGACGACTTGACCCCTTCTACACCGCAACCACCTGGCGCCAGCTTCGACTTCAGGGTATCCTTGGCCTGCAGAACCTCGAGCAGAGACCCGATTTGTGAGTCGTACACAGGCGAGAATCTTAAGAGAAATGCAAGGCACGCCGTCAGCCGGTGAACTGCATTACACTCGTCAACTTTCCTAAATCCAGAGTGATGCACGAAGACAGCTCACCGACGTCCTCGCTCTGCGTCTCGTTCTGCAACGCTTCCAGCACAGCGCTGATCACTTCAACTTCCCAGTCGCCGTCCTCTTCTGAGGTCGCGAACGGCCCGTAACGCCTCCGCACCTGTTCCAGGCGCTCCTTCTGTATGAAGGCAGCGACGTTGAACGCGAGGCTTGCTGCCGCGGTGCGGACGGGGCTGTCCGCATGCAGCAAACTGTGCACGAGGAGCGATGTCACGCTCTTGCGCTTGCCCATGCCACTCAGGAGGGTCCGTGCCAAGGCTGGGAAGGCAAATGCGTTCGACAAGAGGCGCAAGAGCGTGAGGAAGTAGTTCCGCGCAGCGTCGGGTGCGCCGCTCAGAAGAGCGAGAGCCTTGACGAGGAGCATCTGTATGGGATCTGCGGAGCCGCCGGACGCCGAAGCGCAGAATACACCGACCGCGCCATCAAGCAGCGCGAGCCGCCAGAGGTCGACAAGCGGGAAAAGCTGCGCAGCGGGCAGGGGTACAGACAGCGTTCGGGTAATCTCCGTCCACTTGTTCAGAACTGTCGTCGAAGGAGATGGGCCGGATTTGGCGGTAGAATTGAAAGTAAAGCGCGCTTTCAGAGCAGGAATTACTTCCGCAGAAAGTGCCGTCTTCGCTGAGGAGGGTATTGGTGGGTTTGTACTATCTATAAACGAGGATAACTTGTTGAGGACGACGTCCAGATTCGGGACTTGTGTGAATAAAATTGGGTCTGTTGAGACTGAGTCTAGACTTGGCAAAGATTTCTGAGTATGCGGGTGTGCTGCAAAAACAGGGGATCTCAGAGAGTCATTACGGCAGGAGGCTGTCTGGGTTGCGACTGACGAGGATATGCCTCCCAAAGGAGAAAATCTACCTGCGTCTTGAGTTCCGCGACATCCGCTCCGCTCATCTGATGAGTCTATATGATTGAGCTGGTCAGAAGTGAATACCTTCAAGACAGGAAGAGAACAATTCACCTTGCTGCTGTCCTTAAAGAAGATGAAGGTTGGGGTCGCCCGAACGCCGTACTCGGCACCTATAGCATGACCCATACCGGCACCAATATCGACCTTGACGAAAGCAATTCCGCCCCCGCCACCAATACCTGCAGCCTGAGTCTTCTCATGAGCAAGTCTCTCGAAGGTAGGCTCAATCATCCTGCAAGGTGGGCAAGTCTGCGACGTGAAGAATGCAACGACTGCTCTGTGCGTCCTCAGGGTATTGTGGAAGGAAGTAGGGTTAGTGCACATATGTATCGGCGCGGTAGCTGTTTCGCTCGACGCCGCCTCTGTAACACTCTGAGCTGACTGTGTAAGAGACGAGGTTGACGGTGCGCCGTCAGTAGCAAAAGCCTGAGCGGCAACTGCTTGCAGAAGCGTCGATGCGAGGGCCGGATCGGGAGCCGCAGCCGCGGCTGCGGCTGCTGCCTGGGGAGAGGGCTGGGCTGGAGGGTTGGCGGTTCCAGGAGCAGGACGGCGAAACATAGCATCAATGGTGGGACGGAGGGCTGCTCCAAATGGCGTCGATAGGAAGTCTGAAGGCAGGTCTTATTCCAGAGTGTAAATAACAAGGCCGTTGAAGTACGCATTGATAGCACCAACCTTGAATCCATGCAGGGATGGATTGTCCGGTCAAAAATCCGACACAGTCATTAGTGAAGGAATTGCAGTTGAAGTCTTCGAAACCGATCAATCGGAATTCGCGTTGGCAGATGATCAGCACGCACCTAACAAATGATACTAAGAAGTCATCAGTATCAAAAGCTATGATGATACTGTGTACGCACCATGTCGGCTGTGTAGTGTTCCCTCATCTCATTAAGGTATTCTTCGAAAGTATCTTCATCTATCGAAGTATCTCCAACATCTATGATGTGCAGGGGCTTTCCATGCTGGGATACTGGGGTGAGAAGTGCGACTACAGCTCAGAAAGTGATGACGTACGTGCGACCGTCCTGGGGCAGTTATCAAGATTCCTTGGCCGTAAAATACTTCCCTACGGAAGACAACTACAGAAGTATGCCTGCACTTCGTTGAATATTCAGAAACGGCTAAACCATGCAAACACAGAAACTCACCAGATTCCGTCTATCTGCTTTCCTGTAAGCGGCAGAGAGAGTTGCCTAGCAAGACCATTGCTCAGGTCGTAGACGTATAGCTGTACATTATTTGACATTCTAACGAAATCTCGAACGGCTGTGGTAAGGGAAGAAGGTGATGGTCTTGGTCTAAGATGCTGCGTTGGCGTACACGAAGTCCAAGCGAGCGTCTATGGAACTGTCGCGAAACCCTTTTCTTAGGGTTAGGTCCACAGGAGCCCTTCGCCACATTGCAGGACGTTCAAGGGGCCAGAAAGACTTCCAAGAGCTACGAGAAGATGTGTTTGCCACTAACTAAGTATCTTACTGGCAAATTAATCTCAAACGCCGTGTAAGACGCCGCACACGGGCCAGGACTCAGCACGGCCAAGTGCCGCCTTGAGTGCAGCCATTGCTTTTGCTTGTGGCTATACCGTACAATCTTCTATTTGATCCGTTAGATATGAAGCAGATGGCAAAGATTGCACGGGCGTCCTTCCGGGGCTCCCGGCAACCGTCGGCGTATCTTCTGAGCAAAGCATGTGCTCTCCGTGCTGGAGCTTCCAGCTGTTGGTCATCTCAGCTGAGGCCAAGGTTGCAGAAGTACTCTTCCGGTGAATTCTTCCGTGGGACGATGCCCTGCCGTGGCTGTGTATGGTTGCTGCTGGGGGGAGCGGCAACTCCCAGTCTGGTACGCCGTGTTCGAAGGCTAGTATCACTTAAGTGTGAACAGCCGTCTCATGGTTCTCCGCCGCAGGTGGCCAAACACTCCATACTTGATGAGCTGGCTTGGCCTAGTCCTACTCGCAATACCAGGCTCCTTCCTGACAGAGATGCTGCACGCCAGCAATCCGGTCATTGCCATACGCTTCTCATGTGGTAAGCACTATATGCAGCCAGTTCATCCCACCAGCTTGTTCACTTTCTAAATCTGAATACAAGACCTCTATGCAAAGCAGCGGTCTGAATTCGATCACATCCGTCCATCAGCGGCCGATGTACCGCTTCCAACAAACGCTGTGGCAGCTTGCCAAGTATAAGTAAACAATCGCTCCTGACTCCCATCGAGTAGCTACGCTCTTTGAACATGGCTCATTTGAGCCTCACTACGGTTAGCGGCAACTCGGTGATACGCCACTTTCCGTTCCAGGGCTACTTGGGTCTTACACCGGTGCACATAGAAGGAATTGTGCAGATACGTCTAGAGGCGAAGCAGAAGCGTATACCTGCCAAGCTTCTTACCGTCTCCGTTCGTGCTTACGAGTCGCGCCGCACTGGAAACTCCCAGACTCGTGTACTGGTCGACTACAGCCAGACATTGTGGAGCAAGCCCTCAGACCAGCCCCATGCAGAATTGGGCGATTTCCAGTCGCCGTTCAAGATCACCCTCCCGAAGGGTGTCGTTGGCTTTAGTACCGTAAACTACCAGGATTACCGGACGTATTGGAGAGTAGAAGCCAGTGCGTTCTTGCTCCAAATGGAGACAGCATCGCTCTAACAATAGCTTGACGCGTCCGTGCTCTGCTCATCCATATGTGGCTGTGTCCGTCACCGCCTTACAGCTCTCGAGCATGCGGTTGCATTCAAGTCGGACATAGTCTTGTCAAAGCATTTCGACTTGTTGCTCACGCGCCACGACATTTCGCGTCCGCTAAGCCCGCCTCCGCTGCCGTCTGGGCCAGATATTGACCCAGCTTTACCGCTAAGGACTGACAAGCCGCGCGCACCAGTGCTACACTATAATATTTCAACACCGGTGCATGCCGTCGGGCCGACAGACCTGTTGTTCACCTCAGTGTTCATTCGACCAGTCGACAAATCCGTCAAGCTGCGGAGCGCGTCGCTCCTTGTCGAGAGGCGTCTCGTTCTGCATGACGACCGTCCGAGCTCGCCGTTGTCGGCCAACCGGTTCCGTGCCCACATCTCTCTGCGCCCCTCACCTGCCGAGCACGGGAGCGCAGATGACGTCTTTGCCTTTGGCGTTGTCAGATCTCCTTCGTCCCCTGTTGTCGCCACGCCGTCTAATATTTATCCATCTCCGCCGACGTCGCGTGAAGGGACCGGCCGCCAGAAGACTGTGACGTCTACGGTCGCAGTGGGTCAGGCAGCCGCGTTCTCTCTCGATCGCGAGACAGGCGTGTGGACCAAGACGATATCTCTACCGTGGCCGGCCTCGAAAGGACAGTCGCGCTGGCCTATCGGAGAGACGGTGAGGGGCGCTCTCGGCTCCGTCAGCTTCTGGGTCAAGGTCAAGGTAGCGCCCATGATGCCCGCCACACCCGCACTGCTCATAGCCTGCCGCTTGTAGGTAATTATCACGTCTCCTTCTGGAACGGAAACCATCGATCTGCAACCGAGAGAGATCCTCGTCATGTTGACGAGCGACGCCGAACGACGGCGCGCCCTGGAGGCAGCCGATTCCGATATGGATTTCATGGCGGAGTACACGCCTCCGCCGTACACTGCTCCGGCACCTACTCAGCGGCGGCCCACAGGGGACATGCCGGGTTGGGATGTGGACACTCCCGTGAGCGTCACCCCCAACGGAGCGCCTCGCACCGCAGACTCGATGGCCAGTTCTTCCCGCACCCAGACTACCACCCCGTCGCGGAAGGGCCTCAAAGCGACACTGGCAAGACTGCTAGGACGAACGAATAAATCCAGTGAACGTTCGCGATAGCAACATTCGCTTTGGCGGGAGTGAAGCACCGCGCCGCTTGTCGGCATGGCCGACTCGCTTGAAGCTCAAGGGCTCCATACGTACACTCCCTGCGAGAGGGCCGAGAGCAATGCGAGATTGTGTACACTGTACTAGAGAATTTCTTGGATATTTAAAGTATCTAGGACAGTAGCTTCATTTCGCCTCTCAAGTCAATATCAATAGGCTGTAGTAATAGTGTAGTGTACCGAATAATGTGCCAATAATTCTGCCGTCCTCTCCAGATGCCAGCAAAATTTTGAGATATAGAGGACGAGGATTAATATTACACAGCCTAATAATACCATAATTTGAGCACGGCCTCACTGTGCCAGCCGCAAAAATGCAGGTGACTAATGGCACGGCTGCGGCGAGCATGCAACTTAGTTGTAAATGGCTGCATAAGGCACGGCAAACCTTGTTAACATGCTCATCCACCGCTCGGGAGACATCGGCCCCCAGCTGTCAAACCGAGAGTGCAAGTCGACATGCATACAGGCTGCCCGGAGCCGGAACCCTTCCCGCGAGTGGCGCATGATGTAGAATGATACAATTTGAACCTAAACCAACTCGAAGATAATGCATCTTTCAGGTTACCAAGAATGTCACAGTGTTTTGGGAGATTTGTACAAAATAGATAGATAAGCAGAAAATGACAGAATGATCTTGCCCTTGAACCTCGATGTAACGACGGACCACACGTCTAGAGTATGGCTGCCCAGCATGTCTGAGACTGTCTGTATGGTGAGCTCCAATCTTGAATCCAGTAGAGTCAAGTTCTTCAAGGTATCAAACGCAGAGCTTGAAGCGGGTCTTTTTTGTATCCTTCGGGCAGGAACCATACGGCACGCTTCAGGCCAGCAAAACTTAAAATGACGACCGATTGGGTATGGGTGATAAATGAATTACTTCTGTCAAGCTCATCGAAGCTCATCCGAGGTAGATCGTCCCTTGACATCCCGTTGACAATGCATCCGCTTACATGCGGAAGCAACGTGCTCGCGTACGAAAGTTGCTTCTGTTTTTTTGTGAGTAATGTTCCCACCCCATTACATTCAAGTCGGACACCTCTTGCATCTTTGCACACGCACCTGTCATAGTTCATGCATGATTACATGGATTTTGTGAGCCAGCGAATCTATCATTCAGCTAGTGTCAAGTCGACGGATTCATATTTGCTCGGAAGCCCGACGAAAGACATTCTACCACCTTCGGCTCGCCCGACAAGCCGACCCCTACATTTGCGGAATAGTTCAGTCAGCTTATAACCGACGCTCATTCTTCCATGCCTTCCGCGGCACTAGGCAGCCGCCCTGCATGCGACAGTGGATTACACGGAGGAGGCCGCATAGCTGACATTATTTTACTCGCCTCTGCAGAGCAGCAACGCCTTCACTAGCCGCTTTCGGAGATGAATTCCGCGCAAGTTACGCATTTTGTGCGTCATAGGCAGATACCTACGGCTTTCCGGATGAAGTGCGCAAATTGATAATGCTGGTTTGAACTCTGTTTGAGACACCTGCTAAGGGAGGCGCTCACAGGCACCAGGCGACTGGGTCGAGAACAAGGACGACTCGGCGGCCACGAGGGACGAGGCGGTGAAGGCGAAGATGGGACTTTCGCGCCCACGCGTGCCCAGGCGGGCCTCGTGATGTGCCTCCGTGACTGAGTCTCCGACTTCCCTGACGCGCTGTCGGAAGCGTGGAGACGTAGCTCATCAAGAGGGGGAAGGACCAAATTTTTCGAGTTGAGCCGGAAGGCATGCGTGGGACCCTGGCTCGAAATACCCAAGGCCGTTCCGACTAGGATAGTCCGGAGGTTGCGGCGCGCGCCCAGGGCTTTAGCGCTCGAGGTAATGTGTGGAGTGAAGCGTAGCCACATCGCCTATTGTGCTCACCTGCGCGCCCGAAACCCAGATGCAAAAGCATGGCAATGAATTATGTCCGTTCTGTACGTGAACAATAGAACATTTTCACACCTTACAGGATCGCGTGGGAGCCAAAGATCAGCAAAATGATCTCGAGAAGGGCCGGAACCTGAAGCTAATCCGGTCGTCAGGCCCCTTGGGCTGTACTCGACATGACGGGCCATCACCGTTGTACAGCCTATGCCCGCTTTGATGACGTGGTGACTGGCTGTTCTTAATCTTATGCCGTTTGTCATCTTACGGGTTTGACTCTTACCCCCATCCATTGTTCTAGATAGGTCTCCTCGAGTAACGTTTCCTTCGCCCTCGACCCATTCGCTATCCTACTTTCTTTAAATAATTGCTGTTTCCCCAGTCATGCAAGGTAAACGTCGATAGCGCTCATGAAACACGATGACCAACCTCACGCCATGCTTCACGACCTAGCTGTCTCCGGTGTGCGCCACGAAGCGAAGCGTGAGCCAGAGGATGTCCCGCTGACTCTTCCTCGTACGTCTCAGCTCCACTTCTGTGGATATCTCTCCCGCTGAGCTCCATTTCAGCTGCGGACTGCGGGTCGCGCCCTAGGGATCCGTCGACATCGGCGCACATGCCCCCACGCATTTCTGGGCACGATCTCATGGCAATCTTCCCGACGAATCCGCCCTCGCACACCGTGTCATGCGACGACTTGTTCAAGAAGCAGGCGCGCCAGTTCTTGTCCACGCCAGAACCTCCTCTCCGAACGCCCAGGGAGCCCACTAACGGCGCGCCCGGGCAACACATGTCAAGGGGAGAGGCTGTGGCGACTGGACATGACGCACAGCGCGCCGCGATGGACCCCAATAATCAGCTGCGCCCTCAGCAGTATGCCGCGTCGGCGCAGCAGAACGGCCGGACCCACGCTCGCCGCACCTCGAGCAGCAGCAGGCCGCAAACGGGGAGTCGTCCTTCGACTGGACAGCAACAGGGCTCGATGCCTGTCATCTATCAATATGAGGCATGTTCGCTTGTTCGTCACCAGCGCGAATGAAGATACTGATGTGGCTTTTCTGCGCTTCTCATCAGCCAAAGCAGAGTGAGCCCGGGTCGCAGCGCTCCTCTGAGCGACGGACAAAGTCTTCTGAGTCACCGTTACCTTTATTTACGAGACAACCTCTGAGTTTGGACCGTTCGCGGACAAATTCTCAGGCTTGATCGCGTTCCGCCCCGCATGTGCTATTCACGGGGCTGTTCACGACCGTGCTCGAACAACCTGCTCTCCCTTCCTTGACTAAATTTATTGAGGTCGCTTCGTATAGTACTCACTCCTTGTAATAGATTATTTACCGTAATGCATCTCGACCCGTGCAGTCCTTTCATCGCTTGCCCAATGGGACCGGTGGTCAGTTGATGCTTATACGAGCTTCTGGACGTAAATCGGTGCATGTGGGTCTCGAAGCAGAGGTATGCTTACATTCATCTCTTGGCCAGTAGTGCTGAGAATCACCTTTCCAGGCCGAGAATCCATCAAGACCTGCCTAGTGCACGAGGGAAATAGGGGCAATCGCAATCTATGTATTGTTCCCCTGGGTGGGTGTGGTTAGTGCGCAAACGCGGAACGGAGTACCAAAGTTAAGTTCGTCGCGCCCGCAGCTGCAAGGTTCATTGATAGTCTCCTAGGAAATGGAAAACTCAAATAGCCATCTTAGGTTCGTTGGCGCGGGTTGGGTACATACAGTACCGCACAGCCATTTTCTCCGAGAGCGGACTATCTTCATCTTTGGCGAAGCTTCCCCACCAGAACCGGGCGGCACATCCTCACTGCTCCTACGGATATGGTCAGCTGCGGGGCCTAAGGGGGATCGACTCGCCGTGCTTGTCACTGAGACAATCACTCCTGCCACCGCTCGTCCCCGCTCGTCCAACCACTCGTCAAAATGTGGTTTGCTGCGATGTCAGGTGCCCGCGTGTAGCAGCCTCCCTTGATATGTAGACGGTCCTGCGGAGTTACAGACGATTCCGATAGCATTCATCTGCCGGTGAGTGAGTACACCTGTCGAAGACCTGTGCATGCGTGTGATCACCATCACTTCGGTACATTCCGCTGCTCAGCAGCAAAGTGTAATGGAAGGATGATCGTACAAGCCGGGCAGTGCTCCAGAAGCTCACAAGCAATTATGAAGCTAGGTGACTGAACCCTGTATACGCTCACACTTCGGTCAGATAACATTCTGTATCGGTGATACCCACCTCACCCCGAATGATATGAAATCTCATTGGCCTCCAAATGCGTTGCGTCCCACAGGACCTTTTCGCCGTTTTAGCTACCCCGAGCGTGTACGCACGCACTGGGACAGGAATGCATGTGGTGATGGTTGCGAGGATCAATCTTGACATATATGACAGCTCCTGGGGAGACCGGACGCGGAGACTGCGTCGATATCTTCGGTGGCTACATTATTGCATAGCTGGGCGGAAATTCCGGAACATTAGATGTTTCCAATGTAATAGAAGCTTACATCGTAGTTGCCTACTAGAATTATGATGATGGTGATATGGTCTAGAAATCATACCCGTCGTCGCTCCCGCTGAAGACGACGTCGTCTTGATCGCCCTCGTCGTCTGAGGGAAAGCCAAGGTTCCCGTTAGACGTGCCTTCCTCCGCGAGAATATGGTGCCTAAGAATAAGAAGATCGCGGGATCAATAAATGGCCAAATGAGCGAGAAAGACAGGCACACTTTCTCAACAGTTCTTCAATGCCCATGTTCGCTTCCCAGTCCACGCGGATCCAAGAGTGCACGAGCTCGCCACCACGGTAAACTAATATTGTCGGCAAAACGTCTGTGTCTACATCATCATCCTCCCAGCCTCCGTCAGTTCTCTCTTCGTCGCTATTGTCGTCATCTTGTTCATCGTCCGAGTGATACTCGCCGGGCACCAAGATCTGGCGAGATGGCGTCCGACGCAGCGAGAATGGCGGCCGTACCGACAGGAAGTTACTGCTGTCTGTTTGCGGCTTCGACATTGCGAAACCTAGCGCACCTGCCCGCCCACGAAGGAATTTTGTCGAGGGATACAGCCGAGCAAGCCGACTAAGAGTGTCATCGAGGACAGCACATCGATCTAAGGACTACGGCAGACACCTAAGCCTTAGTAGCACAAAACGATCGTAGGAGAGCTAGCACTTACGGGGTCGTAGATATGAACTACCACCCAGACATGGGGATCTTCAGACTCCACCGCATGCACAAATGTGCGTTCGCCGACCTCCCGGAGGTGGCCGAATCTTCCCTTACTGAATGGGTTACGCGTCGATGTGGAAGGTTGTCCTTCCTCGCGTGCCTTCTCCGCCAAGCGTAGCTTCTCCTCTTCGGCCCAGGTCAGGCCACCTAAGCTAGCCTTCTCCATAGCACGATTCATGGCCTCGATTTCCTGTGCCCGCTTGGTGCGCGCAAGGGACTGTGCCTCTTTTCTGTCACGGATAACGCCCTTGACACCTGTTCGACCGGGGCCCATGCCAATGGAATCCTCTTCGCGTTGCTGGCTGGATATTCTGGCCTCGATTGCTCGACGTCGTTCCGCATCGGAGTCGTAGTCATATTCCCCGTCCTCCTGTGGCCAGTGTGCGGGCGCCGGGGATGAAGAGCGCGACCTTACGGGCGACGATGAACGGGACGCAGGTTGGAATAGCTTTCCAGATAGCACAAGATCTTCGATATTGCCATCCTAGAGATGTGAGATGAACGATGAGGGGAGTTGAAGAGAGACAATGCGTACGAAAATGTCTGGCATGATGTGGTAAGAGCAACGCTGAGCAACCGGGCGTCGCGGGGAAGACAGTGAGATCAAGCTCTGCGCTCACACGCCCCCGAACCTCGAAGCTCACACTCATCCCTCATATCTCACAGCTTGCTAAAACACTTCCAGCGATGTGACGTCGCCTTGTGCGGCCACCATTCTCGCTTTTCTCCTCCAAATTACCGAGCGCAATATTGAGCCTTCGGGCGCGGGGGTCAATCACATGGCCCTCATCCAGCACAGCCGACGCCGGGCTCTCCTCGACATAAATTTCGGCCGTCCACTGCGACCAGCGACCCCATATTCGCTGCCCCGCATCCCAGCTTGGCGACACTCCGGACGTACCGCCTGGGTTGCCTCAGCTGACCTTAGCTGACCCCTTGGCACAGCCCGATCGAGCTAAACTCGATTTTGACCACTGTCTTCAAATTCGACATCCCGACTTTCTTTGCGCGTCCACTCTATCGCCCTTCAAATACTCTGCACAAAGTTCGTGGATGGTGGAGGACACTAGATCTCTTCCATCCACCTTGAGAAACACCCCTTGCAAGTGCTCCTGTAATGCTCAGGTTGGCATCCAGTTCCATCTCTGTGTCCCGAGTGTCTTCCCGTCTTCCGGTGAGTGCTTGCTCTTGATGACCCTGGGTCAAAATATTGCTGTATTGAGGTGGAGGCGGCTCCGGAGTGCTCTCGCTCTTGCATCGACCGCCTCTCGACCTCGTCTAGTACAACATGGCTGAGACTTTGTCCTGCAGCACCGTCCGACGGCTACCATGTCCAAATCACGTACATTCAAATCGTCCGCCCTCCGAAAGGAGGAAGTCCCTCGCGGCTACGCGATTGACCCATCTGCAGGCAAGATGCTTCGCTTTGAAGCCTCTCTGCCAAGGCTACCAGTCCCTCCACTATCATCTACCGCAGCTAAATACCTTGAAACTATCAAACCTCACTTGACGCCTGAGGAATTCTCCAAGACGGCGATGATTGTCAAGAACTTTGTCGAGTCCGGGCAAGGGAAAGAGCTGCAGAAGCGACTCGAGACGCGTGCGGCGGACTCGAATATCAAAAATTGGCTGGCAGACTGGTGGAATGAGACCGCATACATGGGCTACCGCGATCCTGTGGTTGTGTATGTAAGCTACTTCTACGTGCACCAAGACGATCTTCGGAAGCCTGGTCAGGCAAAGCGCGCCGCGCAGCTTCTGAAGGGTTTTCTGGCGTTCCGTTCATTTGTGGAAAGGTGGGTGCACGCGTCCCATTACCCCGGCTTCACACTGATGCGCTGTGCAGCAAAGAGCTGGAACCAGAAAAGGTCAAGGGCACTCCTCTCGCGATGGCTTCGTATAAATGGCTGTGAGTCCTATGTTGCCGAACTGCGCGGACAGCACTGAACATTACAGCTAGATTCCATGCATGCCGGTACCCTGTGAAGCCCACTGATACCGCGCACAAATTTGATCCCGCGAAGCACAATCATGTCGTCTTCGTCCGAAAGAACAAGTTTTTCCAGGTTCCGCTCGTCACCAGGGACGGGCGTGAACTCACTGCGGCGGAACTGGAGGTTCAAATTGATCGCGTCATAGCTATGGCCGGCGAGACGAAAGGTGTTCCGGTCGGTGCTCTGACGTCCGAGAACCGGGATATCTGGGCTGATGTAAGGTTCAATATGTCATGAGTTGTTCAGTGCTAACACGGTTTCCAGGCACGAGAAGCACTGCTCAGGGCTTCTCCCTCCAACGCAGCGGCTCTCCAGGCCATCGAATCTGCGATGGTTATCGTCTGTCTAGACGACACTAAGCCCGTCACTCGCGAGGACATTAGCTGGAGTTGCTGGGTAGGCGACGGCAAGAACCGTTTCTACGACAAACATCAGGGTATGTGCGCTATCGTCTCGATTACGACATGGGCCTAAAAGTTCGTAGTGATTGTGTTTGAGAACGGCAAATCTGGCTTCCTTGGCGAGCACTCGTGCATGGACGGTACACCGACACTGCGCATGACCGAGTTCGTCATTGGCGCACTCGCACAGGGCAAGCTCGACCTTGGTGCACCACGCTCGGCAGACACCGGCAGCACCCTCGAGCCGCCGCGTGAGCTCACGTTTGTGCTCGACACGGTGTCGCGCGAAGCGATTGCCCGCGCCGAGGAGCACTTCGATACGCTTGTCGGTGCGCATGACATGGAGGTGCTGCACTACGAAGGTTACGGCAAGGAGTACATCAAGAAATTCAAGACGTCCCCAGACGCGTGGGCACAGCTCGTGAAGCAGCTCGCGTTTCACAAGATGTTTGGCCGCCCGGGCGTGTGCTACGAGAGCGCGCAGACGCGCAAGTACCAGCTCGGCCGGACCGAGGTCATTCGCGCCGCAAGCAACGAAAGTAAGGCCTGGGCAGAGGCGATGCTCGACCCCGAGACGACGGTCGCCCAGCGCGCAGATCTCTTCCGCAAGGCTATGGCACGCCATCTGCAGTACGCGGCCTGGGCAGCGGATGGACAGGGTGTCGACCGCCACCTGTTCGGTCTGAAAAAGATGCTTCAGGAGGGCGAGCCCACGCCCGAGATCTACACCGACCCAGCATACTCCAGAACAAATCACTGGGAACTCTCGACGTCAAATTTGTCCTCGCCGTGCCTTGATGGCTGGGGTTATGGAGAAGGTGCGCTCTTTATGTCATGCTGTGTCTCGTGTCTGACATATTTTCTAGTCGTGCCCGACGGCTACGGCCTGTCATATACCATTGGCGACGAGTACATCCGCTGGACGATTACCAGTTTGAAGCGTGGCACAAAGGAGTTCAAACACTACCTGGCCGAGGCTGCAACGGAGACACGGGAGATGATGGAGCAGGCAGTCAAGGAGCGGGCGGCCAATGCGTCACAAGGCGGGAAGGTTAGGCTATAGAAGCTTCCTAGTACATAGAGGTACAGTAGTGGGCGGAAGATTCTGATATAGCGCACTTGGTCCTAATCCAGTTCAACAAGTATGGAATGCGAGTTATGCAGCGTCTTCCGATAACAGCACATATTCTCTCTGAGACTCTCCGAATTTGAGGACTAAAAAATGACTTAACAGGGTTAAAGCGAACGTGAGTAGGAACTACTCACCATCTCCCAGCTTCAGTTCATAATACCTACTGGTGGGAATGGTTTCCCCATTCACAGCCGTGCCATTAGTCGATTCTAGATCTATGACAAATGGCCTGCGTGGCGCATGCATATTTAGTCATGGATCGTGGATAGTATGAGAAGAGCATACTTTACGACTGCCTTCGTATCTCCGAACTCGTTCTTCTCATGAATCTGGCGGACTGATTGCTTTTTATCGCACAGAAACGTAAGTAAAGATGACTCCAGCTTACATTGAATAGCAGCATGCTGTTTAGAGCATGACGGGTGGTCTACGGCGATGTCCACCACCAAGCGGTCTCGGCCAACGAGATACGCACTTTGCCTCTGGATGTGCAGTACGTCTAGCGAACGTTCAGACGTATGACACTAATGAGCACAGGGCGAAAGCTACTTACCGAGTTGCTCCTGCCCCTTGAACACGTATAGTCTCCAGCCTACTGAAGGCTTCCGCGCTTCTGGAGGCTCGTGGTACTTGAGCACCGTCTTCGTCCCGTCCTTGTGTTCAATAGTTTTGGTCGCAGCAGCAAGCAGTCCGCTCGGGTTGAAGTTAGGCTTGGCCTTGTCCTCCGGAGACTTTGAACGGGAGACTCCCGACTTCGGCCGGGACGCTGAGCGGCGGCGCGGCGACGCAGAGCGACGCGAAGGGCCATCCTTCGGTGTATCTCTTCGCCGCTCACCACCGCCGTTTCTCATGTCTCTATCATCCCTATCCCTGTCTCTGCCTCGATCTTTGTCTCGTCCTTCCCGCTCCCTTCTGCTAGGGTAATCCCTGTCGTAGTCATCGCGGCCCCTGCTATGCCGCGGTTCATTGCGTTCGCGGTCGTCTCTCCGCCGGTCACGCTCGGGATACCTGCTTTCTCGCCGCGGCGGGTCGTCATACTCCTTCCTAGAACTTTTTGAAGTTCCGAAGTGGCGATCAGGATCTTCGGTGTGGTACGGGCGGCGAGGAGGAGAGTCTCGCACCATTGCGGGCAGTTGGTGGTGGGAAGCAAAGTTTGGATCTAATCTCTAGATGTGTGGGCTGCAGGCTTTATCGAGAGTTTGCCTGATATAGGTCCAGATATGTCTCCTTCGGCGTCTTCGCAACCAACTCATTACTGCTCCGTGAGTGAGGGCCAAATCGGCGCGCAGCGACATGCTGTTAATATGTACAATCTCTGTCTCCCCGTCCGACGACCCACCTTCCAGGAGGATTTAGTCCGCCGTAGCTATCGTTCCTTGCGCTCGTCTGGACGCCCAGAGAAAAGCTCAATCAGAGGAAGCATTCAGATCGATACCGAGTTGCAGAAAGTTGCGTTAGAGGACTACATGCTCATGCTCATATGCATTATCCATAGTCCGCGGCCTTATGAGGCAGCAGCTTGATCCTAGAAACCTGAAGACGATCGACGACAGCCAAGGTAGACCCATATTTCTACGTTCCACTGGTGTATGCATGCATATGCGCGATTAGCGTTTAGTACGTTTAGTACTCACAAATGTTTCCATGACACGGATACGGATAGCACGACCTTCGCTCATGCTGTTCCTTATTTTCTTCGCAGGAAGCTCGCTACCTGCAAGTCGCGGATAGGCACACGCTCAGGCTCGTGAGCAAAACCACGTAGCAGTTCGTGCAACAGTAAGTGGTACTGGTCTGAGGAAAGGGAGAAGCTGCAGCGCTGACAGTCATGGAATGTCAGCGCGCTTCATTATGGCGAAGAAAGGTCCCGAAGTTAAGTAGATGCCTACGTATCTGCGCCGAATTTGGCCGTCATTGGTAATTGTGTCCATGCTGCCAGCGAAAAATTCCCCCAATTTCTCTGCCCCGTACAAGTACTATTGAGACCAATCGGATGGTATGGACTAATTTTTCTCGATGCTGCTTGTATATTGAGATAAATTGACAGAATCTTCCTGGAGAAGATAACCTGAGCCGTTTGACGAGTACTATTTGCGTATAAAACCGTACTACGGAAACGTTGGTTCAAGGTGAGGGCGCTCCGGCTCGTCTTTACGAAACCTGCCATGCTCAAAACTTCTGCTAGTGGTTATATGGCAGTTGTATGCTGCAAGTGTCCGTTCGGAGGAAGCATCTATGACTGATTCCTCTCGCACCTAGCCTGATGCGTCCGCACATATGCAGTGCACGTTATCATTCTTGCATGTAACTTCGACATTCTGCTCCTTATCTGCCGACGCGCACGGACTATTGAGCAGTTTGCTCGTCAGCCAGCTTACGCGTTTCAGCTTTACCCCGTGGCCATCCTATTCGTTGTCTGGACGCCACCCTCCGGGGGACGCAAGCTAAGTTTACTGCCACTCTCACGGTAACATTCCAATGCTTGCTACCGCTCATTATCAGGTAAACTCAGGCGCCTCTTAGAAGGATCACTTTAAACCCTAAAATCTGCCGCATGATTCCAGGCCGCCTTAGAGCGCGCACTCAAGAGTAGTATGGCATATATACCGTCAGCCCTCTCACTATGGAACAGACTCATCTCCTACTACCCCAGCTAGATCTCAAATCCATCGCCGTACTTCCTGCGGCGGTTCTACTCGTTGCATGGGCCATTCCTTTTCTCGTCGACAAAAACTGCTTGATGGGATACCCCGGGCCTCTGCTGGCTAACTTCTCCAGCTTCTGGCTGGCTTCGAAAGCGTACAAAGGTACGTCGTCGTCTGCGGTTCAAGCACTGCATGAAAAACACGGCTCGCCTTCCCACTAGGTACGCACTCCGAGTCATGGCCCAAGTTTTGATAGGACCCTTTGTTCGTCTTTCGCCCAAATATGTCTCCGTTGTCGATCCCGAAGCACTGCAAGCGATCGTGGAATGGAGGCGAAGACCTTCATTGATGACGTCCTGGAGATATGTGAGGTTCTTAACGAGATCGAAGGGCGCTACAACCTCATCGGCACCGAAGGTAGAGTTCGGGACTCCGAGAACATCGTCCAGTTCTTTTTGAAGTCTTGCTTGCATATTCTTGTTCCGCGCGACGTGGTACGTGACGATACCAATAGAACTAATAATCGTGAGTCAGACCATCAATTCACCATACTAAGGCAACGCCACCGACCTAGAGGTGGTATCAGAGCCAGCGACGATAAGACTCAGAGCCTCAGCCGTCAGCTCTTGTTCGCCCAGAGGCTTGCCCTCATCGTCGCGAGCCGCAGCAAGATGAGAAAGGAAGTCTTTTCGCACGACCCAGTTGCCAGGCGTTTGGACACTACTGTAATCGCGATCTCTACAAAGAGATGACGGGACGCTCCTGCCTTGAGCGATTGAAGTTTCGATATCAGCAGGCGAGCTTGAGGGGGAAGACAGCCGGAGGGGAAGACAAAAGGTACAGCCTCGTTGAGAAGCTTGACCGCTGGAATTGTCAGCCATTCTAGGTCTGTGCTCTTTCGGCCATAGGACTTTTTGACCCGTTCCACAAATACAGTACAGGCGCGGCGTCTTTCCCCGTTTCCAGCATACCGAAAGGCGCGCCGAAAGCCAAATCCCCTGTGAGGGGGGTCAACAATGTCGCCACATAGTTCGGCAACGGAACACACCAATAACATCGAAAGTGCCAAAATTAAACCCTATCGTCGCGTGATGAATTTCCGACAATTCCGCTACAGAATATCGCACTTACTTGGCATGCAGTCGAACCAGACACAGCCATCTCCGGCGGTCCAAGGGCATTCTCCGAGAACGCCATCGATACCTTGAGTTCCAACGGCACACAAAGTGTCGAACCGCTCCACGAGCATGAGCTGATGCTCACGTACGTTCGGCTCAAACTCCATTATGCCCTTCATCGACATGGCATTGGCTGTATACTTCCGCTTTCGACAGTGTTCCAGCCGAGAACGGAAAGAGAACATGCTACGTTGAAAATTTACGAAGGCGTCGTAGAAGTCGGTCTTCAGTGCGCCGGAAGTGCGGCCGTAAATTGGTGTCGGCTTGCCCCGCGAGGTCCCTAAGAACGGATTGACAGTTGCAGGAAAGACCCTCCTGCCTGGCACGCATGTTAGCTGTCCCTCGTATGCATTGCACAGACGCAATCGATCTGGGGTGACGACGCGGACGAGTTCAATCCCGATCGCTGGACTCTGGGCGACAGAAATACAATGCTCAAGTGTTTTGCACCCTTTTTGGTAGGCCCCAGGTGAGCGCCACCGTCAGCAGAACGGCTAGAAATTACGATTCAAATACAATGGAGCCTTTTTCAAGGGCTTGCATCGGTAGAACCTGGCAATGATGGAGATGACGCTTTGTATCGCCACCATATTCCGTCGCTACCGCTTTGTCCTTGCTTATCCCGACCAGCAGGTGAGTCGGCTGTTGACGTGCAGGTCAAGGGCATCGATTAATCCTTCTGGACTAGCTCGAATGTAGTGAAGGGCCCATATGCAAGCCGAAGAACGTCTACGTCGGTATGCAGCGGCGGGGTTGACTGCCTTGCGCCGGACCATAAGCGTTTGGACCTCTACGGTTTTTCAGGGCTTCTCAAGGTTTTCCATGTCCGGGTTCGCTGGGGGCCCCGAAGTTGTCGATGACTGCAGACAATGGCAAAGTGTAAACGCTCTTATCCTCACGCTTTCACCGGCGTCTTTCAGCGTTGAGAGGCACTGTCTTTTCTCACATCTCATTTCCTGCTATAGATCCAATGACACCAATATGAGACCGAGAAACGGAGTTTACAAAATGCAATGATTCGATCATCCGATAATTTCGCCTGAGAACTGTCGCAAAGAGAATACGCGGCAGGAGTGCAATGATAGCTTCGTCATGCGCAGAGTAAGCAGAAGTATGATTCGGCGTATGATGAATGAGATAGACTAATGATGAGAATAGCGTCAATTTGGTAGGGAGGTATCAATACAGAGCGGAAACATAAGCCAAAGAAGTAATCCCGAGGATTACGGGAGAGTGTTCGATCCATCTGGCGAGTCTACTGCCACAAAACCAGGTTAAAATCACGAGTGTAATTCGTGTGTCAACGGGACTCACCAGACTTCAACGGAACCAACGTGCTATTTGCGTCCCTTGAGTACCTTCGAAGGGAGTGCTTCGTGGTTGACGCATTTCTTCTTCGGATTTTTAAGGTGGCGGATAAGCGCATCTCGACGACTGAACACCTGCCAGCATCCTCCCACCCTATCCTCTCTCCGCCACTCGACCACCTCTGCCGTATCAGCTACGCCGTAGTGGGAAGCAAGGTGCAACGGTACGCCACAGCAGACATGCTTGTCCTCCTGATAGTGCCCCAAGATGTGCCGCTTCAGGTCTGGGCGGCGGCGGTTCTTCTGGACGTAGTCACAGAGCGGGCAGTTCCAACGCTTACTGCTATTCGACGTGACTTGCGTCCTCGGTACAGGAGCCGAGATCTGCTCCTTGCGTGCCGATGTGCGCTTGAGCTGAGGGCAGCGCGTGCGAGGCGAACCACATTCGGACGAAGACGCGGAGCTTGATGAACCTGCGCGAGGAGACGTGTAGGGCGAGTAGCGGTTTACACGTGTAGTGCGTGCGGTACGTGAGGTGGAGGAGGGGCTGGGTTTTGCGACGGAATGACTATGTTTCGCGTGTGTGGGCTTCTTGTGGGAAGCGCGTCGTGGTGTGTAATCCTCGTCGGCGTCATCAACGTAGTCGGAGTCGCCAGAGTCATCATATTCGGACTCAGAATCACTCACACCGTCTGCGTTTGCGTCGGACTCGTGCGATGTGTCGTAAGGCTTATACGCGTTCGTTGGGACTCGCGGACTCGCGGACCGAGATGAGCTACAACTGGTGGGAAGATTGGATAGCTCCCACACGCTCGCCAAGGGCGAAGGACACGTTTGGGAAGTCGATGAGGAATGCGACCGGCGGTCGTACGCGAAGAGAGATGTAGAAGCATGAGAGAAGTCGCTCGGCAATGCAAGTGTCTCATCTAGACCTGCACCTCGGTCGTCGATGATGGATGTAGGGGGCGACAGCGTCGGGTCGTCGAACAATGATCGAGGGCTGCTACTTAGGCATTAGACAGAGTGCACGATAGTCAAACCATGAAACGTACGAAGAGGCATCGGATATCGGACTTCCGGCAAAGTCGTCGAGACCGCTGCAAGTGTAGAAGTCCGATTGCGCGCCGGACGAGCCGTCGTATAATAGAGAAAGCGCAGATACTGGAGTTCCCGAAGCGAGTCCATCCGACAGTGGACTACCAAGGTCAGCGTGGAAGCTGGCCGCGTACCAAGGATCGAGTGGTATCTCCTTTGCGTGCAACTCTGGTGAGTAGAGGAAAGAGGTGAAGTCGTCGAAGAGGGAGTCGTAGGAGTGCTGCATTGTGGACGGGATACGGAGGATAGGAAGTGCAATGGAGAACCAGTCTCATGTCGAACGGCCTTTTATAACGGACAGACCACTTCCTTTGAGCTCGGATGCTGTATCCATGGCTCTTGTGTTGGGCTTTCTCGTATCAAGCAGGCCGGTTTTTTTTCCCGGACAGTAGGTTGCTTGCAGCCCAAAAGCAGGAATTCTATCAAGGGTGTGTAATCGTATTGGGACCATTGCAACGAGGAGTGCCTGTCCCGCCTCTCAGCTCAGCGCCCGATGCCGTCCTTCAGCCAATGAGGGATCGACTCAGTTGCCGCACGATGCCGTATGACGGCTTTCTGGATCCTTGGACAAAGTCGGTCTTTCAAACTGATACACGGGGGACGGATTTGCGTCTCCTGCACTCCATTATTAGGCAACACCAAAGGCCTCGTGTCGCAAGTTCTTTCATACGCACCCCACTCCAGGGGTCGAACTTGTGCTTTTCCCTCGGCGGTGAGGCTCCAGACACCGGAACGCGGCATAGAATAGGTCACGCACTGATTAGATATCGCCTGAAAGCACCCTTCCTTTGAACAGCCACATCGCAAGCGGCAAGATCGACCTGCCAAGGAAACAATGGGGTCGTCATGCCAGGCGGTGCGGCTGCTGCTGCTGCCCGCCCTCTCATCGACACATCATCGCGCGTCGGTCAACACTGAAGAAATTTCGCGATTGTTGCACAACGTTGCCGTCTATACCCTAATGTCTTTTGAGGTTCCTGTATGACAAGGGAGTAGCTCATGGATATCTATGGTATGTGATCTGCTAGGAGTTCCTATAACAAAGCACAGAGTATCAGATCGGGTCGGGTACTGCCGAGGGAACTCCGGGTCGCATTTTGCATTGCCACCGATTTCGTATACGGGGCTCGTCCCGCGCAGCTCGCCACTGAGGCTAACGTGATGGAAACTTGTTCGAAGCTCGGGACGTTATGTTGAGTGGCTGAGGCACCCTGAGAGGAGCTCCGGAGCGGTTGAACCGCACGCTGAGCACTGGCAGAAGATGTACTGCGTCTTGCCATGCCGGAAAACTTGCGGAGCAAACGAGCAGAACCTCCCGCCGGTGGCGGCAACTATAGACATACCTGGCAGGTCAAAGCCTGGCGGGTAGTGTTCTGTCTCGAGGCTGCCGCGTAGGGATTGGTGAAGTGCTTCTACTCATACAAACAACACACTCTGCTTCTGGGGCATGATTTGCTCGTATTTGAAGTTGTGGGCGACACCCCGTACAAAGTGTGGCCAAAATTTGGCGCCTATCATTTAGAAAGACGCCTATCCGGCGGTTCACTTCGAGCGCTTGAGCCCCGTTGCCTGTCCTCTCTTAAAGGTCTCTGGCCAGACTATCGTCCCTTCAGAATGTTCACGTTGCCCAACATGAGACAGCTTGTCTCTGCACCCCGGCTTTTCCGAACAGTCGTTAATAAGGCTGCGTTCCGGCCGATACCTCAGACTCAGGGTAACATACCAGGTATTACGAAGTTGAATGAGCATGTGCACTAATGGTACAACTTCAGGGATAATAGACTCACCCGAGGCGTTCTTGAAGGCCATTGGTAGGTCTGCAGAGTCCAAAATTACCGCAGAGACTTGGGCGGACTTGTGGAAGTTGGATGGCCCTCGGTTGAAGGCTGCTGGTGTAGACGTAAGGGATAGAAGGTGCGTTAGCGGGGTTGCACTGTACTGGTGTTGTTCTTAAATCCATAACTACTCTGCCAGATATCTTTTGTGGTGCATGGAGAAATTCCGACAGGGTTGGGATCCGAAAGACTTCGCTCATGAACCCAAGCCGAAGAAGAAGATACGTGGGTGAGTACCATGGCCACGCGGTCGTAGCACATCATTGACCATGCTGCAGATGGGGTCCTGTTATACAGTTTGGGAAACGAATTCGGTCTCGTCGAGACCGGTAGCTCTTGTCGTGCGCACCTTCAACCCAGTATCCTTTTCCCTCGCGTGCTCCTCGCAAATCATCATCCTATGACCTATTACGTTTCATTCAGCTTGTGAGTGGGATATGATAGACTGGTGCTTTGAGCTGCTGTTCGTTGATTCAAGCGATCTATGCTTCGAAAGTGAGTTCATAGGATGAGCTTAAAGCGCAAGCCTGGAATTACATTTCGGTTTATATAGCAAAGTACTCCGAGCTAATCATCTCTAACGAAGTCAGACATTGGCGCACGCTTCGAAGCAGCTCCAAAGACTATTCATATTGTTGCATAGGTGGATGGAAGCAGAATGACATGGCCAGACTGGAGGTGTATCGACGTCTGCTGTCGGCATACTTCCCATATTTATAGCGCTGACACAAAAGTGGACAGTTAATTGATTGTGTTCAGTAACTTCGCCCCTCCGTCGCGAGGTTAGCGAGTGCAGTCGTGGCGTAATGCGATCCAATTAATATACTCACCAACGTAATACGACCACCCGCAGGAGGTTATGTCGATGTTTTGTAAAGGTTTGACGTTCGCAAACTGGTGCAAACGGTAGTGCTAGCATGCTCTTGCCTATTTTATCACGCACTGTAAAGTGTGCTATAGAAGCTTCAATCATATCAGATAGCCTCCCTGCGTTTTGTGGAGGAGTCATGTACAAGTATGAACATACGGAGAGCGCCATCCGACGACCACAGAACCACTCGCGATGCTTTTACAGCGTGCGCAAGGTTATCCCACTTTCCTGCACCCAGATGAGTATTCTGTAGCATGTTTAAACCACAAACAGATAGCCCAAGTCCTGCTGGAAACGAATAGTCGTGTTCTCACCTCTCAAAAGGATGCTTCACGATGCTACCGACGAGCTCCGTACAGGGCGACCACATTGAGACCATCCCTAGCAACAATGGGCTCGAATTAGAATATTGGGATTGTCGCCAATGCATTTGTGTACGTCGTGCCCGGGTTATTAGCTCCGAGTTAGGTCACAGCACACGCACACACCTACTTTTGAAATGTGAGTCTAACAAATCGCGCCATAGACGAGAATACGCGGCGGATACACAGGAAGAGAGATAACGCATGCGTGCAATTTAGTGGGTGGTACAAAATCCGGAAGGTCCAATAGTGCAGAAAATCGCACGCGTCGCGGCGAAAGATAGCGGGGGAGCGTTCGAGCATGCCGCCAGGTACCAGCGGCAAAAAAATTCATCCTGGGCCTAAGTCCAACAAAGGTGCAATATTTGCTAGTCTTGCATTGTGGCGATATTATTCGATCACGCGCATACAACGGGCTAATGTTCGCCCAAATACATTGGAGGCGCAAACAAAAATCGGACAGTCCCCTCATTCCTTCCCAGCATCATCGCGTCCTCCTCTGCTTGCATTTCGCCCAGCCACAGGGGATCTCTCGGTCGCGGCGGGTGTTCCACTTCGCGCATGGCGATCTTCAGCCGCATGAGCTGATCTGACTTGTACGGCACCGTCTGTGGTAGCGAATGCGCCGTGGACGAATGTGGAGTGCGCAAAGGGTGCGGTGAAGATGGTGTACTCGGAGAGGTATTGGCGGTGGAGTTCTGCCCGCCTTGCATCAGCAGATCAATTATTGAGTGCGCAATCTCTGAATACGGTGGAATGACAGTGTCAGGACGTCAAACTGAACAGGGGGTATGAAGCGTACCCTCAAGATCCTCTACTTGACAATGAAACTTTGTCTCCCATTCCCCGCGTCTTCCCAGCGTTTCCGCAAGTTCATGTGCTGTGTGGTACCCGGGCTGCACGGGAATTGGTGCTTGCTCGAATGATGACAGCAGTGACGAGAGGTATACGCAAGCAAGAGCAACAACGTGAGATGGGTATGACAAGTTGACAAGAGTTCGAAAGCTGAGTGACCCGTTAGTATTTTACAGAGTCAGGCATCATATGTTACTACACCTGTCAATGGTAAGACGCCAGGCAAGCTTAGACAACTTCTTGGGCACTTGAACCAGAGTGTCAGCTGATGATCGCACTATGGTACAATGTTATTTACCTCCGAGCGCGCGACTCATCTTTATGATGTAGGGGAAGGGCATCCTGGACGTAAAGTTGAAGGAGACTGTCTCAAGGATCAGCCGCTCCACGGCCAGAAGACGTCCTCGATCCTGCTCAACCGTTTGTGGATCCATGTCGACTTCCCCGGCAATGGATTTTGACTTCGCTGCCAGCTCAGGGAAACGCACGGCGTAGGATACCATAAGAATTTCGCGCGGTTTCTTTAGGGTGTCGTGCATCTTGGTGGAAACGTACAGAGCAGCTAACGAAACGTCCTATAGAAGGAGTGACGACGCGTGCTATAAAAATTTGAGCAGGACGTACGTGGTAGTTGAAATCCTTCCGCGGGAAGAAGAGATGAAAGCGGTGATAGAGGTTCTGCCCGGTGGCGATTGTCTTTCTGGGGCTGCAGGTGCGCACGTTAGCTGAAGGTCCCAAACGCTAAGTTAGGTCAGAACAGAGCAGATGGGAGCCATACTCACAAGCCAATCTTGGACCCTACAGCTTCTATAAACCCGCAGGCTTGTTGCCGCTGCTTCTCCTCCTGTGTCATAGAGAGCTTGCCCCTTTGGCGTTCTGACATGCGTTCAACCTCTTCTGGGGTAAAGTATGGCAGATGATATTTAACATGGGAGGCAGGCATTTGGGAAGGAGAGTCCCGCAGGCTGCCATGCTGAACTTGCTGGATGTCCATCATCGTAAGTTATGCGCTGAACTTGAGCCAGGATAAGGCTGAAGATTCGACGGCTTTAGATATTAGAAACTATTATTATTGCATAATTACATGTATACAGTACTGAAAAGAGCAATGCTGAGATAAGATCGATAGACATCACTTATGCTTTAAGTTAAGGTAACGTTGGATATATGCCTATCTTACTCGGATCAGAGATATATAGACTTATGTAATAAGAAAGATTTGGAACTCAGATTACATCGTTTCAATTGATATTTAACCCGGATTTAACATCGCCGCCCTCAGTTGGCACCTATCACAAAGTTGCTGAGGTAGACAAAGAGCTTATGAAAGCGAGTCGGAAGGCTGCTAAGAAGAATTCAGGCTTAAGAGTGGATGAGATGGGCTTCACAGTCGGGGACAACAGTTCTAATGAGTGGTAGTGCCAGTACATATTGCCATCTGTATTGTTGCTACTAGTAACCAATACCGTCTTTTGCTAAGTACAATGAAGGGAATGCATGTTTGAAAGCCTTGCTATGCCAGCTTGGGGATAGACAAAATTCAGCTAGGCCCGCCTGTACTTAGTCCGAATGCCTGGGGGACCGAAGGCCCTGAAGCCAGTTTTGTCCGAACATTTTTGACCCAAAATTGTTCCTCCTGTCTCAGCATTTTCTGCAAAATTTGGAGGACAGCCTGAGGGATCTGACCCAATTGTCGGGGGTCCTCCAACGCCTCGCTTTCAAAACGCTTGTTGCGAGACATGACGCATGATGCAGCACGTCTTGTTTCTCTTTCTGTTCTGGGCGGACCGAAACTCGAACTGGAGTGATGGCTGCGCGATGCTACACTATATAATGCCGATCGTGCGGGAGGCAAGCAACCTCCCCAGTCTACTAGTGCAGAAGAAGGATGCCTCTCCCAGTCGCTGAGATAGCCAAGATTGTTGCAAGCGATGCTTATCGCGCCGATTACACTGTTATCAACGAGGTCTTCGAAATCCTTACGGAGACTCCCGGTTTCGTTGGGTACTACACCATCTTCGTTTCTGAAAGGCCGCAATTCTCCCAGAATAACACCATTCTCTAGCATCTGGCACGGCCTTACGGTCCAAGAGCCCCAATATCTCTACGTTGTAATCCGTAGGTTCTTGGAAGCTTATCTGCCATTATAATGCTGACTAGCCACGACAGTTTGGGAGACCGTCGAACATCATCGCGCGCTGATGGAGGACCAAGTTGTCTACCCCGCCTTCAACGAGAAGATGCGCAAAGTTTCGAATGGCAGAGTCTGGAAGTATCACGTCCACTTCAACAACGACACGGACAAGGCGCTGAGCGCTCCCGTCACCGAATTTGCACTGACGACAGCGGAGGACTCGACCGAAGTAGCCGGACATCTGGAGACAGCAGATATATCCTTTCCACTGCTTTATAAGACCCTTCCGGACGAAATATTTGAAAGTGGCTGGGGCCCTACCGTCGAGAGCGACAGAAAGTTCATGATTTGTCTCGGATGGCACAGCCTCGAGGTACGTGTCATGAAACTGAATGCTAGATGTATCTAATGTGATGCCCTTCATGTAGCGATGCGTTGCTGCCTTACAGGGTGCTCCTGAGCTCTCTTCACACAGCTCACCGCACAAATGTTCCAGCTTCCCGAAGTGGATGCGATGCACGCGAAGCTGACCAAGTGTTAAAGTATTGCAGTATATCATGCCTCAAGACAGAACATGCAAACTGTTTTTGAGCGTTCGCAGTCACCGCGCCATATCTTAGAGGCGGTTCAACCCCCCCCCCCCCACGGGAGCTCCCAAGCAGCGGTAATCGACGAGCGTGCCAGAGCTCAGGCTGACAAGAACGTAGGCGATGCCATACCTGAGCTGATTCAACATCTTGTGTCACTCACAACGCCGCTGTGGGCACAGTGAAGTTAGACTATAATACGTGTAAGACTGCATTTTTGCATGCACCAAGTGCAACACCGTGACAACGTCATAGGCAGCACAACGGTCGGTGGTACACGGGGTCCAGACCGAGCGAAAGCACTAGCGCGCCAGGTGGCCCTCCTCATTCCCACTCGCACATTCCATGGTGGCGCACCCAGTGAGCGTGAACTGAATGTGGCTGGGGCAGACAAGACGAAGACCTGGATGCTTCGTGCCCTCACCCTCTCACCCCAACCGCCGTGTCCCGCCCAGCGTTCGAGGTTGTGAAGGCCGTCGCATTCGATGCCTATCTGGCTGACTGGACCATCATCAGAGAGGTTGCCGCTCCGTTATCCAAGATACCGGATTGGCAGGTTGTTCCATGCAGACCTTCACCAATGCGTGCTAGTGTTCCGGTAGGGCCTGGCAGGGTATCGAAATTCAGGAGCCGAAGTACCTCTGGCTCGTTGTAGGTGAGCTGTCCCTAGCACGCCTTGCAAATTCTTGGACTGTACTGTTTTTCCAGGCTCGACTCAGGGGTAAACCATGTCTTCCCAATGTCCTGACTGTGATTACCAAAGCTTCTACTACAGATTCATAAAGCAAGGATCCTGCTGGATTACATGAAGACGAAGTAATGTGCTTGGTATATTCTAGTGTCTGCGCATCGTCACCGGATTGCTGATGTCGACGTGTTTCTCAGACAGTGGCACGGTCTCCGTATATTGAGAGCACACACTGGAAACTTGGGCAACGTTCTGCGCATCCACTGATTATTAGCCAGCTAGTACTGACGAGGGTCTAGCGGTGTGTGGCACTAATATGCACGCCTGCCAGTGGGCCGCGTTCGAGGACACGCGTGTCAATGCGGATTTTGACATCCCAATGCACGAAGCGTTCAACATCGCAGACGCAGTGTATTCTTATTGTGTCGTATTGCGACCGAGTCATACGCAGCATTCGATGGTCCTGCGACAGTTTTTGCGAACTGGAAGTCGAGAGAGTCCATCGACGTTGAGTAGTTTCGCAAAACACTTGTCCAACTGCATACCTCGCCGTGCACATGTCCGAGACCGAGCCTGCTGGAGCGATAGGTCCAACAGAGGAAGATTAGAGAATCTTCGTCGCGTGTATGGGACGGGATAGCCAAGGGTCAGCATGAGGGGCGTTATGCATCGAGACTCCGAGTCCAGGTTCACAGCGACGCTACATCGGCACATTGGGCGGTCAAATATAATGCATTATAATGCACCGTCGGGCATTTATAATGCGTTATAATGCGATTTTTAGTGATTTTTGAGTTTATAATGCAAGATAACGGACCAGATCGCATTATATTGCATTTTAATGCAATATAATCTCCGTCCCTTTTTGCCGATATGATGGAAAGAGCGATGAATGAAAAGGCGACTTTCGTCGTCGTTGGTGATCACAGTGTGTACATTCCATAATTACACAGGAGTGTGCAGACCGCTCCGCGGCGACCTGATTATCACTCCCGTGTCCTTCGTGACCGTCAAGTCTCCTAATATGCATGCGTTGCAGGGCTGTCCAAACACAGCACTTGTCAGGTGAGCATGCCCTCCAGATTTAGCGCTTTATGTAATGCATTCGGTGTCATATAGTTCAATTTGTGGAATTTGAAAACCACTTAGAAGTCTATGTCTCCCGGAATTGATGAGCGTGACCACTTTTGATACCGGCGACGTACGTGTTCATTATTCTAGTGCTCTAGAATAGATATACAACTTGGAGGCGGGGAAAGCGCACAGTGCGCGGCCAGAAGACTCGGATGCGGCAGACACTCACGCACACTAACGGCAAGCTGGCCATGACTCACCTGAGCCCTTCATTGATACAAAAGTGCGATGGGCCACTTTGGCACCTAAATAATATTCCAGTATGTCCCTCCCCACCATCGGCATCGTAAAAGTTCCTACGACTGAGGCATACCGTGCGAATCCAAGCGTCATCAACGACGCCTTGGCGATCCTGTCGAAGGCGCCAGGTACGTTAGGGTGAGCAGTGTTTGGTTCAGGTTGGGCAAAACAAACTCTAACACATTGTAGCCAATGGCACGACCTGGGACTCCAGAACCCAGAGTACATTTACTTCGTCAATGGTGAGCGAGTATGCGCGTCGTCGAATCCGAAAGTGCATCTGAGCGGACGCAGCGTGGGAGAGCATCGCGCATCGCGACGCCTTTGCGCAGGACAAGGAGACCTACACCAGAGTGCATCAGGCTATCAACCCGGCGTTTGACCCCACGGGCCCTTCATGGCGGTACCATGTCCAGTTTGCTGTCGAGCCCTTTAAGGCTCTTGACGCGCTCGTGACAGAGCTTACGGTGATGCAGCTAAAGGATGGCGCTGACTCGGAGCAGTTTAAAGGTATGCTGCGGACTCTGCAGGACGTACTGGCGGAGCGGCTCGGTGGCGACGTCTCTGCGAGAGCATGGGGTGTCTCGTTTGAGGATCCTCGAGTCTTCGTGGCTTGTCTAGGCTGGATGAGCCTGGAGGTGTGTATTACCAGGTGCCCCATACTGTTCGGAATGCTGATTTTAGCCTTTTCCCTCTAGGCATCGAAAGCAGCCGCTGAGCAAGAAAAGGGCATCATAACATGTATTAACCAGATACTGCAGCTTGCGGACGTTGAGGCGAAGCATGCGACGCTAACGAGATATTCTGGTGACTAGGAGCGTAGATCGCTATTGTTCTTTGTCCAAATGAAACTAGTATCGATATCATGATAGCCTCAGTAATTCTAGAGGCTTCTGAGGCGTACCTCTTGCAGTGCACTTTTTCAGGAGGGCGCTTCAAAGAGCGCCCAGGTATGCGGCCGGATAAGGTAGTATGCTGGAAGGTTCTCCTGCGCTTAGAGGACGAAGGTTCCAGAAGGGCGCGAAAATGAGGATACATAAACGCGTAGACATCGTCCTCGTCCCCTTAGCTCTTTTACGACCCACACCTCCTTCTTTCACGACCCATCATCACATCCTCCTCTCCTCTTACATTGACCAAAATGGCTACTGAGAGCTTTGGCTTCCAAGCTGAGATCTCCCAGCTCCTCGATCTCATTATCAGTGAGTATTTGCGCGGCTTTCGTGTGGCGTGCACGTTCTGACATTGCTTTGCAGACACCTTTTACTCTAACAAGGAGATCTTCCTGCGAGAGCTCATCTCGAACGCTTCCGATGCCCTCGACAAAATCCGCTACCAGTCGTTGACCGACCCCTCTGTCCTTGACTCGGGCAAGGACCTCTTCATCCGCATCATCCCCGACAAAGAGAACAAGATCTTCTCCCTCCGCGACACTGGCATTGGCATGACCAAGGCCGACATGGTCAACAACCTTGGTACGATCGCCAAGTCTGGCACTAAGGTGTGTTAAGTCCATTTTTGTGTGCGCGTATGTCCATCTGACAGTCGTCTGTAGGGCTTCATGGAGGCTCTCAGCTCCGGCGCCGACATCTCTATGATCGGTCAGTTCGGTGTCGGTTTCTACTCCGCCTACCTCGTCGCCGAGCGCGTCCAGGTCATCTCAAAGCACAACGATGACGAGCAGTACATTTGGGAGTCCGCTGCCGGTGGTACCTTCACCATCACTCCCGACACCATCAACCCGCCTCTTGGCCGTGGTACCGAGATTCGCCTCTACCTAAAGGAGGATCAGCTCGAGTACCTCGAGGAGAAGCGCATCAAGGACATCGTCAAGAAGCACTCCGAATTCATCTCCTACCCCATTCAATTGGCGGTGACCAAGGAGGTTGAGAAGGTAAGATTTTTTGCTCGCTTGATCCTTGATCAGGTCTAACACCCTAGACAGGAGGTTGAGGATGAAGAGGAGGCTGTCGAGGAGGAGGAGGAGGAGGACAAGGAAAAGCCCAAGGTCGAGGAGGTCGACGATGAAGAGGACAAGAAGAAGAAGACCAAGAAAATTAAGGAGAAGACCGTGGAGAACGAGGAGCTCAACAAGACCAAGCCAATCTGGACGCGTAACCCCTCAGAGATTACACCCGAGGAGTACGGCGCGTTCTATAAGAGCCTGACCAACGACTGGGAGGAGCACCTCGCCGTGAAGCACTTCTCTGTCGAGGGTCAGCTCGAGTTCAAGGCTATCCTCTACATTCCCAAGCGTGCTCCCTTCGACCTTTTTGAGTCCAAGAAGAAGCGTAACAACATCAAGCTCTACGTTCGTCGGGTCTTCATCATGGATGACTGCGAGGACATCATCCCCGAGTACCTTAACTTCGTCAAGGGTATTGTCGACTCCGAAGATCTGCCGCTCAACATCTCGCGCGAGACCCTCCAGCAGAACAAGATCCTCAAGGTCATTCGCAAGAACATCGTCAAGAAGTGCATGGACCTCTTCTCCGAGATTGCTGAGGACCAGGACAACTTCAGCAAGTTCTATGAGGCGTTCGGCAAGAACATGAAGCTCGGTATCCACGAGGATGCCCAGAACCGTAGCAAGCTTGCCGAGTTCCTGCGCTTCTACTCCACCAAGTCCTCCGATGAGATGACCTCTCTCAAGGGTAAGTGCATTCGATTCGCTCTACGTCGCTCGCAATCTGGTTGCTGATTGTCGCCCGTAGACTACATTACTCGCATGCCTGAGGTTCAGAAGAACGTTTACTACCTCACCGGCGAGTCGCTCTCTGCCGTCAAAGACTCGCCCTTCCTTGAAGTCCTCAAGAAGAAGGGCTTTGAGGTTCTCCTGCTCGTCGACCCCATCGACGAGTACGCTATCACGCAGCTCAAAGAGTTTGATGGCCACAAGCTCATATGCGTTTCCAAGGAGGGTCTCGAGCTCGAGGAGACTGAGGAGGAGAAAAAGGCTCGTGAGGAGGAGGCTACGCAGTTCGAGGACCTCTGCAAGGCCGTGAAGGAGGCGCTTGGCGACAAGGTCGAGAAGGTCGTCGTCTCCAACCGTATCTCTGACTCTCCTTGCGTTCTCGTCACCGGCCAGTTCGGTTGGTCGTCGAACATGGAGCGCATCATGAAGGCGCAGGCGCTCCGCGACTCATCGATGTCGTCTTACATGGCCTCGAAGAAGACCCTCGAGCTCAACCCCCATAACCCGATCGTCAAGGAGCTCAAGAACAAAGTCTCCGAGGACAAGGCCGACAAAGGTATCCGGGACCTCACCTACCTTCTCTTCGAAACTGCGCTCCTCACTTCTGGCTTCTCGCTCGACGACCCGACGTCGTTCGCGAAGCGCATTCACCGTATGATCGCTCTTGGCCTCGACGTCGATGAGGACGAGTCTGTACCCGCCGCAAGCTCGTCGGTGGACGTCCCTCCGCCAGCAGAGGCCGCGTCTGCGTCCGCGATGGAGGAGATTGATTAGAGAGTTTAGACGCGCCGTCTCTCTCGTTCTCCCTCTTGCTCTCTGTTTCCTTGCTTTCATTTGTACTTGTGTTCATGCTCTGGGCATCTCGCATCTAATGTTATTGTACGTTCGGGCAAGCAATCAAAAGTTTATGCATCTCGACAGATATGTTTGATTACGAAAAGCTTATAACGGTCTTCGTGCTCAAAGGTCCTCAAGTCTCACGATCTCCTTCGTGCGCCCTTTCAGTTTTGTGCCAGTGGCATCGACCGTTTCCTTGCGGAAGAATTCCACACGCGTATGGTCAGACAGAACATGCAGACACAGGCACCTCGTTGCGACGCTATTGAACGCATTACATCGCAGACTACGTAAGCTATAAGGATGTTTTCGACCGAGGGCGGCGCCAGCGCGATGATGTCCTGGAAGAAACTCCACGCGCGCGTTCATTTCCTAGATGTCGTTCAACGGCACCGGAGGAAGGTACAGAGTCTGGAGAAGTATGTGTACTGCGAGGCCGCAGAACGATACCAGTCCTGTGCTCATGTTCAAGACGCTTATGCAAGCGGAGGTGCTCACTGTCAGGTACCAGGTTTCGGTCAGCAGTCTGGAGCGGACGTGCTGCATACACAGCATCGTGCCGAGAGAAAGAGGTCTACAGACTGTAGAACGCCCTCGTGGACGTTCATAGTACCCACATTCTGCACGCTCAATGGCTCGATTGTGCGCTGCAGCATCGATAACGCAGCCGCGTTATGGCTCTCGGCGAGCCATTCCTTGCGCATTTCCAGGGTGCGCGCGCCCCACACGCGTGCGGAGGTGCCGCACCTTAATAGGAGCTCGAGTAGGTGAGCGTTATCCAAGTGCAGTGTATATGAACGCTTGCCAACAAGCCGAGAAACTCAGCAGGCGCGGCCGTGCCGTCGAGAAGCTCAGGACGTCGAGCAGGACAAGTTTACCGAGGTGCAGTGATTCCCGTGGGACGAGCGCGTTCTCGCGTGAGGAGGCGAAGTCGAGCCGATTCAGCGCGGACGACCGCAAATTTAGCAAGGCAGCAGGGATCGCATAGAGCGTCGAAGTGGAACAGGGTGACCCACAGCCTGAGGTACAGCAGCCGTCCAAAGAGAGGTGCTTCACGTTCCCGCCGGTGTGGTCAGAGCTCACCAGCACGTCGCTGAATAGTGCATACTAGTTCGCTACTTGGGGTGCACAGGAGCATGTGGAAGAGCTGCGCGGGATGCCAAGCACGACATACGAGCGTGCTGACTGCCATCATAGGCTTGTCCGTCACTAGATAAAAATCCGCCCGAAGAGCTCTCAGGATCCTGTTGCAGACATCCACGAAATGTGGTGCCTTGAAAGACTAGGAGGAGAAAGAGTGACGCTGATGGTGTAGTGGAGGGAAAGACGAGCTGCGAGCAGCACCAGGAAAGCGGCGTGCCAGACTAGACATGCCGGACGCCACCATGCTCATTCAGACCATGAAGGATACTTTCCAGGTTCTAGCACATTTCAAGTATTCTTCCGTATTTCTGTTCCTTCGCCAACACGCTTCTGTCCCCTAAATCTCCAGATGCCCCTTTCGCGACCTACGCCACGCGTACTTGGATCCATACCATATTCCTACCACAGCAACGAACGACCCCACGATCGCCGCGCCTATATAGCCGGAAATGTTGTTGGCCTGAATGGAAAGCACTATAAACATGCCGCGTATCAATATTATTGGCGAGACGTACCGCGTCCCAGCCACGCCACCATCTGCCGGCGAGGCCGCCGCCATTGGATGCATCTTTTGCGTCCTGGCAGGACTTGCAATTGTCGCTGATGAGGCCCATGATCTCAATGAGCGAAATCCTGCAGAAAACCTTCAGTCCTGTCAGCAAAAAATACACAAGAAGTAAGGCGCACGCGAAGGCGACGAGGATGCTCATGAGCGTAAGTAAGATGCTCAGTCCTGACATCGCGTTCTGCTTCACACGCATCTGCCGCTGACGCTCATTGTTCTGGCTGTCGTTGTTGTCATCGTGCAGGCCTTTCGCGATCGCGGTATCGGTGAGCACCTCTGCAGAATCCGTGCGAGGAAGAATCTGTAGGCTGGCAGCCGGCGAGGGCGTCTTGATGGCTGGCGATGCCGGTACAGAGACAATGTCGGCATATATCGGTGGTGTCTTCGCTCCAGGGGAGACTGGGCTTTCTAAGTCGCCAGACCCGAGCCGCGCAGTCTCTAGGGAAGACTCTAGAGAGGGCACATTCTCGACGAGCGCGAAACTACGGTCAGGGAAGCCCGAATAAGAGTACAGCATGATGATGGAATCTACAGAGTCAATTAGCGTCATCCCGGTGGTGAACAACAGCTATTTAGCTATCAGTGACCGTAGAACATTTCGGTAAGGGGCAGCGACGTGGACCTACGGGCAAGATGACTACATCCCCTGGTGGGATTTGATTTCCGTTAGAATCCTTTTTGGCGATGGCGGAGACTGCAAGGAGCGCAATGCTGGATGCGGTGTCAAACCCTGAAGTATGCTTGGATTATATTTCTGTTAGAGGCCGATCTGGACGTGAGGTACCAACCAAAGCCAAAGAGGACTCCGACAGGATACATCTTCCACGGCCGATTGACAAATGTCACAATAGGGCCGAGAAGCTTCATCATCAACGTGTTTCCGTGGCTCTTAGATTCTCTCTGCTCGAAGTCTTGATCCACAACAGATGGGTCTTCGCCTCTTTCAATGCGAATCTGCCTTTCCTTCTTCATCTGCATCTATTGTCAATAGCTGAGGGAGCCGAAAGAAAATTTGGCATACTTGGCGACGTTTGGCAAGTACACGCCAAAGGATAATACTGTTCGCCAGCCCGACAATAAAGAGAAACGAGGCACTGATGGCAGTTCCTGAGAGCCGGCGCGATTAGAGTTCGCCGATAGCGACAGGGCTTCGACTAACCCACTATGCCCCCGACATTGCCTACTCCATCTATATGGTCATACACGCTGGTGCTGATCGCTATAGCCACATTCTATACGGTGTCATGATGGGATAAGTCGCAAATACACGGAGGCCATACGTACCACGGCAATGACTATCGTACTGTGACCCAAAGAGAAAAAGAGGCCACATGTTACGGGGAGTTGTCCCATGCTAATCAAACTACGCGTGGCGTTGTCGATAGCACTGCAAGATGTTGGCTTCCATCATAGAATAACGCGATATGTCTACCAACCTGATATGATCTGCATCAAGAGCTGAAAGATCCTCAGACGAGTTATGTAGCAAGTTTCGGGTAACTTACCATGCCGGAGGCCAATAGTCTGCAAAGCATGTCGCATGTTGAGTCACAGTTCGAGTGGTAGAGCAGCATATCACGTACCCATGCAAGAAGAGCCAGACTCAATATCGGCCGAGTGCTCTGCTTCCTCGCAAATAAAATTCCAGCAACAATCCAGCACGCAGCATTGGCTGCGAGTTCCAATGAGAGGAGAATTAACGAGCGTCCTAAGATGGTAAGACGACGCCGCGGCCTGTACAAGATCTTTAGCTGTTGAAGTCTGATCATCATCGCAAAATCCGAGCGAATGAATCCTGCAGGGTCTACAGGACATAAGCTCGGGTGAGGGGGAAGGGAGTGGCGAATACATAGGAGACTTTATAGGGAAGATGAGGACCGACGCCGGGAGAGCAGCATGGAACAGGGGCCAGGTGCGATAACAGGTGTGCCATGATCACCGTGCGATAAAGAAATCCCTTCACCCGGCAGAACATCATGATCACAATTAGGTCAACTTCGGTCGGTCATAAGACTGCAGATCAAGGTGCACGATAGGGGAAAGCTGAACGAGAAGGCGTGATGCTCGAACGAGTTCTACAGGCTAAACGGACCGGTGAAGTTCATCTGGCTCGCGGAAGATGTTCATTGCCCTTCCTGACTCTTTCCAGATCAGCAGCTAATTCTAGCTGACACAGCGCATAAGCCCGTGTGAGAGCAAGTAGACAGACAGATCACTTGTAGCCACGAGACGACAGAGGAACAGTAGTCGTGGGCGTGTCGGGAGGCACAAACCCGAAGGTAGAGGCGAGGCACGGCGGCGGCGGGTCGAGAGGTGGGCTCGGAAGCATACAATGTCGTTAACATCGTACAGTAAGCGCAGTCTTTCGTTGCGAGGGACAGCTATGAGGTGAGGGAGAGCAACACAAGGTCGGACAACCACTACTCCAGAGATATGGTCGAGATTTTCGCGTTGCTAGCTGACTGGACGAGCGGGAGATGGCACAAGATGATTAGTGGTGTGGCCCAAGCTTGCGTCTTGAGCCCGACCGTGACATCGCTGCCCTGGCAATGATGTGATGTTTCGTGACAGAAGTATACCATTCTGGGGATGCAATCTGTCACGTCACACATGATTGCGTGACGGGCGGGGTCAGTTGGCACTTTGCTGGTTCGAACAGAAAGAGCGCGTTCATGGGCTCACTCACTTCTCCATTCGCGTAACGACTTCTGGACGACCGGACAACGACTCTAATTAGACCTAATACTCCGACAAAGCTCTCGTGGAGCCTGGGCACACGACAAGGCATATAATACCTTCGATATATCACTTCATCTCGGCTGATACCCTCTTCCTCGTGCGAGGCGACCGTCTGATTCTGCGTACCCACTTGATTTGTATCTGTTCGCCGCTGGACGACTCTGAACGAACTCAATCACCTACTTGGCCTCTTTACTCTGCTCAGTACGCTGTGACTAGCCCGTCTTGACGACAAGGCTCTTGCATGAGGCACTATGCCCTCAGCACGCCTTACCATCGGTACTTCCATGGGAGGCGCCGCGGGGCCGTCTTCCGGTCCTGGCGCCGCGAAATCCGCGAAGGGGAGCAGAGCTTCCGGATCTTCTGCTGCCCTTTCCACCAAGTCTCTCCAGCGCAGGAGAAGTGCTTCGACTTCGTCTGCGACCTCGAACCCTGCGCCCGCCCTTCATACCCCGCTCACAAGCTATCGTCCGTCTACTCTGCGGCCCCATGACACTGCGTTCGCTTCGGATCCACCCCTCCCGAGTTCGGAATACGAGACGGACCGATACGTTCTCGCGATGCACGACTTTACTCCACTTCCAGAACAGCGGAACGTGACCTGTCTTGAGTTTCAAGCGGGGCACGTTATACGCGTTTTGAATCGCGACCCAAGCGGATGGTGGGACGGAGAACTTGATGGGCGGAGGGGGTGGTTCCCGAGCAACTACGTGACTGCTGATGTTGGGCTGCTGACCGACGAAGAACTTCCAAGTTTACTGGTGAGTAGACTGCCACGCGACTCGAGCGGCTGCTCCATTTCGCAAGAGATGACAATATTTACAATGTCTGTACATTCTTTGTTCAGCGACGCACACGCAATGGCAATACACACTCTCATAGCACATCGGCCATGTCCGCTGCATCGTGGTCGGATTCGTCTCCTTTGAAGAGCAATATTTTTTCGCGCACGGATCATCGACCAATGGCGTCGGAGAGTTCCATGGACGCGTACTGTCCGCCGTTAATGATGCCTCTACTTCGCGCGCTCACTGTCCTCCAAAACGCTATCCGGACAAATCGGTCAGCTCACTTACAACCCTCCACCGCATACATCATCTCCAGCGTGCGCTCGCTTCTCACCGACCTTGGTTGTCTCGCCCGAGATGCTCCTATTCTCAAGACGCACGCTTTGCTCGCGAGGGAGCGAAAGCGCATCCTGTCAGACCTAGCCCAGCTCGTTTCTCAGTCTAGGAAGGCTTCCGAGGGAGAGCTGGACGACGAGCAGAGAAGTGCGTATGCCGAGGGCATGATCCGGGGCAGCGGCCAGCTCTTTGCACATGTTCGCGACTTCCTTGTACTCGCGGCACAATGTGGCATAGACCTCGACGCGACAAGCCACTCTCTAGGATCGGAACGTGATTCGTCGGACACGGACAGCAAGTGGAGCAGTCACGATGGAACATTGGTGCGCGTCGCCGACCCATCGACACCTGTACCAGATGATTATGGGCCGTATTCTGTAGGCAACGTAACCAAGGCTGCGGACGATAGCGCATACACGCAGCGTCAGCGTGATATAACCATGACCCCTGGTCGAGCTCGCGCAAGGAGTATGTCAGATCTCCACAAGGGCAAGGCTAACCGGGATGCTACCAACGTTCCTCCTGTCCCCCAAAGAGTACAAGATCTGACGCTCGGGCGAACAAGCGAGAAGTTGGTTTCCCCGCAAACCGTACGGATTGGTAGTGGTCTCGGTGTAGTGCACAAGAGCAGCCAGCCCTCCGTCAGCAGCATATCCTCGTCTTCCTCCGCATCCTCTGGCGAGTCTGTTGGCACACCTGCTACTCCCACGTTCCCGACTGGGCCTTCTACTACAACCGAGGTTGTGGAAGCCCTACGCTACACCCACGACCACTACCTGTCGACCATCGCAGCCTTCATTGGACATGCCCACTCTCATTCACGGACATCACACGCGTCGAGTACAGGCCATATGTATGACCTTGTTCGTGAGGTCGTGGAGATGGTCTGCAAGCTGCTCACCATCGTTGAAGCTGTTCTTCGGCATCCAGACATCCCTAACCAACGTACGCAAGATCTCCGGGCGGCGAAGGAGGGGCTCTATAATGTCACGAGCACGCTTGCAGATGCTGTGCGGCAGCTCACGACGGCACCTCTGCCTGGCGTCTCCGAGGAAGAGGAAAAGTCCACACTCCTACGGTCGGCAACTAACGCCCTCAAGGCAGGCTCAGACTGCGTGAACGCGGTCAAGAAATGCCTTCAGCGGTCCAGTGGACAACGACCACTCATTATCGAGCTGCCGAGTGACGGCGCGCCAGAGTCCAGCACACTTTCGCCTAGCAAGTTCTCGCATGCGCACAAGAAGTCTGATCATTTGCGCGTCAAGACTGGTCCGAGCGCGTTGCATGAGCTGTACCGCGTCAATGGCGTTGAAGACGATGCCGGGGATCTTACGATCCAGGCCCAGACCGTGTCATCTGTGGACACGCCCACCAGGCTTGAGTTCCCGATATCGTCAGAGCGATCTCACCTCGTTACTGCCGGACATGTTGTTCGACGGTCGGACAGCTCTTCTGATAACGAGGCACCGTCCCCCACGCTAGCCTCTGACAAGCCGCTACCACCCATGCGGATAAGCGAGGACCAGAATACCGACATAATGGGCCCAGGCTCGCCGGTGTCATTGGTTCCAACCGACGATGGGACGACTTGGGAGGGGCCGCATTCGAGCCAACAGGTTAGACCTTCCCTCGAAGAGAAGTTGCGCGAAGGAGAGCTACCCGCCCTGCCAGCGACTGCTCTTCCTGCATTGCCTCCGCCTACGTCCTTGTCGTGGCTGTTGTCACACGATCATGCGTCCGAAGATGTGGCCTTCAACAGTGAAGGTCAGCTTGTGGGTGCGACGCTAACCGCGCTTGTCGAACGTATGACGCCTCATGACGCGCTAGTCGAGCCTGCCTTCGCGGCCGTGTTCTTTCTAACATTCCGGCAGTTCACGACTTCTATCGAGCTTATGGAGGCACTCATCGCGCGATATAACCTGCTCCCACCACCGGGCCTACCCCAAGACGACATAATCATGTGGCAACACAGAAAGGGCGTCCCTGTCCGCCTGCGCGTGGCAAACGTTCTGAAGTCTTGGTTGGAGACCTACTGGCGGCCTGTGCGGGACAATGCGATCCTACCGGCACTGACAAACTTTACGCACGACGCGCTGGGCCCAATGTTCCCAGTGCCTTCGCAGCGGATCATGGAGCTGGTCAGGCAGCGATCCCTACCTGAGGATTCAACTCAAGCTGTGCGCTTCGAGCGTGTGCGGGACGCAGGCTTCCCACTGAACCCTCCCTCGTTCCCTGCGTCTGAGATCCCGCGGCCGATCCTGAAGAAGGACACGCTTGCGCATTTACGAAACAAGAACTACAAGGCAATATTACTGGTAGAGATTGATGCATTGGAGCTCGCGCGGCAGCTTACCGTCATGGAGTGCAATCTATACTGCGCGATCCAGCCCGAGGAGGTGCTCGAGACTGGTCAATCAGGTGGGGTGTACCCCGGCAACGTCAAGGCGGTTACCTCTCTCAGCACCGTTATCACCGGATGGGTAGCGGAGAGTATCCTGAACGAGCCTGATACGAAGAAGCGGACGGCGCTCGTGAAGTACTTCGTCAAGGTGGCTGACGTACGTGAACCAAATTTAATCTCGTTGATTTTGTTGACAGGAAATTACGCAGCGGTGCATAACGCTGTATAACTTCAGCACTCCGCGTTCTATCTTGGCTGCTCTCGACTCCTCAACGATCTCTCGCCTGCATCAAACGTGGACGGTGCGTGATACTGCTGTTTCTACGCGATCATCTGCTAATACGTCATCGTAGGGCCTGCCACAAAAGAGCCGGCTTCAGCTGGAGGCGCTGCGAAAACTCTCCGACCACTCTCGCAATTATCATGAATATCGGACGCGCCTACGGAACACCGCTGCGCCAGCAGTACCATTCCTTGGTGCGAAAAGTCTTCGTAAAATTTTCACATTAATTCAATGTTTGATTCCGTAGGTTTATACTTGACGGACATCACCTTCTGTAGAGAAGGTAACCCTACGCACCGTAGCTCTCCGAAGAATCCCGATAAGAAGCTGCTCAACTTCAATAAGTATCATAAGCTCGCCCGGATTGTTCAAGGTCAGTGGGGATAGTGCATTCATGCATTGCGAAAGCTAATCGGGACCTGCAGATATGCAACGGTTCCAAGTGCCCTACAATCTCAAAGAGATACCCGAGGTGCAGGAGTACCTTAAAGATGAATTCGAGCAGTCCAAGAACCGAACCGACCTTCAAGATCTGTATCGACGCAGGTACGCTTCTATTACTTTTACCCTCAAAATTTGCTTGACGTGCATCAAGCTTGCTGGTCGAGCCAAAGCGACCTGCAGACCAGCCACCATCCGGCGACATGCGTCAACTGTTCCAGTGGGCAACACGCACTCAAACCTCGGTAGCATCGCAGGCCTCAAAAGATGACTCACGTGCACTTCCGGTCAACTGACAGCTGTAGCCGAGTTCATCGTCGCCACCTCTCAACTTGTCTTCCTTTTAGCGAATGGACATCTCCATTCGTCTTTCGCTGTGTCACATCTGTCGTTTCCCCTCATTCGATATCTGTCAAACTTAGCTTGCTACGACGTTGTAATTGTTCACGACTTTCAAGGACGCTGCCTGCCTCCACGTCTATTCTGTCCCCTCACGCACGTTTCCCGCATTTTTATCATCACTTTTCGGTCTGTTGTTATACCCCACCGGACCTCATGATCTCTGGCTACGAAACGCAAATTTGTTTTGTACTATTACGACTTACCTACCGCATATTCTTATCCCTAATTCAGCTGGTGTGCCAGCCCGTTTTGCATCGACCTCTCGGGCGGTGTATGCAATATTCGAGCTCTGCTTGTCTAGATACGAGTGCTACAGGCTGCAAGCCATGCCAATGTGCTATAGGTCTAATGGTACAAAAATTGAGCCATTCAAATAGTGTAGAACGTCTTCGTTCCTCAGATCATTCAAACACGAGAGATTGTGGGCATGAAAGTATGTATACATTGCGGGTCACCAGGACAACAAGACGAGATTAACTCAATTATGTCGATCGACGGTATACGAATCCTTGAATGACCGAATACATTCTCGCACGCACCCTCAGATGCGCGCCGTTCGCCAGGCGCTCTGCATCGCAATTCGCTTTGCTTGGTCGAGCGTGATCGAGTCCTCGACGAGGTCAATCTTCTGCCGGCCGTCGTCGAACGGAGCGCGGCTGTCGTCGTCGTCATCATCATCATCGTCCGCCATGCGCGATGAGACGCCGCGTATGCCGCCGAACGCGGCCTTGCCGCCGGCGAGCGAAAACGGCGTCGACGCGACAGCCGTGCCGAACACGCTCGCAGTCTTGGGTGCGCCAAACGCTGCAAAGTCTGTGACAACCTTGCGTGGCGGGGAATGTGGTGCTGCGGTCACGGCCGGCGCCGACGTGGTGCTTGAAGAGGATGCAGTCTTGCGTGCAGGAAGATAGGGTGTGTACGGAGAACCATATCTGCTCGAGGACGACATGCGCGAATGCAAATACTTTTCGGTGAAACGAGTACCCGGTACCTTAGAAGCAGAATAAGGAAAGCTATCGTCATGACCCTGACCACTGACAAAGTTCACAAGTAGGAACATACCCTCTTCAGGTGAGGTCTCGCCTCCCGGAGCGACGGTGCGTTCATGTACACCTCGACATTGTGTCTGGCTTCTTCCGTTTCACGGTAGATACTTTCAATGATGACGCGCTTCGTGCTCTCATTGCGTAGCAAGAGCCGTTCGTGTAATTCGCGTGCGACGTCATCAACACTCTCGTTGTTCCCGTGTATACGCTGAGAAACTGCTGCACCGACTTCCTGGATGAGACGTTCCATATCCAGATTTTCGAGAACACTGCCGACAATGGCATGCACGAGCAGGTCTGCGGTTGTCAATGGAAGCATCAAGCCCGATGTGATCTTTGTTATCGCTTGGTAGAAGTCCGTAGCATACTGAGGAATGGGTCAGTAAACTCAATCAACCAACGTTAATGAGTGACACTCACCGAGTAGCCACTCAACGCTGGTTCGCAAGCAACAAAGAACTAGAGAAACGTTAAGGCATTTCATAGCGTGTGCGCTGCCGATGCTACTCACCAGAACAATGCCGCGGCTGGCCATTGTTCGCGCAATTTGTAGGGGGTCATTGCCGTCAGGCGATCCTTCATCGAATCCTATGGACGTGATCTTCATACAATATCGCCGACGTAAAATGTGAAGAGAGCGCACCATCGCCATACTCCCCTATGCCATGAGGTGGAGCATCCGCGATCAGCACAACCATCTTGCTAGCCTCAGCTCTCCAGTCCATGTTCGAGGCCTCCACCAGAGCAGCAGTGACAGCTTCGGGTCCGTCGCCGCCACCGCTCGCGTAAAGAGTACCGAGGTCCTTTTCAACCTTCATGATGTCCGACGAGAAGCCAAAATTCTTCGTGACATAAGTGTGATCCTGCGGGGGATGATCGCGGTACGCGACGAGGCCTATGCGGAGGTCCTCGACGGACTGTAGCTTGCCTGACTCGTAGATGTGCTGTGAGATTGCTTGGATGTTCTTCGTCGCAGCTGTGATGTAGCTTCCCTGACTACCAGTGCAGTCCTGCACGAACACCAGGTCTCTGCATCGTGCTCAGTCAGCTCCCGGCTGTCTTTGTCGGCTCTACTGTGCGCACGTACAGTAACTTCCTATCCCCAACGCCATTCGCCTGTGGATGGTATTGTGGTCGCGGCTGTTGGTGCGCAGCTGCTCCTGAGTCGAAATCCATGTCTTCATCCATGACGAGTAAGTCGGTTGAGCGCAGTTACTAGTGGCGGTGGTCTTGGTTTTAGTTGTTCAGTTGCTATGCAAAATTGCTGGTGATAAAGTACAAGAACTCGAACAATGTCAATGGTGGACGTCACAGTCTAAGTTGGCAATGTTCAAGCGAGGGGCATCGAGAGATGAATTCGTTCGATCTATACAGGCTCATCTGTGACGAGAGCCACGCCTCTAACGCCTGGCCGCTATCGGATCTAGCCGAGTCCCGTCAGGCTCATGCCCCAGAGGATCCAAATCGCTCTCTGCCTGACCAACAAGCACAGCAGATTAATAGAGCTCAAGGATAGGTACACAACGAGCAGCCGACATAGTAAACGATTCTATAGCTCTCTCCGAGCAGTCCCAAACAACCAATTGGCCCACTGTCCGATCCAGCCAGGTCCAAATGCACCTGGTCTGCTAAACGTCCGGTAGACGAACAACAGGCCCGTTGCAACTCCCCCGAGCACAGCACCCATCGTGACAACACTTCTAAACCGCGCCGCCGCAGACACCACGCGATCAGCACGGCCAGGAAAGGCATTAGGGTTGAACCTGCAGACACAGGGATGAATACAGACGCAGCATCGATGACGGCAGGTCAGTACATGCTGAAAAAGCAAGTTTATGGGACGCACGGATCGATCGCAGTCTGGCATATGCGGCGGAAGAGGTCCGCCGTTTCACCGGCTTTGACGCTGACAGCAAAAGGCACCACAAGATTCAACCGTTCGCAGTATACGTCAGGTTGTACCTCGTGTCGCTGGGAAGCGTTCATTCAGCGTGCTCAAGGCGGATTTCTTGACACAGTGATGACTTACCTGCAGGGCAAGATCGAGGTCAGACTTTGTTGCAACGAAGACGGCTGGTGTGTGGTCGAGGCTGTATTGTTGCTAACACGAGTCGATGAGTCGAGTGTAGCAGGAGGGGAGACTAGACCTACACGCAGGTTGCTGATGTAGGAAAAGGAGTTCGTGTCGCTTGAATCGTGCACATAGATGATTACGTCCGCCATCTCTGTCTTCTTCGAGCTTTTCAGCACCTCCGCCTCGTACCGCGAGCCAAATTCTTGTAGCTATAAGCGCGCGTGCCAAATACTCAGCATACACGAGGCTGCTCGCAGCAAAACGCACGCACCACAAGGTAAACTTCCCGCCCATCAAGGTCGACGCCACGGACCACGCTGTTCATGCGTTTCGTTGGTTCGTACGTTTCGCTGAACTTGCGTCCGACAAATGCACGCAAAAGCGACGTTTTGCCAGATCCCGCAGCGCCACATACGTAGCCTAGAAGGACGTTTCGGGTCAGCTTTCCTTTCCTCCGATCACTCTTTCTCGGGCGGGTAATTTGCAGAGCAGATGTTCGGGGCATGTCGGGGTACCCAAGGTATGCAAGGTACTCCAAAGTTGTTCGGTGGTTGAGAAGAGTCGTCATGCTACGTATAAGCAGTGAGTGAATGCGGAGAAGATGGAGAAGGAGGACTGTACCTCCATTGAGCGAGCCATCCCTGTAGGCTGATCTGCCCGGTCTCGCTGGTGACAGTGGTATCGGGAAACTTATTGTTTGCCCAGGGATTCCCCGGCGAGGTGCTGAATAAGTCGTCCAGTTCAGTTTGATTCAGCTCCCCGTCGCTATCCTGAGGTGAAACCATCAAAAGATATTGCAGCCTCATGGAAGCATAGTCTTACTTTGTCGAAAGCATTAAAGACTTCCGTCAAAAACTTGACCCCTTGTGGGCTCAGCTCGACGGAGCAGTCATGAGCCACGTCAAACCTATTGCTGGCTGAGTATAAATCGCGCATGGAAGCAGTTAAATCCGCACTTCGGATATAGGAAGTCTTCCGTCAGCTTCAGGTCCTCGCCATACCCGAACTTCCGTAGCACCGTCCACGTCGTTTCTTGTCTCCCCCGTTGTATGAAGGATGTGAGAAGGTAGAGGAACCCATCTTCTGTCAAACCACCGTCACGCACACCGCCCGCAGTGTGGGCCTGGACCATCTCTTTGATCCCTTCTAATTCTTGCGCCTGTAGCGGCGTGTCGAAACATTTCCTCTGAAGTGACGTCAGTCTTGCAAATAACCTTGAATGGTACTCTGCTGACCTGAAACTCGTTAAGCTCAGCATTATCTAAAACGCCGTCTTTGTTCAGGTCGCACAGCTTGAATATTCGTCGCAATGCAGCAATGCATTCCTTTTTGAGCACCTACGGGAGGAAACATGTTAATAGGATTCTAAGTTGAACTTGCATATGAGACCTACGTGGTCCCGAGAATCGTACAGAGGGGCGGTCGGGTGAAGAACAGCCTTTTGCGCGTGATAGAAGACTTCCGGAACGTTAACGAGCAGCTTGGCGGAGCACTCTACACATGTGTCGACTTCCTGCGTGACTGAGCATGTCTTGTGAAGAACGTTTCCGAAGTACACCCACCTTGAACTCGTTCATGATAGGCAGGACTTCGTGCTCAAGGGCCTCATTTGTTACCTCTCCGCCACGCAAGTCCATCTTGTTGCCTACAAGTATGACAGGAACCTGGAAAGGGAAGGTGCGATCGTCAGAAGACATCCAGAGTCGTGTGCGACGGTGTACCGATGAAGTGCCGTGCGGATAAGTCATCTCTCGGACAGTGCATGAAGTAGTAAGGTGATTTATGACTTACATTCACACCTAGTGCCCGGAAGCATGGCAACCAGTAAGTCGGTATTCGGTCGAACGAGTTCGGGTTGTCTATCGCGTACACGACGCATATGACATGGGCTTTGCGTATCTCGGATTCCAAATGTTGTCTATCTTGTGGGGTGCCTACGTGGCACTGTTACTCTATTTAAATATAGCAAAGTGTTTGCGAGACATACTGCCAGTGTCCACAATATATGTTGTCACATTCTCCGGCGTGACTTCTGGTGGAATCGTGACCTCTGGAACGACATGCTGGACCTGTCCATGGCACAGAGGTCTAGCAGAGCGACCGGAATATTTGAGAGGTGACTCACATGGGGAACAAATGATTCCTTAATGAGAGAGGTGACTATTGTGCTCTTGCCGACACCCTCTGTTGAGCCATATGGCGAGCGTGCCCAGAAATGGTAAGCCCAGTGGACGAGATGGCAGCGAAGAGCACTCACCGTCGCCGACTAGAAGAATGCGAACATCCCTCCTCATGGCCTCCAGAAACGAAGAACGCTTCCTCACGGTCGAGCAAGTCTCTGCGTGTCAGTTCGGCAGCGGCTTCGAGGCGGCAGAAGACAACCGGGGCCATCAGGCGCCAGTACCCCAGCTTGCAATGAAACCTCCACCAAGCCTCTCCGCTATACCATCATAGTACGACGGCGACCTTAGCCCTATAAAAGTGACTCGTATCTGCTACCAGCCACGAGAAGAGGATGGCCGCAAACCTGGCATCTCTACCAAGCGATGTAATTATCATCCTTATGCGTTATTTGTCTGCAAAAAATCTCGTTGCACTCTGCTGCACATGCAAGGCCTTATGTGGCTTGGTGAGTCATACACGACTCTTTCCCATCACCCTATACTGACGCTTTGTTGTAGGTAGAAGAATTCGGGTGGAAAGGATACCTTCAGCTCCATCCCAGACAATCCAACAGTTTGTCTAAAGCATTTGCGTCATGGACGCCAAGAGCACGAGTCGAGTACGTCCTTGTCGTGTAGACTAATCCTCCCGGGCTGACCTTCCCCAGATACAACGTGATTACAGATCAGAACTGGGAACGTCAACAGTTTGTCGCGCGACCACTTTCCCAGCGCTGGATAGGCAAACTTCAGCCCCTCCTGGCCATAAATCCTTCCAGGCTATTGCTCGCAGCCGGAAACACCATATATTCGTACAGCTTCTTGTCCTCTCCAGGATCGGACGTGTCACCTCCGGCTCGCCTGGAGTGCACCTACACCACGAGTGCTTTACACCCCAGTCGCGACATAACCGCCCTCGCGTCGATCCCGGACGATGGTCTTGATCGCACGATTGTTGTAGGGTACGCTGACGGCAGCCTCGAGCGGGTCACGCTACCACCTCGCGAAGACTCGGCTGCTCTTTCTGGGCACATCGATGCCTCACTGAGAGAGCGATGGAACTTTCATGACGGGTCGCTCATCGAGGGCTTATCAGTTTCATCTTCACATATTCTCTCTCTTTCGTCCGGCGGCATTGCTGCATTCACATCACCTACATCCGAAAACATGACGCCAGAGCTTGTCAACGTAGGCGTCCGGTGCTGGTCCTGTCATCTGGAGATGGAGGCTTCCAGCCCTTATTCTGTCTTTGGGTCGTCATCTTTTGATCCGTTGTCGGTACATCACATCTCCGAATCGCACCTCTCTCAACAACCATCCGCGTACCTGTCATCCACGAACAGGACGGAACATCCCACGGCGGTGTACGCCATTAGCTCTTCTCCGCCTGCCTGCGCGTGGGGCGCCTCTAAGCAAGTCATCGTCTCCGGTTGGTACGATGGCGTCGTGCGCATCTTCGACATGCGCACACCCACTCGCCCTTCGACGGACTCTGCGCCGTCGCTCCTGCCATGCATGACCCTCTGTGACCCATGGTCGCCCGAGCCAATCTATTCCCTGTCTTGCGGCGGGGGATCTGCATCGCACGTCGCTGCGGGCTCAGCACGGCACAGTGTGCTCGCGTTCTGGGACGTCCGTGCGCACACGCGCGGCTGGAGTGTGCACGCACCAGGCAACGACGCCAGTCCGGTATACTCAGTAGTTATGGATGGCCCGCGCGTGTTCGGCGCGAACGAGAGCCGTGCGTTCGTATTCGACTTCGGACTGGGCGTGAGCGAGACGACGTACCCGCCGATCGCGCTCGAGCCGGTGCCTGCCTGGCGCGGGGCTGGGAGATGGCGCAGGGCAGCGGCAGATGACGTGCTTAAGAGGATGCAGCCCGAGGGACCAGGGTTTTATGTGACGAAGTACCGACACAGCAAGTAGACGACCGCTATGTGTAGAAGTTGCGAAGAGCCACCTAGCTGGTAGCTGGCAGCTTGGCATTTGACTGCTTCGTGCTATATGACTTGTGATTAGCATCTACAATGATTGGCGCATATCCACTGTACTCTCATCCGCTGTGTTAGTAGACAATAGAGATGTATCTATAAGCTCCAAGTCGAGGATAGGAAAACAAGACTGGAAACTTTGGGAAATCTAAATAGCTGCCTGGCAGAGTACACATAACGTCCGATGTAAACACCTTGCTACGCTCCTATAGTACCTAGCTCTTTCGTTTTCCGCTTCTTCGATTTAGAAGCAGAGTCTTCGTCGCCCTTCCTGCGCCTCTCCAGACCTCGATTTGCCAGGGCTGCACTATCATCCTTCGCCTCGGGGTGAGCCTTGCTGATCTCCATCTCTGCCACTTTCTCCTCTGCCTCCGCCTCCTCTTCCAGAGCCACGCCCTCGCCCTTGCGCCTTTGCTCTTCCTTCAGCTGCCGTTTATCCTCTTTTCTTGCCCTCTTTTCCGCTTTCACCCTCTTCTTCTCGGCCCTCTCCAGTCTTCTCACTCTCAATGCCTCCCTCTCTTCCTTATCGTCATCCTCTTCGTCTGACCTCCTCCGCTTCTTGCCCTTCTTCTCGCTTTCTTCCTCGTCTCGCTTATTCTGCTTTGTCTCGTGTGATCTCCTCAGTCCTTCGCGGATATACTCTGCCTCCGCCTTTCCTTTACTACACCCTACCTCGACATCCCCCTTCTCGTCCTCAGCAGACATCTCTCTCCTCCGCTCCTTCTTCTCCTTGTCCTTCTTTCCCTTTTTTCTTTTCTCCTCCTGCACATTCGCATCGTCTACGGGAACGTCCACACGCTCCTCGCTCCTCACTACTTCCACTAGAGACTCGACCTTCTCCTCAACGATGTCTGTGCCAAGAACGGGCCCGCGGAAGAACATAGAGTATAGCATGCGCCGTGCAGCTTGCTGTTTCGCGGTGGCCATGACGCTTAACCGCGGCGAGGATGTGCCGCTGCTCGATATGACTGGTTCTTCGTTCGGCGTCGCAGTGCCTGACAACGCCGGTGTGCCAGTTACCGGACGACGGTTGGAGATAATACCGGTTTTCGTCTTTTGGAAAGCCACCGTTAGAGTAGACGGCTCAGTGTCTTCCTGCAGTAAGAAGGTGAGCGGCGCAAAAAAATGACGGAAACGGCTGATTCAAACGTACCGAGTCGCTGTCGTAACATTTGACTCTGATAGCACTCGCAGCAGCATCGAAAACACTATTCACTAGCGCGTTAGTCATACGCATGAGGGACAGAATGAGTCTACACACTGGTCCCAGAACGGGAAGGCCTCGTCTCGGTCCTTGCCTATCCCACTCATGTTTTTCTTCTGGGCGACAATGATGGGACGGCTGATGGCCCCATGGCGCAAGCCAGAGCCTTTACCTTGCCATCCCTGACGCGTGAGGTATTCGTGACCGTTGAGGGGCATAAAGAGGAGGCTCAAAGGAGGAAGTCGAGATTGAGCGCGGCACACGATTTCTGCGCTCGGGAGCTGGGCGCTTTTATTGCTGGTATTCTCACGGGTCACAAATGGAAGGGCGCATCAGCTTTGTGGCGCACATTTAAATGAAGCGCTTTTGACAGGAACGTAAATAAATAAGTAAATGGACCTTAGGTCATACACCACAAGGTAATCTATGCAGCCTGTGCGTAAGGCGCAACACCGAACATACTACATGATATCGAGAGCACTTGTCGGCGAAGCTATACCGAGTTAATGCTCAGGCAACGCGACGACAGATGACCGGCTGCCAGCTTCCCCTGGAGACATGTTGGATCTCCATGAGTATGAGATCCTGAAGTCTAACGTTCGAAACTTCCCAGCCATTAGAGGTGCACGGTACACGTGCCATTTCCTTTGTTCACCATCAGCTTCCAGCACTGTGGTCTGCTCGCCACATCGACATACCGTGAGACAGAGCTGAATCTGTGCCGCCACAGACTTTGCGAGCTTTCCTTTCTCGCGATGTCCTGAGGCCAGATTGACGTTGAAGTGGTTGGACCAAAAGCTATAGCCGGGCCACTGGTCCCGATCTCAGATAAGATGTCAGAGCTGGAAGACAATCTGTGTGACGCACATTAATGCGAAGACAGATCTTCTGGCTGCGCGTAGTCGTTTGCACAACGAGGTTTGCATCGGGCATGCCGCCGAAATCCTCATTGAGAGCCCTATCGAGGCGGATGCCGGGACTCCCGTTGCATTCGAAGCGGATGGCATCCTGTGGGCTGAACACGGCAGCAGTAGCTGGATCCGTATACTCAGCCTGGGGTACAAGCATGGTGCCATGAGGTACGTTTTTGGGCATCCTAGGGTTGTTGAAGACGTGGTACTGCTGCAGAATAACGTGAGTTCATGCATGTAGTGCATGTCAGTATGCGATATGCCTACCATGTCGCTTCTATCTGGAGACTGTCGGTGAAGTTTGATGAGGAGAGCATGCCATGCCTCTCCTTTTCAATGCGCCGAGTTGCTTGCAGCTGTGCTAAACATTGCGAGGTCTGGCTGAGCTAGCGCGATCACTAGACGTTTTCCGGGCGGAGGACATGTCAACACTGCCAGACCAAGACAGTGCCTACAAGAACAAGAGGAAAGTCGTAGAACGGAACATCTCTCCATGTATGCGAAGACGAAAAGCAGCGGATCCGTCTGCGAGATTTCAGCTAGTGTTACACAGATAGCCGCATTGAATGCTATCGGCTCCAGGAAGACAGGGTTTCCAACGCATCAACCCGTAGTCGCTGAGTTTCATGGACTGACTGCCCTGTGCAAAGGTAGCCTACGCAGTGATCCAAACCCCTTGAGCCATGGTACTCCTGTACAAGACATTCACTGCATTGTCCACGGCGTGCAAACGAAAGCGTCGTGTTCTCACAGATCTAGAGGTGATAGATTGACGCCTGGTGATAAACGGGAGAGGATAACAACACTGACCCTCCGCTTCGATGCCTAGACAAGGCAACAAGCCGTGCCTGGCTGTTCGGTCTGTTCAAGGTGGTGATACCATCAACCTGACTGGGATACTTGAGCGCGGGCCGCAGACCTCGGAACTGTCACAAGAGTGATCACAGCACCATTTCTGAAATTCCAGTTGCCAGTCATGGAACAGCAAGAACAAGGATTTCAGAGGAGGTCATATCTTGCTATTGAGTGGTAGCTTGAGACTGCCGAGCATGAATTTCAGCTGACTACGCTTACATCGATCGTCAACCGCGAGTACATTCGCAAAAGAAAATTGCCAAGAGAGGTGAATATTGAATCCTGGCGCATCGCGCCGGCAGCAGCCGGCAACTTCCGGAAACTGCCGAACGCGGCCTCATCGGTGCGAAGTTGCTTCTGGCGGAGCGCTCTATGTAAAACCCCGCCTTCTATGACGGGGGTCGCCCTGCGCGTTGAAAGTGCCTCAGACCCTGAGACGGTTTGGCCACAGCACTCTTCTCGGCGCTGTTCCGCGTGTGTCGGTTACGGACGAGCAACGCCCCTCTGTCGATGCATCGATCCACAATATGCTCATCTATATTCGGCTCGCTGGGCACATTTGGGGCTTGTACAAGGGCGAGTCCAACCCTTTCCGCTGTCTAACCGACCCGCGCCGGGGTCGCGTCGCCGGCACACCTTGAACATCTTTAGTTTTTAAACTGCATATTTCCCAGTTCTTCTGTTTTCTGTTTTCTCTTCTGTCGACTATCAGAGGTGGACGAGGCTCCATATGGAGTCCTGAGCTTATGTAAGCGCAGTCAGCTGAATGCCATCACACTCATGCTTGAGCACATTCGGTTATCTGCAAGCGCATGCGCCCAGCAACTGTATTCTGGCTTCTTCAACGAGACCCAGCTAAAGCGACAAATTATCATCTGCCATGGCATCGAAACGAAAGAACAACGAGATTCCTGCCCTAACCGGCAGGGAGAAGAAGAAACAGAAGACTGCTCTGGCGCGAACCATCGCCGTCCAGTCAAACATAGGCGGCAGCGATGGGACAAATACGCTATCCAAAAGCCCAGCAGCTGGGCCCTCTCGAACGGTGCAATTTGACGGTATAGACATCTTGCATGGTGCATCTGCCACGCTCATTCCAGCCCGTAGCTTCGGTCAACCTCCCTGGCTCGCTAAATGTGGAGAGATTCGCTGAGGTACGTGGCATTGGAAGTTACGACTTCTGATCCACCAACACAGACCCTAGGCTCGAGCTTTCGAAATCGATGCGATGCACACAGCTATGCAGACAGCCAGGCATGTTCCGCTGATGACTTGAGGCACAACCAACGCTGACTCGAATAGGACGAGCGGGACCCAGCGCGCCTGGCAACAACTCCCTCGTCACCTCCGCCGTCGAGCCGCCAGCCACGATGTTCGCCGTGTTCCTCTACGACTACGAGATAAAGCAAAGGCTGAGGTATGCACTGCAGTCGTGTCGATTCCCGATCACCTACAGCTTTTTCAGATGGACCCGCCGAAGGCAAAAAAGAAGTCCTTCCCGAAACAAGGCAAAGCAAAACGCACGTCACGTACCGAGGTGTTGTTGAAGCGTCAAGGCAAGCCTGCTTCATTTCGTGTATTCACCCGGCGGCTGAAGAATGATATGGAACCCCAGAGGCCAAAGTGTGGCTCGAGACACACGTCTGGCACGCGAAACGGATGCACATGGAGGAGATGTGGGGCTACAGACTGGTCAGTTCCAAGTGCGACATCGCATATACGCATCTTTGATGGTTCGGACAGGCTGTATCTCCTACCGAGAAGTCATACCGACCCTCTCACCGCGCCTCTATGCACGGCTCTATCCTTCACGACGTGTCATACATGGGGCTGATAGAGCTCAAAGGCCCCGAAAAAGTCCTCAAAGCCCTCCTCGATAGCTGCTGTGACCCTCAGACAGCCAGTCCTGGTGCAAAGAGGTGGATCGCTGTTTGACTATGTGTCCGCTTCGTACAGCTCACTAGCGGATAGGTTCACCACTGGTGCCAGAACGTGTGACACGCATCTGTATAAGCGCGGAGCGTATCCTTTCAGCCTTGTAGCTCCGATAACGGCACTGTGGAGACCCCATTCTCAGCAGTCTCTGGATACGGTATCGGCGCAATCAAAACGGCAAGGGTTGAAAGGGAAGGGGAAGGAGTGCGACCAAGTTGCGCAGGACACCGAGCGCGTAGTATGGATTTGGGCACACCCTTCCGTCTTTGAAGTGGTATACTTGGAGCTACGAACAGCAGCGTCCTTCGCCTTGGAGGCCGTAAAGAGGGGCACCATTCTGATTGATGAAGAAGCAACGGTGGAGATGGCCGATCTGCGCTCGCAGGTGAACGTCTTCGAGATTATGGGCCCGAAGTCCAGCCAGGTCATCAAGGGTGCGTTGAAACCCGTAAATGGAGATAGCCGCGAGGAGTTCAAGAAGGTACACTGGCCGCTAGTTTCAACCCTGGCTTCCGCTGACTTCTTGCAGTGCTGGAACGAACTCGCGAACCTCCAGAGTACCGGGTCTGTGCCGCGCAATACCGTCATAGGATTCAAGGTCTATGATCCTCGGCTGAGGTCGGTAGTGATCCCGTCTATCGGTTTGCACGGCTGTTAACCCCTAGTTTACAGCTTTCCTCCGAAGAATGCGAAGGTGAACATCGCCAAAGAAGCGCTCCCAAGTATGTCGCCAGCAGCTACCGCCTTCTTTCCAACTCCCACCCTCGCCCAAAGCGAGATCTGGGCGGAGGACATCCGTCGTCCACTTCGCAAGCCGAAGTTCAAGAAAAAGGACATAGACAAGCGACGCTCTAAGGTCGGTGCCTTCCAGGTCTGATGGCTACTTTGGCACTAATGTCCTAATGTAGAACCTGGTCCCGGGCAAACATCTTCAAGCTCTGGCGGAAGACGCCCGCATTCCGGTTCTGCTTATTCAGCGTTCAGTCGAGGCAAGCTCCTCTGTAGCCTCTAGCTCTAACACCCACACGCCCGCGGTACACGGATGGACGCTTGTCATACCGCAGGGCTGGGCCATGCCCTTCTTCTCGTCTCTCATTTTCACCGGCACGCGTGTTGGTGGGCAGCACGAACGTCAGACACAGGCCTTCGAATCAGGGACGGCACATTTCCCGCACGACTACCCATGCACGGAATCGTACGAGGAATACAGCGACGCGCGCGCGTTCGAGGAGCAGGACGCCTGGGGGCGCAAGCCTCCCGCCAAGAGGCCGAACTATAAACGCCTTGGCACGCGGAGCCCGTGGAAACCTGACTGGGGCGTCGTTCTGGGTGTGCAGGATACGGATGAAGATGCGTCTACGCTTCCGGGCGAATTCGTACCCTCCCAACGCGAGGCTGTGGATGTGGATGATGCTTCGGAGCCCCCGGCGTCGCACGAGGAACCTGCGCCACCGACGGGCCAGGTGGCGCGGACCGTAGGAAACGGGACGGACCTCGGCGTGGCACCATGGCTTCTGCGGGGATCCGAGATCTGCACAGTCCTTGATGCTGCGGCGAGCGGGCTTGATCCGTCGTTAGGCCTCTTCGGACAGATCGCGCGACTCCGCGAGAAGCGTGGGCTCGAGTCACTCGCGGCACGGCCCGAGGACGTGTGGAAGCACGCCCTCGTGCGCGTGCGCCTCCGGATGTGCGGACGGGGCTGCCCCGATGACCTGGCTGTGCTCTACGACATGGATGATGCGGAAGCTGCGAAATGGATCAAAGCTGAACAGGCGCATAGAAAGAGGGTGGGTGCTGAGGCAGACCCATTCGAAGAGGAAGAAGAGAGCGAGGTCAGTGTTGCTTGTGTTTGCTTCTAAGATCACCCCAGTGATTCTTGTCACAGCTGTCAATCGTCATCCCGCCGGCCGAGTCTATCATTGGTTATGTCACAACAGGCAACTATTCGCTCTCACTGGGCGAAGGTTCTGCCATCGGCGCCATCCCCGTCGCTCGGTTCTTCGAGCTGCGAGATCAAGCTAAGCGGTTCGTTCGTCCATATCTTACTGTCCCTCCACTCACTCAATTGGCCGCAGGACTGGCGCCGGAACACATCCTTTGATCAAAGTGCGCGACCGCCACTCAGCGATATGTCGTGCCGCCTGGATAGAGATCTTAGAGTAGAGAACTCAGTTCAAGTGCTACAAGCTGTCTGCTACTGGCGCATCAAGATAGCTGGCGGGAGATGATCTCGTATATGTGGCAAGGCCTCTTTGTACTTACCATCTGGTTCATCCCTGTTCTCGGTGGACTAGACGAGCTCATTAGAAAGCCATTCTTGGAATTGAGTTATGGACCAACCATGCTATTTCCATTCATAATATCCAGCGTAACAACGCGCATGTAGTCTGAGAGAACTTGATTCACTTATTGAATTAGCCCGCGTTACTTATCGTGACTTCTGCTGCAAACGTTCGATAAGCAAATAGACTAACCCTATTGCTTACCTTATTCGAACTGTTACTTACCACAGCCTCCTTGCCATCACGATCCGCCACGCACATCTTATAGCAACTCTCGTAGCCTGATCCAAGCCGTCCGAATAGTGCTCTAGTGCAGCCTTGGAAATAATGAAGAAGTACACGGCAGAGGAGAAGGCCCAGTTACTTGCCAACCTCGACCTCGAAGGTACGCACGCCGTGCTTCACGCGCAACCTGGTTCATACAATCGTCGTAGTCTCGCATCGCGCCCGCCAGTTTGAAGAATGGCTCGCGGACGCACTAGAGAACTTTCGCATGCACCAAGAGGGGCTCATCGGGCGCGTCCCCCGTCTTGTGCGCGACATTACCCTGCGCGAGTTCGCAAAGTACGGTGGTGACATCCAGTCGGCGCTCAAGGCGCTGCAGAGGGAGAGGCTCGGGGGCGAAGCGGAGGCTATCGACAAAACGACGCGAAAACGGAAGTGGGTTGAGTCGCAGGAGGCAGAGGCGAAGGTTGCAGACGCGTTGGAGGCGGAATCCCTGAAAGCTGCCAAGTCTGGTGCGTCGGGACGAGTTATCTCAACTAGACTACCGCTGAGAGCTGTCGCTTTCAGCTCGAATGATAGCGGCGACACCGAAGAAGAAGCTGGGCTTCCCGAACGCGCCTGGAACGTCTCAGCGTCCGCGAGTACCTTCTGTGAAAACACCGGGTGCTGTAAGCATGGACGCGTTTCTTGCAGCGAATGTACACAGCTGACGATGGCACAGTCAAGGACTACGCAACGTATTCCTCCCACCGCACCATCACCAAGTCCCCACAAGCAACAAACCAAGCCTACACCCTTTACTTTCGGCCGCGCCCCCTCCAGGCCTGCCTCGCCGACCAAGATCCCGTTCGCCTCGCCTTCAAAACGACCAACAGCGGCGCGGCCACCATCCACGGCCCATTTCAACCCCACGATCCCCGCAGCGTCGTCGTCGTCGTTCCCGCGGTGGCCGAGGAAAGACGAGATGATGGTCAGCGTCAACGGCTCGCCGCTCGCGAACCCGCTCAAGTTTGACTTTGACCTGAGCGGCTGGTTGAGCAAGGTCGTCGAGTCGGGTAGGGACGAAGACATGGCAAAGGGGCAGCAGCGCTCGAACAGCATCATCGTCCGATCAGCAGGCCAGGACCGCCCCGCGTCGCAAGCGAGCACCACGTCGAATGCGCGTCTGAACCATGGCTTCGTCCCTGCGCGCGGAACCTCCGTAGTGCAGCCTCAATCGTCTCCGCCTCCTTCCCCAAAGACGTCCTCTGGGCAGCTACCTCTCGCTGCGCTCGTCGCGGTGCCGACCGCGGACGGCCATCTACTACAGTTCGATCCGTTTCAGACATCGCCGGACGAAATTGATGCGCTACCAGACATCTCAGACGATGCGAAGCAGCAGGCGAAGGACGACATGCGGAGGCTTGTCGGGCAGGCTATGGAGCGATGGAAGGTCGCATAAAGCGGCTCTACGCTTTCTCGCGTCTGCAGGCTGGTCCGGCAGGACACCATCCCCAACTTCCGCGATGGTGACCGCTATCGATATTGCTCTCCTGGCCTCGACTCCCTGGCCTCGTTCGTATGCGCATGTCCGTCTGCAATATCTTGGGCGATACTCGACGAAGACAGTCGTGGAGTTCATTCTTCTGGCTTTAAGCTACAATTGTGTAGTGCCCGTCTGCGTTGATGCTCGGCCGCTTTTTGCGGACTATCTATTTTGCAGCACGCCCCGCTTCCCTAGGTCCTTCTCGATGTGGCGTTGGATGTGAGACTGTTGGTAGACGGAGTGTATCAGATTTCCACGCGAGTCTCTGCGGACGCAAGAGTGCAGCCTCGAACGGCGGCAAGGTCCGAGCGCCACAAGGTCGACAGCTCATGGGACGGTCGCAGCAGCATGTGTTCAATGATTAAATCGCACTCGGCAGCCATCATATTCTCTCGTATGTGTTCAGTAACATCTCTACAAGAAATGTTTCAGGTACGAACGCTCCGTCTACTTATAGAGGGGCATGCGAATAGATGCTCATTGTCGCATGGCACCGAACTCTTCTTCCCACTCCTGCCTATCTTTCATCCCGTTCTCCCGCTTTGACTTCCTCCGTGCCTCTACGTATACTGCTGCCTGTGCTATCAGGAGGATAGTTTCCAATGACATGCACAGTCGGCATTGGAACTCGTGAGCGTTGCCTGCGCCGGGTATGCTCATGAGATTCTTTGGGGGGCTGATGGTGCTCTCTCCCACCGCATGGAAATCGACGCACATGGTCGTGTCAGTGCTAGCATGGGCTCTTCCGCACAAAGATCGCTCTCTCTCCATCGTTTGGACAGCCGTTGTCGTCATCAAGCCCATACCAGGTGGATCCTTGTGTCCACTAGTCTTCGAGAACAAGTCTTTTTGACGTGTAGAGCGGTATAAAATGGAGAGACCCGTCTTCGAACTAGTGCAACGACTTCCCCAAACCCGAGGTCTCTGCCATGCCCGCTGCCAGTCGTTGGTCCTTCTGGCTCTGCCAGTTCGTCCTCGTACCCTTCGTTCACTCTGTCACCATCGCAGATATTCAGGGACCCGCGTTCCGCTCGCCCCTTGAAGGCCAGTCTGTGAAGAGCGTGACAGGCGTCGTAACAGCAAAGGTACATCGCAGTCCTTCCATAACTGGACTAGCAATCGAAGTCTTGGTCATGTCGCAGAGCTCTTCCGGTTTCTACATCCAAAGCGATCCCGTTCAAGATGCAGCCGTCTCCACTGGCCTCTTCGTATTCTCAGAGTCCAGTCAAGTTCTCGACGCAGTCGTTGTCGGCGACGAGATCTCGCTGTCGGGCACGGTCTCAGACTTCCGCTCGAGCTCAGATCCGACCTTCCTCGAATCCACCGAACTCGAGTCGCCGACCGCCATCACCGTGCTTTCAACCAAAAATGTCGTGACGCCGCTTGTGCTCGGTACTGACCGCAGCCCGCCGACGCAGGATCTCTCCGCCCTGGATGTGGGCCCCGACGGCTTCTTGAGCGTACCGAACAACCAGAGCCTCGTCGACGTCGTCAATGCCACGGTGCAGCCGACCAGCTTCGGCATTGACTTTTGGTCAAGCCTAGAAGGACAGCTTGTAACTGTACCCAAGCCCATCTCTATCGGATTCGAGAACAGTTTCGGCGAGTTTTGGGTACGCGGTGACTGGGACGCCACCAACGTTAACTCCCGTGGTGGGCTCACGCTGGCCTTTGGTGAGTATCCTGGTCCGTACGCACCTGTGAACGGATCTAATGGATTATAGGTCCCAACGGGACTCCAGATGGCGGCCCCGAGTCCGTCATCATTGGCTCGCCCCTCGACGGCAGTGTTAATCCCAATATGAGCGTCGGCAAGACTCTGAGCGACATCAGCGGTGTTATCCAGTACCAGTACGTACTATTCTTTCGCTATATGCGAGCTTTTCTGAATGTATGCGCAGATTTGGCTTTTATTACATCCTTCCTCTCACGGCTCCCACCGTCCTGTCGATCCCAGATCCCACGGTCCCTGTCACGAATCTGACGTCCATTGCAGATGGTTGCACGATTACGATAGGCGACTACAACGTACGCGTTGCTCATACATACGCACGTCCACCTCATTCACTCCGCTTCGCAGGTCGACAACATGGGACCAGATTCACCGCACCTGCCTGCGGCGGCGAACGATATCGCGACACATCTCCAAACGCCAGATATCATGTTCATGCAGGAGATCCAGGATAACTCGGGCGAGACGGACGACGGTACAGTCGACGCGAATGTGACGCTTAGCACTCTCAGTGCCGCCATCGCTTCTCAGAGCAACGTCAAGTACAACTTCACGGAAGTGATTCCCGTCAATGACCAAGACGGAGGAGAGCCTGGGGGCAACATCCGTCCAGCCTATCTGTTCAATCCAAAGACGGTCAGCCTGGTGCCGGGCCTGCCTGTTGGAGGGCCTCTGGATGCTGTGGAACCTGTGATTGGGTCAGATGGGCAGCTAACGTTAAAGTGCGTCCCTCCGCTACTCATCCTGTCTGGCTCGCAGTGCTGACAGCGGCGTCGCAGCTTCAACCCTGGGCGCATCGATCCGACAAACGCAGCGTGGGACTCGAGCCGCAAGCCGATCGTGGCAGTATGGGAAACGACGTCCGGCAGGCGTTTCTTCACGATTAACTTGCACAATGCCGCCAAGGTAGATGGGGGCTCGTCTATCCAGGGTGACCCACGTCCGCCGCTGAATGGTGCCGTTGCTCAACGCACCGCGCAGGTACAAGTCATCGCCGTGCGTAGTTTTTCTTTTCTTTTCGTCTTCTTTTTCGCCCGTTATTGCACTCTCTCACTCACACAGCCTGCAGAGCCTCGTCAGCGAGCTGCTCTCCATGAACTCGAGCGCGAGCGTCGTCGTCGGAGGCGACTTTAACGAGTTCGTCCAGACACGCACCGTCTTCGCCCCGTTCAACAACATACTCTCCGAGGTCGACGAACTGGCGGACCTCGACCCCGTCGAGCGCTACACGTATGTGTTCGATAACCTGCAGGAGCAGCTCGATCACGTGTTCGTGTCGTCGGCCGTCGCGTCGCGCAAGGTCGAGGTCGAGCACGTCCACGTGAACAGCTGGGCACCAGATGTAAACACGAGGACGAGCGATCACGACCCGAGCGTGGCACGCTTGAGAGTGTGCTAGTAGTAACATTTTACTGTTGAGGAGTGATGTATCCTGAAGTACAACGATATTAATCCAGATGTGGATTACCATCGTGTTCGGAACCAGAACTTGTCCTGGGCAAAGTGCTCCTTTAGAATTTTCGCGAACACTACTGACAACGTATCATTTCTGAATGTGCATGCGCTGGGATTATCCCCCTAGAATTGAGGCTAGGACGCGATCACGGGACTTATGGCAAAGCCCGAGCGCCACGACGCTGTTATAGCCGCCATTATGAGCGCTTTTTGTTGTGGCCATTTTCTCCGCTCTTTCCCTTGCCCTTCCTCGTCTCAATGTCTCGTCCCCCATGGCCTTTACTTCTGTTGCCTACGGAGATAATATTCAGACTACCATTTCAAACGGCATGTGAAGCTGACCTTGCCTGCCTGTGAAGGTCTGCCCGCGTCGAGCATACCCGCTGGATTCTCTGGCAGATCGGTGTTTTCTCTTCCATCGCATGCAAAGCGATGCACATGGCTGAGTCGGTGCCATCACACCTTCCTCCGTACAGAGACATTTTTTGTTCATGGCCAGCAACCGCCGGCCTGAAGGAGACAAGGAAGCATGCTCTTGATCCGCGCCTGCCGTACCTGGTGGACCCTAGCATTCATGAAGAAGACTTTTCGATCTGCCTAGAGCAGTATAAAGCTAAACAGCTCAAACAGCTCAACTTACAGATGGGGCAGTGATTTTTTCGTCGACCCTAGGCCACCATCATGCCCGCTGCAACCCGCTGGCTTGATTGGCTCTGCCAGTGCACTCTCCTACCGCTCGCCTACTCCGCCACCATCGCAGACATCCAAGGACCCGCTTTTCGATCGCCTCTCGAAGGACAGACAGTGCAGAATGTAACAGGAATAGTTACGGCAAAGGTGCGTCGTGCGAGTCTCGCAGATGTCCGGCTGAGGTCATACCTGCGCTGTAGAGCTCTTCCGGTTTCTATGTTCAAAGCAAGCCTGTGCAAGATGTCCGCGTTTCCACCGGCCTGTTCGTATTCTCGGAGTCCAGCAAGGTTCTCAACGCCGTCCAGGTTGGCGACGAGATCTCTTTGTCGGGCACGGTCTCGGATTTCCGCTCCAGCTCAGACCCGACCTTCCTCGAGTCCACCGAGTTTGAGTCGCCCACCAATATCACCATCCTTTCATCCAACAATACTGTCACACCTCTTGTGCTTGGTGTTGACCGCAGCCCTCCGACGCAAGATCTCTCTGCTCTGGACGTAGGCCTCGATGGCTTCCTGACCGTCCCGAATAACCAGAGCCTCGTCGATGTCGTCAACGCTACGATGCAGCCGGCCAAGTTTTCCGTTGACTTTTGGTCAAGCCTAGAAGGCCAACTTGTGACTGTACCGAAGCCCATCTCTATCGGGTTTGAGAACAGTTTCGGTGAATTCTGGGTGCGCGGTGCCTGGGAGGCTACAAGTGTCAACTCCCGTGGTGGGCTCACTCTGTCATTCGGTACGCCATGCAGCTCTATATATGCGCATGTGTAAGGGTGTCTGAATTTTCTATAGGACCTAATGGCATACCTGACGGCGGTCCCGAATCTGTCATCATTGGCCAGCCTCTTGACGGCACTATCAATCCCAATATGAGCGTCGGCAAGACTATCAACGACGTCACCGGTGTGGTCCAGTACCAGTGTGTAGCGTATACTTTTTTAACTCGAGCTTCCTTGATTGTATATGCACAGATTTGGATTCTATTATATTCTCCCTTTCACGGCCCCGACCGTCTTGTCTGTCCCAGACCCTACAGTCCCGGCGACAACCCTACAGTTCATCGCTGACGGCTGCACAGTCACTTTGGGTGACTACAACGTACGTGTTCCTTTTGCACGCGATGTATACGAATGCTTACCACGTTACCCTACTCTTCAGGTCGACAATATAGGTCCAGACTCGGCGCATCTGCCTGCGGCAGCGAGTGACATCGCGACGCACCTGCGAACACCTGACATCATGCTCATGCAAGAGATTCAAGACAACTCGGGCGAGACTGACGACGGCACGGTCGACGCGAATGTGACACTGAACAATCTCAGCGCCGCCATCGCCTCGCAGAGCAACGTGAAGTACAATTTCACGGAGGTGATTCCCATCAACGGCCAAGACGGAGGAGAGCACGGGGGCAACATCCGCCCGGCATATCTGTTCAATCCGAAGAGAGTCAGTCTGGTGTCGGGTTCGCCTGTGGGGGGCCTCTGGATGCTGTCAAGCCGGTGTTCAGTCGAGACGGGAAGCTAACATTGAAGTGCACCCCTCAGAGACTGGCCCACGGATCGTACCGAGCTGACGACGACTTGTAGCTTCAACCCTGGTCGCATTGACCCGACAAACGCAGCGTGAGACTCGAGCCGCAAACCTATCGTAGCGGCATGGGAGACGACGTCCGGGGCGCGTTTCTTCACGATCAATCTGCATAACGCCGCCAAGGTGTCCGGCGGGTCGTCTGACCAGGGCGATCCGCGTCCGCCGCTGAACGGCGCCGTCGAGCAGCGCATCGCGCAGGTGAAGGTCATCGCCGTGCGTTCTCCTTTGTCTTGTCGTCGCGCTGTTCTGACATCGGCTACAGAACTTTGTTCAAGAGCTGCTCTCCATGGAGCCGAGCGCCAGCGTCATCGTCGGGGGCGACTTCAACGAGTTTGTCCAAACACGCACTGCTTATGCTCCCTTCGACAACTTACTCTTCGAAGTCGACGAAGTGGCCGACATTCCTCCTGTGGAACGCTACACGTATGTGTTCGACAATTTGCAGGAGCAGCTCGACCATGTGTTCGTCTCGTCCGCTGTTGCATTGCGCAAGGTCGAGGTCGAGCACGTCCACGTGAACAGTTGGGCGCCGGACGTCAACACGAGGACGAGCGACCATGACCCGAGTGTGACCAGAGTGAGGGTATGCTAGTCGCCAGCCTCCTGTAGCTCAAAAACAATGTGGTTCAAGGTGTAACAATACAATGTACATGTATATTTAACTAGCAGCTTAGTGTTTATCGTCATCGCTATCGGCGGCAGTCGATCGCTGCAGCTCCTGCTGCCACACGTCCGCAAATTCCCCTACATTCCGGCCACTGCTGAGCATAAGCGCCTCGATGGGGACCATGTTGTGCTGGTGTGCCGGTGCGTTGCGCGTCGCGCTCGGGTGGCTCAGAGAGTCGACGACGCGAAGTTCGGGCACAAAGTTCGGGGAGGCAATCGCCTGATTGAGCAGCTCGAGAAGCTCCTCGTACGTGAAAAGCTGAGGGTCTGTCTTGGGCGAATACAGATTGAAGTCGATGATGTGTCCCTGGGAGAGATCGCGCGTAAGCAGGAAGTCGAAAGTGTCTGTAAGAGGTTAGGCGTGGCTTCGGCACAGGAATAGGCTGACAGACGTACAGTTGCCGTCGGTGCTCTCCCATTTGCCTCTTACATACTCTTCCCAAAACTTCAGCACTGCTTCCACGATCTTGCTCTGCGTCTGCGGTTCGTTCCAGAAGGCGTAGTAGTTTGGGTCACGTTGCGAGATACCTACGGCCTCCGAATTAGCCCATGTCAGAGGAGTAAAACGCGCTATCACGCACCTATGAGCCTTTCTCTCCTCACAAAACACCGCAGCTCCCTGCTCCTGTCCACGGGGTACCACTTTCGGAGGACGAGCTCAAGCTGGTACTCTGGTAGCTCCTCGTCCTCGATGTCACACCCTTCGAAAAGCTGCGCGCGGTCGAAGTCATGCAGAACGAAGTCTGACGACTTGAGCAGCATGTATACGTCCGACGGCGAGGTGCACTTCATGGGCGAGCCTGCAGGTAGCATCCACGCCGCGTCCTACAACGCTGCGTCAACCGTGCATGAGAACGCGAGTCTGTGGGCGCAGTTGAAACGCACCCGCGGCGACGAGAAGTTCAGCTTTGGGAAGACGGCACCGTAGTCCTTGACTGCTTCCCGTATCTTGGCGTCGAGCTCGGGGAAGGCGAAAGTGCGCCGGGGCTCATCGTCGCCTTCATCGCCTTCATCATCGGAAAGCGTGCTTTCTGCTGGTCTACCATATGAATCAAGCTCCAGACCTTGTCTATAATCAAGGAAACTCACTAACATGTCCTCAGCGCCCTCGGGCATGAATACGCCATCCGCGTTCAGGTACTCGAGAAACTCTTCGTTCAAAGGACGAATGATGGTGGACTTGATGCTCTGCGCGGCGAAGCGAGGATACCAGGACGAAAACTGGAAAGCAAGGAGGTGGTCTGACGTTACTGACGGGAAAATGGTGGGCGGTGAGATTACAGACGGCATGGTGATGGGGGGTGAAAGCAGAAAGATCCAACGCCACAAAGGTATCGAATGAGGGAAAACTGTCGCGCGCTCCTGGTCACTCCCATCTCCCACTACAGCCTGGATGCGTACTCTGCTATCAGAAATATGACTTTCCAGAATTTGGAACTTCGGCGGTCCAGACTCCACATATATGTCTCAATGCAGCCGGGCTTTCTTAACCGAAACAACATTTTCCTGAGCCACTAATCTAGGCATCCCGAGGTGCTGCGCAAGGCAGAGAGGTCATTAGGTTTTATGGCGGTGCACCATTTACATATGTGCTCGTACTCCTAGGCTTGTCTTTTCACCGAGTCGGCTCTTCAAACCCTTACGCCCTCCTCGTACAGTCTCTGGTCTCCCTAAACCTACAGCTTACTTGCCGCCAAGATTCGTGCTATGGCAATAAATGTGGCCGTCGATGCAAGGTCTCGTCCCCGGTACATGCAAGAGTATCTGCGGTGGGCATTTCTGGACAATGCATTCGCTCAACCAGGTCTGGTACTGCCGGATAGGTGGAGCAGCGTTGCGCTGTTGACAGGAGAGAAGAGCGAAACCGTGGGCGGCTCAGCAGAGGGCTCCCTTGTACAGCCTGATTGCCTGGAGACGTCAAACGTGTGGTACCACAGCCCACAAGTCGTAGTGTACTCCTGCATCGACCGTCCACGTCTCGACTGTAGAACGTTCTACTTCGAAGTCAAGATTAAGTCCATTCGGGCTGAAGACAATCAGAAGTGAGCCGATTTGCTTACTCGACATTTATGCGTACTGAATTCGTTCACATGTCAGCGTACAGATATTGATAGGGTCCGCCATTTTCTGTGTCATGCGGAGTTATGCTAACGCGACAGCTGTACAGCCTGGCAATCTACTTGGATCATTTTCAAAGAGAGAATCTTCTGTACAGCAATCGCGGAAATATTTGTCTATTTAATGGCAAATGGAACATGGAAACACAAATTGCGACGAACCTTGGTTCATACGGACGTGAGTCAACCCATCATAGGAATCCTTCACTCGCTGAATATTAGCCTAATTAGCCGGTGACACCATTGGCTGTGGGCTTTGTGGCAATATGTGTTTTTTCACGAGAAACGGACTTTGCCTAGGTACAGTACAGATCCGCTTTGACCCGTACACACTATACTCACCTTAGCTGTCACCTCTATCGGAAGGTCTCCGACCGCTCAATTTAAGCGTCGCCCATGCATTTAAGCCCGTGCTCGTCCTCTGCAACGGATCACGCGGCTATTGTAGCGTGCACACTGGCGCTAACTTTGGGACGAGTGTCTTCGTATTCGACGCTTCTGGACTATTTTCGCATTTCCACCAGCGTGGGCTCATGAAGTTGAAGGATGTCGCTCAACGCCTTCCACAGGAGCTCTTCATGCAGATCGCCGAACGTCTACTCGAGGCAGTGGGCTCCGAACGATATACCTCCGTGCTGAGTGGCATGGCGCTGGTGTGCCGTGCATGGGACCAATTATGTCGCCCCCGTCGGCTGCAGCTCGTGCGGATTCTCTGGATGGCCGACTTCAAACGTTCATGCGATATCTTCGCTCAGAGCTCGGCGCGTACCAGTTTGGTGAAGACGCTGCAAGTCGGCCCCATCGATACACCACTGTCAGGCACGGATAAAGCACCCTCTTTGGAATTGTTACTCTCATCGGCGCTGGTCTACTCAATGCGGAATATACAGACGATTTCATGGAACGCGCTTGATCTCGGGTCTGCCAGTCCAATGGCCGGTGTTACACTCCAGTGTCCCGTTCCGCCTCGCATTCACGCTGCACTCCCCGCGTTACTCCGCCCATTAGCGCAGCTTACTACCTTGCGCATCTCGAACAAGACCTTTAAATCCCTTGGCTTATTACTCCGTGCGCTACATGCGCCACGCGCTCTGCACACACTAATCCTGGAGAACGTACGCGTGCCCCCATTAGTGGGCCAGCTACGCTGGCCGATCTCCGGATGGTCTACACTGCGTAGAATCGAACTACGGAGATCTTTCGTACCAATAGAAGCGGTTGGCATGATAGTACAGCTGGTTTTTAGTCCCCAAGAACTACTGGCCCATCTAAACACCACATTGCAATCTGCGAACGACCAGCCAACCATGCCAGAACAAATTATAACGGTCGTGGCCAAAATTTTCCGAGTGCTGGTCGCCTCTTATTTCACCAACCAGAATGGCGTATCGCTCGATATCACCACAATGCCCGCATGCGAGCAGGGTATGCCCGGCGGTAGGTTATCCAAGCATTGTATCGCTATCTTGGCTAACGTATACGTCAACTCTCTAGTTTGCACTGACTTCACGCTTTTGGATGTACATCAATCGGAGCAGAAAGTATTACTGAAGTGCTCACTGTACATCTCGTCCGCTCATGTCCCCGTCCGCTCTAACCGTACGCTTATCCGCGTGACGTCGACCTTCTATCGCGGCTTCGCGCCCACTCCATTGGTGGAGGATCATTCGTTCAGAACGCTTCTCATGGACCTCGACAGCACAATTTTCGGATTCGCTGAAACGTATACACGGGAGCTGCGGATAGCGACTGACCTGCAGTGCATATTACGCTTTCACGGCTTGTACCACGTAAGGGTGGACGAGCTTAGAACAGCTATTCCACAGTTAATGCCGCAGATTGGAAGTCGCGGAAGAATCCAGGTGGGAAGTGCTGCACCATCCACTTCAGGCTCTACAGTTGCAAAATCGGCTGCAAAGTCGCCGGTGCTACCTTCTTCCCTCGTGCAAAGGATCATAGACCACCTCGATGCACACCATAGCCTTCACACTGCCAGCCTCGTTTGTCGCTCCTGGGTTCCCCTTGCCTCGCCTCACCTCCTACGGCGCGTCACACTCTACTGCACGAAGCGTCTCGACTGGTCGATGCGGTATGACAAACGTGAACAGACGTGGCACTGGCACCAGGGCTTCTTTAAACTCGCGGATCAATCTGCGCGACTCCGCCGTCATGTTCGCGAGATCGCTATAGCGATATCCAGCTCGCCAATTCCTACCTCAGTCATTGGGTGCATTATCTCTACGTTCTCGCACCTCGAATACCTCTATCTCCCCGGAAACATCCATCCCACATCAGGGCCTCCCATGGCAGCAACGCCGGTGAAGTTCTGCGGCACATTGCACTTATCCCGTTGCTCCACCCTCACCTTATTGGCCTCTATCTTGCCGGGCTTGTCTTCTGTGCGCTGTCTGCACCTGACCCAGACGTACCAAGGATCCAGACACGTAATGCCGCAACTTGTCCCATTTTCGATGGCGTCCATACAGGAACTGATATTGCAAGATATATGCGACATCCATCTCCTGTTCGGTTTACCTCCTACAGCTTTCAAGAAGCTTACCTTGATTGGCGTACAAGATTGGGCTGTTAGCGTACGCACCGTGCTGAATTATTTGTTGCTCAAGTGCGATAGAAGCTTGGTCTCTCTATCGATCAACCCGGGATGCAAGGTCTTCGGTATGTCAATCATGATACAGTGCCCCGGATCTGGCTGTCAACTAAAACTGTGCATGACTTGCAGGGTCAGGGTGGGTTTGCCCCTTATATTGGCCCACAGCCCTCGAGCACTTGGAACTTACGATTCCAGCTGAACGGCTGTTGGAGGGCTATGCTGACTCCACGTCCGATAAAAGGCCCCCGGAAGACTTGTGGACATCCCAGCTGGCACAAGCTGTTTACAACAGTCGATACATTCTCAAGGGATGCGAAGCGTGTGAACAACTCGAAAGCATTACTCTGGATTTTTCCGCGCCTGACGGAGGCGGAGACCAGTTAACATTGAGACATCTACTGCGGTCGCCGGAATTCCGAGAATGTGTAGTGGCACAACTACAACTTCCAGCAGGTCTGAACGGGATGGTTGTGTTCAAATAGCAGATTATACATGGTGTGTTATAAATCATCTACGAGAGAAAGAGCGGTGTCACGCGCGAGAAAAGAGGATCGGGACGGGATAATACTACACCCACGTAGCCAGCCGAAGGTCAGCAGTAGACGGCGCTCGATGGAAGAGATATAGAGGATCCACTTTACGAAACGTATTGTATCAAAAGAGCTGATTCAACAGCATGAACGGCTTCGGTACATCTGTAGACAGACACGCTACGGATGCGCCCAAATGACAAGGTATCCGTTTAGCAGAGTCTTCGGGGATACGATGAAGCATTGTCAGCAATCACGAGCCTCCTAGCAGTCACACGAAATATGTACGTCTCCTGGCAAAGTTGCGGTCAGTCATACACTGTATCTCTTGAGGGCATGCACGTACGAGATGGCAAGCATTGAATCGCCAATTGCAAAGTTATCCGCGCCTTCGGTGTGGATCACAACGTAGCCATCACCGTGGATCTGATGGTCCCGAGCTGCATATCTTTGGACTACCGGCAGGGACAAGTCGACCATGGTGAAGCGATATGGCAGGTATGAGACTAGAGCCTCCTCCAGCCAGAGGTGTTTCACGACCGTGGCCAGGCCAGACGGCCTCTGGGCAGCTGACGACTCTGCGACCGTACATGAGCGGTCAAAGTCCCACAGGATCATCGTCCCAGACAAAGCAGTGGCAGCCATTTCCGGAAAGTTTAGCGAGTGTAGAAATAGTCTGGAGGACGAGGTGAAGAGGCCTTTTACATCTTCGATGACGCCCGTCCGAGACTTCCACGACGCCCATGGTACGACCACTGGAGACGATTGGGTAGTGGACTGCTCCAAGAAATGATGGACAGTCTCCGCGCGTACGATGATTGCAACAGTTTTGTTGGGCAGCCATATGTTTCCCTTCGGCCTGATAGACATTGTTACTGCGATAATCGCTGTTCGTGGGTCTTCGAGAAATACTGCGGCATCGTCCTGGTGCGTGTCTATGGGCGGCGGAGGGGTAGAGTCAACTACAATAGACTCATATCTTGCCCTATCAAGGGGGGTAGGGAGTTCCAGTACTAACGTAGCGTCCTTGGAAGCATCTTGGAGGGAGCCACCAATCCGAGGTTTGCGGTACACATCGTACACGGCAATGGCGTTGATGTCACTATCCCTTAGAGATGAGAAGATCGGGAATATGATGTGTCTAGTATCCAGAATGGCAAAACTCTGTGATGCTGATGGGAATGCGAGTAGGCGACTGGATGCATTCTAACAGATACGGGATGAGCTGTCGAGTCATAGACTTGATGGAGCCGGGGACCTACGTACCAGAAGCACAGAGCCGGTCTTCCAGTCCAAGATCCAGCACCCAACCAGAATATCACCGGTTCCTCGAGGTGTTGAGGATGTAACAGCAAGCATCGGCCCATATAGTTTGAGAGATACACCGCATTCACCTGCGGCTGATTGACCCCCTTCGAAAGTGAACGAGCCCTGCTTAGCGAGAGGATGTGGTTCGCCTGTCTCGCTGGAGAGAACACGGACACGCCAAGTCCCAGATATGTCGCTAGATGGTGGTATTAGTTTCTACGGATAGCATAACGAGACTTCGGCGGTGCGCACGTTATCTGGAGAAGAATCAGCACCTTCTGACTGTGGTCACAAGCAAAATGCTGGGGCGTAAATCCTAGAGTAGGCAGGGTCCTCCGTCGGTTAGGTTGACGACTGCGCTCAGAGGCCGGTTGGATTACAGTAATGGTTCGCGCAATAAGCTCGCAATATGCGGAGCCGCCTGGAGCCACACGTCTTAGCAATCCATCCATCTGCTCTATCGTTGTATCGCTCATTCGTAAGCCTTTTCGCCGCAGAGTCCTCCACCTATCAAGCTCGACCGTGCGGTCGTAGAGGGACATGTGCCGCGCTGCGGGACCTTCTACAAGCCCCGCGAGACAACATGCGATGCGGTATCGAAGAAGAGGGTAAACCTCGACCGTGTCACGAAATGTGCGCGAGACCTGTGGAGTGTTGTCAGCGCCGGTAGTATAAACGAGTATACCGTGAGTAGCCCCTTACCCTCTTACAGATTGCGATGTCGGTCCCAGGTAGATGCGCTAGGATATGCGCAAGAAGCTCCGTCTGGAGCTCAGAAAGTTTGTGTATATCGCTTGCCATGGTGGACAGCGACTTCAGGAAGCCTAACGACGGTAGTGTAAACGTTGTCAAGCTCTGTACATGTTGCGCTCGATACCACTCGCCTTGCCGCAGGGATCACAGCGACACTGCTAGACCGTCATCTACTGGGTGACAACGCGCTGGTAGACAGATGGTAGACGCCACGAACACAGTGAGAGGCAAGAACTTCGCAATTGTGCAATGTACCACTCACATGGTAGATGTGCTACGGGATAAGAATCTGGACAGAACCACACCCCGCTGCTGGACAAATGGTATCTCAGTATTCGATTTTGGGAATATTGTCTTATGCTTTAGAGCCGCTGTCGCCTATTATTGTGGATTTTACAACCTTGAGCATGTCAGGACACGGCAGCTGAAGGTACTGTAGTGGTGACCGAGCGCGAGCCGATCTGGCGGGAGTTGCCGCCGGCACGGACGTCGAGGTCAGGTCGAGCGTGCACGCTTACACTCGTCCCGCCATGTCGTCCATGCTTACTCGCTCGCTGCTCAGAGCGCAGCCGGCGAATGCTATTCGTCGTACTTTTACTACAACTCGTGTTGTCTGCCAAGAGGCTGCAGCAACCACCCCAAATCTGGGTCATGTTTCCCCACCCAAGAAGCCAGTTGGCGCGTTCCGGGGAGGGTACGTCGTGTCCAACGACCCTCCAGGAACGGGCAGCACATTTAAGCATGCTGACAGTGATGAAGCATCGTAGGCTTCCTATTCGGGTTCTCTCTTGCCTCCTCCTACGCTGCCTATCATCTGCTCGATGAGTACAAACAGGCGTCCGCCGCGTTGCAGGCCAGCGTCGAGGAACTGCAGCACAGTACAGAAAGAGCACGTAACCCCCGCTTTCTTTTGGTTACCAAGGGGCTCATAGAGCTGGTATCCCACAGATCACCGCACACATCAGGAGAATAGAAGCGGTTGAGAAGGACTTGAAGGCTCTTCGGGACTTGTCTGCGTCCAAGGACGATATTTCGCGTGTCAGAACTGAGGTGAAGAAACTATATGATGGGCTGCACGTTGGTGAGCATGACTATGTCCTGCTGCACGTCCATGCTCACTCTGCTCAAACTCTGCGTCCAGAGTTCTTGGACTTGCGTTCTCACGTCTGGGGCATTCGTAAGTTAGCAATTATGCTGCGGATGAGACAATCACTCACCATCATTCGTCCGGCAGAGCAGGATTTGCATTCGCTCTCCAAGAAGGAGGCAACCACTGTTCGTGTCGTCTAGAGGAATATATCCAACATTTCATTGCCCTGCTATTTGCCCACGCTGTTTGCATTGCAGCTGTTCACGATACCGAAGTTACGCTTCCAGTTCTCCACATCTGCTCATATGGGATTCTCGGGCTTATTCTATCGATTTCGGGCTTTTTCACTACGTACCTCAGACAGCTGGTTACCTTGTGGAGCTCTTCTCAGACAGTTCCACCTCGTCAAGAAGGCAGTAACTGCGTAACAAGGTCAGATTTGGTTCAGTGTCAGCTTGGATCTGCCATATACCTCTTGTTTCTGTTTCTTCCACCATGCTAAGTACCTATCACAGTGCGGACACTTGAGCACCTAAGCGTGACTTGCTTTGACTTCTTGGTCTAACGCTTGCCGATATTTCCGAGCTTGGATCATGCCTGTGTACTGACCGTGTTGTTTTCAAACGTTGGTAGATGACCCAGTAACCGTACGCAAATCGGCAGGCAACTGCCGAAACTCCTCGCACATACACAAGTATGCTTGACTACGCCCTGATCATATATTGGTGCCGAAGGATTTCAGTTGCCACAACCGGGATGGCAATTCTGCGACTTCTCGGCCGTAGCGACCGTTGCCTACGGAAGGGACGGCCCGCCAGGTTCACCTGTGTGCCTGAGCATCCGAGCACGGATTGAGCACAAGAAGGAACAGTGAACATGTCGGCGAAAAGAATCACACCTCCTAGTAACCGATCTTCCACTTTTAATTTCTGTTGCAATATCAGAAATGAGGTCTAGCATTCCAGGCCCAGTTCTCCTCCAGTATAAAGCGTTAAGAGTACGCATGTCGCGCAATTCCAACCTCCCTTCACTCTCCTTTCAAAGTCAAGACTGGTTCTTGCCCTTCGCACCCTTTTCTAGCTCACCAGGTACCATCCCGTCCCCAAGTCAGCTTGACGTATTAAGCTGACGCGCTGGATATTTGCAGGTTGCGGGCACTTCCATTCCCTTTTTCTAGCAGGCTGTCCACATTCCCTCTCATTACCTCGCTGAAACAAGTTCTGATCGATCCGAATGGTTCGTTCTATGGCTGCTTTTCTCTCCATCGCGGCATATTATCTGCTGCTGTCTGGTGCTGCCCCTATACTCCGGCGTGAGGTGCCTCAGGGTATGTCGGCGTTCTAAGCTTCAGATTCGTTCGTCTTAACAGGAGACTGCCAGAGCACTCCCACGAATTCATCCTCACATCGGTCCAGACAAGCCTCCAAAGCAACAACCCTGATGGGATTGTTGATTCCGTCTTCGGTCTTCTGGGCGATGCTGCAGCCGCGGGTGGCGCGGGAAAGATCACGGTGTGTTCACTTCGTACCGTTGCACGCACAGTCAAGCTGATAGCATGATCTCAGAACCTTGATTGTTTACAGCAGGCCACCGCAGACCAGGCCTTCACTAACGCTAAGGCGGCAGGAGACGTTGAGAGCATGACTAACGCACTTCTCTACCGCGCACTCGAGCGCAACACTGGCGCGGTCGGCCTCGCGAGCGTTCTCTGCAACCAGACCGCAACGAACCCTGAGATTGCCGCGATCAGTCAGCATCAAGATCCTGCATCGACAAACGCTGCAGCCACAAACAAGGCCATTGTCCTCGAGCTTGCAAAGCAGATTGCGTCGATCGGCGGGAATCCACAGGACGCACTTAACTCGGGTACCTTTGCACCCGGAAACCCCGACGATACCACCGGCAGTGGTAAGTTCATGTTTTTCTCAGTAAGCAACGACTTAAAATAACATTGTAATGGCAGGCAATAGCTGTGATGACGCGAACGATGCCAGAGGATGTATATTCACCCAGAACCTGCTTGTAGATGATGCTACTGCAGACGAGATCAACGCAGCGGTCGCGGGTATCTCGGCTTCAGGATCGAGCAGCGCTGCTTCCGCCTCTGGCACCGACACAGCAGCGACTAGCACAGCTATTGCCGCCGCCACGACCGCTGCCGCCGCAACGGCTGCCAACGCTGCTGCTGCTTGCGCTACCGCTACCGTGACTGTGACTAGCGTGGCGACCAGTGCGGCGACTCCCTCGGCAAGCGGCAACCTCCAGACCTTCACTGGTGCCCGTATGTCATTTCTTCTTGTCCAACCCCGATAGCTCAGTCTTCTGACTCTTTATGCGCAGTCGGCGGCATCGCTGCGCCCGCGGTCACGGCGAGTGGTTCCAGCTTTGTGGTCACGGACAACGACAGCTTCGTTGACCTCCCGACTGCCCTCGGTCGCTCGTGCGATGTGCAACACAACCTGTGCGCGGATTCGGCGAACAGCGGCGGAGGCTTCAGTGTTGGCTCATGCGACACCCAGAACACCGCCTGCAACGCCGCTATCTCGACATAAGCTCCCATGGTCCGCCTGTTCGTAACTTATGTCTTCAGTCGGAGACTCGTTTTCGGCGTCGTTCTCTGGGAGGATGGCCTGCTCTTCATTTTGTTTTCTTTGTTTCTTTATGGGCCTGGGCCCTCTTGGCTTTGTTTGCGAGATGTATTTCCCCCTACTACTCCTCATGCAATGGAGAGTGAAGCCTATTACTTGTGACGGCCGACGGCGTGCCAACACGTGCCGTTCTTTTGTGCTGTAAATTATACGTCAAATATGCCAGGCAACATTACAGAAGCTATGGCATGTGGTTAGCTGTGGCATTAGATGTAGTAGGACGCTGTTAAAACCTTGCATATATACCAATTTAGTGATTACCACTTATTAATCCGATATGGTGTAGTGGCTAACATTATCGCCTCTCACGCGATAGCCCGGGGTTCGATTCCCCGTGTCGGAATCTTTTTTTCTTTGCTGTACCAATCCTTGACGAGGGTCGATCTAGTACTAAGGCTCCAACCGTTTAGTTTACGTGTAAATATTTTTGGTAAACACACAGTAAACAGTTCTAAACTTTTAAAAACAGTTTAAAAACAGTAAACAAACAGTTGGCACAGGCTACGATGCATGCGGAGGCACTTGCTCAATGCACAAGAAGACGAAGCCATGACTTCCCACCCAAGAATCAAGATATCATAGCAATATCCTCAATGGGCCCAGTGTGGCAGAGGGTTGAAGGTGCGCGAAAAGTTCCAATCAGCAAGGGTAGCATCACAAGGTAGCATAGTACCCGAGGGCAGACTTGGCGACAGAGGTGTCTGCGGAGCTAGCTTCGTTGGAAGCATGCGAGATTGACTCTTGATTCAGGAGGTCAGCGTGTCCCATCATCGCCGTCAGGTAGTGGGCTAGCGACTGGTGCAAATCTCAGCTTGGTACTCTCGTGGTTGTACGATGCATACTGTACCTGTACAATCAGTCCGGCACATTACGCGTTACATAGCTCCCGACCGCTGCTTTCTACATTTTTTTCTGCTAAAATCAATATTCGATATTTTTGGGCCTGCAGTGCAAAAATTACAAGAAGACACACACATGCACTTTCCGTAGCGCTATTACTGTTCCTGTCCGTGTTGCTGCTCTGTCGGGTCACGCCTGGGCTGCCGCCACTGTTTGACCACCGCATTCTTGACCAGTGTCACAGGTCATGGTCAAACTTGCCACCCACTGGTGGTCAACTGTCACTTGTCACACCTGCCGCCGGACTGGTCGTACAGGTACAGTACTCGCGTTAGGCTTTGAGAAGTGACCTAGAGAAAGCTGCTGCATGAGTGCAGACTTCAGTAGCGTATCTTTTCCAGGGTCCACCATCACTTATCCCTTGTGGCATGCTGCGCCGATAACACCACTCTTGCGGGCTGGCTTCAAGTTATCTATAGTAGATTGGATGTAGTGGAGCAGTCAACACATACACAGTATTTCAATCTCTGCGATACTCACCTTTTACTACTCTGATTTTGTGTGCGATTGGCGGCACGGTGAAGACTAGCTAGGTTGCTAGAAGTGCAATTACTGCAGTACCACTGTACAGTCTGTACTAGATAAGGCTCCAACCATTTTGTTTATTTACTGTGTATAAACGTTTATTACCGTTTACCGTTTCCGTGTGTGTAAAAAAGTCTTGTAAACTCAGTGTAAACGTTTATACACAGTAAACAAACAGTTTCTTCTTGTCAACTGTAGAAGGTCCTAGTGTTATAAATTTGCAGTCTTGCTAACAGATTTGACCTGTGGTGAGCTGAAGAGTGTGCCTCACCACTCATGCATCATTCTCGGGCAGCCTTTTTGGACTTCCGAGGCATGGCGGCTACAGTGACGACCTAAAGTATTGCAACAGACTATAGAGGGGTGTTAAGATTCCTCAATATCTCCGTGAATATTACATATGGCTGGACATATTGTATATGGTTTCTAAACTGGACAACTAGCTGTATTTTCTCAAGGTATCGCCTTGTAGCAGAAGGTGTATGCTGGAAGAGTATATCAAAAATAGCTGAAAATATGCATATTTATCATATAATTTGTAGTATAATACAGACTGTAGAATAAAATTGACTCTGCACATATTAAAATGGAGCTAGTTGTATAGTATGTGTACAAATATAATGATGTGATTAGGCATCCATTTGAATGAACTGTAGAGCATATCACATTCATTGCAACATGCAACAGTGTATACTCATATGCTTCAAACATAATCAGGTGCTGAAGTTCTTATATTTTGCTACTATATCTCTCTCCTAGTAAAGTACATACTGTAAACAGATTTTGGGAAACTTTCCTCTCCACATTGTGGAGTTAGATATGTGCAAACTGCTATAAGAGAAACAAGCCAATGTGATATGCCCTACAGTTCATTCAAATGGATGCCTAATCACATCATTATATTTGTACACATACTATACAACTAGCTCCATTTTAATATGTGCAGAGTCAATTTTATTCTACAGTCTGTATTATACTACAAATTATATGATAAATATGCATATTTTCAGCTATTTTTGATATACTCTTCCAGCATACACCTTCTGCTACAAGGCGATACCTTGAGAAAATACAGCTAGTTGTCCAGTTTAGAAACCATATACAATGTGTCCAGCCATCTGTAATATTCACGGAGATATTGAGGAATCTTAACACCTCTCTATAGTCTGTTGCAATACTTTAGGTCATCACTGTACATCGAACACCAGCTGCGCTGTGGCTGCCGCGCATATAGTCACGACTCACTCCAGAGATACGATAGCAGTCATGCCAATAAAACCCATGCTGAGCATAGTCCAGGTGCACATTCAGCAATTTGCCTATACATCATTGAATATTACAACGTTCGAGCCTCTTAGGATGTACTGTATTTTATCAGGAACTCGGACACCTAAAATTAGATGGCGTCCCATGCAGGAGGACAGAGGTTTTCCACAGAAAAACATGCTGAGAGGCTTAAAAACCAAGTAAATATGTGAGTGGGAAATATAGAAGATTCTTAACATACATTTGTACGATGCTACGAATATTTTGTGTGTGAGTGTGCTTAACCACCCTCTTACAGTGACTGACAAAAGTAGCACGCATGACTACAATGGGGTGTCAAGTTTGCTCAATACCTTGCTAACGACTACTACTACCAGCACAACTTGTATATGTATCATATTACACTATACTAAGGCTATTTTTTAAGCTACATAAATTGCCCAGTCATTCAGGCACCGGGAGACTGTTGTTGCTTTTCTCGGAATCTGCTTCAATTTTGATCTATCTGTCTCTCCACAAATACCAGTGAGAAAAATGTAATTTTATTTTTAAACAATCTATAGATTGATGATATACTCCTGTTATTTTTGTAGCTGAAATGCTGTGCATCCCAAGAAGTTCTAGGCTATGTTACATTAGTGGCCCACATCCTTACTGTATAGTCATTGGGTATATCAAGAACAGCCAGACAAACAGATTGTTACTATAAATCCCTATATTGTACTAGTATTACCTAATTAATATACAGCAGTACAAGCTTGTACAAGCTTTCAGCATTATACTCCTAATTTCTGAATTATGCAGCACAGAGTAGCCAATATAGCTGGGCTTGTAAAGCACTGATTAGGAGAGAGGGTATACTGTAAAATTTATACATTAGTCTATGCATGGGGCTACTATATATCACCAATAATAAAGATCAGTTATACCACTCCTTGCAGAGTTATGAATATTTCAAAAATGTGGCATATTTTGAGTAAAACAATAATAGTGTTACAGTATCTGCACAGTCTGACAGTTGATATAGCTCAAATTTAGCCTTAATAGAGTACTACACAATCTGTATATAACTTGTACCAGTAGTAGTAGTTGTTAGGAAGCTATCGAGCAAACTCAACACCCCTTTGTAGCTGTGTGCACTACTTTTGTCGGTCACTGTACTAGGATCTCGGACAGCGGCAAAATCCCACCAAATCAGGCTAATTTTGGTGCTTAGATAGGTGTCCAAGTACCCTCTCTCGCTATTGCATTGGGCTCTGCGATGCTCACAGTGTAATGGGAGGCCCTAGAAGCCTGTATTATGGAAGCACAGGCTGTCACATAATATAATCATGTAATATTCTAGTGGTAGTGGCCTTGGTTCTTGACTAGGAGACATCAGTGTCCCTTAGGTTAATCTCCAGCTTGAATGCAACCCTCAGCTAAGAACTGGTCCCCCAAAAATCAGCAATGTGTCCAGTCTTATTCTTATTCTTACACATAGGATGGAAGTATAAGCACCCCATAAAGCAAAATAATCTTACAAAACAATCCTGATAAGCACTTCTTTTCATGTACTGGTGGCTCTGGGGAGCTCTCTGCTCTCACGTGGTATGTCATCTGTTCCCTGCGGCATTTTATACATTTTCTATATGTAAATGGATGTATTTCACTGGTTCATACAAGCACAAGCTACCAAAATGTATGATTACTCTGAGGTGAGCACCTGTGGTAAGAAGAGCTGCAAGGTGCTTACCATATCTACTAGTAGTAAAAGTGTGATAAGTAACATTCTATCTGTGCCTCTCTCCCTCAATATGCTCTCTAAAAATACAATAATTTTTATATAGATAGCAGACAGTATATTATCATGCGTCAAATCAAGTTGACACATAATAAGGGCAAACAGAGACAAAGACAAATACTGGGCAGACAGTAAAAGCATAGTGGCCCAGGCAGGCTCTGATAGGGGCTACTAGACCCAGAGCTGCAAAATAGGCCCTGATAGGAGCTACTAGACCCAGGACTGCAAAACAGGAGCTACTGTTTGAAAAGAGAAAACTTGGCATTTTGGGCCCCTAAGAATGTGGTGCCCTGGAAAGAGCAGGCCAGGCCTTTGGAGCAAGCCAGAACTGGGGCCAGAACACTAGTGGTTGAGGGTCCGGTCCGGTCCAGTCTTTTTTAAAAATTGGGTAGGACCAGGACTCAGACTGGTCAAGGACCAGCATCTGTTTGTGCAGGACCGGACCAAGACTGGGTCCTGGTCCTGTACAGTCCTCTGTGCAGTCCTGGACCGGTCATAACCAGTCTAGGACCAAATGCGGTCTTAGACCAATTCAGACCAGCTCAGACCAGTCCTACCCTGATAAATATGACACAAATAAACAAATTTTGATTTTGAACTGCATGTACAGGTAGACTAGCAGTATACTAAGCTAATTTCTGGACAAACCAGTTTTGAGACCACACTACTCAGCCTAATGAGTCAAAGAGAAGACAGTGTGTGAGTCTCAAGAAGGCCAGAAGAGTGTACCAGATGCCTATCTCAGAAGTGCTATATACCATTCATGCATTGCCAGACTGTCTTTATGTACTGTAAGGTATCACAGAAATACTGTTGCGTAGAGTCTGATATTGAGGGAGTGTTTGACATGGCTGAATATTTGATGAACTCAAAGGCAGGAGCTCAAAAAAATAGCCACAGCTATGGTCTGTGTTGTTAAGGTTCAAGAGAGGTATTTGGCAGGTAGACAGCTACTTCACGTTATGTCATACATATGAATGAAAGGCAATATTGTATATGGGCAAATATAGGTAAACAATGTGCGCACAAGGCACCGGTGAACACTGTACACTTAAAAATCAAAACAAATATTCAGCTAGTGATATGCAGGCACAGCTTGAGCTTAAAGCCCAGGATTAGGCCCATGGCAATGTTGGGCTAAGTCCTGACCCCAAGCCTGAGCCTGAGCCTGAGCCCAGCCCAAGTTGCCAAGCTTAGGATAAGTTCACACTAGCAGAGACTGTCCACTGACTCAAGCCTGGCCTTGAGCCCACTGCCAGGCCAGGCTCAGGTCAGGCTTTTTTGGGCTGGGCTTGCAAGCTTTGAGCCAAGGCTGCACATTACTATATTCAGCAAAGAAAACAATGCTCTGCTCACACGGCTGGATTCTAAATAGAGAAGAAGGGTATCATGCACCACTTTCATCATTCTCAGCATTTTTGTATAAAACCTCCATATCCTTGAGAGCCTTATTATCTCTACACTCAGGCTCCATCTTCCCATGGTCATGGCTTTAGCTGATTATGTGCAGTAACCGCATCCAAACTTGAATAAATCATAAAAAGAGTTTTTAAAAATGTATTAATCTGTGCTTAAGCTGGCTGTGTACTTGGACAAGCCTACAAGGGCATGGTTGCAGTTCAGAAATTACTAAGATATACATGTACCAGTAGCCAAGCTGCTTTCTGGGTGCTGCATTTTTGTTACTTTATATTGGTCTGTGACTGGTCCTGACCGGTCATGACCAATCCTAAAAGCACCCAGCGCCCATCAGCAAAAAAATCGACATCTGATCTAGCCTGGACAGCTCTGGTAAACCTAGTCTGGCATGCAAAGGTAATCTTTCTGGGAACAGGTTTACCATAGTAGATAGAGCACCTGTATGCTTTACCAGCCTCATCAGTCTGGTATCAATTACCAATTATACCATTCAGGTGAGGTTGGCAAAGGCTGGCAAGGCATTGCCAGCAAGCACCAGCCTGGGTAGCATTTGCTTTACCGCTCAAAATAAATTATTTGATATTCAAATATATTTGGTGGGGATTGGCCTCAGTGGTCGCAGATGAAAATCAAGAAGAAAAAAAATGATATATTTCTGGATCTACATAGAGTACACATGTGCAGACAGATAACACGGACACATGACGATGGCATTGAAAGGGTCGAAATGGCTGCGTGCACAAGGCTCCCGATGACAAGCGGCAATTGCAACGGCTGCGCAGTCAGTACACGTCGTGCAGGGATTACAATCTGGACAGAGCAAGGATGTAAGCATTAACAGACACATGAAGGCTTGTATGCTGTGGTAAATACCGTGGGTGGATGCTGCAGATTACGAAGCGCTGCGCGCATCGGTGCCAGTATGCGCAACAAGTACAGGCAGCTGAGTGCTGAGTACAAACACCATGAGCATGGCAATACGAAGGGCTAAACTACACCACTGACGTACCGTGCACTAGAAGTTATACTGATGTGCAACATAATGCGCGCGCAGATGTGTGGGAATGGTTTGCCGATTGAGTGGATGGATGAGCCTAGCGTGAGGCAGTGTCTATCAAAGACGTGTGAGTGAGAGAAGTGAGCGTATATATGCAGGTTGCGCACTGTATGTGGGTTTGCGTGAGTGAGATGATGGGGACCTGAGCCACAAAAGCGTGCGGGCGATGAGGTGGATGAGCTTCACATGCTCGTCCCACTGTCTAATGCTCATCTCACAACTCGGACTGCACGGAGGAGCGAGAGTCGGCGCCATGGCTACTGTGCACGCAGTCAGTCGACCGCATCCTCAGTGGAGATACTGGGGAGGCGAACTGAGTACACACATACCTTGTCAATGTATATTCAGCCCAGCAATCACATGTTCTACACACTGTATTGAAGAGGGAGAAGACAGAGATGGAGGGACAGAGGCGTCCGCCTGGTGATACCCGAGGTGCAGTGGTGGAGAAGAAGGGACGCAGAATGGCAAGGACCTTCTATAAGTAGTGAGACTAAAAAGGAGACGCAGCGAAAATGAGTTTAGGGGAGGTCGGAGGACACTTGTGTTTGCTCGCGGACAGTCGACATAAATGCAGTGGACGTGTCTCGAAAGGCGACGTGCGTGACGTCACGTCACAACCGAGATCTGGGTGAGTAGGCCGTACTATATCTAATGACATCGAGATGGGAGTTGGCTTACAATGCTATAACGGCATGCATTGAGATTTCAATGCAATATCAGCCTGGTATCGCCTGTTCTTGCATTGCCAGCATCTATCAGACTGCTGGGCGCTTGTCCAGTAACCCATCCCTGACCTACAACCGATTATTTTGCTGATGCCATCTAGGACCAAGGACTGTGACCAAGACTGGACTGACGTAGGACTGGACCATACCCAGTCCTGATCAGTCCAGTCTCAGTCCAAGTCCCGGTCCCGACCGGTCCTTAGGACCGGACCCTCAACCACTACAGAACACATAGGAGCTATTTAGAAAAGCTTGGTATTTGTCAGGAATTTGTCAGGATTTAGCTAGGACAAATTGGAAAGGAACCTGGGCAGGAAGTAGCTTAGAAATGCAAGCCCCTATCTAGGGCTCTCAAATGTATATAACCCCCCCCCCCCCACTCATGTATTTAGTACCCCAGCCCCATATTAAGCAGTAATTTCTCTGCACTGTGGTCAGCTCCCTCTGAATTTCAACCACCTGCATAGGTGACGCCTGGTTCAGAGGTCTTTGTGTGTGTTTATTCTAGGTACCTGCTATTGAGCCCTAGCTCCAGCCCAGTTCTCTGTCCTTAAGCAAAGCAGTTCCTGGGTATCTCTTAGTCCACCCGGTGTTTTTGTATCACCTGCGTGGTAGTGAGTTTACTCAGTCAGTTAGTTCAGTCAGTCAAGACCTTGAGTCCACCCAGCAACTCAGTGCTGAAGCGTGGTATACAGATGCCTTCTTACGTGCTCTGAGTCCACCCAGCAACTCGGTGCTGAAGCGTGGTATACGAGCTTTTGTCTTATGTTATGTTTACGTCTACAACTTACGTTAGTCTCACTAGGTTGATAGCACACAGCTGTCTTCCAGTGGTCTCTGTTGGCGTCACATCTCTGCTTGTAGTTTATCTTCAAGTAGAATTATTTGTGAAGCACTCCCAGTCTTTCTTTATAAGCATATCCTTGCTTGCGACCAAAAATCCTCTCTCTCGAACACCCGAGGCAGAAGTTGACCTAACGCCTGGTCCACCTAACTCGGTTAGAAGGCAAACTTAGTTCCTCCCTAACTAAGTCTTACTTTCTTCACTCACGGTAATATACATGACTTATTGTCAACAGCAGCTGGTTTCGTTTGGTAGGGAGCGAGTGAAAATTGAGTGTCCGAGTTCCTGATAAGATACAGTAGTCTCTTTTCTTCTGAATCTTCCCCCCCCCCCCCCCGAAGTAGTATGCAAACGGCTGTAAGACCTAGTAAGCAGCCTGAATGACATTGTGTAATATTGTCGCATGCATTGCGTGGCTGAACCTGTTCTGCATTCACACGACTTTCTGGCCAATCTGCAATAACCGGGGGAGCCTCTTTTCCCGAGGTTTCGAAGGGTGCGATGTCGGGGCTGCCGCGTTCAAGTTAGCCGAATATTATTGTAAGCTACATTCAACCTGTGTGCGCAGAGCTAAAAATCCCTAAAGTACTTGTGACAGGTCATGCAAGCCTGAGACGGACCCTTTCCTGACAAGAGGGCTAGGGAAGAGTTTTGCACGTACAAGCCCATGCTAGCAGTCACGTTTCGCAATACAGCATGGAGTGGAACAACGGATGAATGGACGAATGGTGTATAAAACGTAGCAAACGAGCTGCATCTGATGCACTCTAGCAACGACGTCCCTAGAGCCTCACAAGGTCTTCACAGAACCGTTACAACCTGTTACAATCACCACGCCCTCACCCACCTTATGTTTCAATCATCTCTGCGTAGTCATGCCCGGTAACATCTGGTAGGGGCCTTCGTGCACTCGGCCGGCATCACTGACAACAGTCTCAGGAACCCGAACCTGAATCCGGGCCCCCTCCCGCCCAGGCCGCCACAGCCCAACCCGCCGCCGCCGAGAAAGCTCCCGGAAGAGTGGCAAGTGAGGAACTGCCCTGAGTGTCACCGGCGAAACCCAGGTGGCAACCCGCCTCCCATCAGAAGTCAGTGCAACCTCCCCTTCCTGCGTGATCGCAAGATCGCTGCTCACTTGACGGGCAGTTCCCTGTCCAATTCACGGAATCTGGACCGGAGGGTGTCCCTGCCTCTGTGCCCAAGGTGGACGGTGCCTCTGTGATGCACATGGATCGTAAATAAAATGAACCTTGTTTCGCGTATCTCTGTGTGCCTCGTGTGTTCTCAGCCGACCAGCACCGCCATACATGTACGCGAGCAGACAGAGCAGTAACACCAACACATTCTTACGACAGCACCTTGACGAGTGAGTTCACTCTTGCGTGATCTCCCACTCCTCCCACGCCAGGTCCCCACCGCCCTTCTTTGCGCCACCCTTGACGCCAGCGACGAGACCGGACCACACCGCATCCGCGACGCCAAGTCCCATACCGACACCCCATACGAGCGTGCTCGCGTAGAAGAAGTTGGCGTTGCCCGTGCCCGAGCCGAGCCAGAGGTGGTGGAATAGCGGCAGCAGGAGCGAGCAGTGCAGGTGCACGAGCAGCGCCGGGAACGGCGTGCGCATATCTGGGTACGTTCGCGCGCGCCCGTGAGCAATGGTGCGGCGACAACGGGAAACGTGTAGGGAAGGGGACGTACGTGCATAGGTCTCGGGGAAGAGCGCCGTCATGCTCACGAACAGCCCTGCGTCCGCAAGGGACGGGTACGGCTTGAAGGTCGCGAGCAGGCCTGTGAGAACGTACGCCGCGTAGAGCAGGTCGTGTTGGAATTTGATAGATAGCGGGAGAGGGTAGATCGCGAGGTGAATCTGTGCCAGGCGAAGCTCAGTGCTGAAAGTGAGGAGTGATGGGCGGGCAGACTTGCCGAAAAGACCATAAGGAAAAACGGCCGGAAATGGTCGAACATTTCAGTGAAGAAGTACCACCAGAGGCCGACGTTGGGCGTGAGATCGGGAAGTGTCATTCTGCGAATGATAGTCAGTATAAATAGGGATATTGGATGTGTATTGGACGTACACTGCACCCCATGTCTTGCCCATCCATCCCCATCCTCCAGATACTAGAGTGGCTGCTCCAGTCAACACTGCCATATAGACAGCATACTCTGCTACAAATGGCGCAATTTTCTTCAGGATGTCCTGTAGAGCGAACGGATACGGTCGCGGTGAGGCGAGGAAAGAGACGGGTGACGTAAAGAGCAAGAGCATAAGTGGGGGCAGGTAAAGTGCGCTGGTGAGCGACAGATGTGTGGTGACGGCGAGCGTGAGCAGAGTCGGCGACGCTTGACCTGGTTGCCACAACTCTATCAGCAGCACCTCTGGTGCCAAGAAAAGATATAGCGCACCTCGACATGCGAACATAACGCTGAGGAGCAGGAGGGCGTTCTCAAACGATGCTGTCGACAGCGCGAGGGAAGAGAGGAGGACGTATGGGTTCAGTAGATATCTTCACATCCTGAAGTCAGTTAAGACGGCGGTTCGTACAGCACAGAGAGCGTGACGTACACTGCGGCAATCAAGCTGTCCCGCGAACTCTTAGATTTCAACTGCTGACGCGCTCGCCATATCTGCACGAGTGCCCACGCAGCTACTGCGTCTGAAATTGTCCACAGAAGGGGAGAGGTATAGCGGTTCAGAGGTAGCACTGTACTGAAAAGAGATAGAAGCAATGGTGACTGTGGAGAGTCGTGAGTCCATAGGGTAGCATGCATCAAAGGCCACTAACGTGTCTGAAAAGTCCACCGGAATACGGATCTACGCCATTGTGAAAGAGGTATAGGCCTTCCTGTACTGCGATCTCGGGTTAGCCGAGGACCGAAAGTAGAGAGAATAAGACAGACAGCGCGGGTAGGACGTGAGAGGAGTAGAGAGTTGATGGTCGTGTCGGAGGGCGCCAGGAAGGTTCGTGTAGGCAAGTAAGAGTCTTCCAGCGACAAGTGAAGGGAATACGACATCGAAGTCCATGGATGACGGCGTACACACTGAACGTCCCTGTAACCGTTGTATCGCCTTCGTTTGGCTTAGCCGTGGATAGCTTCCGCGGCAGAGTACTCCCTTTAAGTGTAGCGTACCGTTCACGAGCCTGACCTGGAAACGAGACCTGGAGAGACTTGGAAAGATAGACTTGAGATTAGACAGCCCGAGAGCCAAGGCGTAGCGCGCGTCGTTCTCCACGTGACAGCTTCACGACGCGTCTCACTCTCGCCGCAATGAGCAGGAGGGCAGGATAGCAGCTTTCCTCAAGAATAGTATGAATTATAAGACCGATGGTTGCGCCGTTCTGTCGTTTTGTCGTTTCTTGTAAGATTCTGTGCTTCCAGTCTCTTGCCGACGCTGAAGCGCTGAGAGCGCGCACTACAATCACGTGATCTGTGACTAATGTGATCCCGTTAAATGTACCGTCACGGTATTCTGTATCTGCAATATTTGTGAGCCTCGCTCTTAGTTGTACTGTCAAAAAAAGTTGCAATTATGCCATTTCGTACCCATCTAAGTACTTTGAGGGAATAAGTTTACTAGTTGTCGCGTCGAGACTCGAGAGCCCTTTGCTATCCGTGTCACGCTCATCACGTGATAGTGGCAACAGCCGGGATGTAAATATCGAGCTTGAATTTGGCTCGAATGCACCATTTCTGGTCTTTCCTTAACTTGCACCCTTGCCACGCTGCCAATACACATCGTCGTCGTGGCCGTCTATAACAGCTCCCCAGCTAGCGTGCGAGCTGGACCTCGGACGCGCTGGATTTCAGAGAGCTTTTCACGACGGCCGGCAGATAAGGTCCTTCGCCGCCGGGATGCAGGTAAGACATACGTGGTCCCCACGGAGCGCAGCGACCGACATGGCAATTGAGTCTGTACCATCACTGAAGCGCGGATTTTTCCGCCTGCTTCGAGGCGACGTCTGCGAGGGCAGTTTAGCAGATCCTGCAAGTTGAGGTTTGACCGCAATGTGGTTTTCAGGTCTGGGTCTGTCCATATCCCTCGTGGGTCTTGCAGCCCAGGTTCTCCTTGAACCACACCCTGCGAGTTCTGCAGCAGACACGGTCACATCCTATGGCATCAAGGATTTTAACTGCAGGGCCCGGAGCTGTTCTCGCCCATCGACCTCGTCAAGCTCACCAGGCCGGGGACAGCCGTTGCGAACTCCGCCGGAGACCTCTGCATCGTATCACTCAGCAAGCATTCGCTCGACGACAAGAAGTGAGCGACCACAACGTCGCAGGCAACGCACAGGCTGACAGCGTCGGACAAGAATCACAAGTCGATCTTCATCGCGCCCATCGAGTCGTCGGCCTGGCCTCTGGAAGTCCCGCTCGCCAACGGCGGCGATGTGTTCTGGCTGGACACGCGTACTATCGCCCACGCCTCGATGAGGGCGAAGGTAAGGACAAGGTGAAGGCTCTCTATGGTTGGTCTGTCAAGTTCGAGGCCGAGAGCAGCGGTGCCACTGTCCTCAGCACCCCCGAGAGTCCCGTGCTGATTGGCAAGTTCCCGACGGCGTCGGCCTCCAACTTCAGGTTCAGCGGCAAATCAAACTTCCTTGTCTTTTCGGACAACGTCTTCCCCGATGGCGACCTTAGGACAGTCAAGAAACAAGATGAGGAATGGGAGAACCGTGGGGACACGGCGTTTGTGTATGACGAGACGTTCGAGAGACATTGGGACGAGTGGGTCGGTCCGAAGAGGAGCACGCTGTTCTCAGTCACGTTGAGCAAGGGCAAGGACGGCAAATGGGCATTGGGAGAGAAGTTCGTGAACCTATTGAACGGTACAAAGCATGTACGTCCTCGTTCAGTGTTCAGCTGCGGAGGATGCCGTGCTGAGACTTGATCCAGCACACTCCTGTCGAACCATTTGGTGGCACAGATGACTTTGACGTGTCCAGCACGCATGTTGTGTACACCACGATCGAAAGACACGGAGTTGCCACCGGCCTGGCACACCAAGCAGATCATCTACATCGTCGATATCGAGGGCAAGTCCAAGCCTCAGGAGCTAACGCCTGGCAAGCAGGGTGCGACACACGGACCTGTGTTCAGTCAGCAGGGCGACAAGGCAGCCTGGGCCGAGCTCGATCGGCGAATTCAACAAGGACATCAAGGTCGAGCAGTTGACCAAGTTCACTGCGGATGCTCTCAAAGGGAAGACGTTGAATGCCGGCGAAGACTTCTACTTCGATGGGGTGGAGCACAAGATCCACGGCTGGATCGTGAAGCCACCGGGGTTCAAGGCGGGCGAGAAGAAGTATTCGGTCATCTTGCTCATTCACGGTGAACCTCAGGGTGCCTGGGAGGATCGGTGGTTGACCAGTTGGAACCCTCAAGGTAGACGCAGTATGGAATCAAGGTGACGTGTCGCTGACAGGAGTGTAGTGTTCGCTCAGCAGGGCTACTTCACTGTCGCCATCAACCCCACCGGCTCGACGACATTCGGCCAGGGTACGTGCCATTTTTCGCTCGTTGCGTAGCAAGCGCGCTCATATCGGCCATTTGTTTAGAGCTCACTGGTGCAATCCGGGAGAACTGGGGCAGCAAGCCTTTCGACGACTTGCGGAAAGGATGGAAGTATGTCCTCGACAACTTCCCCGAGGTAGATCCCGATCGGGCAGTCGCGACCGGTGCCAGTTGGGGAGGCTACGCCATTAAGTGAGTGTGGTTTATACAACAGGCAGGTCGAATACTAACTGTGCCTCGTAGCTGGATCCAAGGACATCCTGAGTTCGGCTTCAATTTCAAGGCTTTGTTCTGCCACGATGGTGTCTTCGATGCTCGCTACGACGGCTACGTCGGCTAGTCTACCGACGAACTATTCTTCATGCGTGTCGTGCCACCTTTGACTGGTTTGACTCGCGCGCCCATACGATTCCTCTAGTTTAACACAGATTTTGGCGGCCGTCCATGGGATCCGAAGGCCCAGGAAACGATCAAAAAGGTTTTTCCCCTCTCCCTCGTGCACCATGATGACGACTAATTCCGCTGGATAGATACAATCCCGTGGAGTTCGTTTCCAACTGGTCTACGCCGATGTTGATCGTCCATGGTGGCAAGGACTATCGCCTCCCCGTGACTGATGGTATCGGTGCTTTCCACGCTCTGCAAGAGGAAGCGTCTTGTTCTCTCTGGCTTCTATGGCTCCGCTCATGCTTCCTATAGGCTTGGCGTTCCCAGCACGAGGCCCACGGGGTGCAAAATCACGGTAACAGGTGGGTCTCTGCGCAGTTAGTCGCGTTTATCGAGCCCTGCTGACACCTCCGGTGGCCTGAAGTGGTTCTACGAAGTATTCCGTTGGTTTGAACAGTACATTGGAGAGCATTAAAGCGCATGGGCCTCGAGTACTATTTCCTGCACCGCCCGCGTTTGTAACATTAGGACAGGATTAGAATAGAATACTCTTGGCTGTGGACGAGTTCTATCTGACTGTGTGCTGTGTGTTGTGTGGCGCCGTCTGAGAGGAGCCAACGTGAACCAGCTCATCTACTATAGGGACATGCGCATCTCTCTGTCAGTGCTCTCCTCGAACGTACAACAAGACATCCCTTTTTGATGTCTCCTTTCTTTCTCTTCTTTTCTCACTCTTGCTCTAGAGGGCTGCTAGCCACAATCCTTCGCCGCCTCCGACGACTAGAGTAGTTGCCGAGCGCCCGTCGGTCCCCACAGCTTCGCCACCCTGACGCGCCCTTACCGCGAGCTGGACCTCGGACGCGTTGGATTTCAGGGAGCCTTCCACGACGGTCTCACCACGGCGCGTGTACGACGCATTGCATGTGCACCAACCAGACGCGCCGGCAGCTGCGCTGTGACTCGAGAGCGGTGGACGGCCGACTGAGCAAAATCCACCGAAGGTGACCCAGACCACTGGTAGCTCTCTGGCGCCAAGAAGGGGTGTGTATGCCGTTAGCTGTAGATCCCAGCTCCAGCTGGCTGACTGGGTCCCCTGGTCAGCGACACCCTTTGTGATTTACCGTGCGCGGAATTCTGTCTGGCCACGGGCCTGGCTGCTGGATCCTTGTATGTTCGCTGTGGGCACGAGCGTGAACTTGAAAGGCCCGTGACTAGACACGGTACAGTAAGCGGAGCGGTGGCATCAATGACGTGCATAGCCATCCCGGATTCGTCAAGCCGCTGACGGTAACATTTATATTAAAATTCCCGAGAGACGAGGCTTGGTTGACTCGGCGCGACTGCTTACGAGAGTGACCGGCTCCTCGCAGTTCAGAGGAGCGCCACGAAGGTCATCCTGCGATCAAAAGTGAATTGCCGACCCGTGTCACATTGCGCCGCGTCTACCTCGTCTTTTGCGGCGGGCTCACTCAGCATGCCTTTACCTTCCACCTCCTCCTTCCCCTTTCCTCCACAACCTCCCACCACCACAACTGCTCCTCAGCTCTCCGCGCCACGCAGCCAACGACGACCACACGTTTGACTCCACTCCGCAGCCACTACCATGTCTTCCGAAGAAGAGGAGATTGCCCGCACCGGCGGAAAGAGTCACAAGAAGAGGAGAATTGGGCGTGCCTGCGACATGTGCAGGCAGAAGAAAGGTGCGTGCGCCATCTAGTGCTGTACCTGTCGGTGTTCTAATCCTCATACAAAGTCCGCTGTGAGTACCAAGATAGACGACCCTGACGCGAGCTCAAACCCCTCCTGAAGGCGATGGCGAAGATGGAAAGCGATGTACGAACTGCATCACATTCGATGACCGGTGCACGTACGTACACAGTGCCCCAAAGGTGTGTCCCCACCTCTCTGACACGCAGATTTCGCTGACACGGCTCAGCGTCGCACTCGTCCGAAAGGGTAAGTGTACGCTTTGTGTCGAGGCTGTCATATATTCAGCGCTTGCAGGTACGTGGGACGACTGGAACAGCGTGCAGCACAGTTGGAAGAGCTGCTGAACAAGGTGTGTGTTGGGTATATCCACAGCCCGCTCTCTGTCTCAGTAGCGCCACGACCAGCTTTGCCCGGGCTTTGACCTTCTCGAAGACTTTGGAGCGGCAGTAGAAGAGAGCTCCAAGATCAACGCAGAGCAGGAAAGTGACGAAGAAGAGTTCAGAGCTGGTCTTGAGCACTCTCTCTCCGGTTCCGGTCCAGACTTCTCGCATGCCATCCCACCATCCCTCGGCTCGCCGCCCATACCTGCTCCAAATAGCTCTCCAAGTGCACTTTCTGCTGTGCCCAGTTCCGCAACTCTGAACAGGCACCTGCAGGGCCGCTCGCAGCCCCTCAATGTGACGACGGACGACGTGGACCTGTTGCCGTCCGACGACGACCGGACGACACGCAGCTCACTGTCGAAACGGCTGGACCAGATTCGGAACACCATACGGTTCTCAGACGTCGAGATGGACGCTGAGTCCCCCTTGTCAGCCTCGTCGCACGATTTTGACAGCCCAGGGCCCTCGCACATGCACGCACGGAGCATGTCCACCGGGTCGCTGACGAGACGCTCCTCTGTGCCGCCCCTGAATCAGAGCGCACTGACCGCATTCGTAGCTGACAAACGATTCTTTGGAAAGAGCAGCCACTTTTCCATATTGAAGACCGCCGTAGACATGAGGAGCGAGTACTGGCGCAGCGCCGGGATCCTCGGAGGCGCCTCCCACGAAACGGAGTCCGACAGCCCGAAAGAGGACCAGCAAGGTCAGAGCCCGCTGCAGTCTAACGAGGACGAGACAGAGGGGAGAGTAGACCAGCCCGACCTGTTACCTTGCGGCTGCCCGAACTACGGCGCACTCCACCCAGTAAGCCCCTCCCTGCGCTCCCGTCCCGCAACCAACGTGACTCACACGACGTGGTGAACCCTGCCTACCTACCTCAGTGGGCGCTCGCGGTGACGCCCACGAAGTTCGTCTTCCCGCACGCGGCGCTCCTGCGCTCGCTCGTCGCGACCTACTTCGACGTCCAGAACACGTACGTCCCGGTCCTGCACCGGCCGACGCTCGAGCGCGGCATCGCCTCGGGCCGGCACCGGCGCGACGAGGACTTTGGCGCCGTCGTCCTCCTCGTGTGCGCCCTCGGCTCGCGCTGGGCGACCGAGCGCACCGTGCTCCTCGGCGTCGGCGACGACGAAGGCCGTGCCCTCGTCACCGTGCACGACTGTCCCCCGCGCGACCACCATGACCACCACTGCCACCCCCTCCACCACTCGCACCACCACCGCCAGAACCAGCAGCAGCACGGGCCCGAGGGCGTCCCGGACGACTTCTGGCGCGAGGGCGAGGATGACGAGGAGTGGCACTCTGCGGGGTGGAAGTGGTTCAAGCAGGTGCGCTTCGGACGCAAGGCGCTGTACGGCGCGCCGAACCTGCTCGGCCTCCAGCTAGCGTGTGTAAGCAAGTCCCTTTTTGCGCGTCCTTGGCTCCCCCGTTTCGTTTGCTGTTACTGAGCAGTGCACCGTTTCTGCTTTTTTTAAAAACAGCTGGCGAGCATGTATCTCAGGGGCTCCTCGAGCCCTGAGGCGTCGAGATGGATCACAGGCGTCGGCCTGCGGCTCGCGATGGACATGGGTGCGCACAGGGGAAAGTCGTACAGCGCCACGCCAACGGTCGAGGAAGAGCAGCACAAGCGCGCGTTCTGGTCGGTCCCCCTCGTCCTCATAAGCGATTTATGTGCGCTGACGGGATGGGTTCGTCGTGTGTGCCCCCCAGGTCTCTGCTGTACCTCGACTGGGCCATCAGCCCCTCGCTGGGCCGGCCGTGCGCGATCCAACACGAAGAGTAGGTGGTTTGCTGTTTGGCGCTCCAAGTGCCGTTCGATTCTAACGAGTGTGCGCAGCTTCGATCTTGATCTTCCGGTGGAGTGCGACGACGAGTACTGGGAGCCGTCCAGCTCGTCCAGCCCGGGCTTCGCCCAGCCGCCGGGGAAGCCGGCGATCGTGATTGCGTTCAACTGCCTGCTGCGGCTCACGCAGATCCAGGCGTACGCACAGCGCACGATCGTGAGCACCGGTTCCCGCGAAACCTTGGCGCCCGCCCGCAATGCTGACCGGTCTCCTCCCGCAGTACTCGACCAGCAAGTCCAGGACGATCCTGGGATTCGTCGGGCCGCAGTGGGAAGAGCGCATCGTCGCCGAGCTCGACTCGGCGTTGAACAGCTGGCTCGACAGCCTGCCGTCGCACCGTACGTCTTACCCGTCTCTCGATTAGTTTCCGCCTTGGTCCCCTTTCGGCTCAGTTCCCTATTTTGTTGGCAGTCAAATGGGACCCGCGGAATCCGAACACGACGTTCCTGTCGCAGTCGGCCATGCTGCACGCTGCGTTTTACAACCTGCAGATCACGATCCACCGGCCGTTCATTGCCTCGCGCCGCGGGGTGCCCTCCACGACGTTCCCGCCCATGTCGCCGTCCGCGCGGTTTCCCAGCCTTGCGATATGCACCAACGCCGCCCGGTCCTGTGTCCACGTCTCCGATGTACTCTGTCGCAGGCTGGGCCAGGGCACACACTCGTCGCTCGGGGCGTTGCATCACAACATGGTGCGTCTGTCACCGCGAGAGAGAGAAAAACGCTGTCCTCGACACTGACGCGGTCGCGCGCGCGCGCGCATGCAGATACCGCTCTTCACATCCGGCATCGTCCTGATGTTGAACATGTGGGCCGGCAACGACAGCCGCCGGCAGCTCGGCGACAGGAGCGTCGCGAAGGAGATGAAGGAGATGGTAGACGTGCACAAGGCCATGGACATGCTCAAGGTCATGGAGGTCCGGTGCGTTTCGTTCCCGTCTGGCCCCCCTCGCGTCCGCACACACACACACACACTGACGTATCAGCCGCAGGTGGCACACCGCCGGCCGGCTGTGGGACATGCTCTACGAGCTCGCCGTCGTCTGGGACCTCCCCCTGCCGTCCTCGAGCCATGCCGCGGTCATCCGCAGCATCAAGCAGCACCGCGGGCCTGCGCGCGGCCGGCCGAGCGAGCCCGACGCGAAACCGCAGCAGCAACAGCACCAGCAGCACCAGCGGCGCGCCACGGTCTCGGTGGCCGCCCTGCAGCGGCGCGCGACGTCGCAGAGCCCGGCCTCCGGAGGCGGCGGCGCCGGTAGGCAGCGGATGGCGAGGCTCGACCTCGACGTGTACCGCACCGACCCGGCCGCGCCGTGGCTCGAGTACGACCTGTCGCCGTCCGTGTTCAGCCAGCCGCAGCAGGAGGGATCGTCCCCAGGTCAAGGCCGGCGCGGCGCGGAAGAACCCGCCGCCTTGGACCCGGCGCTGGACTCGATATTCACGGTGCGCTCGCGGGACAAGGCCGCCGCTGCCGCTGCCGATGGTGATGACGGTGATGATGGCGCGCCGCCCGCGGACTGGAGCCGCCACCGCCCGCTGCACCAACACCTGCACCAACAGCGGCAGCATCCCCCGACGTGGACGTCCAACGCCGACTTTGGCGCGAACCCAGTGGAGAGCGAGGTGACGATGGTGACGGCGGCGGTGGCGGCGGCGGCGGTGGCGGCACCTCGGCCGGCGATAACCATGGACACGATCGCGCAGGTGCTCGACACGATCCAGAGTCGGCAGGCCGAGTGGCCCGTCCCGCCGCCGCAGGGCAACGAGTGGCCCACGGCCGGGAGCCTGTCTATCGACGCTTACCCGCCGCCGCCGCCGCCGCCGGCGTCGTCGGCGTTCCCGGCGGGCGCAGGTGCGGAAACGGACGCTGCGGGCGTTCGGCAGGAGACGTGGGCGATGTGGCATTCTGTGCCGGACGGGTTCGAGTGAGTCTTTGTCGTCGTAGTCGTCATCGTCGCCCGTGTTTCCTGACCGGCTGTTTGTTCAGCTGGGACGAGTGGGGGACGTACATCAACGCTATGGGCTCGGGGTACCCCGGCAGCGGCGCGCAACTGGCTGAGGGCGGCGACGGCGGCAGCAGCAGCCATTCTGGTCGGGCTTTCGGGGCGGCGCTTGACGCTGCTGGGTTCACGCCGCCGTAGGCGGATTGTGTGTCTCTGGATTGACATGACCCTGTAGATATTAATACACGAATTCATAGGCGTCTTTAGGATCGACCGCACGCGGGAGCGAACTGTGATCAAAGTTCGCAAAAGCTAGGTGATGTCTGGCTCCTCTGGATTGCCATTGTAAGAAATAGATACCATGTCCGAAAACCATATACTATCCGTGTACATTTGAAGTGGTGTTAATATGAGAATGTAGCTATAGCAAGCAGCACAACTAATAAAAAGTCGACCCCGTTCTGTCCGAAATGGGGTTTTATATCCAACTTCCCCTTTACACTGCACTGTCAATCAAGGCGGTGCGAGTATGTTTGATAGTTCTCTCACCCTCGCTCACATTCAACGAGGCTTAAGACGCCTCGTGCGTGAAGAGACGGAAAGACCCTCTGGAGGCCTCTCCGCACTTCCGCCAAGGGTATGAACCCGTCGTGGACGAAACGGACGGTCTCGACATGCCTGTACCTCGCGCTCTCTACCTCTGCCGCGAGCGCTTCGAAGCCGTCGGGGCTCTCGGGGTCGAAGGACTTGGCGAGGGTGACGTGGAAGGTCAGCGTCTGGAGGTTGTCTGCGGGCACCTCCGCCAGGAAGGCGATCATCGCACGTGACAGGGGGTTGTGCAGGGCCAGCGAGCGTAGGGCGCGGCAGGGCGCGACACTGATGGCGCCCTTGATAACTGTGCAAAAAAGAAAAAGATGGGCAAATGAGGAACGTGATGAGCGACGGCTTTGTGGCACGCGTCAGCGGGGGCGGGGGGAGAAGGGGCGCACTTACGGTCGCACTCCCAGGACGAGCTGAAGAGCGCCTGGAGCTTGAGGCCGAGGTGGTCGAGGGTGGGGCCGATGGCGGCGAGGAGGGTGTTGACGGGCTTGGCGTCGAGGACCTTGACGGCGAGGTCGAGGGAGCGCACGGTATGGCGGGCCTCGGACTTGTGGAACCAGTCGAGGAAGTCGGCCATCGTCGTCGACGGTTGGACGGCGAAGTCGAGGGCGAGCGAGGTGAAGCGCGGGCGGCAGATGAGCGGGGGCGGTTGCCAGACGTTGACCATGAGCGGGAGCATGCCGAGCACGGCGAGCTCCTGGAGGTGCGGCAACGAGCAGGCGAAAGCGCGGAGGGTCGGGATGTTGACGGCGGAGTCGTCGAGCACGAGGCGGGTGACGGAGGCGAAGGCGGTGAAGGCCCTGAAGAACTTGGCGTCGCAGTACTCGGCGGCGTCGGAGAGGCGCTCGAAGCGGATGGCGCGGACTTGGGGCAGGAAGGCGGGGAGGACCCTGGGTATTCGGGCGACCCATTTGATGCTGGCCCGGTAGGTTTTGGAGGGCGTGAAGGGCCCAAAGATGAGCTCTCGAACGCAGAGGCCGATGTCAGGGTCGACCTGGACCAGGTCCTCGAGCTCGGACAGCTTGTCCTCGTCTTTTACGGTGACCCGGCGGAAGGTGTACGAGCGGGCGACGGCGTTCCAAGCCCTGGAGACGGAGGCGCAGGCTTGCAGTGCGTGCTTGTCGTGGCGGACATAACCAACGATCTCGTCGATGAGCTCTACTGGGAGGAGCGTGCCCTCCCTCATCGGGCGTGTGCCTGGGACATGATCAATGAGGCCGGCCTGGCACATATCGAGGGCTCTCCGCTCACTTCTCCCTGCGGTCAATGCGAACACTACAAGCCAGCACTCGGGAAATGAGAACAGAATGGCCGTGCCCAGCGTCGTCAACAACCGTCGCACACCATCCAGCCCGAGTCCGACCCGCCAGCCGCCAGACCACGTGCAGTTTCCGTCATGTCCCGAAAAAGGAAGATCTTGTCGGACGTCCGAGGACAGGGAGATGTGCGTCCTCCAAGCTTGCGTTGGCTGATTCTCTTAGACAGCACATAGCACACAGCAAGCCAGAACTAGTTCACAGCCAAGAGAGTTTCATTCCAATTCGGTCCTAGTGTTACAAGCGCGGGCGATGCACCACGTAACTTTAGTGCTCTCCAATGTACTTTTCAAACCAACGGAAAACTTCATAGTGCCACTTCAAGCTGCCAGAAACGTCAGCAAAGCTCGGCTGACTGCGCAGTGACCCACCTGTTGCCGTGATTCTGCACCCAGTGGTTCTCGTCCGGGAAGATGACAAGCCGGCTGGGAACGCCAAGCCTATGGTAAAATGCGTGAGCGGGATCGTCAAAGCTAGGGAGTGCAAGACGTTTACTGTTGCAGAGCGTGGAAAGCACCGATACCATCAGTCTCGGGGAGGCGATAGTCCTTGCTGCTATGGACGATTAACATCGGCGTAGACCAGTTGGAAACAAACTCCACGGGGTTGTATCTACCCAGCGGGATTAGTCGTCGTCATGACGCACGAGGGAGAGCCGACGAACTTTTTGATCGTCTCCTGGGCCTTCGAGTCCCATGGACGACCGCCCCACTCGTGGTTAAACTAGAGGAATCGTATGGGCACACGAGTTAGAACAGCCAAAGGCGGCACGACACGCACGAAGAACAGTTCGTCGGTAGAGTAGCCGTTGTAACGAGCGTCGAAGACACCATCGTGGCAGAACAAAGCCTTGAAGCCGAAGTCGTACTCAGGATGTCCCTGGATCCAGCTACAAGGCACAGTTGGTATTCGACCTGCCTGCTGTATAAACCACACTCACTTAATGGCGTAGCCTCCCCAGCTGGCACCGGCCGCGACCGCCTTGTTGGGATCAACCTCGGGGAAGTTGTCGAGGACATACTTCCATCCTTTCCGCAAGTCGTCGAAAGGCTTGCTGCCCCAGTTCTCCCGGATTGCATCGGTCAGCTCTGAATAGACAGCCGATATCAGCACACTTCCTACACGACGAGCGAATAATGGTACATACCTTGGCCGAATGTCGTCGAACCGGTGGGGTTGATGGCGACAGTGAAGTAGCCCTGCTGAGCGAACACTACACCCCTTTCAGCGGCAGATCGACTTGGTTTAACACTACATCTACCTTGAGGGTTCCAACGAGTCGACCACTGATCCTCCCAGGCACCCTGGGGTCCACCGTGAATGAGTAAGATGATTGGATACTTCTTCTTTTCGCCCGCCTTGAACCCCGGTGGCTTCACGATCCAGCCGTGGATCTTATGCTCCACCCCATCGAAGTAGAAGTCTTCGCCGGCATTCAACGTCTTCCCTTTGAGAGCATCCGCAGTGAACTTGGTCAACTGCTCGACCTTGATGTCCTTTTTGAATTCGCCAACTAAGTCTTCCTTGAGGTTCCGCAGCACAAACACGTCATTCGGCGCCGTCAGGCTCGAGCGCGTGAACACAAGTCGGCCATTGGAAAGTACTTGGATCCCAGAGACTGCGCCAGAGTCGGTGATGGCTTCTGGGAGAAGGTCGTCGGGAAGGTTCGGATGGGTCGTAGACTCCTTCGGGGTATCTGGCAGCGTAATGGCGAATACCTTGACGCGTGCAAGGTCGCCCGCCGTCAAGTACAGGACCTTGCCCTCAGGAGAGAACTGGCGACACGCCTCAGAGATCTGCTCGGAACGAAATGATGATGGCTTACAGCAAGCTCAGCCGCACTGCGATCCCACTTCTGAGTCAACGTGTATCTGACGTCCTTCTTCAGATCATATATCACGACCTTGGCCCTGCTATCCTTCAGCTTCACGATCTCCGCTCGTCATCATAGGTTACTCACCTATCCGATTCGTAGCCATCGAGATCGAGCTCAGTCCAGGCTGCCTTGTCGCCCTGCTGACTGAACACAGGTCCGTGTGTCGCACCCTGCTTGCCAGACGTCAGCTCCCGAGGCTTGGACTTGCCCTCGATGTCTACGATATAGACGTTCTGCTTGGTGTGCCAGGCTGGTGGCAACTCCGCGTCCTTCGTGGTGTACACAACATGCGTGCTGGACACGTCAAAGTCATCTGTGCCACCAAACGGTTCGACAGGAGCGTGCTAGATCGAGGCTCAGCAGGGCATCCTTCGCAACTGAACGAGGACATACATGCTTTGTGCCGTTCAATAGGTTCACGAACTTCTCTCCCAATGCCCATTTGCCGTCCTTGCCCTTGCTCAACGTGACTGAGAACAGCGTGCTCCGCTTCGGTCCGACCCACTCGTCCCAGTGTCTCTCGAACGTCTCGTCATACACAAACGCCGTGTCCCCACGGTTCTCCCATTCCTCATCTTGTTTCTTGACTGTCCTAAGGTCGCCGTCGGGGAAGACGTTGTCCGAAAAGACAAGGAAGTTTGATTTGCCGCTGAACCTGAAGTTGGAGGCCGACGCCGTCGGGAACTTGCCAATGAGTACGGGACTCTCGGGGGTGCTGAGGACAGTGGCACCGCCACTCTCGGTCTCGAACTTGACGGACAAACCGTAGAGAGCCTTCACCTTGTCTTTGCCTTCGCCTTCATCAACGGCATGGGCGATGGTACGCGTGTCCAGCCAGAACGCATCACCGCCGTTGGCGAGCGGGACTTCCAGAGGCTGGGCCGACGACTCGATGGGCGCGATGAAGATCGACTTGTGGTTCCTGTCCGACGCTGTCAGCCTGTGCGCTGTCTACGACGTCGTGGTCGCTCACTTCTTGTCGTCGAGCGAGTACTTGCTCAGGGACACGATGCAGAGGTCTCCAGCTGAGTTTGCGGTGGCTGTCCCCGGCCTGGCGAGCTTGACGAGGTCGATGGGCGAGAACAGCTCTGCACCCTCCTTGAAATTGAAGTCCTTGATGCCGTACGATGCAACCATGTCTGCTGCAGGACTCGCAGGGCGTGGTTCGAGGGGAACCTGGGCAACAAGGCCCAGGAGGGAAACGGGCAGACCCAGACCTGAGAACCACATCGTGGTCGAACCTCAACGTGCGGGGATCCGGCCTATCTCACGCAAGAAACGCGTTTGTATGCGTCACGGCCATGGTGACCACACGCGCACCACAGTCAGCCCGGCCGCAAAGGTCCTCCCGAGCTTGGCACCAGGAAATTCTCCATAGATCCCCATTTACAACTTCTCCTCGTCGCGCAAAACACATAGGCCGGCCTTGGTATCCATGAGATAGTATTTGAGTGCAGTGTACCTAGGCTATGACAACGGGGACTCACATCACGAGGAAAGGGCAGCACATGCTGAGGTCGGTCACAGGGCGCTCCTGTTTCCCACCGCCAACGTCGACGACCACGGCCGCCATTCATGTCGAACGACACTCCCACGCCGACGGCAGAGGACAAGTCTAGATACGATGCCGCGAAGAAAGAGCTTCTGCAAGCCTTGGCGAAGAAGAGGATGGTAGACAAGTCGCTCGTAAGTCATGGGCGTCGCGCGTGAACCGAGCAGCTGCTCAACCGAGACCGCGCAGGCGCAGCTCGAGGTACAGATATACAACTTGGAAGGCAGCTATCTCACAGAGACAGCCATGCATAGTGGAGGCAACATCGTCCAAGGTTTTGATGGCTACCTCAAGAACGCTCCAGGCGGCAGACGGAAGCACGAAGTGAGCGAGACGGACAGGATGTTCTCAAACAGCAGTATGACATTCAAGAAGGTGACGACGCTATCTAGTACACCTAGTATCTACGGTAATAGTGTTCTCGTTGCACTGTAGGCTCTCGAGCTTTCCGGCGAGGGCGAAGAATCCACCGCCACAGCCGATGATCATCCGTCACGCGGTCCCACCCCAGGCCTCACTACTGTCGTCGTCCCTCCAGCGAAGCAAGAGTCTACAGCCGCCGCTCAGAAGAAGCAGCGCGACAGGGAATACCAGAGGAAGAAGCGAGCCAGCATGAGTGCAGCACGCCGTAGTCAGCAGCTGAGTGACGACGAGAGCGTCGCATCCACTGCATCCAGCCGCCGGCCCACAAAACGCGCGCGCATGGCAGACGATGACTGAGCTTCTGCGTGGGTATGCCGGTTTGTATGTATTCTAGATGTACAATTACTCAGTATATATGGCAGTGGCACGTCACCTCGTCAATCATATATCCAAGGTGCCAAGGAACTTCTTCACGCCGAGCTCATCCATGCCCCCGCCGTCGGGGTCTACAGCTTCGATGCAACGCGTTACGGCTATTGTGTGCTTAGGCTCTTTCGTGCTGATCCAGACGCGACCGTTGACTCCAATAGCGACGTCCAGAGGGAATTTCGAGCCTAAGAGGGGGAGGAGGAAATGGCTTGGATCGAGGAGCCTGCGGGGGCAATTGGTGCTAGATCCAACGCAGACTGGGCGTGGGCTTACATTCGAGACATTTGAAGGCTACATTTGGCGAGGAAACCTCCCTTAAGCTCCCCAAACCCTTCCGCCTTCCGCGTCTGAGCGTCGAAGCATTCCAGCTCAGGCTCCATATCCTTGTGGGCTAGCGATACTCTTGCATACAGCAATGATCCAACCTGGTCCGCGTCAGCCAGTAAGTGAGATATGCCGTTATGTATATACCTTGAGATTTGGCCTGTTCCTCTTCGTTGCACCTTCGAAAGCCAGACCGTCTAATGAAGCGACGTGCGCGGAGCCGATGTCGACTCGCCAATTGTCGCCACTTCTTGCGATTACGACACCGATGACAGACTCCTGAGGTGCCGGAGCATACTACAAAGCTGAACGTCAACGTAGAAATATTCAGAAAACGACATTGTAGACTTACCCGCCTCGAATTGCTCTCGATCCACCATTGCCGGTTATTGGCCGTGTGCTTGAGCTCCCCTGCGCGAGTTGAGATGATGGAGCTGCTCTTCTGTGCATCCGAGACCTGCAAGAGACCAGGGCCGAGCTTGAGGTTTACATGTTGAGCGGGCACAGACTCTCCTGGCAGAACGTAGGTCATCATGAGAAGAGAGCAGGCCGAAGCGAAGTGCAGAAGTTGCCGCCCGCGCGCAGACTCGATTCGGCCAATCCGCAAGCTTGACTCTGACCACGATGGCGACCGCTCTGCTCAGGGACTTTCCCGAGCTATCACATTTAACGTATGATTGCCCTTTGCTCCGCATTCACAACGCTTAGAATGTCATAGGCGAGAGGACCTCGAAGACCTCCTCGCGGACCCGGTCTATTTCCAGGCCATTTTCCACTCTCTGGACAGGGTGAAGGCCCTGTATCAAGCTCAAGCCGAGCTTGGGATGGCAAACGAGTCTATAGCCAGTACGCGCACTCGTATTCTGACTATGTACCTCTGCTGAGCGTGCCAGAGAATAATCTCGCGCTTCAGGAGTCCTTGTACCAGCTGCGCAGCGATACTAAGGACGCGTTTGACGAGGCCAAGCAGCTAGAGGCCCGCTGGAAGGAGGTTGAGCGCGAGCAGAGAGAGCTCTACCAGGTGCGCCTCGTGTCACTGTCGTGCTATGCAACTCGGCTCACGGCCCAGCAGCGACATGACCCCCAGTTCCTGCTCATGCGCCTCAAGCACGCGACGACCGCCCAGGACGACCTATCCGAAGCGTCGGCGTTGAGCTTCATCAAGAGTGTACCGGATGCAGTACCAAACGGCAAGGATGTGGACGACTTTGTGAAGGAGTTTAGAGAGCTGCGTAAGACGTACCACAGGAGAGTGATCTTTGGCGACCGCTGGTCGGCGGAGGAGGTTGCTGGATTTTAATGAGATGTAGTAACGCTGTAAGCAACTTCGTGAACTGGACAGTGCGGCTTTCTGGTACCCCTTTCAGATATGTTCGGACATTTGTTGTACTGCCGTGATTCCGTCGGATGTACATTGTCATCTAATCATTGAAGATACAGTACCGGTTCATTGTTGTCTCGTCTCTCCATCAATCGTCTGATCCGCAGATGTGAAACGATTATAGCGCAACCGACTCAAGTACTTCTTCTATCTGCCGTACCGAACGGAGCTTTCAAACGAAGCTGCATGATCGACCATTCGCCTTTGGCTTTCCCAATGCGTAACTGGCCATACTCATAGTTGAGGCAATTCGTCATTCATGAGTCATGACGACTTGTTTCACTTCAGGAATGATGAGCTTGCGCACACGTGCACTTTTGGGGGGCATGAGGCCGACTGCAGCGGGAGAAATCCGCCAGTCTTGGCGCCCTCAATCTTTTCATCATCGACGTCATCTTATCTTCTGGAGGTCCGTTGACAGCATATCGGAAACAATGTCTTAGAGATTGACTTCCCACAGAAACGACCATGGCTATGTTATCAGTGATGGGGCAAATACTAGCATCCGAACCTTTTACCTGTGCAGTGCAAGACTGTATCGGGGAGTATTTTACAAATTGGAAGTCGTTAGCTTCCTGCGGGTCTTCGCTGCAGATGCTGAAGAGTTTACACAGCACAGCATAAACTTTTGTACGAGCTCGGAGCTCAAATCGCGTCTCGCGAAACGGCAGCCTGATACTTTGGTTCGGAGTGGCGCGGTGGCGCGTCGGAGCGATCTGCTAGGTAAACAGACTTTTAGCAACGATTTCACTTCCCGGCAGGCGGACCTAACGGCTCCTGACGGGCTTTCGGGAGTTGGGCTGTCACCGACTGGCGGAAAATCCCTCGACCCTGGACGATCGTAGGATCGTCCCTCGTCAGCTGCTGAAAGAGGTAGTGGACCCTTAACACCTCACTGAGATATCACACCGTTACTGATTGCCAGAAGCTTCCGAAGAAGAGTTTCCGACACAACGGCCCAAGGATACTTCTACCGGCAGGGTCCTATTTGTTGTCTCCGGCGATTATGAAAATTCCGGTAGACGGGATAGGTAGATGCTGCCCGCGCGCGTGCCCTAGATCTCTCGATCCTTTGGCCAAAATACCAAATCTTCCACGCCTCGAGGCTCGCTGATGCACCAAACTCCCGCCCTAGCCTTTCCATATTCAGACACGAACATCCCAGTAGACGATGCAGACAAAGAGGCAACAGTTACACGTATTAATAGGGCGCGCCCCTCGCAATATTTCGACACTCTACACTCCCCTGCGTCTCTCAGCTTCACACTACCGCGCCCTAACATACTCAACTCGCGCTCACCATGCCCCCCGCTCGCCGAATGCCCCCCGCCCGCCGAAGCAAGTACTCCCCGTTGGGGGACCCCACAAGCACGTCGATGGACGAATTTGTTTTTCAGCGATGGCTCCAGGAGCGCAAGCTTCCTGCGTTTGCGGAACTTGGCCTCGACCACATGACTGTCAGCCTTCGGCCCGTGGGGAACGGCAACAAGGTATGTCAACTTCAGCTCAACGATATGCTCACACAGTATCAATGTCATCTCCGCGCAGCTCGAATGTCCCGTCTGCTCCGAGACAGTTGTGACTAATAATGAGATAGCCAAACATCGCCATGAGCTTAGCCAGAAGCATTCCGAGAACATCGCGCAGATGCTCGGCGTCGATGTTGCGGTCGTGGCTCCGGTGAAATACATGTGCGGGATATGTCCTAAGACGTACGTTCGCGACCGGTTCGAGATGCATCTTCACCTCCCTCACTGCCGCACAGATTTAACAGACCAGACAGCCTGAACCGTCACTTAGCAGCAAACACCTGTGCCAAAGTTCTCGCACGGGCCAGCGCCGCTCCCTCGCAGAAGAAGTCGAAAGGCCCGAAGCACAAGACCGCCCGCAAGGCCAGCTGTCCCGCGTCGCGTGAGACTTCAGAAGAATCAACGCCCTCTCCGCTGCCCTGCCCTTTGTCTCTCCCATCATGCTCCCGTGGCTCTCCCTCGCCCGTCCACTCGACCGCATCCTCCTCCTTTACGACCCCTTCCCCTGTGCCCTCGTCCTTGTCTTCTCCGTCGTCCGTTTCTTCTTCTCTGCCCTCTTCTCCATCGTCCGTTTCTTCTTCTCTACCCTCTTCTTCTTCTTCTTCTTCTTCTTCTTCTTCTTCTTCTTCTTCGTCTTCGTCTTCCTCCCCATCTTCGTCTTCGTCTTCCTCTCCACCTTCCTCTTCGTCTTCCTCTCCATCTTCATCTTCCTCTTCCTCTTCGTCCTTCCCCACCCCCATCGTCTCGGCCTGTTCCTTCATTTCGCAGCCTGCGACGCCATCCTCTTCCTCTCCCACTTCTAGTTCATGCTCTGCATGCCCGCCCATCGATACCATCGAAGAGCACTACGTCGCATCCGAGAGCGCGTCCCCACTGCCTGATGCCAAGTTCGAGTCCTCGCCTCTCACAGAAGACGACGACTTTGACGCGTTTCCCCTCTTCGACGACGCGTCGATGCCTATGTACGCGCTCTCAACCAGCTTCTCCAGCTTCTCGACAACCAGGCTGGCCTGGTCCTTTGGCGAAGGGTTGCGAGAGGAGTACTCCCTAGACGACTTTCTGGCGTCGCTGGATTCTGTATTCAATTGATCCGAGCTCTGTATCTGCCTGTACTCCCTGTTGTATTTGTATCCACTGCGTCGCATCTGTACTTCGAACATGTTTCCTCTCGTCCATTCCCCCACTCCATTTGTATCGAGGTTTTAGCATAGATTTTTGTGCATCGAACCCTGTGCATGTGCTTTCTGCACAGATATCGCGGAACTTTGGTACATCAATTGTGTCCAAAATTTTATGGCGCTCGATTTTCTCCCGTGCTTCGGTGGGGATAAGATTTAAATTTTGGGAGATTTCCGAAGGATAGCTCGCCTACGACGAGCCAAAGGTACTTTGGCTCCTGAAACATCGAGACTTCGCCGAGGACATAAGCATGCCCGGGTGATGACCTGCCTAAAGAAATCTCCCCAGGCCAACCCGGCATTTTGTAACGGTTCGGCAATCCGCGGCAAGGTACCTCTCTAATGATGGTCTAGTAATGGTCTAGTCGGCTGGACAGGCATCGGAAGCGACGGCCTTCAATCTCGAACATCGGGCGGGACATGACGTGATGCGATGAGAGGGTGAGACACGATATCTTCTTGCCGTCGGTGCTTTAGCCTTTGTACAGTACACGTGCCCGCACCAGATCGCACAGGACCGCACTCACCGAGTGGCGAGTGCCTCATCAGGGACTGCTTTAGTCTCACATGTGGGAGAAATCACAAGCTAGAGGCGCAAACGATATGGCATATCGCAGTGCTTGGGAAGCATTCCGATCAGTGAAAATCTATGGAACGATGTATATGCCGCCGATGGGAGAGGGAGACACAGATAAGTTGAATAAGTCTCCGAAGGTCTTAACTGCGCTCGATCCGGACCCCGTGTACCCCCGACCGTGCCGCATCGTACTATATGCGGCCATGATGCTGTGTTGCATCAGTATATCAGTCTGCAGTCCTACATATGTTACGGCCTAACTTTACTATACACATGGCAGCGTTGTGAGTGGCACATAGCGTATACTTAGCTCAAAGTATAGTTTGTTTGCATGATGCCAGTGCCGTCGACCACCGCCGCTTAAGAGGTTCAATGCGCGGGGCAGTTGTGGCACTCCACAGCAAACGCCTGGAGATAGCTTGCATATTTAATGTCGAAGCGCGGTACACTGTAAGCTGTGTACTAGTACACTAATACTTCGTCAGCTTCGCATGCCTCAGATCCACTTCGCTTAGTTCCTTGAGCGCAGTAATCCGTGCGAATAGCTCAGGAGCGCCCTTAAAGGCAGCAAAGAATCGCTACACGAAGGGCATCGCATCAGGTACGTCTAGTATTAGGTTTTAAAGCACGTACCTCGACGCTGTGCCATCCAAGGCAAATCATGAACTTCCTGTCGTTCTCGACAGTAGGACCCCAGCCGCCTTCAAACACTTCATTTGGGAGTGTGCTGTAAATCTGAGGGACGATTGTCTTCGCGGTTTCCAGGTACTGGGATGTCTCGACCGAGTCCTTCACGGTCATGAGTGCGAGCTCGGTGGTGGGGGCATTCAGCGCTTTGTCGACCTCGGCGTTGAAGTGGACGTGGTACAGCCAGACTCTGCCGTTTGAGACCTTGCGCATCTTCTCGCCGATGGCGGGGTAGGCAACTTGGTCTGCTATCAGCGCGCGATGATGCTCAACGCTCTCCCAGACTATCGTAAATGGTCAGCACTACGATGGTTGGCAAACTTTCCAGACGCTTACGGATCACGGCGTAGAGATATTGGGGATCTTGAATCTCAAGACCGTGCCAGGCACTAGAGAATGATGTTAGCATAATAACACTACGACTGTTCAAGGAGAGGAATAGTGTAGTACGCGATGAAACCGGGGGTCTTCGCGAGGATTTCGAGGGCCTCGTTGACAACAGTGGGGTCGGCGCGATAGGCATCGCTTGCGACAAGTTTCGCTATCTCAGCGACTGGAAGAGGCATTGTACTTCTGTGGTAGTGGACTGGTAAAGATTATTTACGCCTCGCACGGCTGGTATTATATAGTGCAGCGTCGTGCAGCCATCACTCGATGTTTGGTTCCAGTCTGCTTAGATGAAGGGGGAACAAAGTTGCACCACATTACAAAGCGAAGGACGCGCCGGAACCGACGCGTCAGCAGCACGCTCGAGTAATGACGTTCCAGGGGACGGCATGCCGTGCGAAGGATTATGCCCGGCGGTTTCTCCCGGGGGCGAGAGCCCATGAGCATCAGTGCGGAGGATAGTTGCAAGTAGAAATTTCCTGTCATGAGCTCCTGGTGACCAATAGATGTGCTTCTTGGGTACGATACGGCTATGGAGGACTCACCATAATCCTCCAAATTTCTGCTAACCTTCGCGTGTTTGCCAAAGCAGTCAATCTCTCTACTACGGCTGATTTACATCGGACCGAGGCCACTGATGCAGTGCCTGTATTTTGGAAGAAGTGCTGCGCTTTGTTTGTGTGATTACACCACGCCGACCACTGTGAGTGTTTGATGATTGCCCATTGTCCGACGGGCATCGGTAAATACGCAGGTTAACTCCACTAGTCTGAGTTTATTGGATCAATGTCCTGTGGGCTTTTGCCAATGCATGCTAGCACATTGTATGGCGATCATGATGCCGATTTGCCGTAACCGGAAGTGACGAGAGAGCTCTTCGTCATGGAGTAACGCCGCGCGCGCGCTCTTGCTAGCTTCGATAAGCCAGTGTCGCAAGCGGGTTCTTAGGTCCACCACCACACCCAAAGGTGTGCTACTGTGCGCCGCCCCTAGTACTTCTCTGTGATCAGTCTCTCCATCAGCGAGTGCTGAAGTCATATCACCTGTTGTTACATTCAGTACTGACATTATGCAAGTTTCCAGCCTCGACTCTAGACTCCAGTTGCTCTCAGTCTCCAGTCTCAGTCTCTTCAACATGATAGCACGTGAGGCTTGTCCTCCCAGATGCCCGCCTCTTATATCAAACCTCACTTACCATATTTTTCCCTAGAAGAGGTTGAATGTATGTCAGGACGCCATAGGGGCAACAGGTTTCTATGAGTGATATTTCGACGCGTTTCATGCACTTCCACAGCGTGACTTGTCTATCCCTTGCGAAGATGATCTCTACACGACGGTCTCAACATGGAGCGTCGATTCGGAGCAAATATCTGGTGTACTCAGTGAACCTACACTTTCGCTCACAGTGATAGTGAGATTGAACAGGACCCTGGCATAAGTATCCTCTACCGGGTTTTGTCCTGGTGCGGCGAATACAAATGCACTCGGGAGGAATCCGGGTACAACCGGGGGCTGACGGGCGCCGCGGTAGAGTTCTGGATCGCCCGTCCAAAACGAATGTTGAGGCAAAACGCACCAAGCGCTGCGACTTCGAAGAAAAAGGGACTAATAATTGGTCAAAATACTCGAGAGCACGACGTACCGCGAACTTGGGATTTTTAAGGATTGGACCCCTTGGAGGATATGCCAAGAAGGTCCCTCGCTCCGAGAGGCGTCGGGAGAGATCAGCGGAGTTTCAATATTGCTATTGAATCTTAACGGCCGTTTCAGACTTTCAGTTCGCGCGTTGCGAACAGCGGCGAACGCGATACATCCGAGCTGTCCGTCGCTCCGAGAGTTGCATGGCTCTTGGATATCGCAGGCCATCTACTTGTGATGATTTTAATTTGGCGCAGATGCTCAGTGCACTTGACAGGTGCTGTGCAGCTCTTGGCATACAGCCTCTTAGATTCGCGCCATCCTGAAACAGCGTTCTGCCTTCCCGTAAGCCGCTCTCCTGCCCTCTTGACGCTAATGGCCATGCTCTCCACGACCTCAGCGTATGCATAACCCGCGACCGGATCTCGTGTTTCACGACGGTGACAGCGTCTGGGACGCCCGACTGCCCTGTTGCCGTCCGTGGTTGATGTATTAGCGTAAGCTGTGCCGGCTTCTTTGGAGCCTGTACCGCATTGTCGTCTTATGTTACTGACTTGGATAGGATTGCACACATTTACGCAGGGAACGTAGCGCTGCAGGGTGCTTATTGCCCATGATTCTCATCTGAAACATGGCGATAAATCATACATTGATAGCGCACATGATCGCATATGTGCATGCCTATGATTGCGCGCAATGATGCCTACAAACCTTCATGTCAACATATAGGCTCTGGCCAGCGTATAAATACCCTGGGCCTCCACCATGTAGCCCCAGCTCTGGGAGTTCCTTTCGTATAGCCATCTTCTTCGAGTCAGTACTGGTTGGTACGTAATCTCCTTTTGAAGGGTTTTATCCTTGACATTGACTGTCTCCGCACTAGCTTGACTTGTTTTTTTTCTTCTTTCATTCACATTTTATTACGACTTTCACGCGAGTCTTTACACGATCTTTACGGACGCCTACCACCTATCACATCCATCCCTACCACATATTTCAATATGCGTACCTCCACCCTCGCTGCTCTCGTTACCGTCGCCGTCGCTTCTCCGGCTTTCTCTGCCCCCATCAACACCGCTCTGTTCGCTCGCCAGACCACCGACAACAGTGGCGCATTTTCCCTCAGCGATGCGAAAGATGTCGCCGAGATAGGCACCGACATCGTCAACGCGGGCACCAGCATTTACAAGTGCGTCTTTCTCATGCGCACCGTCATCCACTTGGCTCTAACTTATCTTGGCACAGCGCTGTCAAGCAGCACCGCCGTGAACTTTTTGATGCGCTCCTGGCACGCGCAGATGAGGACAGCGGTGCATTCTCTGTCAGCGACGCCAAGGATATCGCCGATATAGGCACCGACATCGTCAACGCGGGCACCAGCATTTGGAAGTGCGTCTTTCTCATGTGCACAGCCATCCATCCGATTCTTACTTATTTTGTGATAGCTCTATCAAGCAGGGTCGCGATTTCGATGAGCTCATGGCTCGTGAGGACGAGCAGAGTGGCGCATTCAACCCGTTTAACATCATCAAAGATGGCATCACCGTTGGCACTCATATCTACAACGGGATCGAAGCCGGTGAGGGCAAGACGTAAGTTCCCCATCTACTTAGCCTTCTTCCTGGCAAATGCTGAGCCGGGAATCAAAATCTTTTGCAGCAGCAGGCGAGACCTCCTCGAGTTTTTGGCCCGCGCAGATGACGAGCAGAGTGGCGCGCTCAACCCGTTCAGCATCATAAAAGACGGCTTCTCGATTGGCAGCCACATCTACAACGGGATCGAAGCTGGCGAGGGCAAGAGGTGAGCTCCGCTCTGCACACTTTTCTTCCTGACAACTGCTAAACTTGGATCGCCCTTTGCAGCAGGAGAGACGAGCAGAGTGGCGCTCTCAACCCGTTCGACATCATCAAGGACGGCATTTCCGTTGGCACCCATATCTACAACGGAATCGAAGCCGGTGAGGGCAAGACGTAAGCATCCCCTCTACCTAGCCTTGTTCCTGGCAAATGCTGAGCTGGGGTCATCTTTTGCAGCAGCAGGCGAGACCTCCTCGAGTTCATAGCTCGCGCAGATGATGAGCAGAGCGGTGCGTTCAACCCGTTCAACATCATCAAGGACGGCATCACCGTTGGTACCCATATCTACAACGGGATCGAAGCTGGCGAGGGCAAGAGGTAAGCCCCCCTTTGTACACTTTTCTTCCTGGCAATTGCTGAACTTGGGTCGCCCTTTGCAGCAGGAGAGACGAGCAGAGTGGCGCTCTCAATCCGTTCAACATTATCAAGGACGGCGTCTCCATTGGCACTCATCTCTACAATGGCATTGAAGCTGGCGAGGGCAAGAGGTAAGCTTTCCCGCCAGATTCAGCTTAATCTCTGCTAACCGAGCACTCATTGCGCAGCAAGCGGATGGATTTCCTCAGTGAGCTTCTGGCGCGCAGCCTGGAGGAGCTTGATTAAGGGAGCTCGTGCAGGCGGGGCAGGGATGGATGTGTTTGCAAATATCAGGTCGTCCAAGTGTAATACAGTAGAATGTGCAATGCGATGGCTAGCTCTCAGATCTCATAAATTCGTCGAGCGTGAATCCACATAGATAGTATGGTCCCGAAAGCTCAACACGAAAGTTGCTAGCTACCGTCGAATGTGTCTCGTGGCTACTCTTTGCCCATATCGTACCATCCAAGCTGGTTCCCCCACGAGTTCCACATCCTGTCCACGATTCGTAGCTTCTCGTTCCGTCCAAGGGCTGAGTTTTCGAGGTCGGATACATCGTCTAGGAATCCAGCGCGCAGCCTCGAGTTGGTTGGCAAACATATCTCTGCATACGACCGCAGGCGAGTTGTCAGGAGCAAAAGAAGACCAGAAGTCCGCGAGTCGATTGCATGGTATCCAGTGTCCGTTTGCGAGATAGAAGAGGACAAGAGCAGCCTTTCGATGCGTCTACGGATATGAACATTAGTCGGTAACGCGGGCTGAGCGGGAAATAGTGCAAACCTCATCATGCTCCAGACACGGGCCCTGCGCCTGCCGCCGCCGTAGCGCCCCCTGCCCTTACTGCCAGACCAGAGAGTTTTGAGATATTGTCCGGTGATATAGACAAGAGTCATAGCAGGGGCTACGCCGACGAACGCAAACGTGAGCTCTTGCGACTTGAGCAGTTTATCAATACCCGACAGAGCTTGGTCGATGTCAACCTGATGCACAAAACGCGTCGGTTACCATACACGCTCGGTATGGGATAAATTAGACCAACTTTCGCCTTCTGAACCTGCACCAGGAGAGTCCTCAATAATGTACCTCCAATCGCGGACTTGAGCGGGCTCCGAATGTCATCCTCATAGATCCGCATGACGGATGTAAGGTCGCCGTGGCGGACCTGTTGAGACAGAGCGGTCATTTGTTCTGGGGTGTAATTGAGCTTTTCTCTAGCAAGCGCAAGTGCCATCCGTTCAAGAGACTATGGGCTATTAATCTACCGGCATATATACGCTTAACTGGATATCAACTGACCTCCAAATCGGCGTTCACACTCTCCTTGGTGATAATGACACCCTCATCGGAGCCGGCACGGACAGTCTTGACGACCTCTTTCAATGGCCCCAAGAGCCAGTCGTTCCAGAATGACTTCAAGGTTTCAACCACATAGACGGTGGTCTGCTCCAAGGAATCCCGCGAGTGGTAGAGCCAGCGAATGCCGAAAAGAGCCAAGGGTGGGAGGAACACGAGTCTCGGCCAATAACGCGTGAGTCGAGAGGGTTTGCGCAAGCCATGCTTCGAAACTTGTTCATCGTGCGAGGTTATATGCTGGGGCAGGATAGAGTCGGCTAGGAGGAAGGAAAACTCGGTCGGGCCCAGGACTTCGTTTGCAACATCCCATTGCCCGCGATCCACGGCAACGCGAAACGTACCAACGAAAGACCGAAGCAGCTCCGTGCGATCCGCCATAGTAGTCGTCTCAGCAACCTTGCTCAGGTCGCCCCGAAGCTCCAAAAGGCTGCCTAGGACAGAAGCCCTATCGTCACGTATGTCCTCGAGCATCTTGAGCTTGTACCTGCATTCGTGTCGCGACAACTCTACCGGCAACGTCACAATTTTGTAGAAAGACTGCGACAGCCGGGAGCACATTACATGGAGCCATCGGAAGACAGGCTCGATTCGAACACGCTCAGACGAGAACGTCACATTAGGCTTCGCGCGGGAGTAGGTGAAGAGTGAAGCGGGGTATGGTTCATGACGGAGGTGGGGAAACAGAGCAAGGGTGAGCGTATGTGGGCGGAGGACGCTCCGGGAGGGAAACAGTTGCTGCAGCGAACTTGGTGAGAATGATGAAAGCTGCAAGGGAAGATTTCGACTTCGCAGAGTACGTATGGTTGTATCTACTACGACGTACATACGTAGCGGTAGGGCTTGGATAATTGATGTGGTCAGCGACGTTCGTTGGATGCTGTGACAGCACGACTCACTTTGCAGGAGGTAGTACGCCGAACCGAGTCGAGATCTCTCAATATCAGCCCACCACTCCAGCTGGGTCTCTGCCTCACTTGCTTCATCCAGATATATTTCCAGGGTCTGCACGTACAGTCCAATTAGGAGCTTGACGAGGATGGCTGTTCGGAGTGCTTCGTCCTCCCCGTATGATGGACCTGTGAAGGTACCGCTCGCCTCAAACTGACGTAACGCGTCTAGGCAGGCGTGTGCATCCGCGAGCGATACAGGCGGGTTCAGTTCAGCGAAATATGCCCTGAGAGCATCCTTCGACGCGTTCGCGAAGGCTGGGGAAGCTATCGGCGATGCTTGCGGCGGAAGGAAAACCTTCGAGGACAGGTCTCGATACAAAAGCGTGGCGAAAGTAGACATGAGGGGAGTTTAACGAGCTATGCTGTTCATAGAGGCATATATGGCCGAGGAATTAGTTGAGCTGGGTACCGGAGAGGATGATTTAAGGAACGGATGCCAACAAGAAGCGGGCAAGATAGGGTTATGTCTCCCAGAATCGGGTTAGGGGCTATCAACGTCATCTCAGCGAAAGCTGCGCCTACGGTCCTAGGACACCGGTAAAGTAGACTCCCCAGATTATTATATGAAATGACCGTGTGGTACTAAGCAAGAACACCAAGAGCCCTCAGATAACACCAAGATTAATACCATAGTGATATGCCAAAAATCCTTCCGGATATTATGTTCCCCCAATCTTCGGCTGTGGCCTCACTTCATCATCTTTGCAGGAATGAAGCATGATCCTGTTGGGCATGCCGGGGACATTCCCCATATGGCCCTTATGCCAGTCATACGAAACAGCATATGCGAGCACCGAACCAGTATGGTTAAATGCTGTCGCAGAGATAGGAGCACCGGCCGATTCGAATGCTGAGGAATGCAGATCAGCGATAGCGTAGAGACGGCTTGAAGACAGCGAGCATACTCTTCAACCTCTTACGGTTTTCTCCGTCCCATGTCATGATAATGCCGTCAGACCCTGAATGGTTGCTCGATGAGTCGTAGGTAATACTCCGCCTCGGGTCTAGACGTACCGCAAGTGGTGAATGTACCATATATAGGATGGAATGAGATGTCATTGACGGCCCACATTATGGAACCGGGTGCTGGAGGCGCCTCAGTGGGAAGTCGTGTCCTGTGTGCTCTAAACGAAAAGCACATGCTGGAAGCAAGTTCGATGTTAGCCACTAGCTGCATTTTCTATCGCATCTCAAAACGCTTACTCTGATGCAGTAGGATCTGTAGTCGATGGCCAGCTGGGAGATACAACGAATCAAGGCGGCTGGGATTACGCGAGGTAGAAGGCTTACTGCATTGCAACCCTGCCTTCGACATTGCCATATGCGTATAATCCATTTCCAAGAGTGATTACACGTGTCTGCATGCTAAGCAGAGAGGTTTTTTGCTGGTAGGGATACGATATTAGAGACCCATTGCAACAGAGACGAGGTGGCGACGAACGCTGAAGACGACAGTCGGGTTTGTGAGGTCGTATAATTGAATATGTCGATCCGCTGTACCAAGAACTAACAGGGGGTACCGCACATCCATGCTGTAAAGTCGCTCCGGGAGATGCACGACGGCTGCAGGAGTTGGCGACCGAAGGTCCCAATACTAGTTCCGCTTATTAGCGTGCCGCTTGTCCAGCTTACAGAGGCATGCATACGCACTCTCAAGGTTTTATCCCAACCGCCAGTGGCTAAGATACTGCCCCGTGGTGTCTCTACCCATTTGACGCACTTGACAGGCGCATCGTGCTGGGCTACTTGAAGTGACTGCCCCGTCGCTATATCCAGCATCCGGCCAGCACCATCACAGCCACCAGAGAATAACTTAGACCCATCCTGGATAGAGATCATTCGATGAAGCAACAGAAATATGTTCACACTTTGAGCATACCTTACTCCACGCTACACTCAATACTGGCGCATTGTGAGCATACATTGCCACGCCTCGAGTTTGTCCGGTAGGTGCGACCTGATATACTCTCACCTATCCCAATGTGATGCATCAACAGGCTGACATGGGCATCGGTAAGCCACTCACAGCGCAGTCCCAGCTCCCTACTGCGATGAAGTCTGCCGTTGGCGAGAACGCAAGACCAGAGACCGAGTCTGTCGGCGGATCGGCCACCTGCACGTCATCTTTGAGCGTCGTTAGCGGCACAGAGGCGGGTACAGTAGAATTCGGCTTCGCAGAGGCAGATACTGTTGAGATTGCAAGGTTGTTGAGGAAAGACATGCTTGGTGGTCTGTGCGTCGGCCTGGCTCCCATTGTTCACTTCCGACGCGGTTTCGCCGAACTTTCGCCTCATGAACCACGATCACATGATCGCGCATTTGTCTCGGACACTCCTACTCTCACCCTGCATTCATGTCTCATACTTCGCAATGCTGGTTAGCATGCAGACTTGCAAATGTAAAGAAACTGGTAACTTCCCGTCGATGCAGCCCAAGACAACGACAAGGCCGTATGGTGTTAGCGCTGTTCGTGATACTCCCGAGCCTCGGGCTCTTCAATAGGCGGACACGATATCCTGAAGCTTCTACAGAGCAATCTCACTTGTTCGACGACACACTCATTGTGAGACAGACTTTTGCAGACCAGAGGAGCCTCGGAAAATTCCGGCTAAACCAGAGACCCCGTTCCCGCTTAATTCCCTCCACAACAGAAGTTGGCGCTTTCACCACTTCACTTCATCTCGCCTCGCACCGCCTTCAGCAGCCCCCGGCAACAGCGGAACGAACTCAATATATACTTATACATACACTAAGCCAGTGCAACGCTCCGGCCGAACATGCTCAGCCCCAAAGATATCGGCAACTCATGGCGACCTCATCTGACCAATGTCACTTGCGCAAGGACTTCACTGCGACGTGGAGTTCAGTATACTCAGTATATTGCCGATAGGTGAATCTCGAGGCAATAGCTGCAACAAGCCGCGAAGGAGGCGCAAACGGCGGGACACGACATGTGGTAAACACACAAACTGCGGTTACCCTGCATGCCCGCCTGGTGCTCGGTGGTCAAGGATGCTTGTCAAACCACAGATAGCTATTGCACACTGCTATACTTGTTCCCTACCCTGAGTATTTATTTTGGTCTTGTATGAAAGCAGCAGCTTACTGAAACTAGAGTTTGTAGCTTTATTAGGAACTGGTGTGTCCACTCTGGAGTCCGGACGAGCGTCAGCGTTCTTTGAAACGTAAGCGTGCTGCACGTGATATGACGTCTCGCGTTTGGGCGCGCGCCTCGCGTCGTTCCCGCTGTCGCCCGTCCTCTCCGAGCTGATAACGCGCTGCTGTGTGCCACTGGCCACCGCGTGGGAGCGGGCACACTGATGTCATCTTACTCGCCAGGCATAATTAGCGTCGCCGCAGCCCAACTATATAGCTGTCCATTGCACACGATCTCCTGCCTAATTGCAGCCTTGATACCCACCCCCTGGCCTTCTCCTACACCCCGAACACCTGATACCCTAGACGAAACCCTGAAATCCTTATCATGTCGAAGGAGGATCAGAAACCAGCGACGCTAGGCAAAGAGGGGCCGTTTGTTGTGCCTCAGTTTACCGTGACAGACTACAGCAAATTCTTTGCTGCAGGTGAGTCGCATAAGGATTCTAACTAGCTATGGTTCTCAATATCGTCTTTGCTGCAGGAGCACTATGCTGCACGTACGTTGATATATATGTTATTTGAGGCCACAAACACTGATGATGGCTGGCAAGAATCACACATGGAATGATGACGCGTGAGTACGATAACTTACGAGCACGATGCACCACTGACATCATTTTTCAGCCATCGACGTCGTCAAGACGCGCATACAGATTGATCCTGCTTATAAGAAGTTCAACCTCCTCTCCGGTGGTCGACATGTAATAGCAACAGAAGGCACTTCTGGTCTGCTGACAGGATTCGGCCCAACAGCAGTGGGATATCTCGTTCAGGTGTGTTCCCCGCCCTAATGTTCCGGGAGCACATTTCTCAAGCAAATCCTATCTCCAGGGAGGGGCTAAGTTTGCCGGCTATGAATATTGGAAGAAGCAGTTTACACAGATCGCTGGTGACCAAGAGACTGCCATCCGCTACCGCACCGCGATATACCTGGGCGCCTCAAGCGTGGCAGAGTACGTCCCGGATTGTGCGCATGCCGTCCACACTTCATAACGCTAACTTGAAAATAGATTCTTCGCCGACATCCTCCTGACACCGCTCGAAGCAACTCGCATCCGGTTAGTCTCGCAGCGTGGCTACGCCAACGGGCTCGTAACTGGTTTCACACGGCTCGCGCGCGAAGAGGGGCTGCGTGGACTGTATGCGGGCTTCCTGCCTATACTTTGCAAGTGCGTTTGATATACAGTCGCCGAGCGGCTGCGCTTGCTTACCGCGCATGTTATTATAGACAAATCCCGTACGCCATCGGCCAATTCACAGTGAACGAGTTCTGCCACGAACTTGCCTTCCGGAACATGTCCGAAGAGACGCGGCGCAACCTCGGCGGCGGCGCCAAATTCAGCATCAGCCTCGGCAGTGGCATTATCGCGGGCTTCGCCGCCGCGATCCTCAGCCAGCCCGCAGACACGCTCTTGTCGCAGATCAACAAGGGCCATGGTCCGACGGGCTCCATGCCCCACCGCCTCAAGGTCCTCGCCCAGGAGGCGGGCTTCAAGGGTCTGTTCGCCGGCCTGGGTCCAAGGATGATCATGACCGCGGGTTTGGTAGCGGGACAGTTCCTGATGTATGGAATGATCAAGGATGGTGAGTATTCGTTCCCTATGATAGAAGACTGAACACTCATTCGTCGTGGCAGCGCTTGGTGCACCACCGGGCTTGGAAATTCATAAGGAAGACAACGCTGCGAAGTGATTGACTCTTAGATCACGCTGTGTGTAGACCCTGTTTTATTATCGATGGAGCGCGTTCCACTAGAAAGCTGGAATTGTCTCAGCGCGGCTCTTTTGCACTGTCAACGAATATTCTCGAGAGGCTGTGAGCCCGCACCCGACGCCACGATGTTGACGGCGCTGATGCTATCAATGTCGGGCCGCACCGTCAAAAATGGTAATCTGAGCATCCCCGAGTTGGCCCGAACGGGAAACGGTCATGCATGAGGCGAAGTTTCATTTTCATTACTCATACAGGACCGGGTACTCATGCAGTGGTGTAGGCCGATCGGGAATTGCGCAATAAGCACATGTATGCATAGTATTTCCGACTCAGCGAGCAACACGGCAATATGCACTACGGAGCAGCCTATAGTACGGGCCCTACTTAGTCACAACCTGGCAGCCGGGCATACTCAGGGAGTTAATTTATTGCATAAATGCCCGACATAGTTTGTTATACGCGTATGAAACCCTGTGCCTTGATATACGGCGGTCCGTGTGGCACGCCTCACCCTGTGCCTGGCACGCAGGTAAGCCCTGTATGCAGGCTGCTCTGAATTTATTCACTGCCAAGGGGTTCAGTTCATCAGGCGTGCAAATGAGAGCTTCGATGTTGAGCTTCCACGGAGTCTAGACTGGCAGCGACTTGCTCGGCCGGCACCATTCACCGGTGGTAGCTGCCTTTATATCACGTTTTGCCGAATGCCCCGCGCCTGGAGTTCGTCTAGAGTTCGCGGCGAGGGCTTGCATAGTTGCCGTACGGTTTACTGATAGTGAGAATATCAGGAAGTCCAAACCTCCCCTTGATCTGCTGACTGGGTACGATCCTTATAAGAACAGATCAACGTATCTTATTTTCAGCAGGCCCTCTTCGCGCGAACGGACCTCTTTCTCTGGTGATCTCTGAACATGTTTACACCCGTGACTAATGCTTGCTGCCTCTTTGTCGCCTGGCTCGTCTTGCGCAATTATCGCTGGCTCACTCACCGTTCCATCTGGTATATCCGCGGGCCATCCGTCAAGTCTGCACTCCTAGGTTCGTCTTATACAGCTCACTCGTAGCATTGAACGTGCTCACCAGTCTCTAGGAAATGTACGCGACATGGCGTACCAGGAGAACGTGGGTGACCTGGACTTCAAGTACATGCGAGAATATGGTGCGGTGTGGAAGATGCAGTACGCCTTGGGTGTAAGCATTACACTTTCACTTTATAATATACTTCGGACTTACTCGATGCAGTCGAAGGTGCTCATGGTTGCAGACCCAAAGGTAATTCAGTCGTTTTGTCTGCTGTCAGTCCCTATACTCATCGGCTCTCGTTGTACAGGCGTTACAGCACATATTCCATAAATCAGGGTACCTTTACCCCAAGACGACTCAGGCACGTCTTAGCGCGTTTATCATAGCAGGGAAGAATATCCTCTGGGCGCCCAGTATGTACCAGTCGTTTCTTCTGTTGTTCCTGGATGTGAGTCAATCCACTAGCCGGCGATATCCATTCGAGGCACCGGAAGGTCATGAATCCGGCGTTCAGCACCCCGCAGCTGCGCTCGTTCCTGCCTATCTTCCGAAAAAGTTCCGCCAAGGTCAGTCTGCCGTTTGCTGGCGTCTGAATTCGAAGGTTGAACCTTGGCGCAGTTGTGCCAGCTGTGGAAGGACCAGATCCTTAGCCAGGCTCCTGGAGGAGCGACGATACTCGTCAATATCTGGTTGGCGCGCACGACTCTCGATGTTATTGGAGAAGGTGTCGTCGGTATCCAGTTCCTTACCTGTTCAGAACTCAAGGCCTTGGTACAGCGGCTTTCGGATTCGAATTCGGTGCGCTTTATAACTCAGACAACGAACTGAGCAAGGCGTATCACAACATGTTGTAAGGGTCCCTCTTTATTTGGCGCTGAGCTAGCGGTAATTGAGTTCACATCGACAGCGCCGATTCAATGCTATACCCGACCGCCTGGAATGCCGTCTTCCAGACCCTTTGGGACTACATACCCGATAGCATCCTCGAGTGCGTGCGGTATGTTCCAACTCGCGAATATGCACGGTTTCAGTACACAATGCGCATCTTCAATAAATACTCGCAACAGCTTATCGCGCAGAAGAGCGCGGCCCCGGTGGACGACAAGAGCAGTAGAGACGTGATGAGCATCCTTGGCGAGTGCACCGTCTTTTATTGCATATCGACGCTCACAGAAAAAGTAGTGCGTGCAAACGCATCGGAAGATCCGAGGTCGAAGCTCAGCGACGAGGAGATGGTTTCTGAGATGTGCGCACTCACGCTTGCGGGCCATGAAACGACGGCGAACACAATCACGTGGATGCTCTGGGAGCTCGCCAAGCATCCAGAGTACCAAGAAAAACTGCGCGTAGAAATTGCACAGAAGCGTGCGGAGGTCATTGCTCGTGGCGAATCCGACTTTGGCGTGGACGACCTTGAGTCCATGGGGTACTTCCAGGCTACTATCAAGGTCTGGTAGTGCACGCGATTTCTTGCTTGACGCGCTGACGCGGTTCGCACTGCCAGGAAACGCTTAGATACCACTGCATCGTATTTCATTTGAACCGCGTCGCTTCGCAGGACGACGTTATCCCTCTGACGTATCCAATTGTGACGAGCATAGGCAAGACCATCTCCGAGATCCCGGTCGCTGCCGGCCAGGTCATCATGCCTAATATTGCGGTCTACAACCGGTACGTCTCCTTTCTGCTCTGCAGGGCTTAAAATATCAAGACTCACGAGGATATGCAGCTTGCCAGAAATGTGGGGCGCAGATGCGCACGAGTGGGACCCGATGCGCTACATTGATGGTAGGGTCCATACACAGATTCGCCTGGGTATGTTTGAGAACCTGTGAGCATCTCATACTATTTTCCTAGCCTAGCTCAGCTAAGGCTGTGTCCATTTTAGGATGACGTTCTGTAAGATCTTGATACGGTCCTTTATATGAGTACTTTGCTCAATAATTCCCACAGCTGCTGGCGTACGAGGCTGCATTGGGTACGTTCTACCGTATCTGCCAACATACTCTGTGTTGACTCCATGTCTGCGTTTAGCTGGCGCTTCTCGTGAGCTTGAAGTGTCAATGATGCCTGCACTCGTAACATTGACTTGTTCCTGACGCAGTGTTATTGAAACGCAGGCCATCGTTGCGGACTTGATCGAGAACTTCCAGTTCAGCATTCCAGAAGACAAGCCTGAGATCGTTCGTGTGCCTGCGACAATTATGTCACCGATGGTAAAAGGCATGATGCACGAAGGCTCACAAATGCCGCTTCACGTGACCATTGTTTAGCGATGAACGCCCCCGGCCTTTCAGTATGATATGCGGTGTGGACTTGTATCGGGTACCAAGGTTTTTGTACAAACGAACGACCGAAACGGTGACCACAGTGATGGCCCACTATATGACGCGTAGCGTTTTGGCTAAGCTTGAACGATACTTCTTTCGGAAAATTCCCGCCAGAATCAGCCTGAGATGAACCAGGCTGTTATAGTGTTTCTACAGTCAGTACGGGCGATGCACATTTGAATAGTACTAGTGGTAGTGTAGGCTGACTGGCTTACAGGCCTAGTCGGCCCCTCGGCGGCGCCACAAAGCTGATCGCGCTGATGGTATCAGTGCTCGGGCTCGCCGGCGAAACGCTACACTTGTTTTCGACCTGTCTGCTGCAGTGCGATGGACTCTAGCAGAGGACCGCGCTTTATGTTCAGCTGTGAGCTCCGGGGCTAGTCTTCTTCCTATTACCTAATTAAGCGGTGCTCACAGTAGTAATTCTCAAATCAAATCCTGATGTCAATACGAATATCTGGGGAGTCTCCGAAAAGCAGTGCCGCAATAGGTTCGCCAATCCTCGGCGCAGTTCACCGTCGGCTATACATGGGCATTTTCCAATACCAGTTCTCCGGAACTTATTGCGCAGCCGTCTGGAAAAAGCCCTTTCAGCTATGAGCGCACTTTTTCGAGCGCTACAATTTCAACATCGCGTGATTTTGAAAGGATATCTTTGCACAGGCTTTCCGGCATATTATGCACGGATAACTGCCTTGCAAGGGCATATCTGACAAACACGGTGATGTTGACAGTGGCTGGTAATAGTGTACTCGTCCGCTGAAAGTGAGTACAGGTGGCAGTTTGTTTTGGTGTATGTGCTAAAGTCAGCATTGAATGTAGCGAGCCTCGTGACGGAATTTTGTATCTTCTGCGGGAAGACATCTGATGTTTTTGCATAATAACACTGCCGGAAAGAGGACGCGCGAGGATCCAACTTACTCTGTGTCAGCAGCTGGCGTATGCTCGGCACATCCTTCTCGGCTAGGGTGGCACGTTGCCCGGCTCCTGTGATAGTCAGGTACGAACCTCGGCAGTGGTGCTCCTGGGGTACGTGATTCTTACCGTACGCAGTCGCTTGTCAACGCAACTCCATCAGACTTATCAATGAGGATTTTCGGCGTTCGGATTCTCACGACACAATAATGGCTTGGTCAAACGGCCTTCCTCGCCGTCAGCGCAATTCTACTTGGCTGTGCCGATTAGCCTTCGTTTGAGAAGGGGGTCATAAGAATAAGCAGCGTTCACGTAGGATGCCCCCAAGAAGACATCTCACGAGAGCACATATTATCTCATCAACACGAATTTCATTCCGCCGCCGCTTATGGGCAGTGTGTATAAAAGCGATATGCCTGCTTCAGCATCGGAGGCAGGATAGCCTCTTACTATATGGCTGTACTTGATCCAACTCCTAGAATGCTGGACCTCCCACTTTCCCTCATCGTCTTCACTGTTTGCGCTGCCGCACTGGTACTAGTACGGTTATACCGCTCGCGTACGCACCACTCTATTGCGCATATCCGCGGTCCTCCCGCGAAGTCCATGATTATGGGTGCGTATACACTCTGCTACCAGTCATGCTACTTCTTAACCGCCGTCAGGTAATATTCGTGATATGGCGTACCAGGAGAGCGTCGGCGACCTGGACTTCAAGTACATGAAGGAGTACGGCACAGCTTGGAGATTGCATGCTACGTTCGGCGTGAGTGCAATGCATTTTGCGCGATTCTAGCGGCTGCCTGACGCTTTCTAGAAACCGGTCCTTATGATCTCAGACCCCAAGGTATATGCGCCAAGGCTCAACCTGTGACGTGTGCTGATTGATATCTTCCTCAGGCCCTGCAACACGTCCTCCATAAGTCCGGATACATGTATCCCAAGACTACACAATCGACCACGCTGGCGTTCAACATTACTGGAAGGAGCATTATCTGGGCACCAAGTGTGTGCACTTCTTCTCGGTCTATGCGCATATCCCGACTGATCGGACTTGTCAGATGGGGATATTCACTCTAGGCATCGCAAGATCATGAACCCCGCTTTCACCGCCCCTCAACTACGCTCCTTCTTGCCGCTATTCCGCAGGAGCTCCGCCAAGGTTCGTCAGTTTTATGTGATGGCTGATGTTCCACTGCTAAAAGTCCCGTAGCTTTGTCAAATGTGGAAGGACCAGATTCTCAGTCGTACACCAGAAGGAACGACTGTTGTTGTGAATACCTGGCTCGCCAGGACAACGCTAGATGTCATTGGAGAAGGTATCACCGCCGTTATTATGCTTCAGGAGCCCGTCTCACGATCTCTTGCTAGCCGCCTTCGACTTCGACTTTGGAGCACTAGACAATACGGACAATGAGCTGATGAAAGCATATGAGAATATGTTGTACGCATATTTTCCTTCGGAGTCAGTAAGCGTTACGTGATCTCACCGTTATACAGCGCGGATTCAAACATGTATCCGACGGTTTGGAATGCCATCTTCCAGGCATTCTGGGACTACTTGCCCGACAAGGTTCTCGAACAAGTACGGCACATTCCGACGCGCGAGTACAGGCGGATGCAGAGCACGTTGCGCCTCTTTATCAAGTACTCCCAGCGTCTCATCGCGCAGAAAAGTGCCGCGCTCGCGAGCGATAAGAGCAGTAAGGATGTGATGAGTGTCCTCAGTAAGTCGGTCCGCTCTTAACCGATTCCCACGTGCTCATGTGAGCGAAAGTCCGCGCGAACGCATCAGAAGACGCTAGATACAAGCTTAGCGACGAAGAGATGGAGTCCCAAATGAGCATAATGACCATTGCAGGCCACGAGACGACCGCAAACACAATCACCTGGATGCTATACGAACTCGCCAAGCATCCAGACTACCAGGACAAGGTGCGCGCGGAGATCGCACTGAAACGTGCCGAAATCATTGCACGAGGAGACGCAGATTTCAGCATAGAAGATTTGGAGTCTTTGGAATACTTGCAAGCCGCTATCAAGGTTGGCTTTACGCTCTGGGATATAGTACATGCACTTACGACCCGCGTTCCTAGGAAACCCTCCGCTATCATTGCATTGTGTACCACCTCAACCGGATGGCATCACAGGACGACACCATCCCTCTGGCTTACCCTATCGTGTCTGCTTCAGGCGAGATGATATCGGAGATCCCTGTCGCCAAAGGCCAAATTATCATGCTGAATATTGCCGCTTACAATCGGTGCGTTTCCTCCGTGTTTCTTCTGTGTGTTTCTAAGGTTGCGCAGCCTTCCGGAGGTATGGGGCGCGGATGCTCACGAGTGGAACCCGATGCGCTATGTTGAAGACAAGGTCGACCCACAAGTCCGCGTTGGGATGTACGCTAACCTGTGAGCATTTTTGGATTGTGCTGTCCGCAGCTAAGCTGACAATGCGCACTTTTACTAGGATGACGTTCTGTGAGTACATTCAACTGCTGTTTAAAATGACTCAAGCTGATAGCGACGATTAGCCGCTGGTGTGAGAGGCTGCATTGGGTAAGTGTCCGAGTGCCTGACTATGTAAACTCTAGACTGACGCGTCATCCCTTCCAGCTGGCGTTTCTCGTATGTCCCGTCTCTCGTTGCTTGATCATTCCTCACTGATCATCCACAGCGTTATCGAGACGCAAGCCATCGCTGCGGATCTCATCGAGAACTTCCAGTTCAACTTGCCCGAAGACAAGCCTGAGATCATTCGTGTGCCCGCAGGCATCATGGGCCCGATGATCAAGGGCAGAGAGGGAGAAGGCATGAAGATGCCCCTTCATGTCACCGCCGTGTAAAGAACCTCGCATGTCGATCATCTACACAGGCATCGATCCTGGAAGTCGGCTTTAGATAGTAGTGCGGCTTTTGCATCTGCATCTCGGGTCTCATGTTTACCAAAGAATTTTGAAGCACGCATTAATAGGTACTCTCTTGTAAAATACTCATCAGGTGCTGCTGCTCACCCTGAATTGTACCTCCATGAAATTAGTCCCCATCTCAGAACATGTCTTATTGATTCATTTGTGCTTCGAACGATGGCGCGTCTCGACCAACTCGATATTGCTTTCGTGTGCAGCTCATAGGGACCAAATTTTTTGCACATATAAGCCTTCAGAGTCGAGGTATTGCATTGCGTATGGTGTAAAGAGGATTGTGGGTACTTTGCACGTTCTTCAGTAGTCAAGTAAGACAGAAGAACACGGTCAGTTTGTATAACTCTTTAAAATACATGGCATTTTCTTCTGTCGACTTCAAATTCAATGTACTTGCACTACGAGCTTCTAACAAGCACTCAGCGAGAGGGCCACTTGTAGATAGCGGCTATAACTACCAAGGATAGCCCGCAAACTTCTCATACCGGTGGCTGACACCTGAGACGATAGATATGATAACATGCCCACTCGAAAACCCCCTTTGCGAGCATGACCTGGCCAATTAAATCGCCTTGCCACAGAAGCTCTTCTACTCTGCGAACCAAGGATGAATATCCTAGGTGGGACCGCCCGGGCCCCGGGCCAAAGAGACTTGAGAAATTTCGAACTCAGCTTGTAAATAGTAAGTAAGAAGGTAAGGAGAGATAAGAAAAGTAAACTTTCCATAGTAAGAAGTTGCTTACCAGACTACAAAGATCATAAAGCTTATGTTAACGACGCGACGCGACCCTGACGCGTTGATCAGTGTGGTACTATTTGTGTCTGTCAGCGTGTTATTTGCCTTGACGCTCAGCGAGTCGCTACGGCCACCTCGCCGGTTCGTCGTCCTCCCGGCTTCGTCCATCCCGCTCTGGCTTGCTCACGATGAGTCTTCCAACACCACCTGGGACGTCTCATCGCGCCGAGAAGGAAAACAAGCGTCCAGGATTTCCTCGTGTAGCATGGGCGGAGGAGCCAGAGTACCACACACTAGTCGACATCTCACAATGCCTGAAGGTGTTTACATCATCGACGGCGACACCAACAAGATCGATCTTGAAAAAGTCCAACTATGCCGAGCTCCCATCCCTCGAGCCAGACGTAAGAGAGACGACACCAGAGCCCTCAGACCCTCTCGTGAATCTCCACTACCTTGACAATCCAGTCTCGCGTCTTCTCGCTTCAGATGCTGCCATGCGGGACATTATCGAGTCCTATAACATTCTTATGGCGCGTCTGCGCCTCTGTGTTGTGGATGACAGCAACACTGATGCGTCCTGGCCTCTCTTCCAACCTCTACGCAAGAACAGAGACGCGCTCGTGCAAGCAATGTGCCGGGATCTTGGACGCGCTCTGGAGGAGCCGACGGCGGCTGAGGACGAGGAGGAGAGCCGAGTCTTACCGTCACCTGAGAAGAGCCCGAAAAAGCGCGGTATGACTGCAGAACAGGCGAAGCGCGCTAGAGATCTGTGCACGACGGCGCATTCAGCCATGAAGTTTCTTTCGATGGTTTTCACGCTGCCTTACCTCTTCAATATCTTTGAAGGTGAGTCTTCGTATTTCAACGCGAGACACTGTGGCTTATATATGCGCTCAGAATCCCATCTCGCCGACCTCTTGACCGGCGTTTTGGCTATCCCGTTGACGCCGAAGCTCCCGACCCCAAACGCAAGGAAGACATGCGCACTTGCGATATCCTTACTTCAAATGCAGCGATTACCGGAAGTGATTCTTTTGCCTGCTAGGGACCGGATTGCCTATGCGCTCCGACGTGGCATTGAGGGTGAGCTAGGCAAGGAAGGCAAGAAGGGCTCTTGTAACGACGGCCTTCGAGCGATTCATGATCTATCCATTCACTATCCCGCAACCTTCGTTCCAGCATTCGCTGAGATTCTCCCAGCGGTCTTCTCCCAACTACTGGCCCCCACGGTTGCCCTTAGATTACAGGCCTGCCATGCGCTCGGTGGTTTCTCCTTTGGACTCGCATCACTTCCGGTCGAGTCTACTCATTCTCGTGTCGCATCTATGGTGGCGCTATGGCTTACGAAAGCGCCACTGGGAACACCGTCCAAGAAGCCGTCGAGCCCGTCAAAGGATCCCCTGATCATCAGGACGCTTCGTACCACGCTCGGCGCTACGGACCCGAAGCACGCCGCGCAGGGTCCGGTGTGGGGCCTTAGCGTACTCTCAAGCCTCATTGTCATGCTGGGCTCGCAGGTCCATGTAGACGAGCGCATGACGAAGATTCTTACGCCTCTCCTCAGCTTCGCTATGCGCCACCAGAAGAGTTCAGTTCGCGCTCTCGTCTGTCTTATCTGGCGCGTCATGACCTGGGCGTACTTCCAGCCCGTATGCCCCAAGCTCTCCGAAGTTGACGAGGACCTCGACGAGCCACAAGAGCAGTATGTTCTCGACTACACTGATGCGGAGCGTAAGCACCATATGGTGCGACTCGAGGAGAGTTGGACGGTAGTTAGCACTGTGGTCGATATGGGTGCGGGGGTCTCGACGTTGTGCGCACTGCTAGGAACGCCCGCGACCACCGTGAGTCATACAGAGTGGGCGATCAAGAAAAGCCTCGCAATTATCGAAGACATGATTGCCAAGGGAGGTCAGACCTGCAAGGAAGCCGTCGACGCTCTCGCTACTCTCGTTTGTCCGACTCACGGACAACAATCAACGTCTGTCTTTGATGTCCCCGAGGCGCTGGATGACGACACGGAGTGGAATCCGATGAAGCTTCTTCCCCTGGGCCTATTCTCTGCCAACCCTGGTCTGCTGACCACAGAGTACAGCGCACTTTCAACCGCCGTACGCCCACTCTTCGGAGACTGTCCTCATGTAGAGGATTTGCGCGCTCTCACCAAGGATGAGCTCACTATCGACTGGGTTTTCGATACAATCATCAACATTTGGAAAGACGGGTGGGGTTCCATGTCTTGTTCATGGAACGAGCCGTTGCCGGTGGGTAGCTTGTGTTCGATCTGTCTCAGTAGTCTTTGACTAACGAATTATAGATTGAGATGCTCGATATCTGGTCAGGACTATGGGCCGCAGCCGTCTCTATTGTTAAAGGTACGACTTACGCCGCAATGGGTCGTGGAAGAGATGGACCTTCACTAATTTTACGCGCTCAGATGATGTGGACTCCGAGCAGCTGTTGTCATCCCTCGCACATCGCGCCGTCAACCTGATCATCATAATCCTGCGCAGCGACAAATTCGACCTAAGTGGACATACTAGCGACGATATAGATTTCCCGCACACCGCAGGACCGGGGCGCGGCTTGCCGAAGCGGAGGTGGAAGCCCGCCCTCAAGCTGCGTCTCGCACGCGAGCTGTGGCGCAGACTTCGTGATGTCTTCGGTCACTGCGATGCGTTGACTACGCAGGCCGAACGACTGCTGGTTGTGCTCGAGCGAAAAGAGACTGAGCTTGTTGTGAAGCCGGAGTTGCCCGATGAGGTCCGCGGCGAGTGGGCCCTGATGTGCGCAGAGGTTGTGGGTTGCTGTGAGGACAAGGAAATGTCTGCGTTCTGGGGCATGAGCCACAAGCCGAAATGGCGGGCGAGCAGCTGGACGGAGAGTGTACGGCGTGTTGTCTGGACGCAGTGGGTGCAGAAATGGGGGGAAGAGGAGGCGAGTTGGGAAAGCTCAGTGTTACTCCTTGCTGCGCCTTTCCTGTAAGTATCGTGAGATTTGTTGACCTCTAACCATCTGCTAACGAGACCTACCGCAGGGACGTCAATGCCTGGGACATGTCAAACGAGAACCTTGACACGTGGGATCGATTCCTCAAGCAGACTATCGACAGAGCCCTTGATAATGGCCATGACTCCGTTGGCGTTGTCGACGCTATAGCACGTATGGTTGCCCCGCAAGGCTCTCTCAGCCTCTTATCTTCCACCCGCATCTCCGACCTGCTTCTGTCTCATCTCGACATCTCCGAAGCCCCCATCGTCCCAGCTTCTCTTTGTGAGCTTGTCAACGACACGCTCGATACTTCGTACCCGCCAATGGAACAGAATAAGCTCCCGAGCATCTGGTTGTTGCGCACCCTTACTCGCACTCTGGACGCTTGCCCCGTTGAGCTCGTCGAGCACTTGCTCGAGTGTGTGCAGGACGGCCTATGCCGCTGGATTTCGGACGAGTCGCAGGCGCTGTCCGACGAAGAGTACAGCTCGGACGTCGTCCCTGTCTATCAAACGGCGGCTGTGGTACTTATGAGCGTGCCAGCGAAGGCGGACGTCGTCGAGAGGTTTGCCGGGCTGCTGCATTCGGCTTTCGTTGGCAGGGACAAGCCTGAGACGATGGTGCAGGCTTTCGTGGACCTGTGGGAGACAACTTACAAGTCTGTCCCATCGCCGGAAGATGGCTGGTCGGAGAAGATTTTGGCTTGCCTTCACACTTCCGGACTTGCCGTGCCGGACGAACCTGCTGACGTCGAGTCCAGCGACGCTGAAGAGGTTGAAGACCATCTCTTGGGACTTCCACCATCCTCGGATGATGTTCCATTGTCACCCGAGGTGCCATCCCCAAAGACTCTTGCAGCTCCCTTCGTCCTGTTCTCACCTGTCCGCAAATTTCGTGGACTTCCGTATCCAACGACTCCTACAACTGCGAAGAGCCGCCTCGTTACGCCTTCCCGGCCGCATAAATCTTCTTCTCCAGTCCAACCCATGGGTCCTCTCCTCATTTTCGAGTCTCCATCGCGGTCACCGACTCGCTCCCCCATCAGTCCGAAGAAACGCACTCCAGGCCCAGGCATACGCGGCTCGGATAAGGAGAACGCCTCGCCCTTGCATCTCATCGCATCTGTAGCAGAGCGCATCACGCAACGCTCGCCTTTGCCGACTGGTGGTCCTGTCCTCGGTAAACGGTCGTTCGATCTCGACGACGACGAAGAGTACTTGGCTGAGGGCAGCAAACGCGCTAAGAGGGACGTCCCCATGGCAGCGCTCAACCAGCCAGCGAAGTTCGACGCACGCGCGCCTGTGCTCCCGCCCTATCTCGCCACTTCGAAGATTAGTCCAAGTCGCCCATCACCATCGAAGAAGGTCCTCGATTTCAAAACCCCGTCTAATCCCAAGAAGCGCAAGGGTATGGTTCTCGATGCTGTCGAAGTCCCAACTATGCGAGAGGTCATGCGGACGACAGTTAGCTTCGACGTACCCGCGACGTCGGAGAGGCCGACTAAACAGAAGGATCTCCGCCGCACACAGTCTGCAGTGAAGCTCAGCGAGCAGGCTATTCGTTCGCCGTCCCCGGCGAAGAAGCGCAAGACCGCACCGCTCCCCGAGAAGTCCCGCCGGCGGAACAATGACGATAGTCACGACGGGTGGACCCCATCGTCGTCACTCAACTCAACTTTGAGTAGGCTGCGGGACATGGAGGCGATCGGTAGCGGTGAGTTTCAGCGTATTAGGAAGGGATACTCGAGCTAACTTCTGTGTCTTACAGACGATTCTATCATGCTAGAGCAGTCAGTTGGCAGTGACTCAGACATACCTTCGTCCGACGACGATCCGAACCGCTTCCTAGGCGTGGTCACCCCTCACCGCCTTATGTCGCCAGCCATCCGTCGGCTCAAGGACTTCGACGACTTTACTGAAGAGCCCGGTAGCGATGATTCGAACGTGTGCGTAAGTCCTACAACAGACCGCGTCGCGCGGATGTCGGTAGAGAAGATGAAGCCATGCATGACGTCGTCGCCTCGAAGTATGACTCGCAGTCCGTTGGTCCCACTGGGCTCGTTCAGAGCATAAAAACTTGCATTTGTGTTTAGTTATAACAAGTTTCGTTCTGCTTTCTTGTGTATATTGCTGCGGTTCATCTTGCTTTGTACCCTTCTACCGAACTAGTTGCCAAGAATCTTCCTGACATTGTGCATGCTGTCTTCGCAAATTTACTCGCACTGTAATAAATACCCGCTCCCTGTGAATCGAAGTTGGAACGTTGATGTGTTAAGGTTGCGGCTTGAAGATTAGTTGAAACCGGTAGCATTAATCTCTGAACTTCAGGCTTCACGCGCACGAGAAGTAATGGGGTTCACAAAGACCATGGACATGACAAACGATTTTGAAAGTGGGGAACTGCTGAGTCCCTACAACGATTCTGACACATCCTCATGAGCACAAACGACTGCAGCGCACGGAAATGCAGAGCTACATGTTCACAACCCTTACTCGTCGAAGTCGGATTCGAGAGAAGCGGTCGAGTCCGCTTCTACGACAGAGGCTCGTGCTTGCCGCGTCCAGCTTGGGTATGGAACCGTGGAAGGCCAGTAGCAAGTTGCTCTGTCTCTGTCCTGTTCTCATTCATGCGCAATTCCCAGACATGGCTACTTGTCCCGCTTCGTTCCACCGGCCAACCGTCAACTCGAAGGCTGACCAGCGACTTGGCTCGCAGCCTAACGGTGACGACTCGAACGTGAACGCAATTCCCACAACGGCCAGCGACGCGTGGAGTTTGGTGGATAAGAATGAAACCATGTACGACGTCCCCGTCTTGTAGCATTCATTGTACGATGATATTGTACGAGACGAAAGCGGGTTCAAGATGATTTGCCGTCAGGCTCCCTCTGTGATCTTGACACAATATGCTATGAGCATAAAAAAGTTGAGATGCGTAAGACATTGGCACTGACATAACTGCTCGAACCCAAGCCTTCAACACGCTCGAGACGGAGTAAGTTTTTCTTGTTCAGGAGGGGAAATAGCTTGCGAAGCCATCCCTCTATGTCGTCTAGTTGGGGATTGTAAAGCTCATGCCACCGACAGCCTATTTCCCGCACAGGAGACAGACGAGTGATATCAACGAGCATCTGGTCCAGACCCTCAGTCAGTTTCTCTGGCTTCGGCAATCCGTGCACGTCGTAGTACTCGAAGATGTCGATGTGAAGCACGAGTACGAGCTCCTTCATTGCGGGATACCGTTCCACCGTAATATTCACATGCAGGAGGAGGTCGGACAATGCCTCCACTTGTTCAGAGAGCATCCCGACGTCGGAGAGACTGAGGTCCGTTTCGACTAACAGACCCTCTAGCTTCGAGCAGGATAAAATGGAAGGTACCAGGTCGACTAAGCTGACTCCAACTGATAACATCGTAATGATCGGTCAGATGCTATAGCATGTTCCAACGTCTGGCACATACCATCGGCAGGTAAACAGATCTCTAATCGGCGCAGCTGCGCTCTTGCCTTCTCGAGAGTGCCCCGATAGACCCCAACATCGTCAGCAGGCACGAGCCTTAGGGTTCGAAGAGTATCAAAGCCGACTGCGCGGGATAACGCGTCATCGAGTTCCGCTGGTTGAAAATCGGTGAGGTCCAACGTGAGATGGTGAACAAGAGACGGTAGGGGTAAGGGAGCGTCGTAGAGAGCCTCGGCGGGGTGAGAAGCCCTAAGACAACGCCAACTGAGTTTATCGATGTGCTCAAAACAGAGCGAGAGTAAGATGAAGTCGGGAGGAGAAGGTCTTGCACCTGAACAAGAGACCTCCAAGTGCGACAGCGAAGGTCGCGACGCTGGGTAGACGAACCCAGCGGGAAGAGCAAGCGCAACTTCGCTCAAAAAAAGCTTCTGTACATTTGGTGTTAATTTGAGTAAGGAAACGAACAGATCAGCATTTATTTTCCAACTCGAGTTTTCGGGGTGAGTGGGAATGTTTAGGTAGAGTGAGAGCTGGCGTATGTAAAACCCCAGAGGGGGGTGATCTCGTAGGAAGTTGACAAACAGGTCCAGAGTTATAAGCGATCGCAGCGTCATCGCGGTGTTGAAGTGCTCGTCGAGGGACAGGGTGCCAGCTCGAATGGTGAGATAGATGTGGCGGAAGAGGTGTGATTGCGCGACTGGATACCATGCCCGAGAGACGAGAGTACAGGCTGATAGGTCCTCTTTGCTCTCACCAACATCAGGGTGCAGATAGCTCATTATCTCGTCAAGGAGCTCATCTGGGATGTCCACGGGCTGTCTCGCCATAGGTCTGGAAGATACTGCTGGCACTATGAGTGGTCATACTTTGTGATTATCAAAAGACTTGACCATACCGATGTTCTCTAGCACCTGTGTCGCGGTTGCAGGGCGAGATGCGCTGACTCCTCCAGCTGGGGATCGGTATGAGTACGTAAGCAAAACTGATTGGTTGCGTTCAACGGTCTTGTTCAGACAGTTGGGCAAAACCTTTGCACCAGGCGAGCAGCGTGCGCCGTGAGATGTACTTTCATAAAGAACGGCGGGCCAATATCTGAGCTCGTTAAGTACGGGGTTCTGCCACCACAGGTGCTACTCGGAGTCTACCAAATGTGGCAGGCTGAGCACCGCCGCCGGGGCGGTGCTGACTCAGCAAAAGGCGGGGAATGTTCTCGGCGCTTGTAGACGTTGAGCTTGAGCCCGATCATCCAAGCAGACCGAGCAGAGGCTTGCGTGTGCTGGCCGCGCGTCCCTCTTATATATCCCTTTTTTACTTTGAGCAAACGACCACGCATCTCTAGTCTGATCTATCACCATGTCCAGCTCGTCTACCCCCGCCTCCGAACGCGAGACCGACCTGCTCGCCGTCGGACAACAGTGCTCAGCTCAGCTCTGCAACCTCGTCGACTTCCTACCTTTCAAGTGTCAGCATTGTAGCCACCCTTTCTGCGCGGAGCATTATCTTCCAAACCAGCACAAATGTGAGAAGTATGACGAGAGTAAGCATGACCGGGTCGCACCTTCATGTACGTAGTCTTCATCTTGTGAGGGGGCCCTGGAGCTAACCCGCCGATACAGGCCCTCTCTGCAATACCCCTGTAGCCATACCTCCCGGGCAGGACCCAAACATCCGTATGGAGCGCCATATCAACACCGAATGCTCTGTTATGACGGGCAAGTCCGCGAAGAGTAGAACGCCGCACTGCGCGAGGGCCAAGTGTGGCAAGGTGCTATTCCAGCCTATCAGATGTGACGTGGGTATCGACGCCAACAGCTGATTATTCATGGACTCTAACATGCCATCCACAGTCCTGCAAGCAGCAGTTCTGTCCTCAGCACCGGTTTCCGAAGGATCATGACTGTTCATCGGTCGCGGCTCCTGCCATCTCGAAGCCCCAAACGTCTTTTTCAACAGCAGGTATATCGCCCTTTGCAGCTAATAAGCGCAATACAAATCAGCCGAGCACTACTTCCACACGATCGACGGCCCCAGCACCAACTGGACCTGCGAAGATCACTGCCACGTCCTCGTCTTCTTCCTCCTCGTCTTCCCGACCCAGACCCTTTTCCAAGACTGACCGGTGAGTCAATCTTGCTAATAGTGACTTAGTGACCACTGAGCATATCAGCAGTCCCTCCGCTGCTTCCCCGCTGCCTCATCCCACTAACAACTCCGCCACGACCACTAACGAACACCCTCACGACCCACCGAAATCTTGCGTACCGAAATCTATCATTAATGCGCGCTCGTTCGCACCACCACCGCTATTTGCATCTGCATAATCCTGTATGGTTATGACATATATGCTGTGTTTCGCTCTGTATATCAAGGCGCGCGAAGGCCGAACGTGCAAGTAAACTGAGGGCCATGCGGGAGCGCGCCAAGAAGGGGCTGTTGAGTGAGGAGGAGAAGGTCATCCTGGCTGCTGAGGAGGCCGACGCTGCTAAGGAGAAGGATGGCTGCATTATTGTATAAGTTGTTTATCCCGTTTGGGTTGCTGATAAAGTATAGATATAGCTAATATGATACCTATGGAGCTTTCACTCCTGATGGAAAGCAATTTTTCTACATTTCAGAAGTGGCTGCCGAAGATGAGAACATGATGAAGCAGATTGTAAGGGTATGTGCAAATCGATAGGTACTAGTAGGCTCATTGAGGTAAGCGGGTACGATGATAACCACAAGAAAGTAAGATGTAAAATGTTTAGCGCACAGCAATGTTCCGGTTGCTCGCCAAGCTCTATGCTCATCCTCCTCTTGACCAGAACGACCAGCCCAAAACCGCCTGATCTGCAATGTATGATGTACTCGGTTCCCCACTTTACGCCTCGGCCTGGGGCGGCGCACGATGGCCTGGATTACGCCTGACATAATTTCTCTCGCTGGGACCTAGGTTCTGCGGCGGAGACTTCGGACCAGAGTACAAGTGGCAGCCGTTTATTCAGCCCTTGTGCAGACTAAGTTGATCCGCCTCCAGCGCAAGGCTAGCGAGCTTGTCCTAGCACGGGTCTCCGCGACATATGGACAGACTGTGTGCGCATATGTGAATGAAGGCGTGCAAGCTGGTGTGGCAGGCAACCTTACACTTGACCGCCTTTAAAACCGGCTCTGTGGGTAACGCGCGCAATGGCACAATGCTCGAGTGGCCCGACTGAATATCCGGAGGTCTTCTCGACGATATAGTGGAGGGTACAACGATTGCTGCCTTTGACGGGGCTCAACTCCTGCATTCTACGACAGGCGAAGATTGTTAGTGATGAACGGAGCTGTTGGAGTTAATCTATCCGACGGACTTCCTTCCAGTGTGAAATGTTGTGACGACGTCGAATGGGATGCGTGGTGTGATCGTCCAGAGCGACACCGGACTTTCGTTGCCTTGATACAGGTCGACTGGCGACGAGGCTTTCGTCAGGTGTTCCTTGGGAAGGAATAGCTGAGATCGATATCTCGGAAGCTCCAGATTTGTCGCGACGTCCGGTGGCACGCCTGAGCGTAGTCAGCGACAATCATGTCATGGCGAACGCAGGCAGATGCGCTAACCAAGTTTTTTAAAGGCCATTGTTAAGGGGTCCGGTCGCGAGGGAATCTTACCCCCATTGACCCGCCATTCGATAGGTCCGAAGATGAGGTGTGCTAGTCGGGGTACAGGGGCAGGTTTATCGAGCGCAGCTTGGATGAGCGTCGGCTCGAAGACGTCAAAGAGTCCGCCGATGCCATTTCGAAGGAAGGGTCGTTCTGGATGTGCAGTTCGGCTTTGGACTGTATTCTGACTCCGATTTCAGGGACGATGAGAGTTGTCAGAGTATACGCAACTCACCACGTATTGATCCCTTAGGGTCTTCATCCGTGGCGACATGTAAGCTCTGGATTGCGCATGGACATGAAGGTAACGAGCGAACAGAGAGCGCTGCTCTGTGGTAGCTGCAAGGACATAGCCGTGGTACAGAGGATTAAGGAAAGCGCTGTGTACATGGGTAAGTATGGTGCTTTGCACCTGTGACGCGTTGAACGTACGGCAGAGTGGTATGTGCATCGTGAGCTAGAGCCCAAAACGCTTCGCACAAGCGTGCGGTACGTGACGGACACCCAAAGACTTCATGAACTGTTAGAAATGGCGATAGGCCTGGATTTGGTGACGATGTCAGCTTGTAAATCAGATACTCGCCGAGGGACCACACACCTGCTAAATAATAAACCTCATTGACAGTATACGGCCCCATACCACCAAATACCGATTCGGCGTCTTGTATTGCTGTCACGGCTAGACAGGTTGCGTCTGCGCCTCTTGAAATCTCCCGGCTGAGTATCCATTCGGCCACACCGCGCAGAAAACGCGGGTAGTCCGTATAAACATCCGGTGCTTGACAAGGTAAATCTTTGATAGTCGTCTCCCAGTGAATCTGAACTCGATATCCTTAGTACGAATCGTCGTCTATAGCTGCCAACACTGACTTGCACAGATATCTGGCCGACTGCCGCAAGAAAAGACAGTACTCCGGCATCGCCGAAGTCAAGACCAATGCAGACGGCAAATCCACGAGCCTCAAGGAGGAAAAAAATGTAAGCTAAAAAAACCTAAGACGATTCGACCCGGATTGCATCTCACCTCCTTAGATACTTTGGATATTTCTAGGTCCCATTGGTCCTTGTTGAAGGGCTGACAGAGTACATGACCCTGGATCACGATCTGCGTCAAAAATAATTGCCGTAAGACTAGACAGGAATGCTGAATAGCGTGCTGCCCCTGATGTCATACCTGCAGGTAGAGCTCCTGCAAGCGTAAGATGAGCGTTCGAGGAGTCGAAGAGATTTCTAGAAGCCGTAGAGTTGGGATAAACCGCGGACTGGAGCCCGCCATAACCCAAGGAAAGGGTATGTTAGGGTCAAGATTATGTGTACTCGACGCCATTCTCCTAAAGTCCAAAACGCGAACACGGTCAACGTTTGCCTCTTTTTCCTTACTGTTTGTTGCCTGCTCTGGTGAGCTGGGGGTATCAGCCCACAGCTTCTGGAGGACGAGGTCTTTCCCCAGCACTCTCTCGCAGTCGAACCATCGCCTCGCCGTCAGAAAGCAGACAAGGGTCTGGTGGTACTCGGCCATTCTTGCAGTGACATGATCCTTCAGGAAGCGCGCGCGGCTGCTCACCGTTTTGGCGCAAGTTCGAGTTCGGGCCCCCGCATTCCCACGCGTGGCCGGCAAAGAGCGCCAGACGCCCACCTTGTGGCGCTGATGCGGGAGTGTTCGGGGTCCATAGCACAGGCCGATGCAATTCCTTCAGACCATTTCTTATCCTCGTGTATGGGCAGCAAGGACATGACACCGTTGTGTGTGACTAGTATGCACTGAGTAAAAAGTTACGCCTGGGTAAATTCGTGGTTAGCGTCGTCAAGGCTTGCTTATGTTCTTACGCTCACAATTAGTACTAGTACTAGTACGCCCATGGAAGGATTCTGCGGAGCACGAGCTAACGCGAATATTTCGATGAAGAACGAAAATCTGCACGTCTTATGCACACCTTTCAACAGAGATCTAGAAGCATATGGTGTTTCACAAGTACAGTACTTAAAAGGCGTCGCGGGCGCTGCTGATATGGGCGCTAAAATATTGAGTCACCGGATCCGGATGCCGAACTTCCGTATGCACCATGCACGCATCATGACCGAGCGAGCTTGATAGCTTTGGCCTTCGACGACCACAATGACCACACCAACCTTAACGGTAACATTCGTAAGGATATGCTTCGCAGTATGAGGCTATGCAGCGCGTTAACCATGGCGTGTAGGTGCGGCATGGCGAGTCGCTTGACAACTTGGTATGAAGCGGCACGAGAAAATCCAGATGCGAGTATGTCAATGCTTTATTTTTCAGCGAAGCGTATGGGCAGGCTGGAAAGACTCTCCTTTATCTAATCATGGTCAGTACCATTGTAGCAGATCTATTGGACAGGCGCCACTGACTCAGGAAACTGTGGCAGGCATGAATGTAAGGGTAATGCTCGCCTCATGGTACACTGGCCTAACAATACACGCAGCAAGCTCGCGCAGCGGGGGAATCACTCTCGGCAGCCCACTTTACCGCGATCTACGCGTCGCCTCTGCTCAGAGCCTTCACCACGGCTCAGGCTATACAGGACGCGCAGCCCGAGCCCAAGCCCCCACTGACGACCTCTCCCTTGCTGCGCGAGCAGCACTGGGGCATTGCCGAGGGCAATCCGTGGACATTGACTCCTAACCCGGGACTAAGCCTCGAAGAGCAGTTCGAACAGGGCATTTACCCCGTGCTGCACGAACGACGGCAGAAGTTCCCTGGCGGCGAGAGCCTAGATGATGTGGTTAAACGGGCCGAGCAGGCCATCGAAGAACTGGTGATGCCGCATGTGTGGGATGCCGCCAAACAGGGCAAGAAGAACGTCCACGTCGCAATCGTCAGCCATGGGATTTGCATCAGCGAGCTGATACCTGTGCTGGTCCTCAAGGATGAGAGTCACCAGCATCCTGGGCACCGCTGGAGAGGCTTGCTGAACACAGCGTGGACCCGGATTACAGTGAACGTCAAGGTACGTTACGACAGTCTGATTTGTTGCAACAGAGATTTAATCCATGATAGGGGCTGAAGGAAGGTGAACCGATGACCTTTGTTGACGGCGACTCACCGGCGCTGGAAGTCAAGGTGACCGACTTCAACCGCTCCGAGCATCTGGATAAAGTGGTGAGTTTTCGATTCGACATTGAGAGAAACGATCCCTCACCGTTGCCCAGAAACGACAGCAAGGCGGCATCGGAAGCAGCGCCTACGATCCCAAGCAGCAAGATATCCGAGCCTTCTTCGGGGGAGGCGCGGCCAAGCAGCAGGCAGAAGAGGGCCGGAACGAGAGTAACGCGCGAGACGAGGCCGAAGTAGACATTAACGATCCAGATGCACGGCTTTGAAGGCATTCATAACAGTAATCAGGAAAATTCTCTTGACCAATAGTAGACTATAGATAGTAGACGGTTGCCCGTGCAGGAACAGAAGGTATATGATTCAGAGTATACGAAGAGCGCTGTGACTCGGGCGAGCGGAAGTAAGACGGAGATCCGAAACCACATTATATATAGAGCCAGTAGCGAGGTCGGACTGTCTGCGACCATGGCTGAGTCTGGCACTGTCGCAATCACGTTTATTCGTCATGGAGAGTCTGAAGACAACCTGGTAAGCTTCCTGAAAGCTTCGCAAGAAAATCTCGAATATTTGAGCAGCGCCCGATCTGGGCAGGTTGGAGAGACACCCCGCTCTCCGAGCTAGGTAAGATTTGTTTACCAGCGGGCAGAAGACGAAAACTTGAACTGCCGCCGTAGGGACAAAGGTCGGATGCTGTACTACCCTAGACCACGAAGATAGCGCTGATGCAGGCACGTACAGCAAGTAAAAGCTCTCGGATCCTCACTTTCGTCAACGCGCTTCGATATCATCCTGTCATCGACATTGAGACGGGCGTATATGACTGCAAAGGCAGTCCAGGAGGCACAGCACGAACCTAAGCCAGAGATACTCACCTCGCTGCTCCTCCGAGAGCAGACCCGCGGGATCGCGGAGGGTCATCCTTGGATTACGGAGCCGAGGCTGGGGCTGTCGTTGGAGGAGCACTACGCGCAGGGTCTCTTCCCAATCCACCACGAACGGTGGCAAAAATTCCCTGGAGGCGAGTCGCTTGAAGATCTTGAGCTAAGGGCGAACAAGGCGGTAAAGGAGGTTATCCTGCCACATGCACTGACGCTTTCGAAGGTCCGAAAGCCCAAGACTCACATTGCCGTGGCGAGCCATGGGCTGTTAATTGCAGAGATGATACCAGCGCTCTTGAAGCTGGACCCGACCAGTAGCGAGCCCCACACAACGTACCGAGGGATGCTCAACAGTGCTTGGGCACGAGTGACGGTAGAGATTGTCGTAAGTCCTTGAGTGGCATGCATGTACTGTGCTCATCACATCAAACAGGGAGGACACGACCGCGACGAGCGATGGCCTGACATGCGTGTTAGGGTGACAGACTTCAATAGTCATGCACATTTGAATTCTATCGTAAGTATAGAGTGTGCTCTAGGGGTGCTGGGATGTTCGCGTGCTGATGCATGTGGCATAGGTACCGCTGAGCACTGGTTCGGAGAAGAGGGACAGTGTCCAGACTTTTGCAGGGGACGAGGAGGATTCGATTGCCATTCAGGCAGAGCAGAAAGTCAACTAGTCTTGCCGGGGAGAGATAGAGCGTCCCTAATGTATTTCCGGAGTTTGTGAACATTGGAGGTGGAAGAATACGTCTAGAGATCTGCCGCTTGCTGTCGGTCATGCATATTTCGTCGTATGAGATTCACAACGTACGTCTGCACGTGCTCAGCCTCATTAGGAGATCAAGTGACTGTGGTATATATACCGAACTTAGGGCGAGCCGTACGGTAGCAGCTTCTTCAAGGTGCTTGTCTGTTTGCCATGAGAGTACGCAGTCTGGGCCAGCCGGTTTTTCTGTGCAGGCGTCTTGTCTACATTCAAATGCGAGTGAAATGGACGCGCCTAGCATGGAGCTGGCCTTCAGCAAGAGAGAAGGAGACAGACACGACCGCTGCTCACTCGTTTGAACTTGCCGTTCGAGACAGACCTCCACCGCTTCTTCGCGCCCGAGTGGGTCTTGAGCTTGGGGTATTGATGCATTGCCGACGTCGAGAAAGAACGTATGGACGACGCTAAGCGTGCCGCAAGGGGGAACATGGTGACTTGTCTCTCTGCTCGTGCAAGTCGGAGAGCAAGCGCAGGAATATGTTTGGCGCCGAGCCTCCGTCGGTTCGACGCGCCTGCCATTTCACGCAACACCCTCCTACCTTCTCTTTCTCACCTCTACCTCCTGCGGCTCACAATATGTCGGAGTCAGAATCGGAAAATACCGTGCTTGGGAAGCGGGGCCGTGACGGTCACGAAATCCACGAGAAGCCCGAGGCGGATGCGAACGTCCAAGTCGAGGCGGCAGAGGACGAGTCGGACGATGATGTAGGCCCCATGCCTATGCCGGCGGGTGCAGGCAATGGCGCAGCGAAGAAGAAGCGCAAAGGTGCGCGCCCATACCCCAGGATCTATCCTTTGACTGACCGGTCTTTTGCAGTGCTTCCGCATGAGAAGCTTTACCTAGACCACCTCCCAAGTGCAGACCGGTACTACAAGAGTTTCATGCACAGGGATGTCATAAACTTTGTCGTCATGACCAAGTACGTCGATGTGGACTGTATGTTTTCTGCAAGACGCGTTGTTGACCCTACGTCATCAGGACCACGGACTTCCTCATCACCACTTCCATCGACGGATACCTGAAATTCTGGAAGAAGCAGGAGCAGGGCATTGAGTTCGTAAAGGTTTACCGGGCTCACCTGGCACCCATTGCCTCTGTCTCTGCAAGCGCAGATGGACAGCTCTTTGCCAGTGTGGCCGAAGATGGCAGCGCGAAGGTCTTCGATGTTGGCAACTTCGGTACGTGCCCCGCCTTGTGTAATCGGTCTCTGGAAGTCTCACAGCCTTTTCAAAGATATGATCAACATGATCAAGCTGGGATACACACCTCATGCCTGTTGCTGGGTCCACAAACGAGGTCAGGCCCAAGGGCTTCTTGCAGTGTACGTTGCATTTCTCTATTCCTTCCTAGGCGTATTAATCATTCTGCAGATCAGAACAGAGCACAGGAGTGATCCGTTTATATGATGGACGTGGCAATGGAGAGCCTCTGGAAACCATTGACAAGCTGCACCGTTCACCCGTACACATCATGACGGTACGGTTATTGGGTCTTACGTCCATTCACAGACTCATTGACGCTTTTGCTTCACAGTACAGCGACAGATTCGACTGTGTTATCTCCGCGGATGAGTCGGGTATGATCGAATATTGGAGACCTTCCGAGCCATTCGAACCCCCAAAAGATGTCACTGGCTTGTGGACATACAAGAGTACCACTGACTTGTACGAGTTCAAGAAGGTCCGTACTGCCCGTGTCGCGTTAGATCGCAGCCGTCCTCACCTCATCGAACCAGGCGAAGTCTATACCGACATGTATCACACTATCCCCTGACTCTTCCTCCTTCGTGACCTTCTCTCTTCCCGACCGCCAGATCCGCATCTTCTCCTTCCTCAAAGGCAAGATGACACGGCGGTATGACGAGTCCCTGAACGCCATTCAGGAGATGCAGCAGGCCGGTACAGCAATGTGCAAGGTCGAAGACATGGAATTCGGCCGGCGTCTTGCAGCTGAACGTGAGCTCGAGCTGCCTGGCCCCGATGGTCGCGTACCCGGCATGTTGATCAACGCCGTTTGGGACGAGAGCGGCTCATTTGTGATATACCCTACATTGCTGGGAGTCAAAGGTGGATGCATCTCTTGAATGAGCTGAGCCTTGATACTGACATAGTAATTAGTCGTCAACACTGTTACGAACCGTGTCGTCCGCCTCTTAGGGAAGGACGAAACGGTCCGATGGATGCACTTGACCCTATATCAGGGCGCTCCGGCCAAGACAGGCCTTACGACAGTGGTACGTATTATCTACTGCTGCATGCCTAAGACGCGAGTTGACCTTTTACTAGGCAGCCGCGGCGTCTGCAAACCCGCTGCTTGCAGAGAAAGCTGTACGGGACCCAACGCTTGTCGCCAGTGGGTACAAACGCCAGCGGTTCTACATGTTCACTCGCTCCGAACCTGAGTATGCTTGCTACCGTCAAATGCCTCTGCGCCCTGCTGACTCGTCTATATAGGGACGACAAGTCAGGTGATCGTGATATCTTCAACGAGAGGCCGACACGCGAGGAGCAACTCGTTGTCTCTTCAACGCCTGCTCAGAAAGCTGGCCCCTCACCGGTGGCGAACTCTGCGACGATCCATACAACAGTCGGCGACATTCACATCCGGCTATTCCCGCAGCAAGTACCGAAAACAGTGGAGAACTTTGTTGGTCATTCACGCAACGGCTACTACGAAGGCGTCATCTTCCATCGTGTCATTCCGAAGTTCATGATCCAGACGGGTGACCCCTTGGGAGATGGTACCGGAGGCGAGTCGATCTGGGGGCGCGAATTCGAAGATGAGTTCTCGGATGATCTGAAGCACGACAGGTAGGCAGACGCAGTATCTGAGGGGTAAGCTTACTAACTCGCCACAAGGCCGTACACTGTCAGCATGGCCAACGCAGGCCCGGGTACCAATGGCTCCCAGTTCTTCATCACCACGAATACGACGCCCTGGTTAGACAAGAAGCACACGATCTTCGGCAGGGTGCTGTCCGGGTTGGAAGTCGTGCACGCCATCGAGAACGTCAAAACCAACAAGCTCGACAAACCTTTTGAGGACATCAAAATTATCAACATCGATGTCGAGTGATGAGATCGTTTGTTGTGTCGTCCCATTTGTACTGCTTGAAAGACATCTGCTTTGCTTACTCATAGGGCGACACGGTCTAAGCGTTCAGTGCGGTAGCTGACTTGTAGAGTGTGTGGCACTCCTGCTGCCGACAGGCGGCCACTAAATTTTCGGCGCAGTTGCTCAACGATGTCCCCAACTTCACGTGCGAGGGTGCTGGGACAGGAGAACTGAAGAATCGTATGGTCGGCCCCAACAGACGCGCGCTGTCCCGGTGCTCCGCTCTCTTCTCCGAGGGAACATGTAAACACGTCGAGGTCCACGTTGCTGAGAAATGGCCCCGAATGTAGCTCTACGGGCGCGTATGCGATCGGATACTCGAGGAGCACCGCTGCGAGGGGCACCACGTCGGCAGGCGAGTCTCCTCGACCGAGGGTTTCTGTCATTATTGAGGGAGGGAACGTTTTTTCGCTGGCCAGAGCTTCTTGAAGAGCGTCATGCAGCTCGTTTAAGCGAGCCCTAACACCGTACGGAACGTCGGGTATCTGTGAAAAATAAAGGGGAAGGTGAGGGCGTACAGGATGCGCTGGGAAATCGGGCTCACAGGCGTCGCTGTCTGGTCCTTGAGAGCCAGGAAGGCTGGTAAATCACCTTGCTCTAGCCTTTTTAGGAGTAAGGGAACCTTCACAAAGAAGAAATCTGTGCAATCAGGATCTGTGAGGACAACGACGTCGCGGAAGGACGGAAGTGTCTGGTCACTTGAGGATCAGTCAGCGAAGGAATGCTAGACGAACATACGCCACCTTGCGCAGCTCCTGGATGAGCTGTTCGAAAATTTGCAGGGGCGAGACACGATGGTCGAAAGAGAACGCGTCGAACAGGTAGCCAGTGCTATACACGTTCGTCGTGAGTGCATCGTCTCCAGCAAGAACGACAATGGTGCTCCTCCTACCGCACACTCAGAGCTACTAAGGTGAGGTCGGGCGAGAACGCCTGCAGCTTTCTCAGCGATACTTTCTTGAACGCTGAAAGCCGTCGGAATGCCCCGCGCATAATCTCGAGGTGCTCCTCGTATGCTGTACTCAGAGTCGACATGGCAGAGTCTCGTGAGGCCATGCACGCGCCAAAGAGCCGGATTGTGTTATGGTCAAGATGTAGTACGTGCGTGATGCGACTAGAGTACCAGATAAACTACAGAGGACTAAACGTACTACAACGGGTGCTTCTATACATATTGTGATGTGGTGAGGAGGACGGGTGTAGCAATAATTTATGAAGACCTGTTGCACTTGAGCGATGACGGAAAGCAATATTGCGATAATCGAGTCAATGAAGATGAGGCTTAGGGCTGCATGACAAATAACTACCGGTCACCTTGCGTCGGGTTCAACCTCTGAGGCTCCGAACTCCCTCCATGCTCGCCCTCCGTTTGTCCATACGTCCCCAACAAACAGGCAGAGGCTCGTCAATGAGCTCCAACCAGGAAGTGCAAATGGGCTCGCCGCTAATGCAAGAGGTGACTCGCAGACTGCTGCGAGGCCGTCTCGCACGCTCTTCGAGTTGGAGCCGTCAGTGAGAAGACGTAACAATCCGTGAAGTTCGTCTTCTTCCGATGGAGGACCGCTGACTGCTTTATCCTCTTCTGATGGGCATGCACCGCGTAGAGGCGCTGACGAGCCGGGCCCAGACGCGTCGTGCAGGAGGCTCGCCTGGCCTGGAAATAATATAGACTCTGGAGTGGAGTGTGTGAGAAGACGAAGAGCAGGGTCGTCTAGGTCGAGAGAGAAAAAAGACGTGACGAAAGAGAGCAGAGGGACCCGAATTCGTGGTTGAGGAGTGTATCTTGACGCGTGAGAGGAATGCGCACTGGTATTCGACTGCGTTCGTGAACGCATGTACGTTGGACGCGGGTGCATTGCTCTAGAGTCGTGTCGAAGCACTGTTCTTGATGTGCTGGAGCGTCTGAGAAGGCCGCCTTCCCTCACAGGAAGTGTATCTGCAGACCCACTTGCCGCGAAGTACCAGGACCCATCCGTACCGGGGAGATCGTCACCACCTTCCGTCTCTGTCCACTCCCATACCTCAACCTCCGAGTCTAACCCGACATCTACAATCGGGCTGAATACTGCTTCCTCATCCTCATCAACATACGACAGTCTTGTCGTAGACCCATCGTGACCCCTCGACGAGTCCGTGAATTGAGAGCTGATACTGCTGTGGCGGGATCGACCGACTGAGCTTATGGTCAAATTGTCGCCGAGATCTGAGGGTGCTGAAAATACGGAAGAGCCTCCAGGGCTTGAAGGAACGGAAGACGGGACAGGAAAGATGTAGATGGACTGTTCCTCGACCTCTGAGGATGGCCGGTACGGATGCGATGACGAGCTCTCTCCTGGCGGTCGTTGTGATGTGCTAATGGATACCCTGGCAGACGGCGGCTTATAGTATGCCGCCATTGTTGGAAGTGGCGAAGAGACGGATGGTGGATGGTGGAAGGCCGTATTGATCCCCAAAGCGAAAGTTGTGGCGATTTGCGAGGGCGCTTGATAAATGGCCAATTCGGGGCAAGTTTGGAGCGAGAAGCGCCACAAAGTCATCGGAACGCCCGTGCCGTCACCGCAAAATTCGCCACCATTGTGCAACTTCTTCACCAACGACTCACGACCGCAGTGGACGTGTCTTGTTTCCCTTCCCCGCCGACACGGAGACAAGCGCAAGCCCCGCGCTTGAAAAGGCACAACTCGAGGCGGCAACGTGTCGACACTGTCCGTCGCGTGCCCTTTCAAGTTGATCCGCCGTCGGTCTGCGGCGAGCGCAGTGCCGAGGTACAGCCCGTCTACAATGAAGGCATATTTAGCGGTATGAAGCATAGCTGCCTTATCAATTTCCATATTAGCTCAAGCATCTGCTGGCAGTGCTGAACGTCATTGGAAACGTTCTATGAAATCCACATGTCTGAACACGTTCATTGGTGCCATGAAGGCTCAAAAACCGTTCTCCGCTGACGAGGGGCGCAGCATTTCCCTTGCCTCTGTTCAACCAACTGAACTTGCTCCCCGCGCACTATTGAGGGTCGCCCGCAATGTCGCTCTTGAAGCGTGCGCCTACTGATGCTTTGGCTGGTTACCTCTCTCTAACTTATCTTGTAGGCGTGACGGAAGAAGAGATAGGTCCAAATGCTTCAACGGACCTCGCCGTCTGGCTCTTCTTCCAGATTGCTGCGGGACACATCGCCCTGCCCATCCTCACCGCCACGCTTCTCTTCGCCAAGACGGTGAGGAAGATTCCGGCTCTCATAGTCCTCTGCGTGACATGGATAGTATCTGGAGTTTGCTCTACCATTCTGTGAGTTGCATGTGATTTATGGCTATATTTGCATCTAACCTGCCATTGCAGTTTCTACGTGGGCGAGCATAAAGGCCCCGAACCTGGCAGAGGACTCTGCATCGCGCAAGCGGCCTTACTTGAAGCCGTTCCTCCTATGCAAGTTCATCGTCTATAATTTCAAGGAAACTTATACTGAGCATATGTGGCAGGACGTGCACGGCACTCGTTGTACTCGCTTACCATGTCCTGCGGACGTACGATGACCCCGATATGGGCGTCCAATTGCACCCTCGTACTCGCAAGGAGATTATTGGGCTGGTCTCAGTGTGTCTATGTCGCGATGTCTGCGCGAAATGGATAACCGACGTCTCGTCTTATAGCTATGCAGCTTGCCTTTCGTCATGTTCGGGCTTTTTGTCGCCATCGGTGTCAATGCAAGTCCTTGATTCCCTGATATAATCGATGGCTTCGCTCACATCAGACCTAGATCGCACTTCAACATCCGGACAAGGTTAATCGTGCTCAGCGATACTTCTACTGTTCGCTAGACTGGCCAGCACTGTAAGCCCGCTTTTTCTGAATTCCACTAAAGCGTACTGACCGAGCTGACAGTTCCGACGCCGTCTCCGTCATCGCCACACTTCTCTGCTTGGTCGCCTTAGGAATTGAGAGTCGGTAAAGTTAGTCAAACCACTCGAACGATGTACTAACAAAATTTTCCAGTCTATGTTGTTGCAGCTACCACGAAGTGGTGGAGGCTCCTTCGCCGAGGTGGGCATCTCACCGGCGAGGGCCTGACATTCACAATCCGTGTCGTGTTTTTCACATGCTTCCTCTTCGCGTCCACGTTGTAAGTCTATCGCTCCATCCTTTGGGTCCTCCTCATCCTTCTCGCAGGATTAATCTCGTGTCTATCTGGGCCCCTATCGGTGCCTTGCCGGATCTGCTCGCTGCCTCAGGTATGTCTTCTCCGTTGACGGAATTGCTGGCAGCATACTAATGCACCGGTCACCTTGCAGTCGGCATGGCCCTTTTCCTGATATTTGTGTCTCAACCGGTATGTGTGCCGTTTGTCCTGCAGAGTAGTGGCTCATCCTTCTCATAATGCCACAGGAGATCTTAAGGGCTTGGGCCTTCTGGCGCAGGCGCACGAGTGGAGGCGATGAACATGGGCTGCCTCACGACAGCCTCACGCTGCACCACCATCGCTTTGACGCCGGTGAGGGCGGTCTGCCCTCTCTGTCCTCGACGTACACCCTGGATGCGGGACACAGCAATCCAATGCTCCCTCCGAGGGATCGCTACGACTCCAAGCAGAGTACTAGCACCGTCCAAATTATTAAGCGGCCGGAGGAGGCTTTCACGAAGATCCCGGAACGTACACAGAGGCAGAAGAAGAGAGATACGATCTCAACGTGGGGATTTTAATTAGCATGCTGGGTTTCAGTTGGAAGGGTACCGGGACATACATTTTCGAGGATCAAGTTTCCCTTTTTTGCCGTTTATCAGTGGGATGTATCATAGGACATAGTGTACATTATACACTTATACATCAGATGTGTGTAAAATGTGGATAGGTATGTTTGGAGCGAAGATCACGTCACAGGTAGCCCTTGGTAAATGCCGGCACGACTGTTTCCAATTCCGTTAAGAATCCGCGTATGTCATGCCCCTCTGGCTGTATAGCGCAGCCTGTCAAGCTCGGCAAGCGCCTCGTTTTCCTGGCGCACCCAGTCCTGCCCGCTGTAGATGATCCATGTGACGAGTAGCGCCGCAGCCCACCACACTATGTCGAACCATGTGTGGCCCAGGGCAAGCGCGGCAATTGGCGCAATAGACGAAAGTCCGAACAGCACCGCATACGGCAACGGGAGGACCTTTGCCGAGTTCGAGGCAAAAGCAATGCGGACGCGGTGCCCCGCGGGGAGGAGCCGCAAACTGAGGTTGAGGTGTACGAAGATGTGGAGGAGCGCGAATAGCGAGGCGAGTGGTAGGACCTGCGAGAGTGGAGTCGTCGACGAGGGTGGATAAAGCACGGCTAACGGAGAGTGCTTAGATGGGGAGACGAGAAAGATGCAGTGTCTGTATATGAGGCAGGATGTGTTAGCGAGCAGCCCCTATCCACTCGAATGGCGAGCTTACAGGACGGTGGAGAGCGCAATTACGACCTGAAGAAGCATGGCATACTGAGAATTACGCTTCTCGCTGCTCTGCTTGAGACGTTGTATGACCTCTTCCTGCTCTAAGGACTTATCACGTTCACTGAGCCCGTTCCACAGTGTACGGGTAGCCATCACATGCCTTGTTCGTCGAGGATGTGCCCCGAGTCGTTTATCGCGTAACCGTCATCGCTGAACCTGAATGGAATACGCTGCCGAACAGACATTACACGGCGTATCTCTATTCTTCACGAGACGAATTGTCGAGGTTGAGTAGGAGACGACCCCGAGACGGGAGAGGCAAGGAGGACCTTGATGAGGTAAGCGCGATGACATCCCGGTATTGGTGTCGATCCTGTCGGGCTTTGCCGAATCGCGAATAATTTAGCTTTGCAGAAGGTGCCTTCACCGTCTACATACTTCACCGCCAAAATCATGCCCAGCGTGCAAAACGTTGAACCAACAGAAGAGGGACAATTCGACGATGCTCCAGAGGATACCACAGTATCTGCACCTGTAGACCCCGTAGACGGCCGTGCCCAGACGGCTCACCGCTTCATCGACGAGGAAGACAAGGACGAAGAACACCTTCTTGAGTGGCCAAGTTCGAGTGAGGACGAAGGCGAACCGGATGAATTTGAGGATGAAGAGGACGCACTAGAACATGCAGCTTTTGAGGAGTTGAGAGCAGAGGACGAAGACTGGGAAATTGCTGAACGAGGTGCGCGGGTCCTGTCCTTGCTGTAATTCAGACGAATTCATCCCGACATCAGACTTCACAAAACAGTATAACCGTCTACGTCAACACGTCGCAGTACATACCGGCGCCGCCCAAGGCGTCAAGTCGACACTTAACGAGAAGGCGTCGGTCGCGCCTCTCCCTGCTGTGAATCGTCCGCGACCTGCCAAGCAACAGGCGGCGGCGGTCTCGTCGAGCCATGCAAAGTATAAAGCAGAGAGCCAACTTCAGGCACTATCAAAGTATTCATCGCGACTCCGTAATCTCGACATGCCCTACGACCTTAGCGTGGGCGTGAACCGTAAGGGGCCTTCTGCGACGGCCAACCTGAAGGACAAGGCGGATCGTGCCACGACGGAGCAAGTGCTTGACCCGCGTACACGCATTATTCTCTTTAAGATGATTGGTCGGGGACTGCTGTACGAGGTCAATGGGTGTGTGAGCACGGGTAAGGAGGTACTTGTCGTTGTTTGTCTTGTGCGGCAGGAGCTCACATTTGCTGCAGGCAAACGTTTATCACGCCTTCACACCTGAGCGTAGACATGTCGCTCTGAAAATTTACAAGACGTCTATCCTTGTATTCAAGGATCGTGATCGTTATGTTTCGGGCGAATTCAGGTTCCGCAAGGGTTATAGGTATACCATATTTCTATTCCTGCAGATCCTTTGCTTATATGCGCGTGCCACAGCCGGCACAATCCTCGGAAGATGGTTCGCGTGTGGGCTGAAAAGGAGATGCGCAATCTCAAACGGCTTCAAACAGCAGGTATCAGCTGCCCTGAGCCAATAGAGGTGCGCGAGAATGTTCTTGTCATGGGATTCATTGGCAATGCGGAGGGTTGGTAGGTCGATTTCCAATAGAGTGGTGGTAATTTATGTTGATGTGAGATCAGGGCGTCACCAAGACTGAAGGACGCGAATATCCCACACTCCGAGTTCCCTAGACTGTATCGGGAATTGCTGCTCACAGCTCACAAGCTCTTCCACGAGTGCAAACTTGTGCATGCTGACTTGTCAGAATACAATATCTTGTATCATGTCGAGACAAAACAGTCGGCCTCCTCGGATGCGCCTTCATTCGGCCAAATCGACGGACTAGACCATGGACATCTGTATATCATTGACGTTTCCCAATCAGTCGAGCACGACCATCCTCACGCCTTCGACTTCCTGCGCTCAGACCTGCGAAATGTCGAGGAATTCTTCTCGCGACGCGATGTACGCACGCTTGGCCTGCGGCGAGCCTTCGAGTTTGTTACGAATGACGGCGTAGATGAAGGAGGAGCTGACGCCGCACTCGAGCGACGCATTGCGCAGGCGGAGGAGGAGGGCGCAAAGGACGAAGATGAGGGTGAGGGTGCACATGCCGTCAACTCGCGTTCGGCGGCAGACGAGGACTCGGTGTTCATGCGATCGTACATTCCCCGCACCTTGAACGAAGTGTTCGACCCTGAGCGGGACGTTGGCGTGCTGAACGCGGGCGAGGGCGAGAAGCTGATTTACAAGGACATGATCGGCATCGTCGCACCCAAGGAGAAGGAAATAGCGCGGCCGATGGAAAAGCGGACGGTGAAGTTCGTGGACGAGCCGAACGATGAGGCAGAGAGTGAAAGTGAGGAGAGCGAAGAGGAAGAGGAGGAGGCAGAGGAGGAGGAGGGTGATGGACAGTTTAAGGAGCGGAAGCCTCGAGGTCACAGACATGAAGATAAAGAGGCCAAAAAAGTAAGTCATCCCGAGACGATGGCCCGGATATGCATTGCTCATGCAAAGTATCTCAGGAGCGCAAGAAGGCTACCAAGGCAGAAGCGCGGGAAAAGCGGAAACACAAGCTTCCGAAGGCAGAGAAAAAGCGGAAAATCAAGCAGACAGCGAGAAGCAAGTAGTATGCATGATCTACGTAATGCGTTTTTCTCTGCATGGTCATTTATTCTGTTCATTCGTGGCACTACATGTCGGCATACTGCCTTGAGTGGTGGCAGACTCAACATTCAAGTCATCGGTGAGCAGCTGTTTCCGAACATTCGTTCTTAGTTAGCTAGAAAAAAAGCAAATATTCATGCGAACCTTGCAGGCACAATTGGTGGGGATTACACGATATGCATGTGAGCGACCGTCAGCGTTATGTATGAAGCTCGCGATTTGTTAGGGATCGGCATCCCATGAGACTGTACTCGTTCGTGCTTTCGATATCGTTAGACAGAGGGTTGAAAATGCTGAAAGTCGACTCTGCGTCTTCGCTGCGTACTGACCCTGCAGATGTTTGTGTTGTCCGTGTCCACAATTTCTCTATGACCCTCATTGCTCAGCTTTCTACAGGCTCATCTTGTCTTTCACCGATAGGTGCTTCTTCCGGAGTGCATGTCGGTATTGTCGCCATTATGCTCCCTCCGATGTACCTCCACCATGAAACGCCAGGTGTGCTCACTGGACTGCATGTCCGAAAGCACTGCCAACTTCGCATTGCCGACGTTAGTCCCGAGGTGAGAAACGCGCGTTTTTGTGTCTTCGGTGCCCGACGAACTGAAATGAGGAAGCTGGCGCGGACATACTACTCGACATCCGGATGGCTTTTCCATCGATGCCGCAAATAGAGCTTTCTGTAACGCCGCTCAAGGATACCAAATCCAACAGGTCCTCAGCCTCCGACTCTGTGCGGCGATTACTCAAGCAAGAGTAGCGTGCAAGCGACAAATGAAGCATTCAGAGCGCAAGCGAAGATACACCCCCAAGTGTATATACGCCCGGCCTACTCTGCTCGTGCGATCCATGGACATGCAGTAGCCGCTCATCGGGAAGCTACCTAATGGTCGCTGCAGGCTCTCAGCTTTCGGTGCTTCAGCTGCGGTCCAGACGAAACCGTGACGAGAGCGGAAGATTGGAAGCTGGTGCCCTGCCATGTGTCTTGTCCCTCGAAATGGCGGATGTTACGCAGTGTGATCCTTTCGCGCGTTATGCGGAGCGCAGGTCCTCAATAGCATTATTCAGCACGGCGTAGACTGGCGGCGGTGCAGGTTGAATATACCAGGTTGGAAAATGCGGCGACCACAGAGCACAGGTATGCGTCGTCTTCGTTATGGAGTCCATGGAATGATGTTCACATTTTACAGATGGCTGTTGCATCGCCTCCTAGCGGCCCCCGCCCTGCCTTTCTAAGCATGTCATCGGGCTTACACACGGGCTATTCTACACCTGTTAGTGCTGGTTTTCATTTTGGCTGTAGCTCTTGATGTTGTGCCAGCTTGAAGCTTGAAGCCTCGGCGGCCATCAATACCAAACAGGAACAAGTAATGCTCGCAGTTGATGGGTCCGACCTCCGTAATCCACCAAGCTGCGCGTTCATGAAGAAAGGAGCACAAGATGTAATACGCGCTGAGTACGTTATACTATGTTAGATATCGACAATTTGTACATTCACGTGGCAAGCTCTCCTTCTCGCAGCTCTCGTTTATTTCCTCAGTTCGAACGGATGGGAGCAGATTCTTCACTCTCGTATAGGTAGACTCCACAGACGTGCCTAGAATTCGCACACATAACAGTGTGATCCGGGCGACCCCTTCACATATTCCGCATTAAATGCCGCCAAGTGATCTCGGCTATTGGCTTGCAGGGACGACTTACCGAATGCTGCTCAATGTCTCGGTGAGACGAGGTCGGATTTGTCACAACCTGGAGTCTCGACGCCTTTGTGCGGCAACATCCGCAGTATTGGTTCGCTTGGCCACTTGACAAATAATGCCTTGGACAGATGCAGTGTCCAGCGCTTCGTGGGTTCGACTAGGCGTGTGCTGTGCTCTGAAATCAAACCAAAACGACCTACCTCTGAGTGAGTTGACTTCACATTTCGCAAGGCTGATATCCCGCACTAAGGCACCGCAGATGGCCGTCGTGCGGTTTTCCCGCGAAAGCGCGGCGAGAGAAATGCCCGCTTACCCGTGATGTTCAGGGCTGACCGCGTCCTCGATCTGGTACAAGTTGCTGTGTGCCTATTGGTCCCGTTAAATTTCAATCGGGCCGAACGGCGTCCTACCGCCAATCTTTGTACCGTTTTCTCTTCACGCACAATATGTTGCGGCTGACGTGACGGGCACTGATGTTCCGGACCCAGTCATGGACTCCGTGCGCGCTCAATTTTTGTTTATGCTCATGCTTTTTTCGTGATGCTAACTCCAAATCCGTTACAGGTCTCGGCGCGAGCATCCTTTGTCGCGCCCGCACAGGCCTCGCAAGCCCGCGGCCTGTAGTGTATAAATACAAGCCCGACTTAGTCGGAGAGTCCCCAGTCCGGAGAGCACTTCTGCCCATCGACGAACATGTTCTCCAAGACCACTCTCTTCGCTACCTTCCTTGCCACCGTCGCCAGCGTGGCGGCTCATCCCCTAGATGTCTGGGATCCCAAGATCATCACTCCCAATAGCTATACTGTCTGGGCTCCCGGCGGCACCTACAACGTCACTTGGTATCGCCTGTTTATGATCGATGCTGAGTTCCACTGGAACTGACCTAAACACGCATAGGGATACTTCCGATGCCCCCGCTAGCATCAGTGAGGGCTCCGAGGTTGTCCTCGCAAAGAGTGGCGTCCTGGATTCTGGTTTGTGCATCATCTTCCTATCATCTTGCGCCGATTTTTGACGGGATCTGCCACAGCCAACCCTCTCGCTCAAGGGTTCGACCTGCGTGCCGGCTGGGTCCCCGTCACCATCCCCGCGTCCACGATCCCTGGCAGTGACTACTCTATCGTTCGTAAGTATCATTTATATCGTGCAGCCTACTCGGCGACGCTGACTTCTTCACCTCCAGTCTTCGGCGACTCTGGTAACGCCAGCCCGGAGTTCGCCATTGAGTACCTAAAACCTGTACAACTCTGAGCCCATCTGGGCGCACTCAGCACAGATGATGTTTAACCCTCACACGGACTGTCATTTTTTGTCTTGTACTGAACCCCCGACCGTGACAATCATGGCTTCTCACGAACCAAACTTTGTCTTCGCGACGGGTTTGAACGTTTTGGGCTGCTAGCAAATACCCCCTCCACAACCGGTCCTGTTCGACATATCTTCAAGCGCCATCCGGTATTCTGCTCACGCAGCCTAAATCGCGATGGGGAGGCGCGACCTCGCTGAAGCTCAGACGCGTCTTGTGGAGGTTCTTCTGAAGGACGTAACGAGGAATGGAGCACATATTCACCCAACACGAAGATAGGCGCTAAAATTATAACGGAAACACGGAGCGCCCCGAATGTTGCTTCCTAACTGTGTGCTTCGATGATCACCTGCGACTTACACCTGCAGTTTAACCGACTACGTCGAGGCAGTCAGTGGCATCCGCCACAGTCTGGCAGACACGAAGAGTCAATGAGGTCGCGTATACAGGTCATGTTCATGCTCATTAAATTTCAGGGCAGGCGGTCGCGACCATCGTCCCTACATAAGTGGAGGCATTCAACCCTGCGAGCAGGACAATAGGTGATCTGGTACAGTACAACATGGTGCGCGAAACTAACCTTTATGTATGGTATAAGGAGGAACAAAACTTGCAAAGACGGTGTAGACCCTAAACATACAACGTGCGCTACTAGCAAAGGCGCGCGTGTTGTGGGGTTGACATCGACTGCGCTCATCGCCGAAGGGCTGCGCCTCGTGTCCCGCATAATGTGGTGTCCGTTGCTAGACTGCTACGCGTAACACGCTTGGCGGGGCAGATCCGCTCAGGGATTAATGCGCGGATCGGAGAGGAATCATCACTCGGCATCTGTTCATCCAATGGCTGGACGCCGATGCAGGTCACTTAATCTTACCATCTGCCTTCGCCGGAGGCGAAGCACTCGTGAAACGTTTATGCGACACCACCGAAGGTCATTAGGCTTCGACCTCGTCAACATCTTTTTGCGTGACAACGAGAGCCTTCCAGCGTGCGTTTCATTTCTCTCGCATAACCCGTACTCGGTGCTTACTCCGGAAGGTGACGACAGTTTGTACGAGTAGTATAAGAACACGGCGCTGCGCTGTCTGCTCCTAATTCCGCTCCCTTTTCTTCTCAGCTCTCTGAAACGCATCCTCGTCTGTCATTTACGTCAATTCAACTTGAATACCCCGATCTACAAGATGTTCGTCCCCCGTACCGTCATCTCCGCGCTCGCGTTCGCCATGATGGCCAGCACGTTCCCTACCAGCGTCGACACAAGCAGTGTCGTACCGACCTCCACAGCCGTCCCGACTGCCTCCGGCGCGACAACGCCCGCAGGCATCCACCCCCACTCCTTCGAGGTCTATGACCCGCCCATCACTCAGCCCACGGCCGACACCGTCTGGACCACCGGTTCGAGCCAGACCGTCAAGTGGGACATCTCCAAGATTGGTTCGGACGGCAGCAACACCACCGCCAGCCTCCTTCTTGGACATAAGGATCCTGGCTCGTCGAACGAGTTCCTTGACATCAGTATGTATCCTCATGTGTGTTTGCTAGGATGATCTTGATGGTGTTTCTTCCAGAGAACCCTCTTGCCGTCAACGTTCCCGTCAGCGCCGGCCAGGTCACCATCACGGTTCCTGACGACGTCCTGACCGACAACAACTACATTGTCGTCCGTGAGTGTCATTGCCGTTTCCGCTGCGCTGTCCGTTGCTCACCATGCTCATTCCACCAAAGTGGTCGGCTCGATCAGTGACTCGGGCAACGCCTCTCCCGTATTTACCATCCAGAACCCGAGCCAGAGCTCATTGACGAGCCTCCCCACCCCAACCCCATCGGGCTCCAGCGTTCCTATGTCTCCCGCCCCCTCCGTGACGTCTGTCTCGGACCCTGCTGCCTCCGCGACGTCCGTTCCCACCGACGTCCGTTCCTCGGTCCCCGTTGACACTGCTTCTTCGTCTGCCTCTGCTCTTCCAACCAGCCTATAATTTCATAGCTTGAAGATGGGTTGTTTGACAGGACTGGGCGCTGCGTAGAGACTAGTACATGCTCGATGATGTACCGGACTCAATTGGACTAATTGCACACGCACATTCATATCATGTCTCTGTATGGAACACATGCCTACTCGTAAACCGCTGCTTTGCATTATTAGCTGGTGTGATAAGTACATTGTTTGTGGTTCGTTCAGCCTGGCATATTTCGGCACGTCTCGAGTGCTATAGGTGGACAAGATCCTTGGCTACATGCGCCACAAGGCTCTTGGCGGGCACGCAGGCCCGACTTGGGTGTGTGTTATCGAATGCGACGCACTTTCGAAATATCGCTCCTAGGCCTGAGGAATATGGGACTTGATACCGAGCCAGCCGTAGTGTTACACGCTCATTGCGCTGAGATGACTCAAGGGCCATGAGCAAATCCATCCTTGCCGCGCCTGCGCGAGTCTCTTCTTCCAGGCTGCTCCCTGTAGTGCGTCGAATGCTTGCTCAGCAGAGACTGGCTTAAACCTGGCAGGGTTGGCGTAGTAAGTCAGGCTAACCCGAGGTACAACCAGTGCATGCCGTGAGGAGATTTTTGGGAGATAACTACATACGCACCAGACAAGTCAGTACTGACTTGAACTTAGAAGACGGTCGTGCGAAAGAGACTGCAGCGATGTAAAGGGACGATATACGGCGGGGGAGTTAGCGCAGTCCACGTTCATCAATAATTGTACGCCATTGCGTTAGGACAGCTGCTGTGGCACCTAAGTACTGTCGTGACTCGCCAGCAAGCTCGGGATTTGGTCTCTAATTAAGAAGTCTCGGCTGTAGCATAACAATTAGTAGTGAGAGTGGGAGACGAACGTGTTGTGTGTAGATATCATCTCTGATGGAACATTTAGGGCGCTGCGGCAGAGTCATGAGGGTCCAATAAGATATCGAACTTCGAAGACCGTGAAGCGTGCCGGCGCGTGATGGCTGCCAAGTGCTCTCAACATCTGTGCCGAGCTGGAACGTTCAAGATGGCCGAGCACCGACAGTCCTCAAATCTCGGAGCGACAAACGATAAGTCTGTCAAGGTCTATCGCTATCTATTCACACCGCATAGAATAATGCCAAGCAGATTAGATCTCGCTACTGCTCAGATGATTCGGAACAAGCACATTGAACCCACGTGTGATAATGACCGCTCTCTCGCGGCGCATGCGTTGAACGCCATCCGACATTACACAAGAATTGCACTGTCCCTCAATCTTACTTGGGTAAGAATGCGTAAATATTTCCGTAGTCAGAGTCCAAAGGGCACAGTGTCCTACATAAAGTACAAACACCGTCGACGGTATTACAACAGACATAGATATCAGTGGGCGTCAGCAGGGTTGCACGTTCAGCAGCACATCTCGCAGGGGCAGCCTGGAGGGGGCTTTGTGAGCACAGCGACAGAAAACACAAGGCAGGATGAACGCACAAGCGATGTCGGCGAAGCACTCGCAGCATCCCTTGCAGCATTCGAAACAGAGGAAGCACTCGATGGCGCCGAGGAAGCAGTCCTGCGATACAGCGAATCGGCGTGAGCGATGCTGTTCGGAAACTGCGGAATACTTGGACTCACCTTGCCAGCACCTCCTCCTCTCAGGCGCGAAGCCTTACCGTGCTCGTGGTCGTGCTGTTGCGTGCTGTTGCGTGCTGGGGCAGCCATCGGGCCTGCGCGGAGATAAGCTTTCCCCTCGCGAAGCGTCGACCAAAACGGGGTCACTCACTCATCTGGATAGCCTGGGGTTGAGCAGAGGTGGTCATCGCGGGCTTCGGGGCGTTCATGTTGTGTCGGGGTGTTTTGTCGAGGTTTTCAAGGGCGAAGGCGGGGACAACAGCGGTGCTGGCTGCGGGGAGTAGGCCCGTTCGCCTTTTATTGCAGCGAGGTTCCCTGTGAGATCATAGAAACGTGTCATGCCCGCCTATCCTGGCGCCGATGGAGACACCCGCCAAGCCGGCTGCTATATTTAGACTTACAGGCACACGGCCTCACTACACTGCTCGCAGCAAATTGTGAGTGGAGACTCGAGAGTGGTCATCATATAGGCACCAAAATGCGGCCGTGAATCCAGTTTATATGCTAATTTTCTGTAGTGCGCGGGTAGGCAGAATATCGAGCGGGATTTTAAGAAAACTGGCATGATGCTGCGCATGACCAGGCGGTGTTTCCAGATCTCGGAAGCGCGTTAGGCGCGAGGGTACCACAGAGTGGTCCAACGCGCTATAGGGTGGGCAATGGGATTTCATGGCCGAGCGTGTAGAAGGCTCAGCGCAGCACTCGCGAGTGGCCGTGCCCGCGACTGCGCACATAGATGCGCGCAGCTAGGTTTGCCATCAGTCGGTAGGTGGGAATCGTGAGATGAGCATTGGGCCTCACCACCATAATCTTCGTCTTCCTCCACAGCACGAATCGTCTGACTCTTTGAGGGCCTTGCACTCCGCCGATGCTACTCTCGACATGACTTCTCAATGGCGCATGGCGCATTTGCCAAGCCTAAGCCTTGCTACAAGCTCGCGACACCGGTCTAGATGGCGCCGGTGTGATTGAGATCAACACTTAATGTTACGGGGCAGGCGGGGTCCCAACATGTAAGTAACGAGGGCTTGAGCATGCGACTTAGATTGCTAGACGTTCAGTGATGGTGCATGGTGCTGAGACGCGTAGGGATGCGTACCCTGATCTTCGGCGTAGGCTTGCCCGGTGACAGTAGTTGTTCCGTCAAATAAACAGTGCTGGTGGCTATTCCGTCACATTCATAATGCATAAGGTCTATCCCCACGTGCACCTCTCAACTATACTGTACGCATATTCGATTTTGGTTAGAGACCCTTGGCCGATGCGTAATTACCCTAGATGTGTGGGTACCTTATGCATTATGTGCTTAGCGACTGTAGAATTACCTTTAAATATTGCCCTCGTCTTGGCCAGTGCGGCCTTTCTCCAGACTTTCTCGCGACGGGATGGATGCTCCAAGAAACAAGTCGAGAAAGATCGCCTGGGTAAGATACCCCACAGAAAGACCCCGATGCTGATGCGCTGATGCGGGAGGTACCCCGGGCACCAATCATGTCATCCTCTTTGACCAATGGAGGCTGCCATCGAACTGTACTTTGACGATACTTTGACGGTTCGGTTTCTTCACCTGCCTTTACCGTCTGACTACCCAGGACCGTGCACACGTAGCCCTGCAAAAGTTTTCGTCACCCTTAAAACGACCTGTGCGCCCTAACTCAGGTGTGTCTGCCGACGTGGCGCCAGCCCGGCGACTGTGAGACACCGTTCACGCTGCTGACTACTTGGGCGCGTCATTTTCGCAATTCGGTGCACCTGTTTCGCGTAATCATCGGTCGCAGCCCGTGCAACAGACCAGCCTTAAAGACCACACACCGCGCCCGGCCGAAAGATGTCTGTCAACCCCCGTCTTTCTGGTTTCTGGTCTACGGACGCGAGAATGAGCTTCTACGAACCCGGCGATGAGGAAAATGAGGGGCTAGTCCCTGGTGGAGACGAAGAGATGGGTGCCACGCCAGACGGCCGGACACCGCTAGACAGGACTATTGATAAGATTGGAATGGGTGTGTGTGCCGTCCTCCGTCTCTTATGCAAGCTGACCGCGCTCCGCGAAGGCAGCTACCAGTGGATACTTTTGTCCTTGTGTGGGTTTGGTGAGTCTCATGCGCGCAAAAATAATATCTTTATGCAACGAGCAATAACTCGGACAAAAAGGGTGGCTGGCGGATAATGTAAGTCTCGACCCGTCCGCTAAATTGACTTGATCTCAGTGGTATACGCCAGATGTGGATGCAAGCTGTCGCCATAATACTCCCCAGAGTGCAGCAACACTTCGACAGTGAGTACGGATAACTGCCCCAGTCTCTGCATATAGGGCTGACCGGGTACCTTGAACGACCTCAGTTCCAGACGCGCATATAGGAGTTTTATCATCCTCTATGTTCGCTGGGATGATGTTAGGAGCGCTAGGGTGGGGAACATGTGAGCATCGCCACGGCATACCGCGCGCCTGACCTGACAAAAGTTGCTTTACCCCAGGTTCCGATCTAGTGGGACGTACGGCTGCATTTAACGCGACCCTCTTCCTCACCGCCGTTTTTGGGATGCTTGCTTCCCTAGCCAACACCTTTCCTCTGCTTTGCGCAGCGTTATTTTTCCTTGGCAGTGCTGTTGGGGTGTGTTTAACCTTATCCGTGTGCATTTACCCACCGTGACCGCCCAATTCATAGGGCTCTATGCCGACAGATGGCACGTTGCTGCTCGAGCACATGCCAAATGGCAAGCAATACCTTGTCACCGCACTTTCCGTGTTCTTCTCCTTCGGCTCCGTGCTCGCAGCCGTAACAGGCCTTATACTCATCCCAAGCAGGTCTTGCCCGCCGAAGCCTGCGCCATGCGACGTCACGACCCAGAACATGGGCTGGAAATACCTATTAATGACTCTCGGCCTATTGGTAAGCGTCTCTGCACTCGACGCTGGCGCGAACGCTGACCCGTGACTCAGACATTACTCATGTTCTTGGCCCGTATCGTCTTCTTTCGCCTACACGAGTCGCCCAGGTATTTAGTTCATGCCGGTCGCCACAGAGAGGCCGTCGAGTCGCTACAAATGATATCCAAGTTCAACGGAGACGAGCTGGACCTTGACGTCGAGGACGTCAGAGACCACCTCACACAGTCCGAGATCGTCGCCAGCAGTCGCGAACAGTCCGGCAGCAGGTCGTCTTCGGTGGAAGGCCAAGTCGTATTTGACGCGGGTGACGGAGATGGAAGCTCTTCGCTGGACGAAGCGCGCCCGAAGCTGGTCCCGAAGACGAGTCGCATGGGCCTGCGGAGCTCCCAAGAAGATGGGCTGCCCGATTACAGCTCTACAGGCGAGCACAACGTTTCGCTCAACGGGCATTCCCTCCAGACTCCAGAAATACCAGTTCCAACATCGCCGGTGCCTCCCGACGAGCCGTACTTCAAGGAGCCTTCAAGGAGGAACTCTGTCGCGTCAGTGTACACGGCGAGTTCCTTCGGGCGACCACAGCATTCGCGAGAGGGTACCTCGTCGACGCTTGGGGAGAGGAGGTCAAAGCTGTACTGGCTGCTGCCGCGATGGTTCAGGAAGCCAGTGTGGGCATGGTTGGACCGGATCTCGATGGTCCTCTCGCCCGAGTGGATGGGCACCACCATCCTTGTCTGGATCGTCTGGTGGACAATGTCGCTTGGTAAGGGTTCATTACTCGAGGCTATCTCCGCTGCTTAACGTCCGCGCGATTGACAGCTTACACCATGTTCAACATCTACCTGCCCAAGCTTCTGGAAGGCAGAGGCAGCGCGGGGGACACCGCGCCGCGAAGCTTGTCTGACAGTCTATGGGACGTCGTTGTATACTCGATAGGCGGATGCCCGGGGGCCATTGTACGTGCAATTGCTAATCTAGAGTATCGAGCGTGCCTGATCTGATCCCTCGCAGCTCGGTGCATATCTCGTAGATTCGTCGATAGGCCGGCGGCGGTCGCTCGCGAGCAGTACTTTTGCTACTGCGCTGTGCTGCGTCTTCTTTGTCCTAGCGCAGGGCTCGCTGGCTGTCCGCATCAGCACGATGGGCATAAGCTTGAGTGCTACGGTAAGTGCAAAAGCGTCTCTACTTCGATTGCGGAAGCGCTGACTTGCGCGTTCGCAGGCCATGTGGGCGGTTCTGTACGGGTAAGTCATTAAGCTTCGATTGTGACGTGATAACAGTGCTTACGACAAAACGTGTGTCAAGGTGGACGCCTGAGATCTTTGGCACGAAAGGTATGTTGCTCCCTGTGCTCCAGAGGAAATGGTCAGGTGTTAACTTCGTGCTGCAGTGCGCGGAACTGCGTGCGGCATTGCCTCCGCTCTCTCACGAATGTAAGCCGTCCCGCGCCTCCAGATTGGCTTTTGCGCTCATCTCCGCCCCGGTAGAGGAGGCATGATTGCCCCGCTACTTGGTGGAACGCTCCTCGTGATTGACAACTCTTTCCCCGTGTACGCGAGCGTTGCCATCTTCCTGATCGCCGGCTTTTGCGTGCTGCTTCTGCGCGAGAAGGCGGGCGAGCATGGGGCTTCCAGAGGATTGATGCACTGACACCTCTCACGGACTGCTTCTGCTGCTTCTCGACGTGCATTATCTGTAGCCTACTGTAATCACCCACTGTATTATCGATAGATCTGCTGGAGCTTAAAGGGCCAATCGCTTCCGAGCTTCGCTACCATCTTGAGGAGCTTGGCCGTGAGTACGGTATCTCATACAGTGCGCCACAGGGTAACTACAGCCGAGGTCATATGATGTGGACGTGTGCAATTGGTGCAGTGAGTAGAAGGTAAAGTTTAGACCGGGGGTTTTATGATTCCGGGGCTCAGCTTGTAGTATACAATATTCGAGTCCTCTGCACAGATCGCGAGGTAAATGTGCGGCGGCCTCCCAAGGTCGCTGAATGCCTGGTGAAACCTTTTTGCCAGTCGTTGTTTAGTCGTGCCATCGATGCAAAAGGAACGCATGCGACGCACCACTCGATGCTCAACGACTCGGCCAGCGAGCAGGGGACGACGTACAGCGTGTTGTCCTGCGGAGACACCATCAGCCGTTAATCGTTGCGACTGGTGAGGCAGACTCACAGTTTTTGGCCGTCGGCCCTTGAACGCACCGCGCGCACAGGCTGGGACGTCGAGCACCTCGAGGTCTTCCCACTGTTGCGCTGCAGAAGTGGTTGCCGCGTTCAGCGTCGGACGGCGCATGCGCGAGGAACGACCTGACCTAGCTTCAAGTCGTTGTACGTCTGGAAGAGTGACCCAGCCGTTTGCGGATACTTTTGCGCAATCCCTGAGAGCTCTTGGTACTGCAGGGAAGTAAAGTGAGTCTACGACCGAGGAAGGTTGTGCCGACGTACCGATGGGTGTCCCTCCATGCTCGGTTCCTCCCAACAAGCGTAGGAGATGTGGCGTGCAGCCACACAGTATTACAAGTGCCTTGTTATGTCGCTTTCAACCTCGACTGTGACCTTCAGGACGGCTGAGGGTGTAGCTGAGAGCAAAGTCAGTGAAAGCACGCGCCTGGAATTGAGTCACGTGCTCAAAGGCGTCTAGTAATCGCCGAACCGGACGCGTGCTGGCGTTCGCGTGGCGTCGCGCTCTTTCGCTCTGACCTCCATGACCACGACCCTTAGACTACCCTGAATCCAATCGCTTCATTTATTCAGTTAGATCCTGCCAGGTCCGGATGAAAGTACCCGTAGGGTGCTTTCTTATCCTATATCCCCACATATGCACCGCGTCCCTGAGTGCATGCGGTTTGTTCCGCCTGCCACCTGGATCATTACGCACCGATCTTCACTGTCTTGATGAGGTACAGCAGCAAATTTTCTTTGGACATGTGAACTGCACCCGTGCATTTTGAGATGACGCACACTTTCCTCGCATCCTCGTACTCTTGCGTCGCGGGCAGCTCGTCGTCCGAAACAGTGAGTCTCCTTCCACACGGCATCGCATTCAATCGGGCCCTTTACAGACGGACTCTCATTGTGCATCCTGTGTCACTGTGCGTAAGGAAGCTCCTTCGCATGACCCAACTGCAGGACCATAGAGATAGGTAATCAGCATATTGTTCGCTTCTCCCGTGACCCCAGGTGGCTCTCTGTCGGAATATCGTAGACGTGAGGAAGAAGCGGACCCTGCAGCAGGCCTGCCTGTATCGATCGCGTGATGGCAAGTCGAGAGCATTCCTTCACAAGCTCGTTGCTCCGTCTTCCGCTCCTGGCGAGCAAGGCGGAATAGTCGTGGCGGTTGTCTCGGATTGTCAACCGGGTTCAGGTTCGGATGGATAGCCTCGTCACTTCCTGCAGGATGTAACGAGTACGTTGTACGTAACTTCTTACCCCAGTCGTCTTGCTGGCAGCTTCTGGTGGCTCACAGAGTTCTGCAGACCCTCGGAGCGCGACGGGGCGCGTTTAGTTCGGCATAACAGGTGTCGCACTCGTGAGAGCCTGCCGCTGAAAATCTTATGCCAACTTTAACACGTTTAATTGACAGACCCTGGCTGGAAGTACGATTGCCTGCCTTGACATCCTACCAGCCGATCTGAGGAAGCTGCGCGAGTTCTATGCGCGCTGCACCTATCGTGTGGCCATTTCGTGTTACAACCTGCCACCTCCAGTAACTTTCCTGTCGCTCCGTGCTGGACCCTTTCTCATGAAGCTTTTTCTTAGTAATGTTCTAGTGTGCACAATGTGAAAACCAGGTACGTTATCGGAGTTAGATGCCACGTTCGCGGACCTTACAGTTACTCTTTTTGAAAGTTTATCGTACAAGAAGTGGAGGTGAGTGGTAACGTTATTCGGCTTCTCGGCGCGAACGTTGCTTTTGCACGTCGTCAACGCTGCGAGCTCACCTGACAGTCTGTCGCGGAGCATGGTTTGTCCCGCCACTTCGCCAGCGGGCGATCTGCACTGGCTTTACCAAATGTCACAGGATGCCCTAGGTCTCACTCTCCGCTTGACCATCGCATATTAGCGAGCCAATCCGGCAAATACCTGACGCTTCCGTGTCCTCGGTGACCTTAGTTCCCCTCTCAAGTGTAGGTTTTGATCGGTGATTGAAGTTCGTAGCGTGGCGTTTAGCCGTCGGTCACTTCACGCATCGTCCACATGGCTGGCACGATTTTGCCAGGGAGAGTAGTCTTTCATGGATTCGGAAGCTTTCGCGGCTATGAACAGGGATTGCTCGCTTGCGTACCTGTGCGGTCTGGGGTTGTCTCAGGCAACACGGACGTTGAACCTACTCATCGCCCGTTCATCGATGGCAATCGCACCCCGGATGGCAACACTCGCTCTGTCTGGAACCCGCCACGATCGAGGCCAACAAACCATTCTTCCAATCGCTGCCAACTTCTGGGGTGCTTACTTCAGTGCGATCCGTCATCAGCTGTCCGCGGGGCACAAGCGAATGGAGGCCGTCCGTTCATCTCTTCGCGCAGGCCTTATCGGTACCGTCACCGTGTCGAGCGAAGCCCGCGGGGGCTAGACTGTGCGTCATTAGGCTACCCATTGAACATGCCGGATTCGCAAAACAATTGGCTGTAATGGGGCTCATACAATAAACACGTCTAAGGGTGTCCACAGCCTGGCGAGGGCCACAGGTCCAGGATCTGCAGCTGCCAATCTGGAGTGGCTTGCGCGCCGCGCACAGAACGGTGGTCGTGTGGACAAGGGTGCGGCACTCTCCGAACGCTTCGGTGCAAGGCCACTGCCTGCGCCCTGCACTTTGAGCAAAGCGTCGGGCGCTGTTGCTGGCTGATTACCGGTGACCACTCTGTCGACGGAGGGGAATATCATGAGGCTCAGAGAACATAAGAGATCGATGGCAGCCTTTGCGCGGTGAACTGCACGGGGGGCGGGCTGTGGAATTTAGTGTGAATTCATCGACATCGATAACGTTTGGGTCTGGCCAGACATTATTATTGTGGATTTGCCCTCTTGAGCACTTCCTTATTGCAAGCGCGAGATCGAGTGTCTGCAATCAGCCCTCTGACGCCAGATCGGATCAAGATCCGCTCTCCGCCTCCGGAATACTTAAATCCAGCTCTCTAACCAGCTTGTCCTCCACCGCCCCCTCACACCTTCCTTGTATCTGCCCTTCGTTTCACCACAGCCATGGTCAGTTTTGTTTTACCACAATGCCCCCAATGCCCTCTCATGTCCCTCATCCTTGCAGGGTGTCAATGTCGATGTCATTACTCCCGGCGACGGCAAGACCTTCCCCAAGGTTGGCGGTAAGTCCTCTTGCGCCATTTCTCAGCCCTGTCTGCCTTTCTTATTCTCGCGCAGACAGGGTCTCAATACACTACGTCGGCACGCTTCTGGACGGCACGAAGTTCGACTCCAGTCGGGATAGGTGCGCTACGCCACGACGTTGACCGCACAACAGTGCTCATGTCGCACCCATTACATAGGGGTAGCCCCTTCCAAACCGAGATCGGTGTTGGCAAGGTTATCAGAGGCTGGGACGAGGGTGTGTACCGTCGTGTGGCGTATTTGCACACATGCTCACTTGCTGTACAGGTGTCCTCAAGCTGTCTGTTGGCACGAAGGCCATCTTGACGGCGACACCCGATTTCGTGCGTCATGTCTTCTGTCAGCCGCTCATACACGCATGCATGCTGAATCGTGCCTCATAGGCGTATGGCCAGCGGGGCTTCCCACCAATCATCCCGCCGAACTCGACGCTCAAGTTTGAGGTCGAGCTTCTGGGCATCCTCTAACGTGGACGAGCCCCTCGTCTGCGTCGCCGCCGGCGCCGACTCTGCATATCACCATTGTTGACGGGTCATTCGGTTTCGTTGTAGCATCATGTAGTACCACTCGCATTACTTGTCCGTGTATAGTATCCTCTACATTCAACCTTCACGCACGCTTTCCAGAGACTGTCCGCACGCTCGGGGCTCTTTCGACTAAATCACGAATCGATTTAGTAGAGATAGGACGGCGCACATATGACATCCATCGATCGTTTCGCCAGGGGGCGCCTGTCCCGCATACAGGTTCGTGCTTTGCAGCGCGCTCCGCGCGTTCGCTCCACAAAGCGCGTTCTCGATCGGCCGTTCCCGCGGAGGATCTGCCCCTAAGTTGACGAGCCAATGCCCCGCGTCCCATTCGTCCTAGCTCCAGGCCTCCAACTCTATCTCCCCCGTGCCGAGCGGCGCCGCTGGTCGCTCCGTATCCTCACAATGGCCGACACTAGCTCGGAGAACGCTTGTTTCTGCTCTTCTCTACATTCTGCTTGACATGTTAGGGAAACAAGACATATTCAAGGGCAATGCACATAAATAGTGCGTACCAGATACGAAAGTGATGGCAGCATGCCACTTTTCCTTCTGCAGCGCACGTATTTCGTTCAGTATTGCCTGGGCAGCAGCAGATTCACCTGTACATGTGGAAAGAACAACGGCAAACTTTAAAACGAATACGGATTATGGAAAGAACAAAGAACGACTGGCCTCTCGGTCCAGGCCTCGCTCCATCCCTGACCGGTTCCCCATGGGGAACCTGTTCCGGCCGCTCGACATGCTCCTCGGGATCCAAGTAGCTCAGCTCGCTTTCGACGTGGTCTTCTTCGCGCTGCGGACCCTCGCGCTGCCGGACCACGTCCTCGAGGACTCCCGCGAGCTCGTCCTTGACCGCCCGCAACCGCGGCACGACGCGCGCCTGCAGCGCGTCCTCGAGCGCGTACAGCTCGTCGACGATCTCCATGATCTCGTCGAGCTCGCGGCGAGCGTCGGGGGTGGGCGTGCGGCCCGTGCCGCCGTCTGCACCCCGGGTACTCGGTCCTCGCGCAGTCATTACGTGGCTGTGGCGATGGGGCTAGCCGCAAGTGGAAAAGCCAAGGGGCAGCCGTGGTACGTAACGTCGGGATTCGCTGGTGGCTGAAGGCAAAAGCGTACTTGGACTCGGTGGTGGCTCTTGTCGAATGCAAACTTGCGCCTGAAGAGGTCATGCTCTAAGCGGCAGGCTTCACACAAATACCGGCGCGCGATAAGCCAGCCCCATGAGGTTTGCGCATGAAGACGGCATTGCGTGAATGCCTGAGAGCAGTGGCCACTAGGCGGCAAAAGTCTCACCCGGCCGACCTGCACGCAAGATGCGCGCCGGAGCACGACGTACCATAAATCAACTGGCCTAGGAACGTAGGCAGGACACACGCGGGTATCCACCGGCTTGGGTGGGTATGTGGGACGACGCGCGTACCTGCCGTGAACAATAGCGAAACCCAAAGCGCAGCGCGCCTGACGGATAACGGAATGCAGGAATACATTGTACGGATGCGGACCGCGGACCCTGTCCGTGTATAACATAACATATGTAATACTGTGCCGCTGGACGACCCCATATCAGTCGACATCGATGTCCTCGCCTTCGAGCACCTTTTCGCCGTCCTCGGAGAACTTGACGTCGTGCTTGTGTCCGGCGGATTTGCCAATGTACTTGGTGTGATCTGGGTCCGGACGCAGTAGGATAATACCCACCGCGCCACTATCAGCCGCGATCTAAGCTCAGAGCAGGGAGATAGACGCACGGCCGTACGCTGCCAGCTGACCCGCGCCGTTGAAAAAGTCAACGCGAGTGTACGCCAGGGATTTGCCTGTCCGGGTGTGCATGTCAATTTCCGCGCTTAGTGTAAAACGGCGCGGTCCCCAGAGACGTACCTATACCAGTTATAACAGCTTTAGCAGTGAGCACGTCGCCAGCGCGTCCGGCAGGCTTGACGAACGATGTCCCGATGTCGACCGAGACGCCAGTCATGTACTGTCCATGCGTCGCGACGGCGAGCGAGCCGAGTGTATCCGTCAGGGACATGATCAGCCCGCCGTGGACAGTCTATGTCAACGAGGGATGAATATTAAACAAAAAAGGTTGCGAGGCGGAGCGTACTCCAACGCGGTTTACTTTGAACAAGCGGGTCAGCGACAACCTTATGGGTGCAACTCGATAATGCTAGACCTACAATTATATGGCTCAATTTTGAGCGAGGCCTCCAGAAGGCCAGGTTTCGCGTTCAGAATCTTGAGCTGGAGAAACAACAAATTTTTCATATAGTTAATAAAATACAGCACGCCCTGGACGTACGTTTGGGAAGCACTGTTGGTCATGACCTACAAGCGCGACATGTCATTGCTCGTTCGCTCGGATACGAACGCGCATCATGGAAAGCACCTTTGTTATCGATGAATGACCTCCAGACCTGCAATACATGTTAGCAATTTTTTTAGTAACAATCGCATTGATTGTACACGTCTGGTGAATCGCAAGCAGGCTGCCATGGTTGGGGTCAGTTGCAGGATCACGACGGGATCTCACGGGATACGCGTGGCGACGCTCAAGTCAGGAAGCGCTTCGCTTTGAGGCGCTTGATGGCGGATCAATCCATCAACCCGCCCACTACATTAAAAGAACGATCATATATGCGCGGTATAAAATCGAGCGAACGCGTGTGTGCTTGAGTGGGGGTCCAATAACGATACACTAATGATACACTATTTTAATTTTCTCGATACATCCCTCTGCCGACTTATCCCACGATTTTTCCGTCGACGACTTGCGCAGAGTCGAGGATGCGCATGGCCTCCTTTGCAGCTTTTATGCCACTGGCCATCATAGCGCCAAACGTGGGGCCCATCCGGTTTGAGCCGTCGTGCTCGGAGAGCTCCATGCCTGGTGCAGATCACGCTGAGCGTCAGAAAGGACCGGGACTCTAGGCAAACTCACCGGTCATGATAAGACCAGGCACGACCTCCCGCGTTCCGTTGACGATGGCAGGCTCGGCGCGGTTCATGTCGAGACCGCGCATGTTTCCGAGCTCCTTCAGGAGGCCGGTGCTCACGAGACGCTTGGCGGAGAAAGCACCCATCGGGCCGTCGTGGCCTGTCCCGCAAACCGACGTAAGTGAAAATCAGCAACAAGGACGCCGTGCATCCGTACCGGTCGCACTGATGATCACCGGCGCGGTGATGACGTTGGGGTCCATGCAGGACTGCGTGTCGTGGTTGAGCGCGACGAGCGTCCAGTTGGTCACGACGCCCGAGATGCGCTGGCGGCCCTGGAAGTCCTCGCGCACGATGAGGTCCTCGACCGCGGTCGCGTTCATCATGACGACGTTCGGCATCGCGAGGACCTTGGATAGGACGGTAGAGGTGAAGAGTGCGGCGTGCTTGACGACGACGAACGGACCCTCGTCTTCGAACGGGACACCAAGTTCGGTGAGGAAGCGGTCGGCGGGCTTGCGGACTACCTGCACGGCATCAGACGGAAATTAGGGCAATTGTGAGAGTAAGAAAGACTGATTGACGTGCCATCGGTGTCATGAGCTGTCCTCCCAGCCATGCACCGCCGCCTGGTGCAACGCCAGCCTCGATGATGGTGATCTTCAGGTCCGGACGGCTTTTCGCCAGGTGGTATGCGCACGAAAGGCCCGCGCTGCCGGCTCCTACAATGACCACGTCCGATACTGCACGCTCGTACATCATGTTGAAGTATCTGTTCGGTTGTCAGTCGCGGGAGATCGACGGGGACGACACGATTCTAGTCACCGTTTGATCATCGCCCGCGAGACCTGGGCCTCTTCGATGGGTGCGAAGCGGTAGTCTCCGTCATAGCTCTCGTTGACATCGTATTGAGTTCCGTTGTTGGACAGGCCGTTCTTCTTTGCGAGAAGAAGGGGCGATTCCTGGATCTCTGGGGTGAGCGGTGCGACAGAGGGAGCCATGGCAGGATGAGCGGTGGACGACGGCCTCCTGAAGCCCCTGTCGAGCTTTATATACTAGTTTCCCTTGGGGGAGGTTTAGGGAGCATAATGGCGGTCGCAAGTTGTGGGGATCGTGGAACGCCGTCGGGTTCGTGCTGCGCCTGTTCTTTCATGTTGCAGGCCAAAGAGGAGGCTGATAGATCACAGATGACCTCGTTTCCCTCAGCGCAGTAGTGCGATGAGCGGATTCAGTCCAGGCCGGCCATCACGATAGAGCACGATAGGTGAGTCGACCCTAGTCGAGAGTGATTGTAGTGCTTCTATCGTAGGATCGCGTCTCATGAAGATCCAATTGTGCACGCAATCTGACCTCCATCCGGGCCGCCAGCGACTGCTCGCTCTCTCAGGCTCTCTCAGGTCTGTGGTCTCAGGATGTAAGTTGACGATTCATCGCCGGCGCCGAAGCGTGGCCTGCCATTGGCTGGCGAGAAGGAAGAGACGGCATACCTGGGAACTTCTCGGGAACTGCCGGCTTCACATAAACGGCAAGTATCCATGTTCAAACGCAACCACCATCTTGCAACATGAGCCTTCCTACGAGCTCATCGAGCACATTGTCTCCTACGTCGACAAGGACTCCCTCAAGGCTTGCTCTCTCATATCATGGTCATGGGTATCCCCATCTCGACGTCCAATATTCCGTACCTTCATCTCCAAAGGTTCTCGTGCAATCGACCCGTTTCACCAGGAATTACCTGCATTGCATCGGTTCTTGGAGGATACCTCCTACGTTGGCCCATTCGTTGAAACATTCGTGCTTGCGTACGACTGTACACTAGACCACTGTCTCACCTTTCGTGTCGGTGCCGGCCTCGTCTTTCAGGTTCTCTCGATGTTTACGAGCCTAAAGACCGCCGAACTGCGCGGAGTCTGCTTCCATTTTGCCAGCCCCTCCCTCACACCAAACCCCCTCTCACTGGCATCTACACTGCGTAATTTCACACTTCGATTTTATGAGGGACACGAGCGTGATATAGACCATATCTTCACGTTTATGCATCACCTTCCAGGACTTGTCAATCTCCGTCTTCTGGTTAACGACTTTGTCAGCGAGGAAGCCGGGGACAAGGAAGTAATGCTCCTCTCGTATCTGGCCCTCGAATACCTGGAAATAAGCGAAATCACCTTCCCAGTGATATCGCGTGGCTTGCTGCACACTGCCACTGCACAGCGGCTGCGATGCCTGAAGCTCGACACTTTCGCCCGCGAACGGTGTACAGGCGATATGGCATGCATCAAGCAATTTATACGTGTCATAGGTCGTCATCTAGAAGAGCTCGACTGGCGGTACGAGTTTAGCAACGAGGAGAATAGCCAGGAAATGTGTGGTGGAAGTGAGCCAGTCCTTCTCTGTCTTCTGCGGCGCGCTCACACTCTTGTTTAGCAACCCCGAGCATCGAGACTGAGGACCTGCTGACACCGTGCACGGCCCTCAGAAGGCTAATAGTCCACCCACACTTTTGCATGTCACGGACGGTATCTCTCTCTTGGATCCAAGTCGAAAAAATGCTCGCAGGGTGCAACAATGTCCACCATCTCGCTGAATTGATTATCGTGGCAAGTACTACCAAGGACGATGGGTCGCAGCACTCGCCACAGCTCTGGGAAGACCATGTCAACTGGTCTGATATCCAAGACGCTGTGGGGAAGTTTCAAGAGCTGCGTGTGCTACGTTTCCTCAGCGAAACAGTGGCCTATGATTCGGGTGGTGGTGACAAAGTGCTGGAGGTGCTAGAGGAGGAAATGATTCCGTACATTGAACAAAATCTCAAAGGGTGTCTTGCCCAGGACGCGTCTCTTCTGTTTGAGGTTGAGGGTATTGAATAGAGATATGGTCTGCATTGCATCACCCTGCTTATTCCCGAGGACATGACAAGGTTCCGAGACCGGTGTGAAGGCACGTCCTCCCGCGCATGATAACAGAGGCGCACTGCAGCAAGCCAGTGCGCTTTGGGTCGTACCGTTGCTGCGGCACGGAGCTGCTGAGCTACACACGTACACGAAACCGCCGAGAAGCGGGTGATCAAACGACGAGACAAAAGTTGGAGGACGCCGGATGTGTGCCGGCGCGAGCGAGCCTGTACTTCAAGTCGTCATCCGAACGACCATGACTCAAATACCACACCGCGCCCGGGTCTCTACCTCTCTCAGTTTGAGCCTCTCTCTTGACGCACCGTGATATATACCTTACACCCGGCAACGCCCTCTTCGGTGAGTACACCATGAAGCCAGGCCATCCAGACACAGCAGCTCACGACCCCACGTACTTCCACAATGGCGTCAAGATAGCACGCTCGACGACGACCACGACGATGTCCACGACGCTTTTCAACTTCACTCTCGGCGGGGACCCGCTCAGCCTTGACCGCATTCGCGGCATCCTCACACGCCTCGAGGACACGATCATCTTCGCCCTCATCGAGCGCGCCCAGTTTGCGCACAACCCGAAGGCCTACCAGCGCGGCGCGCTGGCCGAGCTCAAGGCGACTGGCTTCGAGGGGAGCTGGCTCGACTGGTTCCTGCAGGAGACCGAGACGTTCCAAGGTGCGCCCTCCTCTTCTCATTCCCTGCTCTCGCCCTCACCTTTTTTTTCCCGCATGCTCAGCCAAGGCGCGGAGGTACACCAGGTCAGCACAGGCGGCCATTCACCCGCACACGCGCGCTCACGCCCGCCCCGCAGCCCGGACGAGTACCCGTTCACGCCGCTCGCAGAGCTGCCTGCGCCGGTGCTGAAGTCGACCCCGTACCCGCGGGTGCTGCACCCGAACGGCGTGAACGCGAACCCGAGCATCCTCTCCTTCTACACCCGCGCGATCATCCCGCGCATCACGAAGCAGGCGACGCTCGCGCTCGCCGCGCACAAGCGCGCGAACGGCATCGTCGGCGAGGACGAGTACGAGGACGACGGCAATTACGGGAGCTCCGCTGCCATCGACGTCGAGGTCCTCCAGGCGATCAGCAAGCGCGTGCACTACGGTACGGAGAGCCCCCTTTCCCCTCTCCCTTCGTTGCGCGGACAGAGGAGCTGACCATCGCTCGCTCACCACAGGCAAGTTCGTGTCCGAGTCCAAGTTCGTCGAGAACCCCGCCGCGTTTGTCCCACACATCCTGAACCCGAACCGCCAAGCGTTGGAAGCGCTGATCACGAAGCCCGCGGTCGAGCGCGCGTTGCTGCAGCGACTGCGCAAGAAGGCGGTTGTGTACGCGCAGGACTTTGCACCGGACGGCGAGCCAAAAGGCGATGCCTTCAAGATCGACGTCGATGGCGTGGTTGAGCTGTACGAGTACTACATCATTCCTTTGACAAGAGAGGTCGAGGTGAGTCTTACAGCAGACTATCACCTCAACGTAACCCTCAGATGCGCGACATAGGTTGACTATCTCCTGGAACGCCTCAAAGGCCTCTCGCAAGAAGAAATCGACGAGTTGGCAAGTAGAAAGAAGCAGTGATCGTTGTGTACAGGCAGATGTGTATGTGTATGATACCGAAAACAAGATGGACATGACCATTGGAAGCAAGAGCGTACAAGAATAGACCGGACATAAGGCAAGCATGGAGGTATACAAGGGTAAATTAAATGCACAATAGGGACGAGCCCATCCAATAGATACGAGAAATTTAAATGAAGATGGCACATGCCGGCGAGTGATTTCAATAGTGCGATGTCAGAGGAGCTTCGCATCCGACATCGCCGGAGGATCGAGCATGCCGTCCAGCATCTTGCGAGCCTGGTCCTCGCTGATATTCTTCGTCGCCCGGCGCGCAAGCAGCTTCTGGGTGCGGTACCGCTCGTAGAGAACCTCCTTTGTCCGGATCTTGAGCATCTGCCAGGGCGTCTCGTCAGCGCCGCCCGTCTCACCGCTTGTACACAGACGTTGCCCACTCTCACCTTCATGTGCGTGGACAGCACCGTCGTGCGCAAGGCCGCAAAATCGCAGTGTTCGGGCGAGAGCACGTCGATCGTGCCCCACCTGTACTTCCGCACGAACACGCCCCGCAGGTCCGCCGGCGGGCCAGGGAGCAGCGGCGCGTGCCCGGTGCCCGAGCCCGGCGAGGACACGACCGAGTTCGAGGTGTGCGTGTCATCGGAGGCCGACGCAGGACCGGGGTACGTGGCGACGGACAGCCGATTGGACTCCGCCGTCGCGGCGCGCACAGCGTGGTGCCGCCGCGAGGTCTCGGGGGCGATGAACGCGAAGGGGAGGGTGTCCGCGAGGTCGTCCTGCGCGATGCTCTTCGCCGAGAAGCGCACGCTCGCGACGCTCTCCGTGTCCATCGTGTCGACGCTCGTCGGCTCGTCCGTGGGTTCGGCTTCCTCGATGCGCGTGCGCGAGCGCGAGCGGTTCCAAGGCAGCTTGAACGTGCTGCGCGGGCCCTTGAGCTTGATCGCGGGGCGCGGACGACGCTCCTCCTCCTCGTCCGAGTCGTCGTGCCCGTCGTCCTCTGGACTGTGTGAACGCTCCACATGGCCGTCAGCGGTGCCGTTCCCATTTGCGTGGGAGCTTCGCCGGGAGTCGTGTACCTCGGCGGCCTTGGCAGAGCCGAACACGCCCAGATCGAGCCCGGCAGTCTCGAGATCTCTCCGTGTGGCCTTCTTCATCGCCTCGAGCGTGCCGTCCGTGAGTGTGTCCGCGCGGGCTATCACAGGCAGCAGGTTCGTCTTTTTGACGAGCCACCGCATGACAGCGAGGTCTGCGGGAGGAACAGAGAAATCGTCATGCTTATCATCATCTGATGCGTGCGAAGGATAATCAGAAGACACTAGCGATTGGGTCGGCGCCTGGCTGGAGACCGTCGACTCGGGACGTGTCGATGTGTTGGCTGACGGATGCGATCTGCGTTCAGCAGATGAGGCGATCCTCGCCGGATCAATAATGTATATGCACCTGGGTGCGAGCATATGAGCTTGCGTGGCACTGTGGGTATCCAGCCACGAAGCTTACAAGTGAACGTGGTTGTCGCCTTTGCTCTGGCGGACGACTTTCGATTCCTGGCGGGTGCGACAACGTGGGTCGTACAAAGAAGCCCAGGAGACGAAACAGAGGCTCGACGCACCTCGTTCAGTGTGGCTGCAAACTGGGCATCCACGTATTTCACAATGGCAGAGACTTGACGCTCGAGCGTCAGCTCGTGACCGTCCAGGAAGTCCAGCCCAGGAGTATCGATGACAGAAAGAAGGAGCCGGTCGTGTTTCGATTCGCATATCTCGACGTGGACGCCGTGGATCTCTTGCGTGCGCTTGGGCGCACCGCGGAGGAAGTCGTCCAGGGCGTGCCGCTGCTCGGGCGAGGCGTTCGGCGGGATCTCCGCCGTCTCGAGGAGCAGCCTGAGCAGAGACGTCTTCCCGGTCCCCTGTGCGCCTACGACCTGCAAAGGAAAAAAAAAACATAGTTAGAGCCCACGTGGGGGCCGGACAAGCGCAGGGAGCGGCAACGCACCATGATATTGAACGACGTCGGGTCGCGGCTCCTCCTCTGGCTCGGCCTGAACCGCGTCTTGTGCGCGGACTTGCGGTTCTCGAACGCGGACGGCGGGTGTGAGGTGTACAGGGACGAGATGGGCCCGCCTGCAGGCCCTGCGGGAGGTCCTGCAACGCGTCGACGACGTCAGCGGCAACGCACGTCGTGACAGGACGCAGCGACGCACCTTGCGGATAAGCGGCAGGCGCATCCGCCTTGGGTATCTCTGAGGGGTCGATAAAGTTCTCAGGCCATGGTATCCCTTGCGTATGGAGCTCTGGAAGCGACGGCGACGCGCGAACGTACGGTGGACCCCCGCGTTCCTGTTTCTTCAGGTATCGGCGGCGTATAGAGGAGAACATCGCCCCAGCCTAGGCGCAAAATATATATCCAAGACGAAAGAAAGGGAAGAGACAGGTTTACGGACGAAAGGAGTGGAAAGCGACTGCAACGCAGCGCAAAAAGAGATTGTGGGAAGCAATTGCTGGCGGCAGCGGGTCGATAATTACAACGGGCGCCTATATTAGACAAAACCTCCTGATTGCCGCGCCTGGTGGTGCCCTTCGGGATCGTCCCGCCACAAAGCATCGGATACAGAGGTAGGATTGTGAGTCTTTTTCTGTCTGCGCACGGGGTCGCAGGCAACGTAGGCTACTAGTACATTTTTTTTTCCGATGCGGATATCGAGGGAGAGACAGGAATAGGACACACGCTGTAAAACCCAGGTGAAGCGGCAGTTACTGATATCACAGGACGCGTTCAAGCAAGAAAATGGGAGGGCCGAGCCAGGATATGTCTACAGAATATGCGTTAATCAATGAGATCCGGACATGCACAGTTGGTGTGGCAGGAGGAGAAACTTGAGAAAATATGTACGACAATATTCACAACTGCGAGGAAAGAGAGGGAGAGAAAAAAAAGAAGGCTTGCTGATCTTGTGTGTTGAATTTGTAGTCGGTCGTGTGAATTGCGCAGAGCGAAACAAGAGACACATCTAATTAACAGAGGACACGGTGAGGGGGTGCGCCACCGGCAGGGGCGCCAGGTCGTCCGCGATCCTCATTTTCTTCGCCGGCGGCGCGTCCAGGTCGAAGCTGCGACGTTCCGGCTCGGCGCCGTCCGCAGGGTGTATGTGGTGGATGAAGCCGTTCGGGATCCCTGCCATAGGCCCTGCCTGAGCTTGAGCCGTAGGGGAGGAACGCGTCGACGGCGGGGCCGAGGGTCCAGCCGACGACCCTCCGGCAGTCTTCGGACGGCCCTTGGGGTTGCCCGAGGACGGGTCGTTCACGTAGTTGCACGGCAGCGAGCGCCGCGCGCAGCTGCTGCACGCGGGGTGCCCTCCGTCGCACCGGGTTTTGCGCGCTGTACCGCCATGAGACGATCTGAAACGCTCACAGCAAAACGGCGGCGGCGGCTGACTCACCTCGGCAGAAGTTGCAGGCCACGATTTTGGAGCCGTAGCCGTTTTGGCGTCCTTTCGTGGACGCGGCGGAAGACGTGCGCCGCCGCTGCTGGGGCGGCGGCTGCATGTCTGCCTGGTTGCGCAGCGGCGCCAGGGTCTGCAGGTCTTGCATGTCGCTCCCCGCAGGGGCCGGAAGCGTGGCGATAGGCGGAAGCTCGTGCTTCGGGTACCCACGGTCCTGCGGGGGCGGCCCTTGCATCAACATGGATGATGGATGCGAGATTGGCGGAAGGACTGTGTTGTGCTGTTCAGGGCGATCAATGGGCGGTAGCTTGTTCTCCATCATCATGTCCACCGCGTTTGAATTCCTGCGGGAATGGGGCTGTGAAGGGATGTCGGGCGACATCGACGGCTCCATGTCTCCCGAGGGTTCGCCGCTCTCCATGTCCATCTCGAGATCACTTTCGCTTCCGTCGTCCGACTTGCGCTTCTTGGTCCCGCGACGCCTGTGGCTCGGGGTGTAGTCACAAGGGTGCGACCGCTTGAAGCATTGGCTGCAAGCAGGGCGCCCGCCATCGCATTTGAGCTTCCGGGCTGATGGGAAGGTGCATCAGAGAGGAGGCTTCAACCTTGATAGGAAAATACTTACAGCGGCAGAAGTTGCATGCCACATTGGTCTTCTTCGTCCGTACCCGCTGGGAGCCGACTGGTAACGAGGTATCAGTACAAGAGGCACGCTTGCAACTCCGCGCACAACAATGATGCGAAACGTGTGGGAATGGGGTTACTAACCAGCTGAAGAGGAGGTAACGGGCGACAGCTCAGGGTTGACAGCGGTCCTTCCTGACGAAAGACCACTCTCCGCGCTGTGGGAAACGGAATGAGACGCGGGCCTGTTCGGCACGTGTGTCGGGGCGGTGTCTATCGCAAGGACAGGCCGCGCTCCGAGCGGGATCTGCTGTGGCATGCGAGCGACGACAGGAGACGAGCGCTGCATGCGGGCGATGGCGGCGGCGTACGGGGGCTGGTATTCCGCCCGGAACTTTTCGAGCAGGTACTCGCGGGTGTACTTCTGCAACGTCTGTTAGGGGAGGGGCAGCGGACAGCCATCGCAGAACTGTCATCAAAAAGTAGGAGGTGCAGCTCGGGAGAAGGTACGAACCCGCATGTGATAGAAGACGGCGCCCCGAAGGTGCAGGAAGTCGCAGTGGTTGATGTCCATGCAGTCGAGACCGCCCCACCTGTAGCTCCTGGTCCACTTGCCGCGGATGATTTTGGATGCGGCCAGCTGTTTGGTGGTCCTGTCATGGGAAGGCGTGTAGTCTTTGAGCAGTTCATGTCGTGGAAGCGCCGGTCTGGCCACGCCGTCGCTGTGAGAATAGCCATCAGGGGAAATCAAAGCGAAGGGAAGCCGCAATAGATGCGGTGCGATGGGGGTCGACGGAGGCGAGGGCCCTCCTGGCGAAGAGCTGTTGGGCGTCCCGTTGCCGTTGTAGGTGCTAGCGTGGTCGGGGCCGACCTTGGGCACGATGAGGTCGGGGACGTCGCTGCCGTACGAGTACTGGCCCTGTATCTCGCCGTCGAAGATGCCAAAGCCGATGCCAGCAGCGGCGAGGTCGCGGCGGACGGCGAGCTTGACGGCTGCGAGCCGATCAATGGACAAGACGTCCGCGCGGGCTACGACCGGGAGTACGTTCACCCGGGCGGAGAGACGCCGGATGGTGGAAATGTCGGATTGCGGAAGGGTTGGGCGACAAAGAAGCGGGTTGGTGGTCACTGGTGGCTCGAGGATGACGGGGTCGAGGTCGGGCTTGGAGAGACTGTTGTTGCGAGTGCGAGACATGAGAGGTGCTGGCGGGACGACCGAGGGCGGCACAATGACATCGGGATCGAGGAAGTAGATGCAGCTGAGGGAAAGGTGGAAGGGGAAAAGACACTTTCAATCTGTCCGCTCCGTGTGCTCTGAGCGCGTTACTCACAGGTGGACATGATGGTCTCCGGCGAAAGCTTTGCGTTCCTAGAGCGCGATGGAGGTCTGTCGGAGAGAGCGGGAGGGAGAGAGAAAGAGGGAAGGCTCACGTCTTCGATACTGTCCGAGAAGCGGGTGTCGAGGTGCCTCAGGATCTCGGTCACCACCTGCTGAGAGGCCGGCTCGTCGTTGTAGTCGAGAGAGGGAGTGTCGATAAGGGTGAGGGCGAGGGTCTGGATGTCCTGGCGGCCCTTGTCGTCCGCGACGGCCTGGTCGATGTTGACGGAGACGGACTTGACGTGGGGGGTGAAACCCGCGCAGGCCTGGACGAACTTTGCGACGGACTGGAGCTGGTCGTGGGTGGCGGACGGGGAGATGACACTGGTGTCGAGGAGGAGGCGGAGGAAAGAGGTCTTGCCAGTGCGTCTGCCTGCGACCATGAGCGTGTAGCCCGTGGGCTCTGTGTCGGGCCTTGTGTCCTGGGACGGGGACGAGCGGTGGAGGGGGACGGGGTCGCCGTTGGCGTTGGCGTTGGCGTTGGCGTTGGCGTTGGGGCGGGGCTGGTCGTGGTACTCGGGCTGGTCGCGGCGGGCCCTGTGGTCGGTGTTGTCCATGGCGGACGGGGAGATGGACGCGAGGACTTGGAGGCCGGAGACAAAGCTCTGGACGAGGCGTGGACGACGGAGCGGTGCCGGGAAGCCAGGACAGGACGGGTGTCGATGGGAGATCTAGAGCGGCAGAGAACCATCAACCGCGTCGGATCGCAGAGCGGAGAGCATCCGTGTGCTGATTGGCGGCTTCGCGCTATCGAGCCGGCGTAAATCATCTGGCACGACCGGAACACGAGTGTATTACAGCAAACAGTAGACAGTTAAACAGTAAACAGAGCCAGTCCCTAGACTAGAGACATTATTAAACACACATTATACGCACACGTCTCTACCAAATCAAGCAATGTCGACCATGCCCGCAGGCGGCATCAGATGTCCTGGCCCGGCAACAGCAGAATGCCACAGCACGCTGATAGAGAGGCGAGCGGTCATCCGACTCCTCTCACACCCGCTAACGCTCGCCCCCAGGCCCTTGTCCACCCCGCCGCCCGTCGTGCCCGTCCTCGTCGCTGTTGTCCCGTCTGCCCGCCTCGCTCCCCCCGCCAGGGCCCGAGGAGCCCATCGCAGCCCACGCCTCCGGCACCTGCCGCGCCCTCGACACCCGCGGCGGCTCGAACGCCTGCGCCTGCACCTGCCCAGGCCCCGGCCCCGGCGCCGCGTACGCGAGCTGCTGCTGCTGCTGCGGCAGCCCAAAGTCGTCAGAGAACGTCGTCCGTTCGTAAGCAGCCCGCGAACCAGAGCCCGCCTCGCGCGGCGGCGGGTATGAGAATCCGAACGGAGCCGTCGGGTACGGGGGCTGCACAGCCATCCTCGAGGGCAGCTCGCCCAGAGGTGGCGCCTGCGCAGGCGGCAGGCCTCCCGCGGGCGGGTTCGACAGGTACATGCCCTCGTATCGGCCAAACGGGTCCTCGGCAGGAACGTTCGGTGCCAGCGGCGGACTCGCGGCAGACGAAGACGAGCCTGCCTGGCCAGGTCCCTGAGTAGCGCTTTGCGCCCGATCATCCTGCTGCTGCGAGCCCTTCCGACTGCCCTTGGGCGCTCTGCCAGGGCCCCTCCGTCTCACAGCGTCCACGTACACGCACGGCTGCCGTCTCTTGTCGCAGTGCGAGCACGTCGGCGTGCGGCCGTCGCATTTCAGCTTGCGTCCTGCGGGCGCGCAGGCGTCGGTCAGCGAGCAGCCGACTACAGCATCCATCCTCTCCTGCACTCACCGCGACAAAAGTTGCACGCTATCGGCGTCTTCCTCGGCATCCTCCTCACCGGCGAGTGTTCCTCCGAGTCGTCGTCGCGTTCGCTCGCCCGCCGCTTCCTGAGCTGCGTGCTCGACGGCCGCCGAGCGCTCGACGTCGAGGCCACCGGCTGCTCCGCGGCCTCTGTCCACTGGGCCTCCTGCCATCCCATGGGCGCCGCGGACGTCGACGCGGTTCCGCTCCCGCGCTGCGCCAGCGAACCCGACTCCTCGGCGGACGACGGCGGCGGCGACATCTCTGCCGCGACCTGCGGATACGGGTCCCGCGGCCCGCCGATCTCGTAGAACGGCTGTGCGAGTTCCACGGGTGGTGGCACAGGGGCCTGGCTCGGCGGGATCGCCACCTGCGGCTGAGGCTGGTAGAGGCGGGCGGCGCGCCCGGGATCGGGAAACTGGGGCGACTCCAGTATCGTAGAACGAGCAGCACTCACTACAGAAAGAAAAAAAAAAAGAACCCGTTTCTCGTCAGCCGCCTGGCCAGCACGCGCACGATGAGCAGCTGCAGAAGCAGCAGAAAACTTACGGTGAGCAGCGGTGCTTCGGCCCTCCTCCTGTGCAAAGTTCTCCGCCCTGCTGTACTGACCCCATCGCGCGGCCTCGGAGTAGCCGGGGAGCTCCTGGGGAGCTGGGTACGCCCGCCCCGGTGGACTGTGCTCGGGCAGCGCGGCGTACGGCCAAGTGGTCCTCGCCAGCGGGCGGTCGGCGATGTATAGGTGCGGAGCCGTGTCCCAGGTGTTGCTTCGCGGAGGGGCGTAGAACTGCGACGAGGGGCCGCCGGCATAGGACGTCGACCCGAGCGCGCTGTCCAGGGTGGAGACGGGAGGCAGGCTCGGGCGACCTGGTGCTGGCGGCGCCGGCGGTGCATAGTGGGAGTGGAGGCGAGAGCTGCCCACCGAGGAGGCGTACAGCTCTGGGTCCGTGCTCGACGCGGGCTGGGTGCGGAACGGGGGCAGGGGCAGGCTTCGTTCCTGGCGAGCCCTCGGTGGCTGCTGGTGCTCGGCTTGCGTTTCGATGCTGAAGGTGTAGGCTCTCGGCGGTTCTCCGAGGCCTCGGCTGCTGCCTTGCTCAAAGGTTGGAAGGGTGGAGGGACCGGGCACTGGCGGTGGCGGGTGCGGGGCCGATACATACCGTGCAGAGCTGGTGGCATATGCTGTGTACGGTGGCTGCTCTTCCTGACCGCCTTCCGGGGCTTCCAATGGCTGAGGCTCCTCGGTCAAGCCGTCTCCCTCTTCCCCGGGGTCTGTGTGCAGGAGACTGCCATGAAGCGTCCTTGGGAGGGAGCTTCCTTGTCTCGAAGGGCCTCCTCGACCACTCCCTCCTCCTCGATCCATACTCACAGCGCGTCTCTTCCCTCAACTGCTCCCTGTATCTCCCCGTAGATGGGCGGAAGGTCTCGCTCTATGTAGCGAAGCAGAAAGGAGAGATGGTGAAGGTAGAGAGCCCATTCGCCAACCAGGGAAAGCACTGAGGCAGAGACCGAGGGGGATCGCTTTTCTCGCCGGTGAAGAGGGGGAAAAGGGAGCGGAAGAATCAGAGCTCCTGACAGCGAGGGAAGGGCCGGACTGTGGCAAGATTGAAAAGGACGACCCGCTAAGGTTTGCTTCCGCTGTTGGTTTCGGTGCTCGGGGACGTGCCCAAAAATCAAGGGTGCATTTCCGCCGTCGGTGTCATCCTCGCGACCGTCGGTCTGTGCAGCTCAGTGCGCTGCTGCGAGTGCGCAGGACGCTGTGCAAGACGGCTATCACCGCAGGGCCTGTTCTGGTTGCGGTGGCGGAGCACGTCCTTAGTCTAGGGTGCGCGGGCGGGTATACCAAATACGGCCAGTGTGCCGACCGCAACACATGGCGGTACGCAATCAGCAAAATGCTTTGTGCATTGTGGATTGGACTGATAAATTTCACTCGATCCATTTCACGGCGTTGCATGCCGTTTCAACCGCTCGCCTTGTGGGTCCTCGCACACTGATCAGGGACATCCCCTCTCCGTCCGTCCGCCCAGGCCCCCCACCCGCACGACACGGGGCTCTTGCCATTCGCGAAACATGATCGACAAAATAAATATATCCTGTGGGCTCTCTGGGAACGATTGTGCCGAGCCGCGGTGACGGTAACATTCCAAGATAAGACTTTCTGTCGAGAAAATACTTCTCTCGACCGTATGCAACCCCGCGGCGGCGCATGGTGTCGAGACACTGTTGAGCTCAGCGGCTGGTCGCGCTGCATCTGAACAAGTGAATACCCGTTTCTCTCGTGCTGAGCAACCGAGGTTGCAGCCGAGAAAAACGCGGAGCATGACTGCGAGCTCGCTTCTCCCTGGCAAGCGCAGGCTACACGCGTCAAAGCGTCTAATTTCCCCACTGCTCAGGATGTTATCTCGATCTGGCGAGGCTGGCGCATCATTCTCCGTATCCCCGAAATGCCCATACCAACGCTACTCGTACGCTCGCGTACCTTTACAGTGCCCCCCGGCTGCTTGAAGATTAATGTCGCAAGTCTTACCTGCTCAGCCACTCAGTCGTCTCAAGGTCCGTCGAGATCCGGCTCCCAAACCCTCCGAGATCGGCACAGCTACGAGTGACGTCTCGCTGAGCCAGCGCAGTAGGGCCCAGCTTTAGACCACACCGCTGTCGGAGCTTGCATGCCGCCGAACTGTGGTCGTCCTAAATCTAAATCTAATATGTTAAATCCCGTCTGTACTAGATGCATACAGAGTCCCGCATCTACTCGCGCCGAGACACCATCATACATCAACGCGAACAATGCTCAGGCAATTTTTTTCGCTTCAGAACCGTCTTCGTGTAGGAAGATTCAAATATTCAACGTCAGCCGCCTGCATTTGTCGTTTTGACGATATGGCAATTGAAGCTCCTTTGTACCACTAACTACTAACTCGCAAAAAATTATCGTCTGCGAGTGATCACAGCTCATTTTCCAGCGTCGCGAGATAACGGACTTGCGAGTTCCAAACCCCGTCGTCCCGATTCGCCAGACGGCCCTGCGAAGCGTGACGTGATGCCGTGACTCCGCCACATGAGTGACTCCGACACTACGCGCCCGCGCGCTCTGGGGGTTGAAGTTGTCCTCAACGTCCATGCCAGTCCGGTCACCGCTGCTCGTCGGCCGCCATGGCCTCCAGGGCAGGCTTTTCTCGACCTCTGCGACGAGATGCACGGAGAAACCCATCATGAATCGCTACAGCCGCACCGTGACCAAACCCAAGACCCAGGGCGCGAGCCAGGCCATGTTGTACGCGACGGATGGTATCTCGAGCGACGAGGACTTTGACAAGGCCATGGTCGGCGTCGGCAGTGTCTGGTGCGTGACCAAACGTCCTCTTCATGGCGCGTTCTGACCGCCATATAGGTACGAAGGCAACCCGTACGCGCACGCTGCTCTTTATGGCAAACGGACACTGATTTGTGTCCGCCCGTTCATCCAGATGCAACCGCCATCTACTGGGACTCGGACAGCTCGTCAAGAGATCGCTCACGGAAGCAGGCATCATCGGCTACCAGTTTGGTACCGTCGGTGTCAGCGACGGAATCAGTATGGGTACTCGCGGGATGTCATACTCTCTCCAGTCGCGGGACCTGATTGCGGATCAGGTTGAGTCTGCTGCGGGTGGACACTGGCTCGATGGCATGGTCGTCATTCCTGGTTGTGACAAGAACATGCCAGGCGTGTTGATGGCACGTGAGTCTCCCAATATCAACATGGACTGGACCCACGCTGAGCGCATACAGTCGGTAGATTGAACCGGCCAGGTATCATGGTCTACGGCGGAACCATTCGCCCCGGATCCTGTGCTGGCGCGCCACAACTTGACATTGTCTCCGCCTTCCAGTCGTATGGAAAGTTCCTCCAGGACGGCCGCACCGAAGAGGCTGAACGCGAACGTTACAATACCGTCCGCCACGCCTGCCCAGGACCTGGCGCTTGCGGAGGTGTAAGCCTCCCAAACTTGGCATATCCGTGCACTGCTGTGACACGTCCTATTTCTAGATGTATACCGCAAATACGATGGCCTCTTGCGCCGAGGCTCTCGGCATGTCTCTTCCGGGCTCGTCTTCTTTCCCGGCCGAGTATCCTGAAAAAATTCAGGAGTGTGCGTCCGTCGGACCTGCGATGCGTGCCCTCCTTGAAAAAAACATTTTGCCACGGGATATCATGACTCGGTCCGCGTTTGAGAATGCCATGGTGCGTCGGCGCATACCCGTTGCGTCGCCCCTGATCAGACTCTAAAACTTCCGTTCCGTTCAGGTCCTGACCATGATCCTTGGCGGATCAACTAACGCCGTGCTACACCTGATTGCGGTCGCACACTCGGTGGGCATTACGCTCACTATCGACGACTTCCAAGCCGTTTCGGATCGCGTACCATTTATCGCTGACCTGAAGCCCAGTGGCAAATATGTCATGGAGGACGTATACAAAATCGGCGGTATCCCCAGTGAGCCTACTCCGAAAATGAACTGCTCCGCGGATGAGTGCTAACCATGCCGTTAGAAATCCTGGCTTACCTCATGAAAAACAATCTGATCGACGGAAATAACATGACTGTCACCGGTCAGACCCTCGGAGAGAACCTTGAACGGTGGACACACAAGCACGGGGAGCTCTCCTTTACGGAGCAAGACGTTATCCGCCCCCTTGAAAAACCGATCAAGGAGACTGGTCACCTTCGGTATGGGCTTCGCGCATGTCCACGCTCATTGCCGTGGAGTTAACGGCAACATTGCCTTGCAGCATCCTGAAAGGCAACCTCGCGCCAGGCGGTGCTGTGGCGAAGATTACCGGCAAGGAGGGCCTGGGTTTCACGGGCAAGGCGCGTGCGTTCGATACAGAAGATGAATTTGTTGCGGCAGTAGAGAGCGGCTCCATCAAGAAGGGTGAGAAGACTGTCGTGGTTCTTCGTTATCTCGGGCCCAAGGGTGGACCAGGTGAGCCATGCCTCCCAACAGAAGTCCGATTGTTGAAACTGGAACTCAAAAACTCTACATGGCAGGTATGCCGGAGATGCTTAAGCCCACCAGTTTGATCATGGGAGCCGGCCTGGGTCACGATGTCGCCTGCCTGACAGACGGGCGTTTCAGCGGAGGGTTTGTCGTCTAAATGTTGGTCCGCGCAATGTCGACGAACTGAACTTTCGGCGAACAGGAGCCACGGTTTCTGCATCGGCCATGTTGTGCCGGAAGCGCAGGTCGGTGGTCCTATCGCGCTCGTGCGTGACGGCGACGTTATCTCTGTCGATGCGGTCAAGAACAGTATTGAATTGCACGTGGCCTCCGAGGAGCTCGAGCGCCGCCGCAAAGGGTGGAAGGCACCTCCGCTCAAGGTCTCGCAAGGCACGCTGTACAAGTACACGAAGGTTGTTGAAGACGCCAGTCACGGTTGCATCACCGATGCCTGAGCGCAAGCAGGTCATTCAACTGATCACGGTGCGCTTCTTCCAAAAGTATGCGAGTGCGGACGGCTGTGTATGTAATTTGGACGACCTTCAGACGGACGGGTTTGTACGCTAGCAGATGCCACGATGCTACGTTCCGCCTCCACTCGGATATGCGACCCTGTATGGTCCTTCCCACACAATCAGGCTGGTGTGCTTCTCAAGCTGCGCATCGGCAAGAGTATCTCGCCTACCCTCGGTCAAATGTCGGGCACGTTGCTATCCACAGAACCTGCGCTGTCTATCTTCACATATACCACCGAAGTCAAGATCTAAGCTCGCGGGTCTGCGGAGTGCAAACTGACTCTGGCTTCTCTCGCGCCGCAGCCTTCTTCGTATGCCAGCTTCTCAGCTTCCCCGCTTCGTCCGCACGCTCGCGGTCCGCGCGTTTGTTCCTTTGGGCTAGTCTTGTCCAGGTTCGCGGTACCTTGTTGGGTGCTTATGGAATGCCGCGCTTCCGTGATGCTTGCAAGAGCTAATGTTCAGACGAGAACAGGCGGCTCTGTCCCGCGATGGGTAAGATTCATGCACGGGCACCCCAGACAAGCTCTCATTCGATGTCGCCTGCTAAATGGCGTGAGGATTGGCGGCACACGGGCCCAAGGAACGTGTGCAGTATCCCGCAGGCACGGGGAAACGATGGCGCGTCTTCCATGCATCGGCTGGGCTTCCGTTTCCGCCGTCCGCTGCGTCGAATATTCCCCTATCGACAATTGAGATGTCGCGGCGTCCTTGCCTCCTGATCGCCATGCATTTGCCGCAGCCGTCGCCCTGAGTTCCTCCCGCGCATTCGACGAGGATTGCAACCGGGGCCGCGTTCGTGTGCCTGCTCGGCGAATGACTGGTTCGACCGTCGCTCTAGCCGCCTGTGGGCGTCCGTGGAGGTCGAAGCTGCCTTGGACGGCTGCGCCGTCAAATGCTGACTACTCAAGCCCCAACGACGCGTAAAGTAAACCTTCGCTGATCTTCAAGCACGGTCTTTTGCCATACAAGACGCGGTCATGGGTCCAAGGTCGTCCTAGACCTGACCGCACAAGGGCCGACGACAGCGTGCCACTGTGGCTCGCCGTGAGACTCTGCTCTTTGCATTTTGATGTCCTTACATTCCGGATGATGAGCTTACATAAAAGCACATGGGACTTCGTAGTCTTGTTTTCCATACCTTCAAGCGTCGCGGTTATGGCTTACCCTCTGATTACCCAAGGGTAATTCGGGTAAGCGCCGGATTCCGCTTACTTTTAATCCCCTACTGCAATAGCTTACTTATCCTGGGAGCGAATGGTCTGACATCAAAACTATGTCTTCCTCGCGAACTTGATGCGTCACGCTGCACAGGAATGGCCTAAACCGCGCTCTGTTTGTTGCTCCACATGGCGTTTGGCTCTACAATGATGACTATCAGCGCTCCGATGTCCCTGTACAGTTCATGCACAGCATGTAAGGCACCTATGTTAGTCTGACAAATGGCTTCCAGACACTTCAGATCCAACCACCAGCAGGATGAAAGCCGCAACACTTCTGAAGGAATTTGCCAAACAGAGCGTCACTCTCAACGAACTCGTTGGTAAGGCTTGCCACTCAGGTATCGTACCATCTCGTCATCAACTCATTACATGCGCCGACAGTGTCTCTCTTCTTCATGGAACCGCGAGGGCCCTCACTCTGCGACTTGCCGGAAGATATCTGCCATACTATCATCGGCCATCTTATGACCAGAAAGCCGCTGTACACTTACTTTCAGCAGCGGGACATCGTCTCTCTGTCAAGCACCTCAAAGGCCTTCCGAGCGCTGTGTTTGCCGTACATCTTCAAGGACCTTCGAATACGGTTTTTGGTTGCAGGTCTCGAGAACGGCCTCGAATGCGGCCATCCAGGCTCAGACCTGTCTTCAGATCGCACCCAGCGACATAGAAGCCATGTGTACAGGTCCACCCGGCGTCCCCTCACCGGAGCTCCATCCCTGGAGGCGCTCCTCCTTTTCCTCGACGACTGTCCGTACGTCGCACCTCTGATACGACTGCTCGCTCTGGAATGCGACACCGAGTGCTGTCTGCCGCTGGACGCGAACGGCAGCCCGACGAGACACGCTGTAGATCCCGGCCTGCTTCTCTCCGTCCTCAACAAGCTCCCCAACCTGCAGGCTCTGCAGCTCGTGGACGTTCGTCTCGCGAGCACGACGGACTCGGACATTGTGGGCCTGCAGGGGCCGGGGCCAGGACGCGTCTCCGTAGAGCACCTGCGGATCTCATTCTCGAAGCTCGTGTCGCGCACCCATCACGTAGAGATCCGCGAGGCGTTCGACGCGTTGCATCTCTTCCGCGACGTCGGCGCCCTCCATCTGGGCCCCTTTCCTACCTCCGAGAGGGACGCCTGGCTGAACTTTCCCGCAACTATCGACATCCGCACGATCTTCCTCAGAAATCCGTGGCCCGTGCGGGAAACCGTCGAGGCGCTGTCGGCTTCCTTTTGCGTTTGCCTGACCTCGCTGGACATTGGGGATTCGTGGACCACGGTGCAGGAAGAGGAGGTGCATCGGGGATGGGAAGGAAGCGGAGAAGGAGACACAGTCGACGCACAGACGGTGGCTTTGCTACGGAAGCTGCTCCACACCTCTGGCGGCCAGTTGACGCACCTGGGCCTAGGGGCGATGACTTTGTCCCACTCTTCGCTCTTGTCAGGTTTGTTTTTTTTGCCCGGTACAAACCACATCCAGCTGGCTAAACAGTGATGGCGATATAGGATCATCTGTAGAACGTGTATTGCAGGACTGCATCCTCGCCTGGTGTCCCAACCTCGAGTCGCTGGCTATAAATGTCTCCCTATCTGACCGCAGGCCGGGACGGACCGAGGGCATGCTGCAGACTACGACATGCCTCCTCGAGGCTCTCAGACCCGGACCTTGCCAGTGGCGACTCGCACCCCTGCGGGCAATGACACTAAACTTCGAGCTCTCATCACTCCCTAGTATCCATGGGGATTCGGAACATTCCTATTTCATGTACAGCCTCGATGCCTACAGGCCTCTCTTTAGGCGGATGGACAACGCCCTGGCGAGCCTCGCCGGGGTTCTAAATGTTTTCTTTGAGGCCTCCGAATCGGAACCCTGTGGATTGGATATCGGCGTCATGGAAGATGTCTACTTTGCACATGTACTGCCGGAGGCGTGGCTCAAGGTAGGCACGGTAATGGTTCTCACTGTCGCAAAACACTGCTGACGCATCTCTCGTCCCTTAGATGAAACGAGTGCCAGTAAATTCGCCTTGGGCCATCAATCGCCGGCTCAGTCTAGTCTAATACCTGCCGACTCTCCATGATGGGCATTTCGTACAGAACTTGTGTATTTATTCATATATTGCACATCCTAATCTATATGCACTTGCTTTGAAGACAGTGCACGTTTCTGCTTACGCTTGCCTATGCACTGACGATCGAGAACTCAGGACCGAAGTTGCTCGAATCACCAAACACTGGAGCAAAGTTTGCTTAAGCACATATGCTAGAGGTGCAGCTGCATGGTACTCACGGAGGATGCTGTAGTCGTCTGCAGGTGCTACGTCGGGTGCCTGGACGGTGACCCAACCCTGGCGCAGAGGGAAGTTGCTTGCGATCTGCGGCTGGTCTGTCATGGAGGAAAATTGTCAGCACAGCCCTTGCCATGCCAGGACGCTGAGAGCATACTGGGGTCGAGGAGGAAGTCTTTGACGAGATAGGCATGACCCAGTGAGTCAGTGATGTTAACAGGTGGATCAGAGTTATCCCTGGGTCAACGAATTAGTCTCTAACTGAAGGGATAGAGTAGATGCTTTGGGTACCAAGTGATATTGTAGAATTGGCCGACGACCCAGACGGTGTCCGCGCTGGGTTCAATGACAGGTGGGATCCACAGATCGGCAGAGACACCGATAGCGAGGAAGGAGAGGACAGTAGAGGCAATCGCAGTAGAGAGACGCATGTTCGTGAGGTTTGTTGTTTGTGCAATGGCCATCTCATGGTGGTTAGCTTTATACCTTCGGCGACACGGCCCTTTCAGCCCGTGCGTGACCACTGAACGACCGGTATTACGGGGATCTGGCATCCGCAAGTCGGTAATCCCGCCTGCAGCACAGATTTTCGATGTAATTTGACGTACAAATCGTATAATTTGAACCGATCTGCCACCGGATGTAGGTACGCGGCAGGCGTGTACGCCGATCCGATGTCACGGTCAGCCCGGACATCAGCAGAACAGCATTGTCGCTGACAAACAAATATACAGAGCAGGAATATCAACTTGGGTTCTGCGAGGAAATTCCTGCTGAAGCGTTGAAGCGTGATGTCAATGACCTGCACAGTAGCGAGCTGGCGGATCTGGTACTTCTGAGGTCAGTGTCTGATATTAATTTCGGATAGTTGGCCGCTCGAGGCATGGTCCGTCCTAGACTCATCTAAACACGCTTGTGCTATGAGCTCTTTGGGAGGCAATAACAGCTGGACGCGCGTTGTTTATGGTGAAAAGCCTCGAGGAAATGCATCGGACGCGGCTGATATGACGAACGCCACAAAGCCGTGGCCAAATAGACACAAATATGATGGGCGTCGAACGAGTGCGGCGTCTAACATCTTGTCCTCCGTCTCCATCGTCCGAGGCTGAGCCTCCTCACTCATCTTCCCGCTCGGGGTAGGTTTCACGCGCCTGGAGGATGTCACCGGACATCTGCCTCGCAGGCCAACCATACGCGACTGGCGGAGCCACTCGACGCCGAAGGATAAAGCACCCCAATAGTGGACCAGCTAAAGCGCGGCGACCATTCTGGACGTTCCTTTATTAAACCCAAAAGCGTTTGGAGAGGCGCCTGAATTCTGTGCCTTTCAGGTGGTCTGTGGCGATGCACCCTCGATTTTGGCCACCTTACCCTCCGTATAAGAGGCCGCGGCCGAGATCCGTCTTCCTTCCCCAGACCACCACACTATCCGCACTCCCAGACCGAGTCATGTCCTGCAACTCAAGCCCCAGCACCGCCACCTCCAGTTCCTTTGTCAGACTCGGCGGACGTAGGGAGTCCTTGAGCACCTCGAGCCATGTCTTGACGGTCGGCGGGACGAGCAAGATGGCCGCTCCGGCTGCGCGTAGGCTCTGATTCGCGCATGGACACAGTCTCTTTCTGATTACATTTTCATTTAGCCACAATCCCAGGCAACCCTACTGGAACGAAGTTCGCCGAAGACTTGGCGGAATGCCAGTGGCTCAAGAGGTAGCAGAGCGGACTTTATCCTCTGGTGATTCACGGCCAGATTCCATCCCAATGAGCACGCCTCTCCTACAATGAATCTTTCAACGATAATATACTCTTCAACTTTACCGCACTCCCCGCGTTCCGGAGCGTCGTGCTGTTGTATTGTGTTCTGATCACTGGCTAAACGATTGGACGAAGGGTTTGCCAGTTAATGATGAATACCTCTAAACCTAGAGCTGCATCTTGATCACGACTGAGGGATAAGTGTCCCCTCAGCAGGACTCCATGCTGCGCCCCTGTGACGGCGTTGTTATGCACTTCAGATGCAGTATTTCTCACCGAGCCGTCCACCATTGTCTAAACCTTATCCGAATAGGTATCCTCAGCATACAGCAGTAAATACATGCTGCATTCGGCAAAAATGCGGCAAACAAGAGGCAACAAGAGGCAGCAACAATTTTCAGCCTATTCAACAGCCTTCGCGTCAAGTTTAAGTCAGTCATGAGACACCTCCTCACGGAACATCACAAGGTGCCAGTTGCATGGCTCCGGATCCGCCTCTGCTACGCACACAGCATCGCGGCGACTTCCGTCGTTCGTCATGTCCTGAACCTCGGCAATAGACATATATCCGGTGTCTCCCAGGCCATGACGAATGGAAAAGTCGTTGAGCTTGGGATCGAATTCGACCAAGTCAGTGGCTGAGCGCTTCTCCGCGTATAAGTGGCCTGATCATTGTGCGGCAGGGCAAGCTTTTTCCTGGGCCTGAGTATGCTCCGTTCCGCCCGACCGCCGGCATGATGGTAGGTCTTGGGACGTCGGGCGCTGACGGGGTCGCAGAGAAGGCGCTCTGTGTGCTGCGAGAGGGACAAGGTATCGCCTTAACCGTCCTTGAAGCATTCAAATACGATCCCTCGCACAGTATGCACTCGTGCTGTCCACATCTAGAACTTGCCCTCGCTTTGCTGCGGGACTGCCAGCAAAATGAAGCCCCAGCAACTCGCAGTTCGGCACACAAGCCACCTCTAGTAAGCCCACCGAGGCGGCATTCAAGTTCGTGGCCGGATTGGAGCTGTGGAAAAGGCCGCGGGACAGCGCTCTGAGCTTTATACAGCGGAAGCTTGACATACGAATCGCGCTGAGTTCACCGTCAGCGAACCAATTCGGCAGGCAACCTCGATATTTTCAGCCTGGCGAACGTACATGTCCCACGGCAAACATCTCAGCCACGCAGGAGATACTCAATCGCGCTTGATTTTGTTCCCCCGGTTGGGCCCACTTTCTCTAGTTATGTACACCAGTTGTACGCCGACAACCTCGTTCCATAGCTACGCCGCTCGCTATTGTGGCTCTGCTCTCGAACTTCCCTCTACTCGCATCAATTGCAAACTATCATTATTCGCAACATCACTATCATGCTCTCGATCGTTGCTCATCTTGAAACGATGATTGAAGTACCCGTGCATTAATAATTTACATACAACAGTGCGACCAAAACAAGAATGTCCCATGAAAGCAAGAAACAACGTAGATCAGCGCCAAATCCCCGATATACACCAAACCCGAACTCAATCCTGATACGAACGGCTGTCGCCGCCGCCGTGCACCTCGGCCTCCTTGAAGCGCACGGGCGCGTAGCTCGAGTTGATGTTCCGCGTTTGCGCGCCGCCCTTGACGACGCCACGCATGCACGCGGCGAGCGCGATAGCGCAGAGGATGACGCCGACGACGATGTTGCCCGCGAGGAGCCCGACGATGACCGGGCCGTACTTGTCGACGAGCGCGTAGAGCTTGTCGTCGGCGCTGTCCCCCGCGGACGACGCCGCCCCGGTCGGCAAGCTCGTCCCGCGCACCGCGGTGGTCGACGTGGACGGGACCGTGGAGGACGCAGAGACGGAGGAGGACACGGCGTCTGCGCCTGCGACGCTGTCGTCGGTCGTGTCTCCGTCGTCGCCGTTCACGAGGCTCGCGAGCGTCGCGGGGTCGATCGTTGGCGGGAGCGCGGCGAGCGTCTGGGCGCGCGAGGCCGCGAAGTCGGGCCACGCCGCGTCCAGGTCCGTCGTCGAGATGAGTTGGACGAAGCTCTCGTTGCCGGACGAGGGGCTGCCGCCGTAGTTGAACCTGACGGGCGGTGAGATTAGGTCGGAGTGTGAGAGTGGCCAGAAGAGGCACTTACGAGGCGTAGACGTTGCGCAGGAAGGCGTCACCGAGGATGGCGTCGAACCCGGAAAAGTCGGTCGGGTCGAGGTCGAGGTACTGGTATGAGTTATAGCAGTAAGTGACATTTTGGTCCTGGCCGTTCTGTGTAACCACCGTCTGACCGACGGCAGTCAGATCAAGAGGGTGCACGGGGAAGGGCTTGCCACTGCACAATTCCGGTATCAGCCAGCAAGAAACAAAGCTTTGAACTGGAGGTACTCACCCGAGAGTGAAGGTGACGTTTGTACCAGCATCGCAGGGTACCAACCATTGCGGGATCGAGTCGCTGAACTTCACGGCGCCGGGTACGGTCGAGTAGATCGCGTCTACCGCATCAGGCGGCAGTGGGGGGAACGAATAGCCGGTATCGAGAAGCGCCGCGATCTTTCCCGCAGGGACGGTAGAGATCGAGGATGGGCCGAATGCGAAAACCTGTCCGTTCACCGACATGCCATCGAGCGGCACACTCCAGCGGCCGACAGCCTGGCGGGGCAGCTGTGGCTGGCTCGTGATGTTCGCGAAGTCGTCGAGATGCTCCGAAATGAGGAACGTGCCCGTCGACGTGTCGTCGAGGTCGCTCGAGCGGTCGAGCTGGATGTCGAACGAGTCCGGCACGCTCGGGTCCTGAGCGAAGATGCTGCTGATGGGTGTGCGCCCGAGTGTCGAAGATGAGCCCCATGCATCCTCAATGGCCGCATTGATGGGCGAGAGGTTCGTGTCGTCAAACGAAAGCCCGAGGATGCCGACGACACCTTGATCAAAGAAGGAGAAGTCCTCTGCAGAAGAGGCAGAGACGAAAGCTAAAGTTAAACTTTACATTAGTCCCACGTGCGCAGCGGACGGGAAGGGCGAGGCTTGCCTTGGCTGGGAATCGTGTAGTTACCGAGTCTGAGCTCTCCAAACACGATCTCGCCTTCGGCAGAGCCGGTACCGTACGTCAAGTTAGTGGTAATTCCAGACTGGTTCGTGAGTTTGAGGTTGTCGTTAGGGGCATAGATCCAGAGATCAGCGGAACCGGTATCCATCTGAACAACGTATGCTGCGGAGGCAACGGTCAATGCTGTGAGCTGCAACTTCTCACATCTGATACTCACTTCCGCCGGCGAGTCCGATTTCGATTTTGTACTGGAAGGTGATACCAGTTGAGCGATGCTGAAGAGGATGTGAAAAGCATCGGATGCTTACCAAGACGTCCTGCACGTCGGTGACCGCCTCCCCGCCATCTGAACCGCTGCCTCCAGCAGAAGAGGCTCCAAGGTCCATGATGCGCACACCTGTGCCGGAAGCCTTCATAGAGAGACCGCTCGGCGCGGCGCGGCGGGCATGGGGCGCGCTCGGGGCAGCATGCGTAAGAGCAGCGCACAGCGCAAGGGTGACGAACGACGTGGAGGCTATTGAGGACACCATCGTCAGCCAGAAGGAGAAGAGGAGGGGAAGGGGAAGGGGAAGAGCGTGTGTGCCTTGCGGCAGGGCATAGCACCGTTCATATATGGGTGAGCAGCGAGGCACGGCACGTTCCTGCTCGTCGACGGGGCATCGTCGCTTAACCTGCCCAGATGCTCATGCTTGATCCTTAGTCAATGGCTAGCGACGTGCATGCCAATCACTATGGCCGCACTGATAGTGGGCGCATCAGAGTGATGAACAGCCTCGTTGACGAGACGCCCGTTCAGCAGTGGCTTCCAAATTGCATGAAAACCGCACAAAACTGGTATGCTCATCAGCTTGCTACATGGCAGGATGTCATGAAAACACGAACCATCTTTCAAAACTCGCGAAAAGAGTGGCAAGAAGTTGGTTCGATGGTCCGTTCGACGGATGCAGTAAAGCTGGTGAGTTCGCTTGGCAAAACAGGGGCGGTGAGCGCCGCATCCGAGCGATACAAACTAATTGTATGAGGTGGTAAATTCATCAAGGATACAGTGCCTGGTTGACGGAGTTAAATTCTCAACTTCCATGAAGTGTGTTCACTTCGTGAATGAAGCATTCACGTGCATGCGCTCTGAAGTCGCCAGAGAAACTTGAGCATATAATAGCTCGACATGAAGGGACGATTCTCTCGCGCGAGGCTAACGAAAGCGGTTGGCGAAACAAAAGAGAGAACAGAGCTTGTTCGCGACAGGCAACGTGTTCGGACGGGGTGGTAAATCTACTGCCTAGTTAGCTCAAGGCACGGCGGAAGGCAAGGCACGTACCGTGGCAGAACTCAAATATCGCGGCAGTCACTTATATCCATTGCCCTCCGACGATACCTGCGGCGACACACAAGGGGAATATTGTGTGGCCGATGAGGTCAACCATAAATCTAATTATCGGTCACTCGAAAGCGGGTGCTGGGGGAAAATGATGATGTACATTGTATGTTGACAAGGCTGCGACTGCGCACAAACGATGTGCGTCACAGTGCAACCGTGATAGACTCCCTCATCTGGAGTCAGCACTTCTCAAGGTGCCCGACTGTACGTTGAATAGACGACAGAAGTCGTTCAATCCTGGCGCTTCACCAGAACTGAATGCAGGGTGGATGTGTAAGCACTGCTCGGGCAGAAAGGCGCCATCGGACGGGCACGGAGGAGAACAGACAGAAACAGAACGTATAGCAGAGATCCAAAAAACTGCTAGACACTACAACGACTGATGAGGGCATGGATTGCAGAATCTTGAAGATGTCGGGCGGCGGGAATCGAAGATGAGCGTCGGGTTCAGGTGGAATGCTCTCTTTATGCGCCGCTCAAAGGCGGCAATCAAGATTCTCTCCCACGCCACCATGTCACGCATTTTTCCCAAGATTTTTTCTGCGCAACTCCAGAGGTTGAAATCTGTTCACAGCACCCCTCCCATGCGGATGCTCTTCATGCGTCATTCTTTTCCGTGGCTGTGCTGACCCATATTCCGGCTATGTCATCTGTCGATCCAAATTCTCTAAGCCCTTACAATAAGAGCGAAGCGGCATGAACCAAAGATACGCATTACAGACTACACGTGTACAAGTTGAGTGTTCTCACAAGTCGTACGCATTCTACGGGACTTTACGTAGTGTCCATGCTATCCACATCCTTATGCATGTCCACGAGCTCCGATTCAGGCTTGTCGTATGCCGTGTTCTTGTTCTTGCGCTCGGCAAGGAAGGCATCTACTTTCGCCTTCAGCTCTACATCTGCAAAGTCCGCTTAAGTGCAAGAGTCCAACTTGGTTTCTGGGAAAAACATACCAGGGATAACGTCCTCTAGCACGAGGGGCACACGATTGAAAGGGTCCTTTGCGTCGGACAGGAGGTGGGACTTGATGGTAGAGCGGTCCACGACGGTGTGCGAGCTCGGTAGGATGACCGGGTCGCGCATGAGGGTGTACATGAGTGGATCTGATGGCAGACAGAGTCAATACGGGACACATGGAAGTTCTTCGATGCGCAACTCACCAAGGAACTCTTCCGGCACATCACCGAGGTCGTCCTCGGCCTCGATCGTCGCTTTCGTCTCCTCGACCTTGACGACGAACAGCCGCAGCCGTTCGATCTCGTTTTCGCTCTTGAGCAGGAAGTGCTTCGTCGCGATGCCTAGCGCCTTCTCGAAGAGCTCTTTCTTGTAGCTGCGCCCATCGTTCGCGACCCCGCGCGCGAACTCACCCTGGTCGCTCAGGTTGAGGTACACCTCGAGGATGTCGCCCAGCAGCGCGCGGGGGTTAAATTTATACTTCTCCTGGTTCTTCACCTTGAGCTCGCGGCAGCGCGGCCCGACGAGCGCATCGAGGTTGTAGTCGAGCATCGCCGCGAGCCGCTCGACGATCTCGGGCACCATGAACGGCTCTTTGGTCTCGGCCGTGAACATCTTGAGCAACGCGACCGTTGAGCTTCCGAGCTGTGTGTATGTCGTGGTCTGACGCTCGAGCGAGCGCAGCGTGCCCTCTCGCTCCCGACGGTACTGCACCGACTGACGGCTGAAGGCCTCCGTGTCGGCCATCTCCATCTGGAGGTCATGAATCTTCGCGAGGTCCGTCAGAGATTCATCCAAAAGGTAGGTCACATCGTTGATCATGAGATTGACAAAACGAACGAAGCGGTCCATGTTTGTCCTGTGAGATATAAGTGTGAGGAAACAATTCTCAATTCGCAATCCACGTCCCACGTACTTCGTTTGAGCTTTGAGAGCGTCACGATGTTGGGGGTTGTTCCAGATTGTGCGAAAGATGTAAGTCATGGCACGTCTGAGCAATCTCATGAGTCTTGCCTCGAGATTCCTTCGTCGTTTAAATCTTACCGAGCATCTAGAATAAGCCACATGTTAGCCACCTTAATAATATACAATCGAGCAAAACTCACTGAATTTATCGTAAAACTGCGAGCTTGCACCGGTCTGCTCGACCTCTAGTCATTTGCCACACTCAGCCTCATTGTATCGTCATGTCAAAGGTGCACGCACCGATGTAGAAATGAGTCAGAGCCGCCATGAGATACTTGAGCGCCATGGGATGGGTGTTGAGTGTAGACTCCAGGATGCTCCTCCGTCCATCCCATTTCCAGCAGGCGTACGATAGTGCCTATAAAATCATGACGCCGTCAGCCTGTATCATCGAGACGAAACGAGGCGCATATGCGCACCTCGACCATCTTGGACTTGAGGAACGGGTTCTTGATGTACCACGTCGAGGTCAGGAGTGTTAGCGCCCACATCATGAGCTCGACCTTGCCGGTCAGCTCGAGACTCTCCGGTGCAGCACTTGGTTTCTATCAGCAACAGCTGCGACTGGTCAATGGTAGACAGCGTACCGGATAGCAAACAAGTGGAACTCTACAATGTCCTCGATGACATACTCAGGTAAGACCTTGAAGGACGTTGGCACATCCTTAGGCAGCGGCAACCTAAGTGCTCCACGTAAGCGACCTGCATGTTGGGGGAGAGGATAACTACGGGAGACGCACTCGACCGCCGGGCTCGGATGCTGGTGTTTCGGGTCGACGAAGCGGATAAGCCATGTCGAGGCGAAGTTCGTGAAGCTGATGGCACGGAAGACAAGCTCGGGCTCCGCAAGCTGCGTCTGGAACGCCATCTGCCCCGCCTGCACCTTATCCATTTCCGTCTTTACAGCGTTGATTGCAGCTTCCATGCGCGCCCGCAACGGAGTCTGTTGTTGTATTGCTCACATAGTAAGTGAAACGGGCGACGAGGAGTAGGGTAGACGCTTACAGTCCGCCACGAGCCGTCACCTTCTAGCTGTTCGAGGTGCCGCTCCATCTCGTCGTACTGCCGCGCAAGCTCTTCAAACGTCGTGATTGTCTTCCGGTAGCCGTAATGGTTCATCGCGAGCGTAATGTAGAAGATGTCTGAAATGAAGTTCGGAGCGGGGGCTAGACGCTTTCGTGAGCTACTACAGCTTGCATTGATGTCGTGGAAACACGTACCGCCATCGTTGGCGTGCTGTTGCCTCCACTCCTCTGCCTCTTGGCTCGTCGCGTTGATGCGTGTTTCGTCCTTGGGGTCGATTCGAGAGGAGTGGGCGAAATACAGTGGGTCAATGCGATCAATCTGACCTCTCGTCAAAATTTGCGGTAAGAGTATACAGAATAGTACGGGCCTTTGAGTAGTTGGCATCTATGAAGGGTTCGCAGAACCTGAATAATATGGCTTGGAGGTTGACCATGAACGAGTCTGACGCGACCGTGTCCGGTTCAACCTAATCCAGGCCGGTTTAGGTGCATTTGTAGGTGAATATGGATTTACCCACCTGCATACCGGCACGACGGACATTCAACGTGATGATCCTCGCGAAATAGTTCAAGACCGCTTCTCGCGCCTCTGTCGAGCTGCGAACGAGAGTGTTGAGAATCTGGAACATCGAAGCCTATGCAACCTTAAGTACTGAGACTATGCCGACATTCTGAATATCGCAAACGCACCTGTAAACTCTTCAGCGTCCCTCGCAAGCTGGCGCGAGCGGACTCTACATCCGTTGCGGGCCGTCCCTCGGCCTTCGTGAAGTAGGCCACCGCAATCGATGGCTTGGCGCATACTCAGTATCAGGTCACATCCACCAGTAAACAACTCACCCATTCTCGGTCAAAGACGCCTAGTCGGAGGACAGGCCCAAACAAGCTGACCAGCTCAATGTTGTGCGCCTGTGCATTCGCCGGGTTGAAGTCGTCCAGCCGCGTGATCATGTTCCCGATGGACTTCACACTGACGAGGGTCTCGAGCCCACCGATGATGCCACGCCAGCTTGCGTCACCACCCGCGAGACCCTCCGGACGGAAGAGCGACTCGTGGAAGCACATTCCGCGTACAACGGGGCCGAGTACTGCATTTAGCTCGCGACCCTCGTTATCGAAGCGCTTTGCGAGGTCCTGCAGGAAGGGCTGAACATCGGACGGGTAAAGGACAGCGCTGCTCGAGCTTTGCACGGAAAGCAGCGGAGCGGCGAGGGAGGAGAGGTTAACGAGGTTCGCGACAAACTCGGGAGCACCTATTGGCTTGCTTCAAAGCCCAGGTTAGCACGAAGACAGGATATTCGGTGGAAAGGACATACCCAGTAGGTTGAGGGAACATCTCCGGCTCCTGCAGTGTAAGCCCCGCATAGCTGATGACTAGGTCTCGAAGCTTGTCGAGGACTTCAATGGCGCGTTGTGTGTCCGGCGGCGAGTATCCCTACGGTGGACGTGAGAAACGAGAAATGAAGTGCAGGGAAGGGCCAACCTTCTTCAGCAAGGCAGATCGGGCAGTATTGATTTGCTTCCAGCATGCCACGAGGTACTCGAATACGGTTTGTGACTGTAAGGACGCGAGGACAGGAAGATATTCAAGGTCATCTCTGTTTCGTTTGAGTGTATACTTAGGCAAATTGTAGACCGCGACTTACGACATGCCTTGAGGATCCAGTTCTAGCCTTGCGATGAGCAGACGGTCTAAGATATCATTGTTCAAACGGAGAGGTTTAGGGACATCTGTCCTACAATCAGCACCCGCATATAAACCAGAATGACAGCAGGACGCACCTGGAAGCTCGGATTCTAGCTCTACAGCCAATGACTTAAGCCACACGACCTCCCACCCCGTCTTCTCCGCCAGGTCTTTCTGGTTACAAAATAGGTTAATGAAGCACCAAAAGTACAGCAAGACATCGCACACACATCCAGGGTAACATTTAGCACTGTCCGAATTGTTTCGTCCTCCCACGCAGGCAGATCGAACTTTGCTGGCGTACTCGGTGTCTTCTTCTTCGGTGGCGGCGGTGCAAGTATGTCTGCGGATCGCTTGATAGTTATCGGTACAGATTGTGGCTTCGGTTGTGGTGGAGGAGTCTGGGGTTTAGATAGCGGGGGTGTCGACGACGCAGAGGCAGGTGTCTGTGCGGGGCTAGGAGAGCTGGAAGCTACTCCTTGGAGCTTCGCGAGTCGCTTCAAACGAATCTGTGGGGAATTGATGTGAGTTTGAACAGGATAAGTGGAGGGCACTTACTCTCTCTGCGTCATCTTGAGGATTGGTGGACATGTTGTATGAAAATGGCGGTTAATGTGCAGAGGTGTGCAAGTGGAATGAGATGTAGAAACTCGCGTCCATTACGCGTACGCGCGCGTAAGCACCATTACAATATTACCACCCACATTCCCAGATTTGTTCAGTCTACACATGGAAGCGTGATATCTTACACCGTATATTGACATTATAATTATACACGAGTGTACATAGCAGCTACAAAGAAAGACTAATATGCGACTCAGATGAAGCATATAGTGTATCAATCCTCAAGAGAAGGAATCCACCACCGCTGAGCAATTAACCTGAGTACGATCACCCAAGTCAGCCGGACGAAGGACCAGGACCGTGGATTAGAGTCTACGCCGGTCGATATTGGTAGTGTGCTGATCGCACCGTTGGTTGCAGCTGATAGCCACCTGTCTGCGGGACGACAACTATAGAGGGGACTGTACGAGTACTAGTGGTGAGAAGACAAAGGCAGCATCCCGGAACAGAAGTCTACCCACCTGGCTGTCCAAGAACCGGACCAACTGAAGGGTTAACTGCAGCAGAGGAGCCAGTGGTCCTGGGCCAGCCGTCCTCATATATGTCGAGGGATCTATTTTCTGAGTCCACGAACCCATCCACATTGTTGCAGGAGTACGACTTTATTGGATGTCGCTTGAAAGGGTTTCGGCATTTCTGCTGCTGCGGTTCCCCCAAGATGAGTGCCCGAGACTCCGGCGACACTCGCGACAACGGCGGGACCGCAGGTTCTCTCCTGGCAGAGGGGAATGACCATCAGGATACTTGGCACTTGTAGAAATGCACGTACGGTCTCGAGAGCTCGATGACTCGTGCGACGTCACGGTAGTCGTCCGGATCGAAGCCGAACTTGCATTGTACCTGCCACTTCAGGAACGGAACTTTGCGCCCTGGGTTATCGCGCACGACCTGCTTAGCGAGTTCAATCCGCATCTGCGGTGACAAACTTCTGGCGTAGGTCGCCTTGTCATAGGGCCGACCATCAAACCATATCACGTCCCCCCCATTCACCTGGCTTGGGTCAACAGGTACGAGCATAGGCCGACACGGTGGTGCGGACTGGGGTCGTGGTGGAAACACGGGCGCCGCAGCTGACGTCTGGGGCACCTGCGGCGCGACAAAGAAGGTAGTCTGGGGTTGTGCCCGCATGAATGGGCCGGTTGCATTCCCAGCGGATGAGGGAACGTTGTACACTCGCTGAGCGTACGGCGCAGCCTGTATATGTGGTGCCGCCACAGCTGGAGGTGCAGCATGATAGGGTGGCGAGATGGACGTTGGCGGTGTTGGTGACACAGTCGGGAATGCTGGGCGTGCAGGCTGTTGTAGGCGAGCGGAGTAGGCTGGAGCAGACGAAGGAGGCGGGGGGCGAGCAGCCTGAGCGAGGATGGTAGGCGGGACAGAGGAGCGGACGGATTGGCTCGTGCCAGCTGGAGCCTGCGCTGAGCGGATTCGTGCGGCGTGTTCATCGACGGGATAACCTGGGACAACGATAGGCGAAGGTACGCGGGCTTGCCGTCGCTGCCTGCCAGTCTGCAGGGAGAGAAGAGGCGAGAAGCCTGCCAAGGGGCTTAGAACATCTCGCGACATTGAAGCAGCAAGCAAGCAGGAGTGCTGTGCCGAGAGGAAAGGTAGAAGATGGAAAGGATGTTGAATGATGACTTCCGAAGTTAAAGCACCCCTTTGCGACGCCACATATATAGTTGGAGGCCATGTCAAGGCGTCTTATTGTGCAAAGTGGGCCGTCGTCAGTGATCTGCGCTGCCATGAAGTAAGATATCCAAGAGGCTATGTTGTACATGCCCTTTCTGTGAGGCCGCAACGCCGTGAGGATATCTGCCGCTGATAGGGCCTTGCCGCAGCCCATAGCGCAGTATTGTGTTTTTTCTTTGACTGCATGCGCGATCGCTTGGTGACAGAACCAGTACTGCTCCGCCAAAGCCCTGGGAACAAACAGCTTGATTACTACGCCCCACTACCGAGATACAATAAGACAAAACCAGCATCGGTACCTCGAGACTCACCTTAGGTTACAAACGGCGAAGCGAAGAACATCCTCGTCTCCGTCTTTAACACCTATACACTAGTGCGAGTTGGCCGAGCTTAAGGATATCTGCCTTGCGGAGCTAGCTTCGAAGTGGCACAAGCTTGAGCTTGGACAAGGTGTAGGCAAGTTCAGCGCCGCGACCAGAGTTTAATCCCGTGGCAATATCACTGTATCGCGCATATTAACGGACGTACTGCGTCCTCTTCTGTCGTCCCCATCACAAGTGAACTCAAGGATGCGAGCTATAGCGGCTGGGTGTGGTTCGAGTTCACACTCACTGTGAAAGTGAGGGAGGAGCGTGTGAAGTACCTTCCTCTTATGGAATTCTGGCAGTACACGCTTGCACAACGGCTCTGAGTCGAGGGCAAGTCGAGGGTGCAGAAGACAGTGTTAGGTTGTCCCTGATTCTGCAGGAATTACATTATAGTACGGCATACGGTCCAAAGCCCTTGTGAAAATCTAAGAAAATCCGTTCCTAATCCGACCCTTCGCTCTCAGGGTACCATTCTAGACGTACACCCTACCCTCGTAACCCCGCAGTGTTACGGCAGTTCCGCCCAACGATTGGGACAGCACGTCGTCGTAGTTCGACAGGGCGACCCGCATCTTGGGCGCGACCCCTGCAGACGCGCCGAGGTCGACCGAGACGTCGCGCTCGCTGAAGTTGAGCACGACAAGCGCCTTCTCGCCGCGGAGCGTGCGCTCGAACGCGAAAACCTGCTCGTGGTCGGGCAGGAGCAGCACGAAGTCACCGTAGACGAAGACCTCGTGCTGCCTGCGCAGCTTCAGGGCGCGCTTCCAGAAGTGCCAGACGCTGCCGGGGTCCTTCATCTCCGCTTCGACGTTCCACCCCTCGGCATAGTCGTCGTTGACGCGCATCCACGGCGTGCCCGTCGAGAAGCCCGCATGCGGCGCGGCGTTCCACTGCAGCGGCGTGCGCGCGTGATCGCGCGCCTTGCGCTGGAAGCCATCGATGATGTCCTCCATGTTCGGGTTTTCCTTGCCCGTCTCCTTCTGCCGGCGGGTGCGCTCCTGCTTGTAATAGTTAATCGTCGCGACGTCCTTGTACTCCTCGAGGCTCCAGCTTCGCGGGAAGTTCTTCATGCCAATCTCCTCGCCCTGGTACACGTAGAGCGTGCCGGTCTGCGTCGTCTGCAGCATTGCAAGCACCTTCGCGGAGAGCGCTCGCCAGCGCGGCGTGTCATTGCCGAAGCGCGAGACAGAGCGGGCTTGGTCGTGGTTCTCGATATACAGCGTGTTCCAGTAGCCGTGCTCGCGCATGTACGTCTGCCACTTGCTGACACACTTCTTCATGTCCGTGAGCTTCCACTGACGGTGCATGAGAGCGGTGAGAGACTCGAGGTTGTCCTCCGCGCCACCGAGATCGAGATCCATGAGCTCGAACTGGAACACCATGTTAAGCTCCTTGTTCTGGGGGAAGACGTAGGCGGCGATATCCTCAGGAAGATGGGTGCACGGCGTCTCTCCAACAGTCATCACGTCGTAGCGCGAGAGCACCTTCTCATTCATCTCCTTGAGGAACTCGTGGACACGGGGACTGCAAGAGCCGTGATTAGCCTGCGAAAGAAATAGCGTTTAAATGACGACAACTTACCCATTAGCGTAGTACAAGCTCGCACCCTGGAACTCCTTCGTCGAATCTAGGACGGGAGCGTCCGGCAGGCCCGGCACCTTGGAAATCATGTTGATGACATCCATGCGGAAGCCATCACAGCCCCGGTCGAGCCAGAAGCGCATCGTCTTGAAGACAGCCGCGCGTACGTCGGGGTTCTCCCAGTTGAGGTCCGGCTGCTCTTTGACGAAAAGGTGCAGGTAGTACTCGCCAGTCTCCTCGTCCCACTCCCACGCCGAGCCCGAGAAGATGGACTCCCAGTTGTTGGGCGGCATGCGGTGCCGTCGCATCGTA